TATCTGGTATCCTAGTGCTTGTGACAATGCACCTATCTAGATAATGATTTTATTGTGGAACCATTTTTGATTGCCATCAGTACTTTTGATGGCTATCTCCTGATATATCATTTTGTCCTAATTAGGAAAGTTATTGATACAGGCCTTTCCAACTACATACCGGGTCATCGGCCTGAAGAAAAGGAGTTAAAAGTATCATATTACATAATTATCCAATTATATGTATTACATAATAACTTATTTCATCATTGATATCATTGATTCAATAGCCTAAATCACTAGGTACAGCTAGCCCTAGGTGGAAATAACTGTGTAGGCAAGCACCTCTTTAGCTGTACATAGGCCTTTAGCCTAAAACTTACAGCTAAGGGTGACTCTTCCACGTCCCGCGCACTCGAGGGCGTTTCCGTTTCCGGTCCCGGCTCTGAACTCCTCTGCGACATCCGCGATGCCCTCTCCGGTGAGGAGCCGTAGTGGTAATATTTAGGCTAAAAAGCTCTAGGAATAGCTAGAATAGCGGTAGCCTAGAAATCTAGGTATTCCTAGTCCCTATGTTTTAGTAGTGTAATTACTATGATATTATTCTTTATTTATTTATTTTCTGCCTTTATATTGCTTTAATTTTGATGGGGATTGTGATCCTTCATATATATTATTGATGTGGAACGATTTTTGATGGCCATCAGTAGTTTTGATCACTGTGTCAAGCTATATCATTTTGGTCCCAATTAGGATAATCCTGAACACAGGCCTTTCCCACCATATACCGGGTTATCGGCCTGAAGAAAAGGAGTTAGCATTACTATATATAGTATTTTTAGCATCAAATCTATCAATTTGATGTATTAATAACCCATTTCTAAAGCCTTTCTTGGCTGGGAAAAGTCTTCCTAGAGTTTTAGGCTACCGCTATTCTAGCTATTCCTAGACCCTAGCCTAAATCTTACACCTACGGGTGCGGTGAGCCAGACCTAGAGGAGCCCGTCGCACTAGCGGCCCGGCAACTTCTTAAGGTTCAAGGTTAAGCTCGAGGCCCCCGCTCCTCACGTTCTGACGAGTGGGCCGTCTCCGGCGGTCTTCTCCATTTCCGAGGAAAGATCGTCGTACCAAAGGACAAGGACCTCCGGAGACGCATCATCGAGCTCTGCCATGACACCCGAGTCGCCGGACACGCAGGTTGTTTCAAGACCCTGGAGTTGGTCTCCCGGAACTACTGGTGGCCTCAGATGTCTCGCCATATCGGCCGGTATGTTGCGACCTGTGACTTGTGCTGTCGCACCAAGGCACTCCGGAGACTGCCCCACGGAGAACTGCACCCCACGGAAACGCCCCTGGAATGCTGGCATACCGTCTCCGTCGACTTCATCGTAGAGCTTCCCAAAGCCCATGGGTACGACGTGATCATGGTCGTCGTTGACACCCTCGGAAAGCGCGCCCACTTCTCGGAGTGTCATACGACGGTCGATGCAGTAGGGGCAGCCCGCCTCTACTACCGGAATGTCTGGCGGCACCATGGGACTCCGGAGAAGTACGTCTCCGACCGCGGCTCGCAGTTCATCGCGGACTTCACCCGAGAACTTTGGCGTCTAATCGGCATCAAGCCCGCCACGTCCACTGCGTACCACCCGCAGACAGACGGTCAGACAGAGCACGTCAACCAGGAGCTGGAGCAGTACTTGCGGATCTTCACCAACTACCAGCAGGACGACTGGGATGAGCTGATTCCGGCCGCGGAGTTCGCCTACAACAACCATGTTCACTCCTCCACGCAGCAGGTCCCCTTCATGATGGACACGGGACGGCTCCCGCGCATGGGCTTCGAACCCGGAGTCCGTTCCGCCATGGAGTCAGTGAACGAGTTCCGCGACCGGATCGCCACTGGTGTTGCTGAAGCCAAGGCCGTGCTCACTAAGGCCAAAGAGGAGTACAAGCGCTACTACGACTGGAGACGGACTCCGTCTCCGGAGTTTAAGGTTGGCGACCGTGTTTGGCTGGATGCCTCTGACATCAGGACGACTCGCCCCTCGGAAAAGTTCTCCCATCACTGCCTCGGACCGTTCAAGATAGTTGCGGAGATCAGCAAAGGTGCCTACAAGCTCGACCTCCCTCTGCGCTACTCGAAGCTCCACCCGGTCTTCCCCGTCGTCAAGCTCGAGCTCACCCAGGACGACCCCCTTCGACGGACGCCCCCAGCTACGACCAGCCCCTCCGGACCTCGAGGATGGAGTCCCGGAGTGGGAAGTAGAGGAAATCCTGGACGCAAGGGTGAGGTATAAACGGCTGAACTACTTCATCAGATGGAAAGGCTACGACGCATCGCACGACCAATGGGTCGCTTCGACCGCGTCTTCGCCCGGAGAAAATTGCGGAGTTCTATCGTAAGTACCCTGGCAAGCCACAACACATCGCCTCCGCGACCTTCGACTCGATTCCGTTCCGGTCTATGCGTCGGGACGCCGCATTCAAAGGGGGGTGATGTCAGGGGAACCCCCTTTCGGCCCGGAGACGCGCCCGATTCCGGTCCGACTCCGGTTCCGACTCGGTCCGGCCCTCCATCTCGCCCACACAATCACCGATCCGTCAACGCCCTCCCGACGGTCGCCCTGGGACCTCGCCTGCGACGCCACCCAAGCCTTCTGTGCCCGACAGCGGCAGCTACGGACAAGCAGTATATAGTGAGCTACCTAGCAGGCGGACCCTTAGAGTTTCTTCTCTTTGGATCCTCCCCTGCTAGGTCAGCTTCATTTGTATTCGCTTACCAATGTTCACGCTTTGGATCCTCCCCTGCTAGGACCTTGATCTCAGGCCTCCGGGGTTGCCCTTACAGTTATTGACCTATATATCTATAGGACAACGACAAGAAGAATATGAAGGACGAGGAGAATATACACGACAAAGAGAATATCGCAATTGACAAGGATATAGACAAAGAGAACATTGGCCGAGGCGAAAGCGAAACAACAGCCAGCAATGGAACCCGACGAGTCTCCTCTGTCCGTCATTGAAGGCGATATATTGCAGGCATCAGGTCAACCGCTCGAGGGAGACGAAAAAAGCAGAGCACTATCAAGTTTCTTATATCAACCACCCTATATTGACTGGAGCAACAAACTCAAAAATTTCAACGCCCACGACATTTCCACCCTTGAAGACCTGATGCTCTTGAAGCGGTGGCCTCAGAAAGAGGTGGATGAAGCACTGCTACTGCTGTTCTCCCGCAACACTTACAGTTGGATATCGGATATCGGACGGGGAGCAGCAAAAGCAACCACACTGCCTCGGCGCTTTCGACATCATTGTGCTTGGCCTGCTCATTAAAATGACAGAGTATCAGGAGCCGTCTCCAGATAGCTACATCGTAGTCCTTCGTACCGGTTTCAATCCCGACTTTGCAAGATTCCTTGTCCAAGTCAAACCGACCGTCGACTTTGGAGAGCGACTGAATTTGTTTGCTGCGGTGGGCTGGACCAACTTCAATGCGATACAACAATTTGCTGGGTGGGAATTTGCCGCAGTCTTGTCGACTCTCGAATTCACGCTGGGTGCCCCATTTCGCCGCAATGGTCCTGAATGGGTTGGGCGGCACCTTACAGACATTGGAGGAGGTGGGTTGAAGATGATCGAAGTGGTGGCACTCACGCAAGAGATGCGGAAATGGCTGGCAGCTCAAGGAACTCCTTTGCAGCGTGGTCATCGCCTTTGATAACTCTTTGACTTTGACTGCTTTTCTCTGTTGGACAACAAATCCTTATTACATATACAAATACAATATGCTTTGTAACTCGCCACATTGACTCGAAGTTGATATTCTGAATGGCGCGTGAATTTGAGAGGGCTCCGAGTTGTGGAAAAATATCGATTTAGCCGTTCAGGATGTTTTGGTAGTCGACAGTATAGTCAGGATGATACGAAAAAAAAGAGTCGCAGTTAATGCGCGGAAAGTGGGGGGGGGGGCTGCCTCGCCGCCTTGCCTCAGAAGAGAAGCAATTTGAGGGGAGGAATCACACCTAGCTAATCCCAGTATTCTAAACCCTGCAGTTGCTTGAACCAAGTTTCCTGGAACGGTCGTTATGTTTTGCAGACGCGGTTACTGGCCCATAATATCGAATGTCGAATGTCGAATGTGTCACAACAAACCAAAAAGGGTGGACTTTAGATACAAATACTGGGTTGATGTGGCCCGCATGCCGCGTGCCGTTCAAGCTGTCTTTTCCTGCCTGCTGATTGCCTGAGCCAGCCGAGGAGCGAAGCCTTTATTCCGTGGCTATTGCCAGAGGGTGGCTGGTGCCAGCACATTTGGAATCAAATAGCCTGGCAACTGCCACAGGTTTATTGCAAATACTTACAGCATGGGCTTGGCCTCTCCTGCTCCTCCTTGCTCCCGTTCCTGGCCACAGAGGGGAGGATCATACATCCCTTGCGGGCCAGGCGCTACTCCTAACCTCCTAGCACTCCTCCCCAGTCCCCTGGTGTCGAGTTGGGCTCGGCAATGGCTCGACACGTCGTTCTCGGTCATGTGCTTCTTATGTGTGTGTTCCTCCTACTGGGGTGCATGTTCCCCGTCGTCACGTGCTGTGTGTTACGGGCCCGTGGTGGCCCGACACCAGCGCCGGAGAGGACGGGCCGGGTCTTATCCGTGACAATAGAATCAGAATTGGAATCGGGATGCCTGAGTCAGCACGGATATAACAGGCCCCTTGGCAAGGGTCCTGGGCCCTTAGAAGGGCTTTATGCATTCTGAAGCCCAAAAAAGGCCCCTTAGTTGATCACTGCTCAAGATTGGGACTTTGACTATTCCTAATGTTTCTAGTGAAATAGAGCAGGCTGGATTTTGTTGTCAGATAAGCTGTTTACTTAAGCATATCTTCTTCTATATTTGATAAGCTAGATATCTATAACCAAATCAATATTGTCCCCCAAACATCTTTATATATCTTCATCATTACACAAAAACTCTTAATTCTAAAGCTACTCCACCAACACCTTTCATCTGAACTAATTCACACATAGAGCCAATGCCCCAAACTATCAGCCCATCTCGGAAGTGAGTCAGTGCTCTGCTTCTCAAAAGCGATTCGCATCAGGGTATCAAAAGACATAAAACCCGGTGTTTCCGGGGGTGTCATTTGATCACTAACAATTGTTGATTTTGTTTCCGTTAGATTCGGGGCTGCATAAGGGGAGAGGATACCAAGTCCGCTACCACCAACAGCAACGGTATATGGCACGAATTGTTGGATCTCAAGTTGACCAGTAAGATCCAATAGAGATTCCGGTTGGAATTCTAACCAGTGTTGAGTTCTTTTTGATATTGTCAACGCCAATCCTACCATCTGGTAATAATGTGACTGCACAACCACCACCTCCTGCACCTGTTAACTTGGTGCTTAATTTGAAAGGTTCCGCTGCAGCAGTAGATCTGATCGCTTCCAGAGATGGATGAGAGACGCCCAACGCGATAAGGTGCTGATGGTTTTGATCAATGAGCAACTGGATACGCTAGGTAAGAAGATTCTCCATTCCAGTCATACGCGGGAGCTAACCGATAATGCCGCCAAAAGTTCCACTCGGGAAAGTTCAGCGTCAGCTAACGCCCTTCTGGCCTCTTCGCTGATATTACGGATAGCGTTGAAAAGGGCGTCGACATGTTGAGGCTCCTGATAATGGCTATGAGCAGTAGCCAAAATAGGGTCGTCGAACTCACGCGAGCCTTGAGAGCCCCAACGGCAGCCACAAGTTGCTTGGTGTCCCGCGGAACCTTGGAATTGGTTAGCAAAAATTTGAGCGATTTGAAGCTGTCGATGCAGTTAGCAAAAGTGACCCAGTCAATCTGATGGGCACCTCTGGATTGGCTCCATTTCCACGCTTGTTGGAGTCTTGGTATAAACCAAAGCGCCTCCGAAAACAGCCACGCTGTTGTCTATGCCACTGGGGGTACCATGCAGAATCTTTTCAGAGACAAAAGCCCACTTGTTGACACGTTGCGCAATGGACTGTGGGATAAATTTCCTTCCTTGATGGACATGAAGGGCGTCATCAGAGTTAGCTGAAGGCGGAGGGAGGGTTATGTCTTGATTGATCAGTAAGAGTGATGAAGCAATGCACGTCGAAAATGAGGCGGAGGATCCCAGGCCAGCGCCAACAGGTAGAGTAGCCCGTGTAGCAAGGTTTACCGCAGGTCTATTTGGTTGAAATAGGAAGCCGATTTCAGGAGTAAGACTCACCGTTTGTTCCGACCAACTTGAATATATATATATAGAACGGCCAAGGCCGCGATTTTGGCATGTTTCGCGAGATCGGATATATGGCGCAAAGGTCCCATATTGATGGCATCGACCAGTGCTTGATCGAGTAGCTCAGGATGTTCCTCTCCTGCAGCCAGTGGTATCCCAGCATGCCAAGGGAGCTCTTCAATATCCCATTCGTGATAAAAGTTGTCAATATCAGCAAAATGTACTGATAGTTTGGCATCGTCGCGAGGTGTTGCCAGACCATAACAACGTAGGTCGATGGAAGCGGCTATAGCAGGCTTGGAAGAATGGGTTCAATTGTGTTATGTGCGGCTACCTTCACTTACCACTCCATGTACCACAGCGTGTTCGCCAAAGAGGATAACTTTGCCAGGTGCACTGACAAACCATTCCTGCGCATCTTGACGTGGATCGTAGAGGCCCAGTTTCTGCACAGCTTGTTCAAGGGTCGGTGGTAGGACACGTGCGTAGTTGTTCAGTTGTGGGTTGAATGTGATGGCCCCAGCATCGATTAGCGCGTGTTCGAGGTCATCAATGAGGTCGACTGGATCTTCAATTCCGACACAAAGACGAATGAGATCCTCTGGCAGTCCTCGCGCTGCTCGAGTTGCAGCGTCAATCGATGCATGACTGCGGGAGAGAAAGGTGTTAATAACACCAAAATGACAGCTCGAAAACACATACGACATAACACAAGGCATGCTGATCAGACTATTAACGCATCCAAAACTGACGCTTATCCCCCATAACCTCGTCCCACCGACGATGCGCTCACTCAGCTCCTTATTACCCGTCTCGAAACTGAGGACGGCACCATTGCCGGATGATATTCGAGCGTGAACCTGTCGATTGGGGTGATTGGGAAGACCGGGATAATGTGTCGTGAAGCCAAGGTTGTGGAGATAGGCAGCAACAAGCTGGGATGATGTTTGTTGACGATCCATACGCAATGCAAGTGTTTTTGTGCCTCGGAGAAGCAAGAAGCAGTCATTGGGTGCAAGGGCATTCCCTACAGCATTAATTGTGAATGCCATCTGTTGGTGGAGATCGTCGCGGTTACAGGTTATGACCCCAGCCATCAGGTCATGGTGCCCACTCAGATATTTTGTGGCGCTGTCATATACGATGTCCGCGCCATGTTCGAGTGGTCGTTGGAGGTAAGGACTCATCATAGTGTTGTCGACCACCACAAGAGCGTTGGGTGCCCGCTCTTTGACGTCTTTGCTAATGGCTGCGAGGTCGACGATTTTGAGCAACGGGTTTGTCGGAGACTCGAGAAGAACCATTCGAGTACTTGTAGGGTTGATGAATGGCAAAACAGATGCTGGGTCGGTTGTGTCGACATGATGAACAATAACACCCCCGTGCGTTTGGATATAAGACAAGAGTCTGTTTGTGCCTCCGTACAAGTCATCGCCAGCGATAACCTCATCCCCTGGTTTTAAAAGGCGGAGAATGACGTCCAAAGCAGCCATTCCAGAAGCGACAGACATAGCGTGGTTCGCGGACGATATTTTGGCGATGTGGTGTTCTAGTCGTTGTCTTGCTTCAGCTACATATAATCGAGGAGAAATGGATCACCTAGATGACTGCGAGTGGGATTGCCGCTCCGAGAATAATCAAACACATTTCCAACGCCTTTGAAAGTGGCTGATTGGTAGATGGGGACAGAACTACTCCCATATTGGTCCTTCAACTCTGGGTTTTCAACAGTCGCGCATAAGGTCGAAAAGCGATACGGCTTGCGTTGTCTGAGGGGAGATTCAGGTTCGGGGGTAGGCAAGTCGTGCACAGCGGAAACTTTGGCGTCGATGGTCGGCGCCATGGCTCAAAGACAACAAGCACGCAATGCGTCGGCCGATATTTCGATCACCCACCCAAATCAGGCTCAAGTTCAGTCTCTCGACCCATTTTAGCAAGTTTTAGGAGTAGAATCCTGACAAAAACTGATAAATTTGAACCCATAATCCTGCTCCGAACATTGACTATGTATGTGACATAACCATATATACTTACTCTTGGATGCCTGAGTCGACTGGACTGTTGGCTGGTGTTTTCAACTATGTGGCTCGTGAATTCGAGTCTTTCGTTGTTCATGCCACTGGTGGACCTAACGCTGAGGTGTCTTTACTGTGTTTTGTTTATCTTCCCGTGACTAAACAACAATCCTAGACGGACGAAGACGAGCAACTGACCAACGTCTCTGTATCGTCTGGAACTGCAGGGAGACGCTCCAAGACACGTCGTGCTGCCGGTGGTATGACCTTGACCTGACAATATTGTCGTTGGTTGATCCTAGACAGACTCTCCTCACTCAACTCGCTCTCCCTCTCCATCTCCAACCGCTATTCCTTCTATTCTACGGCGTCGACACTCAATTAGCATGCCCGGATCTCTGTTCCCCCGCACATCGTCTCTTGAACCAGACTCGCCGCCCGCTCAAAGTCTTTCTGTTCGTTTTGCATCGGACGTCCCAGAAATGCGCGGAGTGGATGTCCTAATATCTCGCTCAGACAAAAATTTAGCAAAACGAGAGCTTGAATTAGGCACGCGGTACTCTGCAGCTGAAAAGGGGAAGGCACGCGCAACAGAATCGGACTTGGACGTCGAAACGCCTGGCGTCAGAGTGGACTCGCGGGAAACATCAATACTAGCTCACGATCGTGAACGAGAACTTGACAAGGAGAAGATTCGTCTGTTAGAGGAGGAAGTTTCGCGTCTAAAACATCAAGTACTCCCTCATTCAGAGGGTTATTATATTCTAATCACTTCTCACTAGCTGTCGACTCACTCTTTCGATTTTGTTTCGCCACCGCCACCGCCACCACCGCCACCGCCGCTCCCTCCTCCAAATGTCGGCATCCGCGCACCTACAGCTCTATATGGAGCCGCTCGAGCGTCTCTCAAGTCTAAAATGGCGGAAGAGGAGTCTTTAAATCAAGCTATAGTGCCTCGTCGGCAGGGCATGCCCACAGTTGGCGTCCCAGCAGAGAAAATGGCCGATTTCCTCGCAGAGATGAAGACAGTTCGTCTCAAAAAGACGCCATCGTTCATTGGAACAGAGCAAGCATCAAGTCCTTCGATCTCGAATAGTGCAGGATCGATGGACAATCGTGCAAACAAAAGTCGTCTCGGATCACGTAATGCTGAGATCTTGCGTAAATTGGGACAGTCGACGAGCAAATCCAATGCGTCCATTTCGAACCATAGGTGGTCTGGGGAAATCGGTCGCAGTTTCTCTTTTGAACCTTCTATCCAGGAGACAGTCGGCGAGAAACGGAAACGCATTGCAGAGATGGAATCTGACAGCGACGGCATCTACCAACGTGAGGGAATTTTTCTGCGATCCATCCTCTTGTGCTTAAACAATATTATATAGCCCAAGCGAAGCGCCGTTCTTCTTCGTCAGCTAGTTTGCCTTACTCAACTTCCTCCACTATCATATCCGAGTCCTACCCACCTTTGCGTCATGCTCCGCCTCAAGACACACCCTCTCTCTGCTCGGATGTAGGTAGAGAAGATGAGGACGACTCTGACGACCGGTTTCCGTCAACACCTCCTCTTCCAATTATGCCAGGTCGCAAAGTTTTTGTACGGGCTCCCGGTCAACGTCAGGTCGACGTTGATATGACCGACGATAATACCATTACACCTCCGAGATCGAAAAGTACAGATATGTTTGCAATGCGACCCCCAACTTCACCAATGCCACCAGTCGAGCAAATGTCTCCCCGCAAGCCACGTCCTCCTGGTCGTACCCCTAGAAGACCACCAGCGACTCTGACTGTTGATGACGACGAGGATGAGCTCAGCATCGGATTTGGACGTTCTTTGTCGAAGAATAAGCCATTGCCCTCGCTTTCACGATCGAGCAAGGCATCTTCCGTAGGCTCAACTTCTTCTCTCGCAAGAAAAGCACGCCATCAACCGACGCTTGAAGAAGAACTACGCAATGCCTCCTGGTCTGAAGAGGATTTAGACAGTGGGGTCCTGATTGGTGTAGGGGGACGGCCTCAGAACCACAGCTTTTTAGCGCGAGGAGGGGCCGGTGGCGAACCTGTTGTCATGGGCGTCGGTTACATTCAACCTAAAATACCGAACAGTAGACGGAAAGGAAAGAGCAGGAAATGAATTTGTACAGTTGTGAATTGATATTGTTGATTACGTCACTGCATCGCCTACTACAACTACCGCAGCAACTCTCTTCTTACTACCATTATGGCTCTCCTGGATCGAATAACGGACGGAATTACAAGGGTCCTCCCCAAATCAGAATCACAGCGGAGTAAAATACCTCCAGCAGCTTCGCTCGGTATCGGGAATGCAGGCGCTGGACATGCACCTTTCGAGGATGATGTGGGTCTTGACCTCAATGCATAACAACTGGGCTGCTCACTCGCTGTCTTTGACTATAGATGATCGTCTCGAAGCCTATGATCGTATTCCACACGTCTCAAGCCTTCTTCAACTTCCTTGCCATGTGTTGTTTTGCAAGTGTTGCAGCTTTCCAAGCCAAGTGGAACGTCGGGCCATGTGTGTTTCTTCTGTGGTCCTTCATAACCCTTGACATATTTTCCCCAGCTGGCCTCTCCGGCTTGGCCATATTCCTCTCGTTAACGGGAATCTTTCTCCCTCTCTTCATGTTACTCGTACCCGTCGCATATGAGGTGTGTGCCATCGACAAGCATGGAACGACAACTTGACTTACTGCAGCGATATGATAAAGTCATCCGTTTGGCGCGTGCCTTGAAAGAGGTTCGTGTAGGTTTTATCTTGACTGGCACGGGAACGACTTTCGCACTACTCATCGCGCAAGTATTTATATTTTCGCTCTCACCACTACAAGACTCACTCAAACTAGCTTCGCGACTACCATATCTGCATTCACCCAACCCGGCTGCAAAAATGCAGATAAAGACCCGCATGCAGACAAAGGGGATGCTTTCAAGCAGGGACTATCTGGCTGGTGCAGTACCAAGAAAGCTGGTGCTATATTTTTTTGGGGAGCCTTCATTTTCTGGGCTGCGTCGTTAACCCTTCTGGTGCTCGACTGGCGTTCCGGAAAACTGCATTCTGGGCCACGTGATCCTCCGTTCACCCACCCAACACAAGAAGCGACTGATTACGAAATGGACTACGACCCCGATGACGAGGAATACCAACACATACCGCCAGCTCGCCGCACTGCTGCCTCCGACACTTATGACAATAATAGCACCCCACCGAACCCATTTTCTGACCAGAATCGTTATTCTGCTGGTCGCCCTAGCGTGGACGCGTATGGGGCCTTTTCTGACCCAGCGCCATCTGGTTTCTCCCCTGCCGTCCAACGCTTTGGATCTACTCCTCCCGTTTTGCCACAACAAGATCTTGGACCGTCAATCGGTGTTTCTAGGACAATGCAATATGCGGACCCTTACGCCGCCGTGAAGCAGTCCATAGCTGGTGGTGGTGGAAACTCGTCAACCCCTTCACAAGGTTACGATGGCTACCAAGGCTATCGGTGAGCATCATAGCTCATGTACAGTATGAAACTCGTGCATGTATTAGCCTAATTTATACGAATCCACTTTACAATTTTTTTCCACCTAAATAAGAGTACTTGAGATTCATTCAGCAGCCAGCTCCACCTTAACTCCCCTTTGATCACAACGATGTGACAGCGTTTGTACTCTTCCATTCGACCACCATGTCCATCACTAAAATTGTTGCGCGTCAGGTAGAATCTCTTTTTGCTTTGGATTATCTCAAAACTGAGTGTCAGATCTTTGACTCTCGCGGCAACCCCACTGTCGAGGTCGATCTTTTCACTGAAAAAGGCCGATTTAGAGCTGCGGTACCCTCTGGAGCATCCACTGGTATTCATGAGGCCGTAGAACTGCGCGATGGCGATAAAGGAGCCTACGTTGGCAAAGGCGCGTTACTCTACACTTTCTTGCGTGCTTACTGTCGTTGATCACCTTCGTTTTAGGCGTCACCAAAGCTGTGGCTAATGTCAACGATATCATCGCGCCGGAGCTCATAAAAGCTGGCATCTCAGTTATATCCCAGAAAGAGGTCGACGATTTTCTGATCAAGCTCGACGGCACGCCGAACAAGGGCAAATTGGGTGCGAATGCTATTCTTGGTGTTTCAATTGCTGCTGCAGAGGCTGGCGCTGCTCAGAAAGGCGTTCCTCTGTATCAGCACTTTGCCGAGCTCGCGGGTATTAAACCACCATACGTTCTCCCTTGTCCAGCCTTCAATGTCATTAACGGCGGATCACATGCTGGCAACAAGCTCGCGTTCCAAGAGTTCATGTTACTACCTACTGGCGCAACCTCTTTCACAGAAGCCATGAAGATTGGTACTGAAACGTACCATACCCTCAAGAAAGTTATCAGTGCCAAGTATGGCATCGATGGTTAGATTTCATGTCCGGCATCTGCGACTTTTGTATGACCTGATTTTAACAGCTGTAAACGTTGGAGATGAGGGTGGATTCGCTCCCAACGTCTCCGGGGCTGAAGAGTCTCTAGAGTTGCTATCCGAAGCCATCAAGAAAGCCGGTTACGAGGGGAAGATCAAGATTGCTCTCGATGTCGCTTCCTCCGAGTTCTACAAGGAAGGAAAATATGACTTGGACTTCAAAAATCCCAACTCAGATCCTAGTAAATGGATTTCAGGCAAAGAACTCGCAGAGCTCTATATGAGCTACGTCAAGAAGTACCCTATCGTCTCCATCGAGGATCCATTCGATCAAGACGACTGGGAAGCATGGACCCACTTCACCAGTCTCGGAGGAATACAGATCGTTGGCGACGACTTGACGGTCACTAATCCTCTTCGAATCAAGACCGCCATCGAGAAAAAGGCTTGCAATGGGTTGCTGCTCAAGGTCAACCAAATCGGAACCATTTCAGAGTCTATTCAAGCGTGCGTCTCTGACTATAGCATGACCCTTCTTCGTTAATTCCGATCATAGTGCACAACTTGCACAGTCTGATGGTTGGGGAGTTATGATATCCCATCGCAGTGGTGAAACCGAGAATACTATCATTGCCGACCTTTCTGTTGCTCTTGGAGTTGGCCAAATCAAGACTGGCGCGCCTGCTCGCAGCGAACGTGTGGCAAAATACAACGCTCTTCTTCGAATCGAGTGGGTGACCTAATCGACCCTCTGAATTGCTTAACTGACCATCTCCGGCAGGCAAGAGATTGCTGGCTCTGGGGCAACTTTTGCGGGTTCTGATGGGCTCTCTGCTGGCCTGACCCCTCCTGCGTTGTTGAAGAAGTGACTGTTACATAGAGACTTTATACAAACGAAATGAATGTGAAATACTTACTTGGCGTGTACTTTGACGCGTTTTGTCACACCAATCCAATTGTGACCGTCATATCACTTCGCGTGTTCACCTGTGTTCACCTCAACAATGGCGTTCTTCAATTCTTCTACTACGCCGGCTGTCGCTGAGAAAGACATTGAAATGTCTGAGCCACCAACAGACTCGATTGCATCGCTTGCTTGGTCGCCTCAGGTTTTATTCCAACTACTTGTTTACTCTAGTTGATTGCTCGTTATAGGCCGACTTCCTTGCTGTTGGTTCATGGGATAATAGTGTCAGGATATATGAAGTCGGGGCCAACGGGCAAAGTCAAGGCAAAGCGATGTATGAACACCAAGGGCCTGCGTTGACTGTTTGCTGGAACAAGGCGCGTAGCCTGCTGACTCGACTACTATTATCTGGCTTGACGATCCTCCAGGAAGGCAACAAGGTTTTTTCCGGTGGAGCAGACAATGCAGGCCGGATGTTTGATCTTTCGACTGGCCAGGCTGCCCAAGTAGCTCAACACGATGCTCCTATCAAAGTGTTGAAGTGGGTGGACTCTCCGCAAGCAGGCATATTGGCTTCAGCGAGTTGGGACAAGACGATCAAGGTAACGATACCACATGGAGTCAATGTTGTCTCTTAGCCATATAGTACTGGGATCTCAGGACACCAGCACCAGTTGCAACAGTGCAACTTCCTGAACGATGCTATACGTCAGTCTTTTGGCGTTGTCCCATCTGATCTTTGCTTGTGTTGATTCTACTAGAATGGACATCCAATATCCATTGATGTGTGTCGGAACCGCAGAGCGCCACATCCAAATCTTCAATCTCAACAGTCCAACGACCGTCTACAAGGTAAGCTTAGTTTCATCATGAGCCAAAGTCCAGTCCACTCATATGAATCGCTGTTTAGTCGATGTTGTCTCCACTCAAGTGGCAAACCCGCGTCATCAGCTGTTTCACTGCTTCCCCCGCAAACCAAGGTTTTGCCGTTGGAAGCGTTGAAGGTAGGGTAGCAATCCAGTAAGTCGCACGAACCTTGGATTTAGACCGTCATGTCGTCTGATCAGTTGCAAGATATGTGGAGGAAAAGGACAGCAGGCAAGATCTTGAGAAAAGAACTACAAATGCTCATTCCATCCGCAGTAGCAATTTTTCGTTCAAATGTCATCGCCGAGACTCAACCCCCAACACAAAGGATGGTTCCCTCGTTTATGCCATTAACGACATTTCTTTCCATCCAGTCCACGGTACATTTTCGACAGCAGGCTCTGACGGCGGAATTCACTTGTGGGATAAGGATGCCAGAAACGTGCGTAACCTCTTGAGTATTTGGCAGTAGGAGCGATGCGCAGCAAGTGACTGACCGAGTTATACGTGCTCGTGGTCGCTCCTTCTAGCCGCTGTTTCACCAGCACTTTTTAACTTGACCTGTATTTAGAGATTAAAAAGTCCGTCTCCTTTTTTGCGGAAAACGTGATCTGATTGATTTCAGCCTTTGAAACGGCGCCCGGTCCAGTATCCGCCACCGCTTTCAACCGCAATGGCTCTATTTTCGCATATAGCATTTCCTACGATTGGAGCAAGGGTCATGCGGTACACACGATACTATTCCTGTTTGTTGGTCATTGATGGTTTTGTTAGGGAATGACGCCTGGGCATGTGAATCGCTTGATGTTACACGCTTGCAAGGATGATGAAGTCAAAAAACGTCCAAGAAAATAGTTCCAAGTTGTACTATATAGTCGAAACCTCGATGCTTTTTACAATTGTAACGGTACGTTAGGGTTGGACTTGTGATATCTTGCCATTGATCTGGCGTGGCGAGCATTGGTGGCAGACAAAGTCAACTTGCTCCCAGTTGCGATGTGGTCTACCTGCCTGCATGTTGGCTTGATCATGACTATGCCTCGTCAGACGAGGGAATACTGTGAATGAAAGGAAGGAGAATCACCAAGGAATGTGCTGCCATTCAAAGCACGACCCACAGCATAGTAGCGGCCGACCGTCATCCTGCAGGATGTCGAAAACAGCACGAAAATCATAAGGGTAATTGGCAAACCATATTTAGACCAGACTGGCCACAGATCTCACAGTTAAGCACCCAGTCATCGCCTCTAGAAGTGCGAGTGCGACCATTCATGTTGTGATTTGGACCTCTTGTTGACGTAGTATCGTCTTCGGCCACAGAGTCTCCTCTGTAATGCACATCAATGACCATCACAAAGACACGTTAAGCATATTGGACAAACCCTGCTTTGCTTGTTGCCTCAGCATCAGATTCAGTCATCCCGTCATCCTCAGCGGCGTCTCGCTTTCGTTGCTCCCTTGCTGTCTCTCGTCGTTCGCGCTCAACCTCCTGCGTAGCCAGTCGAGCTTCTAATCGCTGAGCTCGAGTTTTCTTCTGGTGAGCTTCCGACTTCTGAAGAATGATGAGCTTGGCTGTTTGTTTTTCCTGCTCTTTCATGGCAATCCGAGAAGAACGTTTGCGGTGAACAATCGCATTCTCGAGCTGTTGTTTGCGCTCCAGCTCCTGAATAAAGAAAAGATCAGAAAAGGGGGGTATGCAAAGAAACTCGAAGACGCTGACACGCAGTTCTTCTGTGATTATTGGTACGATATGCTGGGTCAAGACCTCATGCAACGATTTCTCTGTGTAGTGCGTGCCGCCCTTGAAGCGAGCAGCTATGGTTTCCCATTCTTGCAGGGTTGAGCAGATCTGCACAGTAGTGGTTGGCACAATCAAGCGGTCGCGAGAAAGTAAAACATACTGTTTCCCATTCCACAAAGTCATGGCCATCGTTGCTCGTCCCAACCTCTATGTCATCCAACTCCTCCTCGCTGAGCTCAGTCAACTCGCTGCTTAAATCACTGTCATTCTCTAATCCAGGGTTTTGTTTTGAACTATGACGTTCCTCATTGGACAACCAGCCAGTCGGTATGGTCTGCCATTCCTTATCGTCATTGCCCCGTAAACGGGCACTCACGCGTGTTCCTAGTGCCCTTGCGTTCGACGATTTTTGAGTGCGAGAATTCGAGGACTCGAGCTCTTTATTCTGTTTGCTAGGATCCAGTCGAGCTCGTTTCACAGCACTTGATCCCAGCTCGGCTGCTCGTTTGCGCTTCAGTGTCTTGTTGGTTGATCGAGGTGGTGTGCGTTGGATCCATAAACGGTCGGCTGTACACGTCAACATTTTATTGACCGACATGGAAAACACAGACTCACCACCGATCAGCCAGTAAGCATTAGATTTGACATCGTACCCGATTGGTTCAAGGCGCTGGAAGTTGTCAATGGTAAGTCCAAACTCTCCAAAGATAAGATGGACCCAAGTCGCTTCCTCGTCGTCACTCTTCATGAGTGTTCGCAGTTTCGTTGGATTGTTGAACTGCCACTCCGCCACGCAGTGCATAGAATCTAGCTTGGTGTTCATCGGGAGGTCAAGCCAGTCCTTAGTTTCGGGTTCGGAGGATGATTCCACAGCCTCATCAGAAGATTCAGCACGAGAAATTTCCGCTGCCTCAGAGTTGGAACGGTGACGAGGTGGGTCTGGCCCAATGGGATTGGAGGTGGGATCGCGTCGTGCATACTGCTTTCGGAGCGCCGACTGCCATGTATCAATGCTGGGCAACGTTCAGATTGTTGGAAAACAGTAAAATGCGAGGTTGTTTATACCTCACTTTGCGATCAGATGACAACACAAACAGCAGCCTTGTCATAACGCGAGGAAGCACAACTCTCGAGCCGCGAATGAGATCATCCTCAATGTCCTACTCGCGTTCCATGAGAAAAAAAGGCGAAAAACGCGAAAACAAGAGGCGTACGGAGAGAGAGATGTCGTCCATGTTTAGCAGTGGCGAGAAGGTATACAAAAACTGACTTAACGCCGCCCATTTCCAGTTTTTACGGAGGAGGGAAAGATTGTGCGCCATCTCGTCGCTTGTTTTTGATGCTTCTTCATGCTGAAAGGGTACCATATCTGTTCTTTCTACTTGTTGTCTGGGAGGCCGACGGGGCATTGGTTGAATCCACCTTCAGGGCGAGTAGCGGAGACGCGTTGTAAGTGCTGCAGATATCGACGGCCTTGTGCACTCTATAGTACTGGGAACCTCGCTTGGTGGTGGACTGTAGGTTGGCCACGGAAAATATAGTCACGTTGTGTGTCACAACGATCATCTCCGAAAATATGCGAAGTGAAATGTTCAAATACAAATGCAACTTCCCACTTTACGGGCCATGTCGTGAGTTTCCGGTATGCGTATTGGTGTCTTTTTTATGCGCATGATTGTCGTGTAACAGTACTGTGGACTAGGACACATCTGTAGCCCTACACTACGAGAACCAACTTTGAAACCAGCTCTTGCTACTCCGCTCAGGTAGTCCCTCCTCCGTCACCCCCAGCCCTTTGGCATTCGTGTCATTATTAGCTGTTTGTGCGTGTCGACGTTTGAATTCAGCTGGCGACTCTAAACTGGTTCCCTTTTCCCACATCCCGATGCGTTTGACTCTGTGTCAGGATGAAGCGACCTTGTATTACCAGATCTAAACACTTACTTGGCGTCATTTTCAACTTTTAGATACTCGGCTTTGCCCCATTTGCCGTATTCTGCTCCAGCTTGCTCGTAAGTGGTGGCCCAGCCTGCCTTTAACATTTCGAGTGGCAGAGATTTCCCATAGAAGAGTGACCCAGGTAAAAACTGAGGTGAAAGCGTAACGACTGCAACCTGAGTAAAGAGTTATGGTTAACCAACAGGCAGACAGGGCAGATTACAATCCGGGAATATTGATCGCGCCGCAAAAGTTGACAATAGACCGTCTTTCCCAAAATTTGCGACCTTAACCATGCGAGAGCTTCTTCGGCATATGGTTGGCCGGGACGGCCAAAGTGTGGTGCTTCAGGTGCATCTACGCCTGCTACCCGGACATGGATGGTTTGATCCTTGAGAGCTAGGAGTTGGTCAAGGCTGTGCCACGAAACAGGTAGTGGTCCTCAATAACCTCTAGCCGTTGAAGGGATTCTTCGAAACTTGAGCGGCCAGCGCCATCCTAAGCCTGGGGTATGATACAGTCTGAAGTTGTCAGAGTCCCCAACACTCGTTACTCGGCCTTTGACCCAGCGTTTCTTTACGAAGATGTTGGGAGTGATCCAGTCGCCAGTGCGTATTCGACGAAAGTAACGCCGATAGATAGCAACGCCAGAGGTAGTTGTTGCGCACCCCAGCAAGAAGGCATAAATAGTTAAATAGTGATTATCGAGCGTTCTCTCAGCTTGGGCGACAAGTTGGTCCTTGGTCAATCGCATATCTAGGTTCCAGTTCAAGTTCGTTGTCTGATCGATCGACGGCGTGACGGGTCATGTGACCTCCTCCTCTATGGATCACCAACACAACATTCTTATTCTTTACGCGACCGAGACGGGTTCCGCACAACATGTTGCTGACCAAATTGCTCTGCAATGCCGAAGAATACACATACGACATCGAGTCCTCAGCACAGACTCGTATTCGTTGGTACTATCATTTGCCCGACCATGATAGCATTCAAGTTCTAACTTATCCAGTCTGAACTCATTTCTGAGACGATCGTACTATTCGTTGTGGCTACTACAGGCTCTGGCGCTGAACCTCGCACAATGTCGTCAATGTGGAATGCCCTCTTGCGCTCTGATCTCCCCACCAATCTCTTCGAGGATCTCTGCTTCGCTGTCTTTGGTCTAGGTGACTCTGCGTACGAAAAATTCTGTTGGCCCGCCAAAAAACTCTCGAGGAGGCTCCAGAGTCTTGGTGCTCAAGAGCTCCTGGCCCGTGGGGAAGGGGATGATCAACACCTGTTTGGGTATTGCTCATATTTGCCGCTGTCCCCCCTGTAAACGTTAACAGAGTGGATGGGGCATTGGAGCCTTGGTTAGAGGCCCTCTTGGATGTTCTGCTGCAAACCTGTCCCTTGCCACCCAACGTGAGCATTGTAGCCGAAACGGCCGTCCCAGCACCTCGGGTTTCACTTCGACCATGCTTGACCCGCCATGCCTATTCTCCGCAAACTTCACCGCCATCTGCAACTGTGAAATCCAACCACCGGATTACGTCAAAAGACTGGAATCAAGATGTCCGACACCTAGAGTTTGAATTTCACGATGATATTCAGTAAGTCTCATCGTCTCTAGTCCAACTTTGGATCTCATCTAGAAATTGTGAGCTATCGTCCGGGGGATATTGCTGTCATAAGACCGAAGGCCCCGGTTTCCGAGGTCAATGCATTTCTCGATCGCATGGGCTGGCTTAGTGACGCGGACGTCCCATTCCAAATCGAACATCACATGTAGGCTCTACTTGACTGTTGTCAACCAACCCATCTAACAATAGTAGGGAAAGCTTATCGCTTCCGTCTGATCTACCCCAGATCATTACACTTCGTGAGCTTTTCACCGAGTACTTGGACTTGAATGCGGTGCCCCGACGTTCTTTCTTTCGATACCTACGCCATTTCACTCAGGACGAACTAGAAAGAGAGAAGCTTGAAGAGTTTTTAACGTCAGAAGGCGCTGTAAGCACTTGACTCGAATCGTCAACGCTCATAGCTGGCATCTCAGGATGAACTATATGAATACTGCTTTCGAGTGCGACGGACTATCGCCGAAGTGCTCGCCGACTTCCGACATGTGACCATTCCCCGCAATTACATGTTCGATGTTTTCCCACCCTTGAGGCCACGTCGTTTTTCCATAGCGAGTTCTGTCAAGGTACTTTCCTTTTTCTTTTTTTATACCATCACTGCATGCTCAGAGAATTGCAAGGCTTACCCTCGTCAAATCCATCTCTGCGTGGCTGTTGTAAAATACCGCACAAAGCTCAAGGTCCCTCGCAGAGGGATATGCTCAACATATCTGGCTAGTTTGACGAGTGGTAAGACCACACTGTTTCGTTTGACGGCTGACTGAGCTAGCTAGGCGATCGCCTCCAAATCGCGATCCAACCAGGGTTATTGAAGCTTCCTGTTAGTGAAGCCCCTATCATCTGCATCGGCCCTGGAACTGGTGTTGCCCCAATGCGATCTATCATCCAAGAACGAGAGTGTTCTGCCATAACCAGTAAGGCTTGTTTGCCTCTAGTTAGTTATGGGCTCGAACTAACGACCCATAGATAATACGCTTTACTTTGGCTGTCGATCAGCTCTGCATGACCAGCATTACGGAGGAGAATGGGCCGCGTGTGTTGCGCGAGGAACTCTGACCTACCGAACTGCTTTCTCCCGTGATGGGCCCGAGGGCACAGCACGGGTCTACGTGCAACATATCCTCCAAGAGGATTCCGAAGAAATTTGGAGATTACTCTGTGCGGGGGCAACAGTGTTTATTTCTGGGTAACTATTCTACTTTAAGAAACTCCGTCTGACCACCAGACTAGATCATCCAACAAAATGCCAGCGGCTGTAAAACAAACTTTGGTCGCGACGGCAGAAAAACACGCCGGCTTGTCTGCGCAAGACGCCAACGAGTTCATCTCGCGGATGGAAACAGAAGGAAAGCTTATAGAAGAATGCTGGAGTTGAATAGCAAGCAGTAGTATTATGTGGTTCTTTTATTGAGTTGTTACAAGTACCCCCCAGTTGGAGCTTTTGGTGCCAGTAGTTGCTGGACTTACTCGGGCTTGTAGTCTGGACGTAAAGAACGAACGACTTTGCCTGCCCTCCATATCTCCTGGCTGTCGATCTCTGCAAGCTCTTTGGCAAGGTCCTGGCGGTATGTTGATCGACCATTGAACTCGAGCGACTTTCTGGTTTCAGTCCCGTTTTTGACGCTCTCGTAGAGTTGTTCAAAGATGGGAACGTTGGCTTTTTCGAAGATTGGCGCCCAGTCAAGAGCACCGCGGCGGGCGGTAGTTGAGCAGGCATTGTACATGTAGTCCATGCTAAAAACAGCTCATTTCAGGACGGAAAAAAAAGCAAACACGACATACCCGTATTGTCCAATGAGGGGGTACAAAGATTGAGTTGCCTCTTCTACGGTCTCGTTGAAGGCTTCGGAGGGCGTGTGCCCGTTCTTCCGGAGAACTTGGTACTGAGCCAAGAAAAGGCCCTCTGGATAGAAATTAGATTGGAAGATGGTAACAAAAGGCACATACGGATCGCGCCCATGAGCTAGAAGGCACTTGTGAGTAGACACAAGCAAAGACGACTAAAGACATACCACTCCACGTTCGCCATAGAGGTCCGAGTAGACCTCCTTCTCAAAGGTCGTGTCATACATGTAGCCAGAACCAATGGCAACGCCAATGGCAATTGCACGCTCCTTTGCCTTGCCAGTCACATCTTGGAAGACAGCCACGCTCGAGTTAATTCCTCGTCCTTCTTTGAAGAGTGTCCGGACCGTGCGCCCCGAACCCTTTGGTGCGACAAGAATGACATCAACGTCGCTGGGTGGAATGACTTTGGTGTCCTCCTTGTAAACAACTGAGAAGCCATGCGAGAAGTACAACGTCTTGCCCTTGGTAATGAGTGGGGCAATTGTCGGCCAGGTCGCAGACTGGGCGGCATCGGAGAGCAAGTTCATGATGATAGTGCCCTTGTTGATCGCCTCTTCAATAGGGAATAGAGTTTCTCCAGGAACCTGGCCGCAGAAAAAGAATTAGCAACATTTTAAAAAATTTGACGCAACCGAACTAACCCAGCCATCCTCAAGCGCTTGACGCCAGCTTTCTCCATCTTTACGCACACCCACGATGACATTAAGACCGTTGTCGCGAGCATTGAGACCCTGGCCATGGCCTTGCGAACCGTAGCCAATCAAAGCAAGAACGTCGTTCTTGAAGTAGTCTTGAAGCTTGGCAAGTGGCCAGTCGCTGCGCTCATAAACGACCTCTTTCGTGCCAGCAAAGTCAAGAGTTTTGACTCCACGCGTTCCCTAGTAGGATAGAGCCGGTAAACACATTTATATCATGAGAGAAGTAAAGTCTACCTTAGCTATCGGTCTTTGAGCAGACTTATTGGCAACAGCGCGGGCAAGGGCCGAGTAGGAAGCGTTCTGAGTTTGCTTGAGAGCAGAGGATACGCGCGTGGAATGGCGAGCAAGAGCACGGAGAGTCGAACGAGTCAATGGAGAGGCCATGGGGGACAGAATCAACTTTTTTGTCTGGTAGAGTCATATATGTATTGAATAATTCGGCCGAGGCAGATATCGGCCGATATTGATCCGATGACGTCTAAGTGAGCAAATTACATTCAAGTACAATTCCAGGTGCTTCACGCTTTACTTAGGCAGACAATTTCTTACGGAGAAGCTCCTTGAGGGTCTCCCCGTCCTCCGCAAACTTCTTGATACCCTCATGCAACTTGTCGAATGCCATCTGGTCTTGGAGCAATGCCCATCGGAATTCAGGCTCGTTGTCGATAAAGCTAACTTTCGGAATGGGATCCTCCTTGGCGGCTGAATAACGGTTATTTTGCATCACACAAAGACAGACCAGGCAGCCGGACGTACCAGCTTGAGAATCGAGCTTTTTCGGTACGACCTCAGTCGAAGATTTGAGCTCTTCTAGCAGCGATGGGGAGATGGTTAGGAAATCAACGCCGGCGAGAGATTTGATTTCTCCAACCTGATTGGAAGGTCAACGCGCAAAAAAAAAGATTGTAAAGCTCGGTACGTTACGGAATGACGCGCCCATAACAATTGTCTTGTAGTGATGTTGTTTGTAGTAGTTGAAAATGCGCTTCACGGACAGGACACCGGGGTCCTCGTCTCCCTCGTAGGACTTGCCAGTGCTCTTCTTATACCAGTCGAGAATGCGTCCAACGAATGGAGAGATCAACGTAACCTGGGCCTCGGCGCAAGCAACCGCTTGACCGAAACCAAACAGGAGGGTGAGATTGCAATGGATGTTGTCGTCTCGTTCCAGCTCGCGGGCCGCCTGAATGCCTTCCCATGTTGAGGCGATCTTAATGAGAATACGGTCCTTCTTGACGCCGACCGAATCGTAAAGCGCAATGAGTTCTTTTGCTTTCTTCTTGGTTGCCTCCTTGTCAAACGACAAACGGGCATCGACTTCTGTAGAGACTCGGCCGGGAATGATTTTCAGAATCTCTGAGCCAAATTCGACGAGCTGTAGTAGTTTGAGTGTGTTGCAAAGAATGCGATAGCGACGCACGAGACGGTCGAGTGCAGCATCGGCTTGCTCGTTGATGGACCCACCTTTGGCTTTCGCATATTTGATAGCATTATCGATCAAATGGGCGTAGCCGGGTTTGTTTGCGGCGGCAAGAATAAGCGATGGATTGGTCGTAGCGTCCTGTTCAGAATAAGACGCATTATTAACAAGGCACAGCGAAGAACTCGACTTGTGGCTTGTACACGTCGATCGCTGCCAAAGTCAACTGTTAGTTCAAGGGTTGGGGTGGAACAACGTACACTCAAAGTCACCGGAATCGGAGACAACGACGGTACCAGTTTGCTTCAGATGATCGAGGGAGGTAGTCATGGCTTAGTGGATGGTGATGGTGAAGAAGAAAAAAGGGCGATGATGTGCTTTTTCTTATGTGATCTCATCCATACCGAACTTGACCGAACTTGTCTATCTATTCTCTTGCTTACTCTGCTTTACTCTGAACAATGATTCCGGAAACAAGGCCATTCCCGAGTCTCTCAACCTCTCCGAGAATGCCCGATTCGTTCAGCACGACGTGACCTTTATCCTTCGTTTTCCCTTGATCCTCTAGTCGCAATGGTTTACAGGAGAAACCACCCATAACTCGGAAAGGCCTGCTCTGCGTAAGCGTAGGGTCCCAGATTCCACCCAAGGCAGTTCCACCCAAAGGGTCATAGAATAATTTGAAGGTATTCGCATAGACACGCTGGAAGCTGTGAATGAGTAATTCAGGTTTTGAGATTCGCTCACTTTGAGATCGTCATAAAGCAGACTTGCCGGGTCAAACCCGGGTCGCAAGACCGGTGATGATTCAGTCGAGGGGAGGTTGGCATACGGCTTGGATGCGATGCCAATTTTTTGGGTATGACGCGTCGCAACCAGCGGGTCGAGATGAATAACAAAGTCATAATCATCAGTGGGGTGGGTAAACAAAGACTAGATAATTTGCAAGTCAGTAGTTGAACGGAGAGAAGTGTGCACAGACCTCTATATTGAGGTCATCGGGTTCAATACCACGCAAGCGGTCCCACGTTGCAGCGGCCAGTGCTTGTATACGGAGGGCCAGCGTAATATCAGGACCGGCCCGTGTCCAGACAGTCCCCTCCTGATCAGCCTCAGTAGTTATTCGCCACACACCCGCTCCGCCATTAAGTAACCCGGGTAGCGAGCCAGCGTCGACCATGTCCTCGCCATATATAGGTACGAATAGTCCATCCTCCCATTTCCAATGCTTGAGAAACCGGATAACACATGCAAACCCACGTTCCTTAGTGCCTGGAACATCCATATTCTCACTGTTGGTTTGGTTGACAAACATATGAGCGCAGAGCAACTCGACAGCTTCTGGCGTTATGTGTCCATCCAGGACCCAGTGAGCAGTCAGCCACCGTTTCACTAATCGCACAGTTCCCGAATAAGCAGGGATGTGGTGGTGAAGAGCTGAAACGGCTCGATGGTGTCTTGGGGCGTGAATGAACCGTTCAAGATAAGAGCCCTTGACAGCAGCTGCGGTATACTGCTCCTTGGTCCTCTTGTGGTCTGTTCGTCGTTTGACATGGGAATGCGTACTGTTGCCAGCAACAAGTCGGTCGAGTAATGTCGACTCTCGGTCATGCCATATGGACAGAGAAAATGCCCAGCCATCCGCCGTAACGATTTCAAGGCATGCATTGTCCTGAATGTCAGATATAGAATCTTTGATGACCACTGTCGCTTTGAGATTAGCCGCAGAGGACAGCAAGCCATCGGCAATGCGTTCGAAGAAAGCCAGTTTGATTTTCTGAATCGCTTGTAGTTCATCTGGCCATTTCGCAGATTTTTCAAACTGGACGACCACCTGCATCGAAGGGAAAAATCGACCATTGGAAGGCAGAGATAACGCTAGAGCATGTGTGAGCGGCACTGGCGCAAACACACTCGTATATCGCAAGTATTCCGATGTTGGACTGACGGTTGCAATGCTCAAAGGAAGAGCAGTGTTGAGTGCCTTCATGTTTCTCACTAACTCGTCAAAAGCCCCGATAGCACCTTTAAAACCTGAAGTGACACCTGCGGCCGAGTAGAGTCGCGAAATTTTTTCGGGAAGCTTGAGCAACGGGCTGTATCCACTGTGCCAGGTCTGAATATCCTCTGAAGCAAAATGACGGCCAAGCAGGTGTCGAACGATCATGACAGGAATATATGGACGCTCGTCAGCTGAGGAGACATCCCAAACGACGCTTTCGACGATTCTACCGTCCTTGAATCGACGAAGTTCGGCCTTGTCACCCCAGAATTCATGGAATTGTTGAGCGATTGTCGGATCAGATTCTTCTGCAGAAGGCCCGTGGTCAACCAAACGGAAGGCATGCTGGGTATCGATAATGAGGCCAAGGTATATTATGGTAGGATCGGTAGGCAACGCTTGAGATAGTGGGCGGGTTGAAGACGGTTTCTGAAGAACAGCCAACACTTTGACCCGATTGTTAAGTCCTTGACGAAGTACCCCAGTGATGGAGGAGACCAAGGCATTGTGTCTTGATGCGAAGTCTAAGATAGACTGCTCAGAACCAGACTGAATTTTCATTGCAGAAATATCAACGCTTTGTGATTGGTGAGATATTAGACAGCAAAGTATAATTGCTCTTACCGCAGGATGATATCGAACCTGGCCATAGCATCCCCGTGATCTTTGAGAAAGACTTCCGGAAAGGTGTCGGTGTTCGTGTCACTCAACAGCTCCAAGGTTCGACGGGCGTCGTGTTGAAGCTAGCAAAAGTTAATAAAGACCCGCAAAACAAGTTATAACTGCACGAGCTGGAGGGATCCTATGGGTACGTTGCAAAGCACATTGAGCATCGAGGAAGAATCGACTAGCACAGCTTCATGGTGGGCTTCGTATTCAGATGGAGAAAACTATAAGTGACTTAAATGAGCGAAAGACACCAAGGAAAAAAGGTACCTGGTGACCAATGGATGACTTGCAGTATACCGCATCCTGTTCAAAATCGTGTTTCGCTAGCCTGCCATCAGCAGGATCATAATCGTTAAGTAAAGTGAGCTTACATAGAAAGTCCAAGGCCCCTCTGAATAACTGATACGAGCTCAGCCCCCGACCCAAAGGTTTTCGGTTCAACCCTGATTCCTCCCCAAAGACCAGTAATCCTAGGAGAACAGCCCACCATGAGCCTGAACTGTCGAAGCCCCGTACACACAGAAGACCGCCTTCCCCAAAGCCACGTTGATTAGCCCAAACGCGTAACATCGACAGTGCATCGACAAACGAGGGGGTGCTTTCTTTGAGAGAGTATGCAGAGATGAGTTGCGTCTTGGGGACCAAGGATGTTAAGAGTGAGGAATTGTAACGGGGCGTTGGGATGTTTTCACTATCGCCTGCAAGACGAAGATTGGAGTGTGATGGTGACAGACGATGGAGAGGAATAGGGCTTTGTGGAGACAGAGTTGGGATGATGCAAATTTGGGCATTTAGTTTGCTAAAGTCATTAGACGTCCCATCTAGGATGTTAGAGTAAGTCCATAGATTCTCTTGATTAATCGTCACCTTTTCGAGGGTTTATAACCAACTTGGTGAGTCGTGGATCGCCAAAGGCTGATGCAAATGCGACGTCAACATTCAGGTACTTTGATTTCTGAATTTCCGAGGCCATGTGGGCAAGATAGAATGCGCGTTTGTGGAAGAAGCGTCCATTCAGGTAATCTTTTTCTTGGAAAAGTGTCTTGGGTGATAGGAATAAGCGGAAGTACTGTCAAGTTGAGAGACTCACGGAGGGCATCTCAACGGCCAAATCCACACCAAACTTCGTCCCATCTTTGCCTTTCACGCAAATTTTATTGGGCCAGCTACCCACGACAACGATATCAGCAGGTTTTTCGAAGCCAACCTTCCAGTTCGTGTCCCTGGTAGGCTCAGGCATCGCATAGGGTACAGCTATGCCTTTTTTGAGAAGGGTTTTCGCTGCATCGAGTGGATGTTGGGGCGCGACTGCAGGCAGGGAGGACAGAAGGGTGTGTATTTCGGATAAACAGTGGTTCAAGGGAGACAGCCTTGATTCTTTTGGTCGGACATTAGGTAGCAGCGCATCAATCTAGGTGCATAAGACACTTGAGTTGGACCATGTCGTGTGCGCAGTTTACCTGAAGCTTGAAAGTGTTGGATTTGAAAAGATCCTTAGCGCCATTCATCATCCTAAGTTCCTCGCCTGTGGGGGGGAGTTTAGGCTTCGTCGTTGGTAGAATTTCATCGGCGGGTAATTCTGCTGCAATACCTGCCCATTCCGAGTTCGCTGTTTCCGGAAGAGATTCGGTCTCGGCGCTGGGCGCGCGTTTCTGGAGCAATTAGAACGGGATTTCTATGTCTCAGACCAAGGTACCTTGACCGAATTGTCTTCACTCTCGCGTTTGCGTTTGGACATGAAAATCTACCCGTAACATGTCACACTCATAATCAGGATGACGTTTTGACTAAATACACAGTCCAACTTGCTCTCATAGCGATTCTGACCAGCGACCCACACCCCACGCGTTAAAAGCCACTCCTCTGAGGTTCCAGACGCCCACTCTGTTTTGCACATTTCCAGCCCGATCCCTAGCCCGAGAGTAAACAGTCCCCGATGAAGACACGTTTGGGAGGGTGACCTCCCATAGTGTCCAACTCCATCTACCTAGGGAAACGATTAAAATTTAGGAAGGATTGGGAAAAAATTGGTTGTCACCTTGTTGATATGTGATATCTGCTGGGCTCCAAGTGAAACCATCGTCCACGCTGACTTCGACTGTCGCAACATTTCCATCGACTATCGGTCCTGGTAGCGCATATCCTTTGATATCGAGTGTGAAAGTCCCAGGGTCAGCCGTTGGTATAGCCACAACTGAGGCCACAACCGAGTTAAGCGGCAGCGCAGTCATGGAAGGATACTTCGACCACAACTCGCTTGCTGCAGCTTTCGACTCAACCTAGATTTTGTTAATCAAAACGGCCCGCATGATAAACACTAACAGTAGGTGGAAGAATTTTGTAGTCGCGTTGCTGATAGTAATTGGGAGATTCGGCAGACGAAAGAATGATAGTGTCGACCCATTTAACCCATCGTGCCCCAAGGTAGCCTGGAACGACTACGCGAAGGGGACCGCCATGGTCGGGAGTGAGTGGTTCTCCGTTCATCTAAGTCATCGGCGTCCAAGATCCAGCTATTCCAAACACAACTTCACACACCTCGTAGGCAAGCAGAACATCGTCTTCAAGTGTTGTCGCTTTGTCTATTCCGATTGAGGCACCATAGAAGCTGCATATGGTCAGCAGTTGGTTTCAGTAAAATTATTATTGACGCGTGCCTATCATCTTCACAAAGGGTTGCGTAGGACGAAAAACAGACCTGGGTGTAGTCGCGGACGCCCGTGCGCTTCAGTAGCTGACAAAGTCTCGTGCCGCCCCATTTACAGTTGGCAACTACACCGTCTGCCCAAGCAACACCGTTCACAGGTTTTATGGCCCCCATTTCCATGCGACGATTTCCAGCGCACTACATGATAGATGGAGCGTTAAGAGAAGGGTGATCAACGGTCATACCTGAAGAGCGGCTGTAACCTCAGCCTTTGGAAAGGTTTTGAGATCAGCAAGAGAGATGCGAAGGACGTCCATTTCACCATGCTTGATAGTGACGAAGTACGAGTGCTCAGGGTATTCACAAACGGGACCGTGGTTACGGCAGTAAACAAGCTCGTCGGGAGTGAGTTCGAACTCAACCTAGCCAGGCGAATGAACGAGGTTGCAATGCTTCGTTGTATGGCGGCTCACCAGGGCTGAGGCGAGTGGTTCGGCATTGAAAGGCTGAGTGCCTTGGACCACAAGTTGGTCAGAATGAGCGGGCTCAAGGTCGTAGTTCATGTGGGTCATGGTGGCAGGAAGAGGAAACGGACGGAACGGAACTTATTCAAATATTGGGAACGAGGTGAGAATGAGGCGGATTTGACCAACTAAGCTGGTGTCAAACTTGGGTCTATGGGGTCTGGATTTATTGACTGAGTAGTTATCTACAACGCGTCTACTCATCGAGGACGGCGGGGAATGTGCCATTCTCGCGTTGGTCATCCCATTTGGAGATCTTCAAGGAGGTCTGTTCACAGTCCATAGACACTTTAAGAGAACACTTACCCATTCATCTGCATATAACGGTCAGCAGAAGAAGAAGAAGAGATGACAAGCCAGTGTACGCACTAGGACAGAGGGAGTTGTAGGTCATTTTGAACTGCTTGCAGGGCTTGAAGTCCTCTCCCTTGGCGTTGACGCATCTGAAGTAGTCGCAGTAGTTCTGCCAGCTGGAGTCTGTGAGCAAAATCCGGAAGATACAAAGGTGTGAAGCTACCAGTTTCTGGTTTGGTTCTGGTTTGGAAACCGGGCGTCGAACGGCGCCGTTCTCAGAACGTATTTCCTAGCAGCGATGAGTTATTATTGCCCAATGAGCATCGAGAATAACGAACTTGGAGAGATCAACTTCCTCGGCGTCAGACATGGCTGGAGGCAAGAGTTTGTTTGAGACAAAAACGATGTGACAAGTCTAGACGCAACTTCGTTCTAGCCATGGACGCCCTCCTCTCTGAGATTGCTACTAAACGAAAGGCTATCAATGAAGGTCCTCAACGGCCAACCAAATACATGCGTAGGGGAGATATTGAAAAGCTCAAGCAAGAGGAAGCACGGGCCGCATCCGCTCAAATAAATCCCGACTCAGAGCCTACAGTTTCAAAAACACTCAAAGTAAGCACCTCTTCAAACGTCAACTCCGGATTCTCATTTGCCATGGAGAACAGGTCCCTTCTAGAGAGGCCACCAATTCGCCACTGGACACAGAAGAACCCAAGTCGGAGACTTTCAATATTTCCAACGAGGAAACTATCCGCCGCCTCCGCTCAAAATGCCAGCCCATCCGTTTATTTGGCGAATCAGATAAAGAACGTCGCCTGCGACTCCGTGCTCTTGAGTTGATCGAAGAGAGGGATCACGACAGGCATGGCGGCCAGAACGACTTCAAGAAAGCCCTCGAAGACGTTGAAAATGTTGAGCGAGAAATGCGTGCCAAGAACACTAAAGGGAAAAAACGCGATACTATCGAGCAACCAGTCGTTATAATCGACTTGGCTCTCGTCAAAACAGACCCTGACAAGTTGTATCCTCTCATTTACTTCGCATTAAAGCGAACGCTGCGGGAATGGGGAGAAGCCATGGAAGAGCGTCCAGGTCTATATCTGTGCTTCCTCTGTTTGCATTTCGCTCATTCTCCTCAGAGAGTGTTAAAGCCACAACCCAGGGCAGACTTGCAGCTGCAACTCAAGTCCAATCAGCCGAGTATCTCAAGCCATTATTCAAACAGCTAAAAGCCCGTGTTCGTACTCGTTATTACTATGAACTTCTACGTTGTCCAACCACTGATCAGGCGCTTCCTGCTGACGTTTTGGGGAGAATGGCAGAAATTGTCCATCACATGCAAAAACGACAATATCAACGCGCCAACGACGCATATCTTCGTCTCTCTATTGGCAACGCTCCATGGCCCATAGGTGTTACCATGGTTGGGTGCGACCGATTTTAACTGAGCTCGACAATCAGCTTACGCCGGACAGTATCCACGAGCGTTCGGCACGAGAAAAGATATCGACTGACCAAGTTGCTCATGTTCTCAACGACGAAGTTAGTCGAAAATATATTCAAAGCTTGAAACGGTTGGCTTGCACCATTCGTCAAACTTTTGTGCTGATCCGATTCTAGTCTTTTGACTTTCTCTCAAACCAAGTATCCTCCAGATGACATCTCTCAGCTGATGGGTTGAAACTGCTCTGTAATTTAATAATTGTAACCAGTAAAGAACATCGCTATCGACGAGTCTTCTTACCCCCTTTCTGGGGTGTTTCATCTGCCAGAGCATGTCCGCTCTCTCTAATGTGCGTAAAAAGGGCGCTTTTGCTCGGAAATACTGTTTTGCAGACATGACATTGGATCTGCGTAGGGTTTTATTCGGGCTCGCCGAGGAAACATCAACTAGCATACCTGTTTGGAAGCGGCCGCAGCATCTTCGTCCTTTTTCGCTTGTCGAGCTCTTCTGAGCTCGCGCTTCGTTGGTACAGCCGGACCCTGGTGAGCTTCCGGTTGACTTTGGGTTAGATTTTGAGCCATTTTCTCCGTTTTAGTCAAAGGGACCACAGTATCAGGCGCATCTGACTTGGTTTTTTTCTTCTTCTTTCCTTGTTGCTTTACATTGGCGGGTTCGACTTCCACTTCCGGAGAATAATCTTGAAATGTGGACTCTGAGTCGTTTGGTGGCTGCACTATAGCTTCTTCGGGAGGGCCCGTTAGAACTGCTCCCGTCTCAGTGCTGCCCAGCCCAAATTCTTCGTCATCTTCCAACATCTCCCGCTTCAGTCTCTCCACCTCTTTGAGATGCTTTTTGCTCCGCTCGTGACTGTCCCAGGCAGCCTCACTCCAGAACGATTTGCGACACACGACACACTCCCATTCTTCAGGATCCTCGCCTTCGGCCGCTGCCCATTCGATATCATCGTATTGTCGCTGGTTGTCTATTTTCTGCCAGTCTTGCTCAACATATTCGTTTAGTGGAGCGACCGGTTTCTTGGATTGCGTTGACGTGAGCGGCGGTTGCGTGACTTGGTCTGCATACACTTTGTATCGCGGATCGCGTTTGCGCAGAAATCTAGCCAGAGACTTGATTAAAAATTAATGATAATAAGCTCCATATTGAGTTGTAATTGGGGTGAAAATACGAACCCTTATGGTGTCATTATATTCTCTTCGACCATCGTCCCGCGCCTTCTTGTTGTCTTTTTCCATCAACCTTCGAATCCTACGATCGGGGGCTTCAGAAATATTATATTTGTCCAGCCAGGCGAATTCCTTGACAGTCGCAAAATTCATCCAAGCAGCGTAAAATGCTCGTGCATTGCCATCATCCGACGCTTTGGTGTCTGGCGCCCACTTCCACATGGAGTCTCCAAAGGAAGGGTACTGAATGTCTTCTATCAAGGCTTCCTCTGCTTGCAACCGTGAAAACAGGTTGCGATAGATGGTGAAGAAATCCTATGCGATGATGAATATGCGTTGGGAAAGGAAACGATGCGAGAGCTACTCTTTCGTCGTCACCGAAACCAGACCAGATGGAAGGATCAAAATAGCGGGAAAGTTGGCGAACATTGATACCAGGGCTATGAGCGCGAGATGGCGCTGTGCCCTTCTGAATGTCTTGGAACACAGTTTCATCATCAGGTTCAGGCGCGAGCGAGCCTTTGTGTGAGTCGTACCATGCCCGTTCCTACTTGACGCAGTTGAAAATCCGTCCCTGTAAAGTCCAATAGACATACTTGGGGATCGCTCAATACTTCGTACGCTTGTTGTAAAGCGGCAAAGCGCTTTGTGGCGCCTTCAACATCGGACTACATAAAGCTTGAGACAATGAACCAGCGCTTTGAAGGCAGTGTACTTGATTCTTGTCTGGATGGTGGATTAACGCAAGTCTTCGAAAAGCCCGCTGGACAGAAATTAGTGTCAGATAACTCGAAAAGACTGGTAAGGTTTGCCTTTATTTCGTCTTGATCTGCAGTCTCCTCGACTTCAAGCAAAGTATAGTAGTCCAACTCAGTGGTGCTGTTCTCCTGGCTCGAACTTGAACTTTGGCCCATCAATGCAAGTTGCAAGAAATTGATTTGTCACAGTTTTGCTGTCATCATGATCATGTCCGAACCCACCACAAAAGGTTGGTACCACCACAATATTCCGCAACCCAGCATGTTTGAAGTGCCTTTCCAGAGAGGAAGGAAGCCATAATGAGCTCTGTTCGACAGGAGCTGGCTCTTTCGAATGTTCAGCAACTCATAAACGCAAGTTCTTGTAAACTCTTTCTACCACTTCAACCTTAGGCATAACCAGGGCGCTAACGAGCGATGCTTTAAAACTTGTATAACTAAGCCAGCAATATCGCTGTCTTCCGCTGACCAGGTGCGCTGACACAGACTTTTGTTCTGTTCTATACCTTGACTTTGTTAGACATGTTTATCCCAGTGCTTTGATCGGTATCTTGAAGCTTGTCCGTCCTAACATGGTCTCGAGCGTATCTTGATTGACTTGAGCAGTTACTATTGTCAGACACGCATATCTGGCTAGGATAGCTCAAGAACGACAGGATGCGCAAGCTCGTGTCTTTTAACAACCCATACAGCCAATTACTACGCACTACCAACTGTTAATACAACTGTTCCCCATAGTACATCATTAGTCCAGACGAAAAAAGGCGAAATTGTCCAGAAATTAAGTAAGCAAAAACGAGTTTGTAACTGTCCGGGGAGCAGAAATCCATCCGAAAACGATCAAGACAAACAAAAACCCATATTAGTTTGGAAGAGATGACTAACATCTGAGTCAGACCAAACATCCGTGTTTAGAAGCGGATTGAACATAAAGGGCGAAGACTTGTCATAAAATTGACGAGGAACAGCTTGGGCCGAGAATGGCCGAGGAGCACTGTTATGAGACACAATCCTGGCTCCGTAATCTGTGAGGCTCGGCTCTTCGATGGGACTGATTGGTGGAGGAAGAGGAAGAAAGGTAGTGTGGGTGTAAGTCATGGCTGGAGCAGTGTGAGGTTGTTGTCGGAATTGTGACAGTCCGGTGACAACGAGTTGAGAAGGTTCTGGTGCTAAGGAGCGTCTGCGAACAACGGCGGGCTTGTCCTCTTTAGGCCGTTGAATAATGCTCAGAGGAGGAGCCGGAATTTCCATCGGAGATGGGGGTTCGGATTGAAAGATTGGTGAGTCACTTGGAGAGCTTGATTGGAGACTTTGAACCAGAAAGTTTAGGGAGGCGGCATTCCCGATGAGGTCGTGGCGAAGGATCTGGGACGCCTGATGGCCTTCAGTCCAATCAGTTGAGCGCTTCCAGCGACGAGGAAAGCTTTCATCGGAGGCGCTTTCAAGATAAAATACGGGAGGCCGGGATAGAACGAAAGACGCTAGACCAGTTGGGCCATCTAGACTGGCATACTCCGCGTGAATAATGTTGTCGAAAGGGACCTCCATCTTGAAACCGAATCCGCCATTGTGAATGAACCAAACCAGACAGCGTTTGTTGTCGCAAGTATAAGCGACCAAATCACGCTGGTTTGTGTCTGTAGTGATTCTCCGCCAACAACCAATTGTAAGGTTGGTGCATGGTATGAATGTCACAGCTGTGGATTAGAATCATCAGCCTGGCTGACCCGGGGAGACTTGGATACGTACGCTCATCCTCATGAATAAGATTGTTCAGCTCGTTTTCAAAGCTCAACGAGAGTTGAGGGAGAGGATTGACATCAGCACCTAGGTCCTTGGGTTTCTTGATCTTACTATTCTGAAGTTTGGCTTTAGCGCGTCTGGGCCAAAAAAGTTAGTGTGTAACGATTGAGTAAAATGGATCTGCAGACGGACCTGTTTTGAAACCATATTTGGGTTTGACGCTCTTGCATACCGAGAAGCTCACTTATTTCGCGGCGACGAGTCGCAGTGGGACTTCGCTCTGCTGCAAAAAAGCGCTCGAGATGGACCAGTTGGTCTGGGGTTACGCGACACCGCTTGGGCTTTTCCGGCTCACTCCTTGCCGTCGGCTCATCCTCTTCTGTTGTCTGGGAATTCGCGGAGGAGGGGCGATTGGTTAAGGGCGACAAGTAAGTCGAAGCCGTACTGGGCGAGGGAGTGGTCGAAATCGCAGCAGGTGGAGCTGAGGGGTCTATCTGGAGCTTTGCACGGGTTTGCATGGTTCTGAAATTGTCAGCCTGGGCAACTCGGCCAACGTAAATAGCACACCAGAAGAGCAAGGACTCAAGAGGAGGAGAAATCAAGCCAGAACGAAGACAAACGCGGCTCGGCCGACGGGTTAAGAAGGAAAGGGCGCGGCCTAGTGAAAAGTAAAAAGACAAGAGAGACTTTCAGATACCACATGAGAACTAACGAAGCGAGAGTTGACGTTTATGATTGGACCCAGTGATCGTCATGGTGGGCAAGGGAACTGGGGAAAATCGTGCCCAGAGATGACCATTATTTGTCTCCTGTTCAGCTCTGCCCTGCACACTGCAGGTCGAGTAACGTGCCTACTCAGACGCATTTTTTTTTTCGTTTTGACAGATAGACTGGTCCTTGCAATGACAGCTTTTTAGGTAAAATCACTATGGACGACAGTGCTCTCCTCCTCAAGATGTATTAAACCTTGGAAAGACGCCATGCATTACCAATAGCCATCCGGCCCATGCACTTCGGGTTGTCAAGGTCTTGCGATCGTTGTTGCTCTGGCTTCTTTCCAGATTTTGATGACAAATTTGACAGGAACTTTGAGGTGCTGACGTTGTGCATCTGACCCCAAGAACAGCTCAATGATCGCATTCCCGGTCCATATACTTACAGACAAGACATACAATCACCTTTTTTGCGTGAAAATGTGTTAATACCTTGGCCGCTTCGGTTCTCTATCGTCATACCCACCAGGACCTTCTCGCTTGAGGTCCCCGCGATAGCCGCCACCATATGAGCCAGCGGAAGGCCCATAGCCACCACCTGGAGGAGGTCCATAACCGTTAGGTGCATTATCAAACCCTTGGCCACCAAACCCAATACCCGCTCCGCGATTATTACCTCTAAAAAACTGTCAGGCCTGGGAGGAAGGTACGATTGGATGATGTACCTGAAACCGTCATCTCGGCCGCGAAAGCTTCCCCCACCTCTGAAGCCCCCATCATTGCCTCTGAATCCGTTGTCGTTGCCTCTGAAGCCACCACGATCTCTGTCGCCATACCCTCCTGGTCTGTCACCGTGGCTCCCACGGTCACGATCACTGAATCGGTCACCATAACCTCTGTCAACAGGCGGTCCACCGGAAAACCCGCCACCACGACCCCCCCGAAAGCCACCACCTCCACCTCCACCACGACCAAATCCTGGCCTGTCCCCGAAACCACGATTGCCCCCCATCCCACCCCGTGATGGTGGTCCTCGATTGACAGCCGGCTCAGGCCGTTTGGGGCGACCGCCCAATCCGCCACCCAATCGACGAGGTTTCCAGCCTCGAACAGTGCGACCCCGTTCTACGTCGACAAGTATGCGTTTCCCCATGATGTGCAGGCCGTCCGACTCCTTATAAGCAGCTAAACGGGAAATCAAGTCCAACCGGTCAGCATGCAACCGAGGGAAAAACGAAAAAAGGAAAACAATGAACCTTTCATGTCCCGCTCTCGTTCATAGACGATGAATGCATAACCTCTACTGCGCTGTTTCTTGTCGCGAACAATTCTTACCCGCTCGATCGTACCGTATCCTTCGAATTCGCGTCGAAGGTCCTGGTCTGTTGCATTCTTGTGCTGTCAAGTAGAATAAAAATCAGTATGCGCCTAGAGAAAACGAGCGGACCAGACGAGATATGAAAAGAGTCTTGTACGGATCCCCAACAGCTTCCAGGTCATCGGAAGGTTTATCTGGACAGCATAAGCAAAGCTAAGATTGAAAACACAAGAGAGGTCATACATCCATCCTTGGCGATTTTGAACTCCTCAGACTTTTGTTTTTTGCGTTCTTCTCGTCGAATTTGGCGTTTCACCTCCTCAGCGTAGGTATAAGCGGGCTCTTCGCCTTCTTCCATTGCTTCATTTCCTGCAGCGTTGATCATGTCTTCAGTTTGAGCTTCTTTGAGTTGGGCTAGGATGTTTGCAACACCCGTAACTGCTTTTGACCGAATGCGGTCGACATCTTTTCCAACTGGACGAACATAAGGAAGAGGTGGTCGAGGTGCGAAGAGTTTGAGGAGATTTGGGGGGAGAAGATGAGTCCCTGGCATTTTTCAACCGTAGTTTTGGCTCCCGTATCTTCTGGAGTCGACTCTCCAGACTGGGAGGTGTGAGGGAAGAGTGTTACGATTAGTCACAGCACATCACACCGCGAATCATCCATGCTTGACGACCCAGCGGACACTGCTGCCCCAGTAGCAGCAATATCGTCTGCCGAGGGAAATGGCTCGTCACCACCAACAATCCGGACTGCAGTCGCCTCTGAGTCCTCAAAGAAACCTTCCCTTAACGTCAGCGATGCCTTGAGCTATCTGGATGCGGTCAAGACCCAATTTCACGAACAGGTCAGAGCTTGCATTTCTCGCGACTCAGGCTCACCAAGGAAGAACAGCCCGACACATACAATCAGTTTCTAGGTATGTGGGTCAACTAGCTAGTGCTGCAGTTCATAGACATGGCGCAGATATCATGAAAAGCTTCAAGAGTCAGGCCATCGACACACCTGGCGTGATTAAACGAGTCTCGGCTCTATTCAACGAACATCCCATCCTCATTCAAGGCTTCAACACGTTCCTACCTTCTGGCTACCGCATAGAATGTGGCAAGGACAGTCAGGACTCGACATATATCACTGTTACAACTCCGACGGGCACTACAACCGCCAAGAACGGACTCCTTGGTATCGAATGGCCAACGCAAGAAGGCCCCACCGTGGTGCCGCCCCCTCCCCCAACTCCACCTCCCAAAGCCACTCCTGTTGAAGAAACCCGAGAAGGTCGAACGATCGATCCCGCCATCCAATATGTCCAGAAAATCAAGCAACGTTGCGACCCAGAGACATACAAACAGTTTCTAGACATTCTTTCCAACTTTCATCATTCTCGAGAGCCAACCGATGAGGTGCGTTGTGCTTTTGTGATTCCGACCGACTCTGTCTTTTTTGCTGACCCAGGACAACACAGACCGAGGTCTCCCGCAAGATCGCTCGCTTGTTCAAAGACGAACCTGACCTCCGAGAAGATTTTGAAACATTTCTGCCTGATCGAGGGCGCCAGCTCATAGAAGAAGGCATGGCATTACCCCGTCCCGAACGAGCCGGACTCAGGAAGCAGGAGCCTCCCCCTACGAACCCGGCTATCGTGCCCCAAAAGAGAAAACGCAAAAATCCAGAAAGAGACGTCGATGCAAAACCTGTGTCGTCCAAGGTGTGCTGTCTCTTTTTTGCATGAGAGGATGGTTACTTAACTCTGACGGAAGGTTAAAAAATCGAAACCTACCCCAGAGCCACCTTCGTTCAAAGGCCAATCCCCACCTCCCCCACGTCGACAATCTGGCATTCGTGCGCACGATCAGACTCCTACCCTCGCTGCAGCGCCAGAAGATTCCCAGGCTCAGGCATTTTTTGACCGCGTAAAACGGACGCTGGAGGACAGTCGCGATACCTATAACGAATTCCTGAAACTTATCAATCTCTTTACCCAAAACTTCATTGACACTGCTCGACTTGTTCGAGAAAGTCGGACATTTATTGGCGACGGAGAACTTTTGAGTATGCTCAAGGATATTCTGGGTTGGGACGACCGCAAAGAACAAGAATACCTCAACGAAGAACGTGCAAATGGCCAAACTTGGATTCGGCCAACTCTCGTACCCAACAACGTCGTCAGTCGTGCCAAGCGGCCTGCCGCAGAAAATCGAATCGGGAGTTATCGCAAGATTCCTGCTGCGGTATGTGTCAAAAATTCCCTCATCTATGTTGAACCTATTCCAATACAGGAGGCAAACGTGGTTTGTTCTGGTCGTGACGAGATGTGTCAGTCTGTTTTGAATGACGAATGGGTCTCGCATCCAACCTGGAGTAGCGAAGATGCGGGTTTTATCACACCACGAATGAATATCTACGAGGAGGCTCTCCACCGCAGTGAAGAAGAACGGCACGAGTACGACTTCCACATCGAAGCCATTGTTCGCACTATCTCGATGCTCGAACCTCTGCACAACAAACTGGCAACTCTTACCCATGATGAGGATCGTCAGAACTACAAACTCAAGCCCAATCTCAACGGGCAAATGAAGAGCATTCATCATCGGGTCATCAAAAAGATTTATGGTCGTGAAGCTGGTTTAGCCGTTATCCAGTCGTTGCAGGATAACCCGGTGAATGCTATCCCAGTTGTGCTGCAAAGACTAAAAGGGAAAGAGGAGGAATGGAAGCGAGCGCAGAGAGAATGGAACAAAATCTGGCGAGAAGTTGACGCCCGCAACTATAGCAAGAGTTTGGACCACCAGGGAATCACTTTCAAGATGGCGGACAAAAAGGCGATCACGACAAAAGCATTCTTAACCCAAATTGAAAGCGCTCGCGAGCAGCAGATTGGCAAGCGTGCTGCTCTAATCGATCCGCTCTTTGCTCGCACTCGCCCTCGACATCAACTCGAGTTCCTTCTCGATGATGTTCACATCCTTCAAGACGCCCTCAAACTCATCTTCTCATATCTGGATCGCATGCCTGCCAACTTTTCTGAGCGACGCCGAGTGGAGACCTTTTTACGTTCCTTCGTTCCTTCCTTCTTCATGATTGACCCTGTTGCGTTCAATGCTGCTTTCGTGGTAGTCACTGAAACAGCTGACAGTGAGATCAGTGACGAGGGTGTATACGACTCCGAGATGTCTAGTGTGGTTAGCGCTAGTTCTGGAGCTGCCAAAAGCCGGAAGCAACCCGATTTGAGGAAAAAATTGTTGAAGAGCGAACAGGCCAAGTCCACCCGAAAAACTCGTTATAACGCATCTCCTTCTGTCTCCCGTCCTGTTTCTCCTCTCCCAATGGATGAAGACACCCCTGACCAAACAACCTTCTTCACCAATACGGGATTTTACTCCTTACTTCGTCTACTCGAGGTCAGTTCGATCTCCGCTTCCTCAGGTTCTACTGACCGCTCATCAGATATTATGCTCACGACTTTCAATCTTCAAGAAGCTATCATCCACTGGTGGCCCAAAACAACTCCCAACTGATCCAGGAGCATTCCCACATCCTGACACAATCAACCTTGGAGAGCCGATTGCGCAACCTGAGCATTTCTATGACATACTGCTCCAGTCCTGCGAGCAACTGTTCGAAAACAACGTCGAGCCACACATTTTTGAAGATCAGATGCGGTATATGTTTGGTGTCAAGGTATGCTTTTCTCATCGCTTGCCGCTCATTCCCGTAATTCACCTGCTCAGCACGCGTATAAAATCTTCACCATCGATAAACTCCTGGCCGCACTGGTGAAACAGGTTCAAACGTTGTTGACTGACCCAAGGACCCAAGAGCTTCTTGAACTACTGAAGCGAGACCGCCTTTCGGCGTCACCAGACCTTAGCAGCAGTCGCAAAGCGGCTGAAGAGATATTGGGACCAGAAGAGAATTTTTTCCGTATAGACTGGGTCTGTTTGCTGTGCGTGTCTGCAGGATCGGTAATTTAACTATCACATAGCTCCCTCAATCCAAACACATCACCTTCCAACTCATCGGCAAAGACGATCCGAACTTAGAGGACTCGGAAGTGGTAACAGGGCGTTGGCAATCGTATATCGAGTCGTTCGTTTCTGTAAGCGTTGGCTGCTCTAACCCAACTCACCATTGACTTCATTTTAGCCACATCTCTCGGAAGGGGTTTTGGCCAGTCGTGTCCGACAGCCTTTCTTGCGGCGGTTTGTTCCACCCAACTATCCCTTATTTAACTGATCCATGGGTCAGAAACCTGCCAGCTGCTGCTCGAAGGCCACCGCCGAATGCTATGACCGCTGATGGCCTCGAAATCAAAGTCTGCGTTCAAACCTACAAGTTATTCTATGTTGCACAGACGGAAGACTATCTGTTCAAACCTCGTTCAAGAGAGGAAGTAGAGGCCATGTCTGCCCAAGTGAAACGGAAGGACGAATCCCGGGAAAAATGGCTGAAAGAGGGGACTGTGTTTGTTTAGATGATCTCGCTTATGTAATAATTTCCTCAAACCCCGCACTGCATTATTGTCTGTAGCTATATAGTGTACTCCCTACATAAGTTGGTGTCCTCGGCTCTAAGCCTTGTTTTTGAACATTTTTTCGATTGCAGCAGTCGAGTATGACTTGGGACGTTCCAACGCTATCAAACGCGATCAGCTGACATACAACAGAGTGGTGTAACACGTACGAGCACCAAGGGCACGATCCCAAATAAGTTGCGCCGCAACACCGAAAGCACGTGAAACACCGAAAAGTACAGTGTAGAATTGCATTTGAGTGAGGCCGTAGTGGGTCAATAAGACACCAGAGTGAGCATCGACGTTAGGCCATGGGTTCTTGGCCTTACCCGCCTACGGATGAATTTAGTAAGGTTCGGTCGACCGACTGTGGAAGGACACTGACTTCGAGGAGAATGTCAGGGACGATGTTATAGATTTGACCGACAAGCTTAAACAGAGGATCGTTGGGGAGGTGCTTGAGAGCAAATTCACGTTGAGCAGTGTATCTTGGGTCCGTCTTGCGGAGGACAGCATGACCATAACCAGGGACCACCTGGCCACCCTTGAGGGTAGACCACACATACTCCTTAACAGCCTCGTCACTCGCGTTCTCGCCAATTTTAGCCTGCATTTTGTTCAGCCAAATGAGAACCTCCTGGTTTGCGAGACCGTGGAGCGGCCCGGCAAGACCGTTGAGGGAGGCAGCAAATGCCAGGAAAGGATCAGAGAGAGCTGAGCCAACAAGCTTGCCGGTATGGGCAGACACATTGCCACCCTCGTGGTCACTATGGATCGTAATGTAGAGGCGCAACAGTTCGACAAAGGCATCGTTCTCGCCGAAGCCAAGAAGAGTGGCCAAGTTGTGAGAGTAGTCCTTGCTGGCGTCAATAGCAGGCAGTTTGCCCTGCCCGAAGACGTTTCGGTAAATACGACCGGCAATGTTCGGCAGCTTGGCAATTCTGAGTTTTCACAAGTCAATATTAAGAATAGCACAGCGAAGGAAAACCTACAGGTCCATTGAGTCCTCAAAAGTAGGTCCCCAGTACTCCTTCTTGGAGACACCATCTTGGTACGCTTTGGCGAAAGCCGAGTTATGGTTGAGCTACATGGGTCAACATTCACTTGGTAGCCGCGCAAAATAAGTTGCATACCGCCGTGACGGCCAAACTGAATTGGCTCATCGGGTGCAGGGTAGGTGGGCATCGATCAAGAATTTCTTCGACAAATTCAGGGATTGCAGCACGCGCGGCCCAGTCTTTTGAGAGTTGAGTAACCTGCTCTTGAGTGGGAATTTCTCCAGTGACGAGAAGCCAGAAAAGTCCTTCTGGAAGCGGTTCTTGGCCACCGGGGGCTTTCGGAAGAAGTTGCTGGCATTCGGGTATAGTCTTCCCCCGGAAACGGATACCCTCCTCTGCAACATGTATGATGAGGGTCGGGAGAAGTCGGAGATGGTTGTTAACTCACCCGCGTCCAGAACTGAGCCATCCCAGATCAACGCAGGTAGACCTCTCATACCACTACGAGATTAGTTAGTAAGGAAAATACCCGTGAATCGCTCCGACTCGCCCGTAGAGCTGGTCAACCAATACGGGGCCAAAGGTTTTTTTACCGTGCTCAGCACGGACACGTTTAACCTGAAGCGCGTTAGATACATTAGTCGCTTAGGCACAAGCTCACATTCTCAAGTTCCGCAGGAATAAGTTCTGCCAGACGCTCCTTCAACGAAGTATTTTTCGGAGCGGTGGTGGAGAAACGCGCCCGGGCAATAGCAGACGAGACCGGTCGAGTGCGGTTCTAGAAGACGTGTCTAGCCACGAGAGAATTATACGCGTATAACTTACAGCTCTGAGAAGGGTGGCCATGACGGGAGGTGGAAGGAGGAAAGAAATTTTGAGTGTGTGACGTATTGATGCCGATCATAGGTTTTTATCGTTTCGCCATGAACAAGCGAAAACGGGAAGATACAGACCGACTCCTTCCCCAAAAAAAGCACTATCGGCAACGAGCCCATGCAAATCCATTCTCTGACCATACTCTCGAATATCCATCATCGCCAGAGGCGGTTGACTGGGCTTTACACTTTCCGGCAGCTGCAGGCCCACCCGACTTCGCTGATATTGGTTGTGGTTTTGGTGGATTGCTGATTGCGCTAGCACCTCTCTTTCCAGAGACCAGAATGCTCGGTGTGCTCTTTTCTGTGTGGCCATGGCTCCGAATTAATTGATCAGGAATGGAAATACGCGTCCAAGTCTCTCAATATGTCGAAGACCGCATCGCGGCGCTTAGAGTTACCCCAGACGCCCCTTCGCACTATCAGAATGTCTCGATTGTCCGCGCTAATGCGATGAAGTTTCTTCCGAATTTCTTTGGCAAACATTCTCTTTCGGCCATCTTTTTCCTTTTTCCCGACCCACACTTCAAACAGCGCAAACACAAGGCTCGGATCATTTCTCCAACACTCCTGGCTGAATATGCCTACGTTTTGAAACCAGGCGGCATCATTTACACCATTACGGACGTGGAAGACTTGCACCATTGGATGAAGTCCCATCTCGAGGCTTTTCCATTGTTCAACGCTATTTCCGAGGAACAATTGCGTGAAGATGGAAAGGGGCCTATTCTTGACGCGGTATATAACAGCACGGAGGAGGGCAAGAAAGTAGAAAGAAACAGTGGCCAAAAATGGCTTGCTTGCTTCAAACGTGTACAAATCGAGCGGGAAGCATGAATCAACTTTCCATTGCGTCGTCCTCTCCCGCTACTCTTGTCCCAGAATCCATTGACGCAACCAGCCTCGTGGTGCGATTTCGCAGGGCTCCTTTGAATACGCGGTGGAGGATATTCCCTGCTTCACCTGCAAGTCGGAGAATCTCTTCAAACCGTTCGACATGTAATCGAGTTTCCATCGTCACCAACGTAGCCTTACTTGTTTTTGGGAGGATAGCGACTGTGACGTGAGGCATATCGTTTTCTTCCAGTAGAGTCAAGTCCAACATAGGCGAGGTTAGTTGGACTCCTCCAGTCACCGCACAAACGAAGTCGAGCATGGGGATCCCCGCATTTGACAGAGCAAGAGTAGCCCCGTTAATGCATGCTTGTAGAAGTCCTCCGTCTTGTTCTAGCACTTGAACAAAAATGTCGATTTGCGAACGAGGATAAAGACTTGTCTGAATGACAGGCTCGAAAGTTGATTTTATGGTTGCTGCAAGTTCCAGTATTCGTCTGATAGCGGTTAAAGCTAGATAAACCTCCATATGAGGCACCTAACTTGTCTCCTCGATTTCGTTTCCTTCGTTCTCCGGTGCTGAAAGCAGCTATCGTAACTTCCACATTGATGTTGGCGCGGTCATGGATTGTTTGGGAGCGCAGTTTAGCTTCGCGTGGACCGAACACAGACACCATGACCTTGGTGAGACCATGAGTGATGGTAGCAGCTCCATCTGCAGCTCCTTGCTGAGTCAGGTCAATAGTTATCTCTCGTAGCTCGTATTGCCGTCTGCCGTCAGATCGAAATCCTCCGTCATTGAGAACCTCTATTCGGGGAGCCTGGTATCCCGTTCAGTCTTGCCAGAATAGTTTGCATAGTGAGAGGCCCACCATAGTAAATTTTGATGCCCAACTTGGAAGCGAGTTATCAAACGCGTCTCATTTGTGACCATGTCGCGCCTCAAGACAGTGTACTTGGTTTCTCCCTACCGTCAACAATGGCAGCATTACCTCTCCCCAGGTCCATTCTGGACACAGACTTGTACAAGGCTCGCTACCTTTCCATGTTATCATTCCACTCATGATAAAGAACAACAGTTGACAATGCAACAAGCTGTCCTCCACCACTTCCCCGACAAGCAAGCGACATATAAATTCACTTTGCGTGACAAATCTGCGCTCTTTACTCGCCAGGCATTCCGGCTTTTTCAAGAAACGGTCAACAGTCGGTCTATTCACAGCACTCGTTGAACCCTCTCAGTTCCTTATAGACTTTGGTCGGCTCGCATTAACTGATGAAGAGCATTCCTGGCTGGCCACGAGTTGTCCTTACCTGACAGCCGAGTACCTCATATCTTTGCGCAACTTTCGCTTCAGACCACAAGAGCAAGTCGTCCTCACATTTGTTCCTGCCACAGCGGCGTACGATTCCGCTGGTCACATAGAAATCGACATCTCCGGCTTATGGGCGGATACAATCTTCTGGGAGGTCCCTCTTATGGCATGCCTGAGCGAAATATACTTCACGCACGTTGTCACCGACTGGAGCTATGAGGGCCAGAAAGGTGGGAACGCCGAACTATTCTTGAAGTCCTCTGATTGCTGTTATCAGAGCTTGCTTATGATAAGGCGACGGCCCTCTTGCGAGCTGACTGTGTTTTTAGCGAGTTTGGCACTCGCAGACGGCGTTCCTTCGCAACTCAGGACATCGTTCTCAAATCTCTCATCAAAGCAACGGAAGACGTAAAGAGTAACGGTAAACTTGCTGGCACGAGTAATGTGGGCTGCATTATTAATTTCTAACTCATCTCATCCAAATCAAAGGTCTATCTTGCTTACAAGTACAATCTGGTACCAGTCGGTACCATCGCTCAGTGTGTCTCACTATCAGCATATAAGCCCTGCTCATTCTGACATATTTCTAAGCGAGTGGTTTATGGGGGGCAAGTTTCCGTTGACTTGATCAGTGTACTCAACTTCAACTTGCAAGTAGGTCGCAGCACTCAAAGGCTACCTCGATGCCAACTCGGTCGCCATGGATCTGTGGGAAACCGTGTACCCAAACGCGCTCCTCATCGCTTTGACAGATACCTTCTCGAGCGACGCATTCTTCAAGGTAATGCCACCGATCGTCGCGAAGCAATTGAGCTGATATTCAACGAGAGTTACTCCAGCAACACGGAACGTGCGATCCGATGGCAAGGTCTGCGGCAGGATTCGGGTGACCCTTTTGCATTCGGAATCAAGGCGAAGGATGCTTTCGAATCACTCAACATCGATCCTCGCTCGAAAACGGTGATATATTCGGATGGTTTATCTGTGGACAAATCACTTCGCTTGAAAGAGCAAGCCAATGAACTGGGACTGAATGGTTCGCTACCTTTTTGCTCAATCAAGGGTCTAATGAGTTGTGTTCCTAGTCTCATTTGGGATCGGCACATTCTTGACCAACGACTTCAAGTCTGCCAGTGGTGGACCGTCCAAAGCGTTAAACATGGTCATCAAGCTCTCGACCATTGACGGTAAACCGTGCGTCAAAATCAGTGACGATTTGACCAAGGCGGGTTCGTCATGACTGTTGTGATTCAAGCTGATGTGACTAGAACACTGGCGATCCAGAGACTGTTTTGAAAGTGAAGCAACTGTATAACCTTGTCTAACTTTACGGCCGCACAAATAATGTTTTAATTGAGCTGTGTAACGAAGTATATGTACTTTAGGTCGCGCTTCCAAATATTTGATAGCGTCTGCAAATGCTTGGTCCGATCTCATCGTACTGCGCTTTGGTATGGCACGAAGTATAAAACTCAGGCTGGAAGAAGCGTCAACACCTGTCAAAAAATTGGGAAGGCTCAATTACCAAGGAAGCGAGTAGCGACCCCCCAAACCAGACAGCATATCTGAGAGTGGTCAACAGACGCAACCAAAAGAAATCAACTTACCTTTGGCGTTTGTGCGATATGACATCAACCTCGACACCAGAAGACTAATTGATTCCTTAGATATGGCCTTAGAAAATAGCTGCACAGCACACCTTCTGTAGGTTTCCACTAGCCAACACGCTTGCATCCAGTCGACGATCAACGAGCTGCTTAAGATCGCGTTTAAGACGGTTCCCGAAGTGCTGGAACATCGTGGAGCCACCGGAAAGTACAATATTCTGGGCGCAGGCATCGAACTAGTAAAGGTCGTTGGAAGATACGATCATACCTTATATAAGCCACGACGGACATCTATGGGTGATTGCTGGATGACCTCGTCCACAATTTCGGGAAGAGGCGTTAGGAAGTCGGAGGAGAAAATCTCGGGGTTGAAAAAGATTTCGGGAGCAAGGAATCGCTCGTAGCCAACTTCGACACTATATTTCTATTGCAGCAGTCAAACGAAGCATTGGATGAGCAAAGAGAGAGACGTACTCTTCCTGTTACACTGTGCTCGTTTTCGTACCTCTCAAAGTATTTGTAAGGCTCTGCATCGTATTTCCTGAATTCCTTGACGATGTCCTGGCAAACATAGCTGTAATTCTCTTTCACTTTGCTCGCGACACGAAGTTGGTCTTCAGGAGGAACGGTAGCCATTTCTCCGCGCTCGCGCATGAGATTCAAAACGAACTGGGAGATGTCGCGCCCAGCGATGGGGATATGTTTGATTGCACTCCCAATAACGTAGCCTTCGGCGCAGGGAATAACGTGCGTCACACCGTCTCCAGAGTCAATTACAGTGCCGGTAAGCGTACGATCAGTGACCCGGTTGGAAGACCACGATGCAGCAAGAGCAAGCACAGCTTGGACAGCGATATAGAGACCTTTGATGTTGAACGACTCAAAGAAGATTTCTGCCGTCTGCTCTCGATTTTCCGGTGGGTTGAGAGGGGGCTCGGTCTGGAAGCTGTGAATGAGATGACATAATGGCTGAGAGAGCACACACCAGGAGAAAGTAATGGTCCTCTGGCTCAGCGCGAAGATACTTGAAGATGGTCTGCTCCCAGTAACGCTCCATGTGGTCCCAATTGTCGATCATTCCATGGCGAATCGGATAATGAACGCCGTACCCGGGCGTCTTCGCGTTGGCCAGGGCTTCATCACCGATGAAGAAGTCGAGATCTTCAACCCCACGTTTGGACGCAAGGTGTCCAGGCTTGGAAGGAATGGCGGGCGCATTCGTTGACTGGGAAGCGGAACCCCTAGTAGCTATGGCTGTTGGAAACACGCTGCAATGAGTAAGATTAATGAAGAATCTGAGTAGTAGCCTCTCTTACAACGAAGGATCTGAGTTTCCAGCAAATCTGTGAACGCGATCGGTGAACGGTCATCCTGAGGACGGGAGTTATTGCATACCCGACTTTGGAGTAGCCTGTCCCGTTGTCGCAGATAATCGGCGCGAGGACAGACATGGTGGGCGGGAGGAAACTGCGTATTGGTGTGACCAATCAGAATGACTGTCTACCTCCTACTTCAGCATGCTAGGTGCAGAAGCTTTCATTCAAGGCTCCTTCCTCCGCTATGCACCCATTGAACCTATTATTTAGATATCATTGAGTATCAGCGAGGAAAGTGAACAGCCAGTTACAGACCAAGTCACGCTTGGTCTCCACCGTCATCAGCAATGGCAGACGTTCGCGCGTTACTCAAGGCGAAACGGGAGGAAATTCGAGTCACTCATCCGCTAGCATCTTATACCAATGGTCAACTTCGCTGTATTGCCTGTGGACCCGTAAAGCAAGCCTCAGCCTGGGACGGGCATGTGGGGAGCAAAATTCACCGAACCAACGTCGCTCGTTTGCGAGAAGAAGAACGTCGACAGGAGGCGGAACAGTTGAAACGCGAAAAGGAAAAAGAAGAGCAATTGGCCAGCAACAACGTCTCAAATGGCAAGCGGAAAGCTGAGCAACAGGAAATGGAAGACTCAGACACAGAATTAAAACGGCGCAAAACTGACACTCGCTTTCCTGCTGATTTCTTCTCTGATCCTTCACGCGCCGCAATAATCATGCAGGATGATGATGAAGAAGGAAAGGAGACGGCTCATGGCTCTCTTGATGCGGAATGGGAGCGTTTTCAGCGAGATGTGGTCAATGTGTCTGATGGGGGAGATGCTCGTCGAGAAACATACGAAAACGCGACAGTTATGGCTGAGCCGGAGCTCGTAACAGACAACATGGAAGGGCTACCCAACCAGCAAGACCAACCAGACACGACGTCCAAGCCCCAAGATGCAGAACAATTGCGACGAGAGCAGGAGATGGATGAACGTGAATTAATAATGGACAGGTTATTGGAGGAGGAACGAGCGCAGGAAGAGGCGGATATGAAAGTAACGCTGTTAAGAAACCGTATGGAGGCACTAATGCGCAAGAGGAATGCAGCAAAGGCTGCGAAAACCAAGTCTTGAGTTGTACAATATTTGTATTCGCTCTTTTTTGACGACATCACTTTTGGTCTTGCCTCTTACCTATGGTTCGTCACGCCAAAAACGCTACCGCATCTTCAGGTAAGTACTCCAATGCTGGCGAGGTGTAATTCACGACAGTCCAGTGTTCTCCTACGCCGAGAGGCAAACAGCTGCCGCCCATTATGGAACAACAAGGAGAAAGCGATTAGGCCATGAGTCTATGCTTGCTTTCGACTGTTGCAGTCTCTGTCTCCAAACGGCCCGCGAACCTGTGGTCTGTAAGAGTGGCCATCTATTTTGCAAAGAGTGCGCCGTCAACGATCTGCGTCCGTAAACCCTTTCCTCTCACCATATCGTTATTGAACTGGATTCTTACAGTGGGGCAAAAGAAAGAGCTCAAACGCCAGAAGGAACAGGCGGAGAAAATCAAGAAGCAAATCGAGGCGGATGTCGAGGCTGCAAAAGCGGCCGCACGAGATCGCGTTTTGCAAGACTTTGAACGAGGCCAACTCGGCATTGGTTCTTCTTCGTCATCAGCCAGCACGTCAACAACCGATTCCACCACCACCACTGGCGGCAAACGATCCTTCTCTACTGCTTTTGAGTTCTCTTCTGCCCATGTCTCAGACCTCGTGGCCAAAGCTGAAGAAGCAGCAGCGCGGTTAATAGCGAAAGAAAAGGCAGAGGCAGCAAAAGCCGTCTTGCCTGACTTCTGGCTACCTTCTCTCACGCCAACCTTTGGTGGCATTGCCCAACGCGACATTCAGGCCGCGGGTGGAGCGCAAAGCAAAGAACTGAAGCCAGGTGTTGTCTGCCGTGGTGGAGGCGAAAGACATTCACTCGCGTATGTTTACTCCAAGTCTTTCGTCCCTCGAGATAATGTTTTGTTAGCCTCAAAGATCTAACTCCTGTCAAGTTTACTTTCTTTCGTGAAGGCAAAGAAGAGGACAAGGACATCAAATCCACTGGCGAGGCGGTCTGCCAACCTTGCATGAAGAAATTGTCCAATAATGTTGTCATGTTCTGTGAGTGAGAGTTCCAATCCAACTCGACGATGCTCAGATAGAACAGTAATGAAGCCCTGTTCTCACGTTGTGTGTAAAACCTGCAAAGAGAAATTGATGAACGACGGCGACAACTGTGCTTGCGTTGTCTGCGAAACCCCTTTGAAAAAAAAGGACATGCTGGAACTACATCGAGAAGGTATCATCATGGAGACTGCCATTTGGTATCTGGTCGCTAATCTACTCCAGGCACGGGTTTTGCGGGTGGCGGCATGGCAGAGACGAGTCGTGCAGGAATGGCATTCCAAGCTTAATTTGCTCAACGTCTACTGAATGCTCCATGACCCACATACGCTCCAAGAGAAGAGTTCCATATAAATTCGTGGTTGAGAACACGCTGCAGGCTTTGGTAGGCTTCCAAATCGGCAAATGGGACACCTGTTTGAGGATCACAGTAACGAGCTAGGCGGCCAGTTATTGGACAGGTTGGGGTGGGTCGAGCTGAAGCAAGATAACTGAGGCCAAGACTGGAGAAAGGCAGAAATACTCACTGAGAGGGCGATCAGTTCCTGAATACACTTGCATTTCCTCCCAGTTCACGTGTGCTCCAAACATCGCCGTCATAGTTGAGCCCCAGCTTGGTTTATTGTGAGTGTCAGCATTGCGATTATTTGTAGGTGGTGGTGAGCCAGGTTGTTGAGTTTGTTCGTGCACAACATAGTTTCGGGATGATTTTTGCACGTGAACAACAGTAGGTACCGGAGGTATTGATGTTGAGCTATGTGGGAGAGGTGCATATGGATTGACCAGAGTTTGTACGTCTTCGGTGCGACTAAGCCATCGGACAAGAGGACCTTTAACAACCTGTCGGACAACACGAGCCCGTTGCCGTTTCTCTTCTTCGTCTTTGAGATAGTCTCGATGTTCAATGATATTTCCTTCTTCTGCATCGAGGGCACGGGCAATCAGTTCTGCTTGGGTGATCATGCGAGCCTGCTGGCGAGGCTTTTTGGCCTGTTGTGCGGCCTAACAAAGTTGAGTGAAGCGGGAAACGAGATCAATGAAACAAACTTTACGCTGCTCCTCCGATTGCTTCAGTCGGGATTCCGTTAGGGTTCGACTGAGGACTGTATGTTTGCGCTTGCTTTGGCGGTTCTTGTTTTCTGTAGCTGGCTCTGATATTGAGACGCCTCGTCTAGTCTGTCTAGTCTTGGGCGGTGAGCTTGGGGGTGATGCTTTGTGTTCTGGCTGGAAGGTTGCTTTATTCCGAGCATGAGCGGCATTGGCAGCCCTTTCCCAGCGAGTCCGAGTTGCCTAGAGGCCGGATTAGACATGAATAATACATAACCAACAGCGTGCCCTGCGTGTCCTTTTCTCTTCGTCTTTAATGTCTGGTGCTGATTCAGCTTCTGATGCCGTGCTTTCGAAATCGTCGTCGAATATATCTTCCTCGTCTATGACGCAGGAAATTAGAGTTGCATCACAGAGTGAGTCGATAATGGTGTCGCACCGTTGTCGTTGGTAAAATCAGCATCTTCTTCGTCCTTGACCTCTTCTAGAGCCATTTCTGCCATTGCAGCCTGCATGCTGGACTGATTAAGATTATTGAAGCCCATTTGAGACCCACCGATTACCAGCTGTACTCCTGCGTGAACGGCGCATAGTAAGTGGTTCTTCTGGTTCATCGACTTGCATGATGGGCGGGGTTAGGAAATCTTCGGTCACGCGTCTCTCGGAAAACCTTCTCCATGCCTCGTAAAGCGCTTACTGGACCTTCGTCTCTATCCCAACTCGTCTCCCACCTCCGAGGTATGAGAGGTCTTAATATTTGACGCGTGCAGACGTTTTCTCCCACAGCACCTCCAAGACTAGGCTTGCCTCAAATAACGTCTCTTACCCTGACACTCGCGGCACGGAATGACCACTTCGGAGCTCGGTAGGCTCGATTTGAGGAGAAAAATCCCTCGTTGAAACCATGTCAAAAGACATTTTTTAAAGGAGCAACTCCCTCGCATCCGTTTCGCCAATCCCGACCTCCCCGTTCACGTTCGCAAATTCAACAAACACCCCGCCCATGACTGGCGACCGGAAATACAACTATCATTCAGTGCGTTTGCTTTTCAAGCTTCTGAATTTGGTTCTCAATAGATGACAGAGGATGGAACGACACAGAGTCTTAGTCTGCACGGGAAGTGGTCAACGACAATTGTGCGTCAACTCATGGACCTTGGGGCTTCTCCAGCCTGGGTACGCTGGAAAGCGGAGGCAAGCCGATCTGGGGCACCTCTTATCCCTGGCATGGAGAATGAAATGACAGTGGTGGATGAGCGACCCGAGCCAGAAGTAAACTTCGATGAATGGCGTCTCAAATATACCAGGAAGGAGCGCAGGGAAATGGAAGAAAAGTTGGCAAATACGCACAAAGCCAAAGCGGCGTTGACTGCTGAAGAACAAGAGCAACGGAAAATTCAGAGAAAAGCGGCGCGACAGCTTCGATTTGACGCGGATCGACTTGCAGAAGAGGAGGCAGAGCGTCAGGTCCAACTTGAGCTACAGTCCAAGCCACAAACGGGAGCAGCCGCGATCTTACCGTAGACTACATTTGTATTCGTCATCCACCTACACAAAAAATCTAGCCATCCTTGTGGTACATTAATGTTTACTCGCTCTCAGTTACGCATAGTTGAGGCGGAATATATCGTTGAAGCTAATAGGAAATAATCAGTTTTTTTTTAAACTGGATTTTCATGGAAATATGCTGACACGTAGTATGTGCCGCCCTCAGGAAGCAAGTGAAAGACTTGACTGAATTGCAGAGGATTTGGGCTATCATCCACCTGTTCCGACAAGAGATGAAGAGCGATCGAGTACTTGAGCGGAGGAAACGTACCACTAACAGTCCAGTCACGCTCACAAGAAGGCTAGCGACGGTCCCTGAAGACGGTTGGGCATCTTTGGTGGTTACTTTGTGCTGGACCTTCTCGAATGGCAGACTGGTGAGTTTCTCGACGATGGCGGTCGTTCCAAGGATTTGGGAGCCCTCGAAAGAAAGCATAGAGCTATCACGCTGCATAGACTGTTATCTAACGTCTGTGGTGGTAAAGCACGCACGTAAAGGGATGCAAGCCCCCCTCGGTTGGTATCAAAGGTTTGGTAGTAAAAGTCGATGAACTGGCCGGCCACTTGGTCGATGTTCGCCATCCTTTACGAAGCCAGAAACTGAGCAAAAATCAACAGAGTTTGGACAAGTCCAGAGGTATAGACCGACTCGATGGTGAAGGAAGAGTTCAAGAGCAAGCTGGGTGACTGGTGCCAAAGTCCTTTTTCAGTCACGCATCGCATCGTGCAGAACACTCTCGAAAAACTCAAGATTCTACATAGATCACAGTTCCGTTCCGTCATTTTCTAGCTCTCGATCCCAGCTAATGTAGTATACCATTCGTAGTGTCTTTGCCAACTCGACAAATCCTCGAGGAGTAGTAGTCGCAATTCTCCCAGATCTACCGGCATAAATGGCTTGGATGGCCATTGTGTGAGAGCGGTAACAATATAAGAGCTGAATCCAGATCAAACATGACCAGAGAAAAGAATTAGAGCGTACATGACTGTGCTTCTCGCTAATGGACCAGCTTGTTTGTCTATGCGCAGTTCTTGGCACATATTGTCGACAGTCCGTTTACCGAGAGCCCAGTAACGATATGCGCGAATGTGGTAAAGCTTGACTCCAGCCGCACTCATATCTGGCATAAGATGTAGTTGAGGCACAGGAGGCAATTCTTCGATTGGGACTTGAGCTGTTGGCTTCGGAGTTGGGACAGCAAGAGTTGGGTACCCGACGCCAGCCACAAATTTAGTCTTATCGAGCGCAATTTCTGCCTGCTCTGCTAATGTCAGTAGACGAGCAAACACTTGATAACCCGAGTACGCGTCATTTGCAGCATCTGCAACAATACTGTCAGGCAAACTCGAGTCGAACGAAATGGGACTTACACTCCAGCATAGTGGGCGGCAGCTTGGGATTCTCCCAATTGCTGACACGCACATTGGAGTCTTTGTTAAGCTCCTTGTTCAGGTACCGCGCCACCAGCTGTCGTTTGTTCAGCTTTGGATCAGCTGATCGCGATGGAGGATTACTTTCGCAAGCGACACGGGCCTCTTGCCATTTCCGAATTCTGTGCTGCAGCTGGGATCTGCCTGTCTAGCAAGCGACCCAAGCTCCACCACTCCCTCTGTCAGTACACCATAATCTTTGAATAGTTTCTTTGCGTCATCTGAAAACTGAGAAGCGGTACAGATATAAGTGAGTTGGTTACTCACTGAGAATATTTGCTCCTGCCTTGAGGATGGTTGAGTCTTCTAGGACGCGTCTCAAAGCACGTGGAAATCGAGTCATGGTGCGTTCTGAATTCCTCAATTGGATTAGAATGATCGTTTTCTGGTCGGCAATTTGTATCAGAGATACGGGGCGTATGTTGGCACCTCCTGGTCCCCGACGAAAGTTAACGACCCATTCACAATCAACGGAGATTGGACTAGTCAAAGGGAAAAGAATAAGACATGATTGACTGCAGCAAGATAAATGCTCACCCTGTTAGATTAAGCTGCTCTATCCAAGTATCGGCTTCAGTGTCTGTAGTTGCGAAGAGGACTCGAGGAGTTGGAGTTATTGTTGAATAGCTGTACAAAGGACGAGAGGGAGTCTCAGCGGGTTTTGTTGGTAATGGTGCAGAACGAGCGGATTTTAGAGGCGGGGCAATGGGTTTACTGGATTTGGTAGTATATGCATCAGAAATCGTTCTTTGAAGAACGTTGCTAGAAGGTTGGACGTCCTTGACTCTGTCAGTTATTGAGCAACTGAACGGTACAATGACTCAAGTTAAGTTGACTCACGCCTTGGAGTTCGATGAACCAGATCCATCGACGTTTAAAGATGCAAGAGCGGCCAATACACGGCTCTGTGGAGGTCTTATCGACATGAAGTGTGAACGAACCAAGAGCATACGCGGTCAGGTGATTAGTGTAACGATGTGACATAGATCACCGGCGTTCCCACCAGGACATTTACACCCACTCACACAAGGTTCGTGCTCTGGACCGAAAAGTGTTCTTTCTAAGGGGCGCAGATTACTGGCACCTTTCTACAGTCTCAGCCTTCTCTAAAAGTTTCATTACGCCGAAACAAGTTGAGCGGCCGCCTGGCTGGAGAGGTCCATGTTGATACTCGCATCTGTGTTCCTTCTTCCATGTGAAAGCGGAAGTGGTTGGCTCAAGCAATTCAATTATTTTTTTTGTGAATTTTACAGTCATGCCAGTAATATGTGAATCAATAAAATCGAGTAAGTATATGGAGAGCCTCTTCGGACTGTGTGCATGATGATAAGAGCTGGGTTAATTTATCCTGCGTCCCTGGGACGATCAACAGGGCTAATGGACTGAGTGAGCTATCATATAAAGGTCGCAGAGAGTGGTCCAACAAGGGAAGTCGATCATCGCTGCTTGGTAATCAACGGTGGAATACTGCGTGACCAAGTGACCGCTGTCCAGTTAGATCAGCCTCATCAAGTCAAAACCACCACCACCGAAAAATGGTGCGTCCATTCTCCTGCTATCCCGGGGCGTCCTACGCTTCAACTCTCGTTCGATAACACACGCATCGAGGTCCTTGTGAGTCTCAACGGAGATTGGCCGATTTCGTCCAACTGACCCGCCATTTAGCTGAGGTTATCTGGACGTTAGGGCTCCGGGATAGATGCTCTCTTGTGGAAGCCATTTTGCTAACTACTCCCTAAGACCAAGGGAACGTCATCTTTTGGGTGCGTGATGGTGCTTTCCGATATATGAACAAGTTTTCCTGAAGCGATGAACTTGCAGTAAACGACACACAAAGTCGCACACTCTCTGCCGCCGTTGCGGAAACCGGGCCTTCCACAGACAACACAAAAGTGCGCTCTTGGCTGATAGTCTTGGAATGTGTTGTTAAATTGTGTGTTATAGCCTGTGCGCAATGTGGCTATCCCTCTGCCAAGATTCGGTCGTATGAGTGGGGCCAAAAGGCCAAACGTAGAAAGACAACGGGCACTGGTCGCATGCGGTACTTGAAGGATGTCTCTCGGCGGTTCAAGAATGGGTTCAGGTTTGGCATTCTCTCGCAAATCCCGTCCAGAATCTAAGCGCTTCCGTAGAGAGAACACAACGGCCGTAAAGCGCGTCAAAAAGACAGAGTAGTGGACCTCCTTCCTTTGCTGTTTTACCTATGTAGCTATGAGGTGAATTGCATGCACACCGATTATGACACTCTGAAATGTTATTGTACATACTACGCATCGTCACCAAAATACTCTTCCACCAAAGCCTTCTTTCGCAAGGCCAAAAGCACTGTCTCCAACTCTGCTGTAGTCGGGAGTTTTGGTGGGATAAGGAGTGAGGGTGAAAGAAAAGTCATGTGTGCCGCAGCAACTCGAGCATGAACGAGTGTCTGGGCTACGGGTGAGTTGGCGTCAGGCATCGATTCTTCAACACCTGTGTCTTGTGGAGCTATCGATGGTGGTCGTGGTACAACTGCATCCTCCGGCAAACCCAAGGCAGCGCGAAGATTCCTTGCTATTTCTTCCCAGTCTAGACATGATAAGCGAATTGTGTGGAGTGGATTTCTGAACGCCTACCTTCGTTCTCTAAGCCTTTTTCAAACTCAAGTAGTTCATCATCAGCCTCGTCCGAATCTCCAAAGTAGGTTGGGCCTTGGTTCATGAATTTTGAGTAGAAGGCGAGGGCTTGGTTTTCCTCTTCCTCCTCGTTCTTTTTGCTCTGAAACAATTCCCGGACACCAGGGAGCTCTTTTGCACGACCAAAGTACCTGATGCGAGTCAGCCCCAACTTATTACACGGTTTGAAAATAGACCAACTTGTAACCTTTAGTGCCTGGGACCTCTTTGCCGTCGTCATCGAGCATAGCTACATTGCGACGATAATTGGCACCCCCAAGAGCGACAATTTGGTTCTCCCAGTGCCGCTTTTCGCGCAGAAGCTTGTTGATTTCATCGTTGAGGTCGCGAAGTTCGTAGTCACTCAACCCCGCTGAAAAAACATTTAATGGTATATTTACTCGAAGCAGACGGATTACTGACGGTCTTGAATCTTGGCCACCTTGCGGCTAACCTCGCGAAGAAGTTCGCCGCGCCAACGTTCAGCTTCTCTGAGACTCTTGCAGGCACTTGCCATACGTGGGCGACGATCGGCTCGAGTTCCAAGGCCTAGTTCGGCAGCTTGGGCTTCGCGAAAGCGATAAAGCATAGACTGAGCTTTCTCTTGATTACGAGCCTGTTCATAACTTGAGACGGAAAATATGTAACACGAAAATATTCAACTGACCATGGTGAAGTCAAGTCAGGTAGTTGAGTGGCACGTGCTTTGACGAAGAGATAACGATAATCGACTGCTGTCAATCACTGGGCTTGTGAACACACAGTCCTCAGTCCTTCTTCACCGACCGTCAATGTCGACGGGATCCCTCTCCGATTCTCTCACTTCACCATCTCCCTCCCCGCCACCACGAATGGCACCCACAACACGTCGACCTGGTCGGCCGAAAAAACCACCAAAAAAAGCCCCCCCACCCGTTCGGGCTCCAAAGAAGGGAGAGTCGATTCCAAAGGCACCGCCTTCGGCTGGTCTGGAGACAACAATTGACTCTGGCTCAGAGCTTTCAGAGCTCACTGAGGACGAAGAGGGCAATGCAGCAAAAGCCCATAGCCAGGAGGGGGGTAGTGTGGTGGATGATGACCAGATGGAAAACGAGCAAAGCCCCACACCTGACGATGACGACGGTAGCACCCAGGACGCGAAGAAAAAGGGGAGAGCGCGTGCTTCGAGCAGGAAAGAGCCGTCTAATGGCCGACCAACAACAAGCAGTGGTAGCAATGGAGCGGGGAAACGAAAACGGAGTAGCATAATACCACCGACAATGTGGGGCTGGGCTGCCCCAGGAACTACAGCTGAAGAGGAAGAAGACGAGCGTTCTCAGCCACAAGCAATGGAGGAAGAGTCAGACAGTGAACAGGTATGTCGAGTTTTTTCCTCTCAACCACACAACTCATGCGACCCATGCAGGAAGCAAAGGAAAGAGATGATACAGAGGAGGCAGACGAGGTGCGCTACCACACAAGTTACAGAAAAACACCTAATATTACCCACTAGCGCCTCAATGGCATGCAAGTCGATGATGTAACTGTCGAGACGGCACCCATCGAGACGGCAGCGGCGGCAACTCTGCTAGACTTGCTCGCTGTCGCGTCACCAGAGATGATCAATGGCGAGGTCTCTGAGGAGGAAGTTGATGTTGAAGACCCTCCGGTTGTCACAAGCGAGACCGTGGAAAATGTAAAGCGGATCGCCAGAAGAGCGTCTGCTGCTCGAACACCGCTAGAAGAGGAAGAAGACGACAGGCCAGTGTCACCCATATCTCAAGACGGAGAGGTAGTGGATGGTCCTAGTCGCGAAGTTTCCCCGGTCAGTGGTGACGAAGACCCTGAACCTGAAGCAGCAGACAAAAGCGACATCGAAGTCGACGCGCCTGATAAAAGTGACGTTGAAGACGAAGCCAAAAGCGACGATGATGCTGATATGGAAATGGATGTCCAGCCAGCACATCGTGCAGAAGCATTAGATGTTCTCGCTAACATTGAACTCAAGTTTTCTCTTACTCGCCGGGCAATCTTTCTGGACAGGATGGAAGGATTGGCGTGGGAAGAGGCGTTAGTCCAAGCCGGCACACATCCAGAAATGCTTCACATTCAACGCGAGCTGATGGCAAGGCGCGACCGTCGCATAGAGCTCGCGACGCGAAAGCGGTCCTTTGAGTGTGCTGATGCGGAGCGCAAAAGAGTGACTGCTGAACAAGGGGTGTGGTCCTGGTGGAAGGTATGCGAACTTGACTAACAGCTAAAATCCATTCTGATGTTTTATTCAGTTATCTCGAGATGACTTGCAAACAGACATGATCACCGAGACAAACAGAAAACGGAGAAAGATGGAACGTGACAGACGTGGTTCAGAGCGTTCCGTGCCATGTGTGTTTTCAGTTTGCTTTTCTTGTCTTCCGTTGTTTAACACCCTCTTTTCAGTACGCCGCAGCATTCCCCCAGCTCCGCCTTCAAACCCTTCATTGCCACCTCTTGATCTCCGTCGAATTCTCAGAGGTGAATCCGAGTCATCCCAGACTAAGCAACCAACTCCTCGTCAAGGATCAAATAGCAATTCAACGGCATTCGTTTTCCCAGATGTCTCGTCTCTCAGTGCGACCGAAATAGAGCAAGATCTTAGCTATATGAGTCGTCAAAGCCAGCCAGCCCCGCCTCCTCCAATTCCGCATGATTTGCCCCCACCATCTTCTCATAGGCATCCAGCACCAAATCGAATGATGATGCAGCCATCTCAGCAAATTCCTGCCCCTCAGCCTATGTATGACCAGGCGTATCAACGACCATATCATCCGCCGCCGCCACAAGTCGGCCCGGGTTATGCAAGGACTCATCAGCCTCTACCACCTCATATGCAGCATCATAGCCATCCTCCTCCTCAAGGTGGTTTTGAACTTGATTATCGAACAGCCTATCCGCCATCACGAAGACCTGAGAGTCCGGGACCAAGATGGGGCAAACCTGGAGCCAACGAGTGGTCTGGGAGCGAGACTCGTGTCATTGGAGGGGAAGGGCGTATCGAGCAACAGCAAGGTCGCGTGATTGGGATGGGAATGCCGATGGCCAGACTTCAGGACGATGATGAGCGAGAACGCATGATGAAGCGTGAACGCGACCGTGACAGGGACCGTGATCGTGAGCTTCATGATGTTGACCGACGTGACTACGGTCATCTACATCGAACACCACACCATTCTATCGCTGGGCCACACCATCATCACCATCATCATGGTCCAGGAGTGCATCATCATGTTGTCCACCACCACCACACCTCCAGTACTTCTCGGCCATCTTCGTCACACTTACCACGGCCCTCTCTCAGTCCCCGTGCCTCCAGAGAATTTGATTCCAGATCTTCCCATAACGACCGTCCGCCACACCAAGCAGAGCTAATCAACATTTCCTCCAAATCTTCGTCAACCGACCGTTATGAACGGGATCCCGACTATCGAAAGCGAGTTCTACCACCGCCCGATGATCGTGACAGGCCAATAGCAACACCATTCGTGATGGGAGGCTCATATGGCAACAATGGGCCAGCAGCGAATCGTAGCATGCGTACTCCTCCGCCAGTGAACAGCCCAGCCCAACCTAATAGGGCTTCCTCACGATCTCTCGAGGATGCTTTCCGTATGCCCCCTTCTTCTTCAACCTCTGTCAGTTTTCTTGGGGAGTCAGTTCAGTCCCATCGACCTTCCTCCCACCCGTCTTCGCCGAGACGTTATTCACAGACTTCTCAAGGTCCACCATTACCTGCCCAGTCATCATCTACTTCACGTTCTTCTACTGCACGGCCAAGTGGGTTTTCGCCTCCAATGCATCGTGCCCTGCCCAGCACTAACAGTCCTGCCTTCGGAGGTGGAGGCTCGCGATATCCTAATGGTCCATTATTGGCTGGAGCACGTGCGCCGACACCAAGTCGCTCTCCTGTTCTGCATCGAGCGGAGCGTTTGCCGTCTCCCCCGCCATCCTCTTCATCAAATAAAATGATGGTTGGCGCTATGATGAACGGGCCACTCCCCCCATCTTATCCAGGGTCTTCGAGGACAACAACACCCACAGTCACCTCCGAAGAAAAGGGGACTCTCCGCAACGACTCCCCATTCGTTGGGCCTTTCGCGGGGATAAACAACCCCGCTCCTTCTTATGTCGCCAAACCTCCCAATGCGGAAAGAGATCGAGACAACAATAAGGTGGACGGTGCGGGCAAGACTGACAAGATGCCTCCACGAGTCTCACCTCCTCCGCCTCTTGCCCCACCGCCTTCTGTTCTTCCACCTCTTCCCACGCAGCTTAAAAGTGAACGAATTCAATGAAATCCTCTGTTGCTTTGCGTATTGTACTCGTCTCACGGTACTTAGTTTATTCACTTGTATCCCCGTCGCCAAATGTAATCGCTCTCCAATCCTCATACCGTTTGATACTGGGTAATATATAGGCCTGCCGTAGGTTGGGTCACAGAACGAAGGCTGACAATTGAGCTGACCTGATGCTGCCTCTGCCTTGCCAGTCACATCAATTTTGCAGCCTGGCTTTGAACATCGGAACTCGAATGTTTGGTAAGTCCCGGACTTGCAGGGGTACTCGGGGAGTGAGTGGGTGTTGTTGAACGAAACCAGCAATGCGCCCACGAGTTTTCCACCAACTGGTCGCGTCGAATACGACAACTTTTGCATATTCAACTTTTTGGTCACTGGAAGTTGGTAGATCTCAATCGTGGACTCCTCATCCGCGATGACATCGTTGGATTCGCCTTGAGCGGGCACCGTAATCGAGAGGCTGCATTTCTCCATGCCAAAGTCTGTGGAATGGTCAGGTTAGTCCGTAAAATGAGTTGCGGAATGACCTGCAATCCGGAACTGTGCGATAGTTGAAATCTATCGAGTATTAAAATATCACGTGTAGGAGAGCGAAAGAAAACCTACACTCTCAGTCAGCAGTAAGCGTCTTTCGTACTCTGGAACCATACCGTCGGCAATGGGACGCATAAGCCCATAGGGAGGGAAGATCTTGTGTGGGTTGGTGCGGTCGATTTGGACAAAAGCACGGGCATGGTTAATGATGGGTTTGTGTTTTGAGCTTTTCAGCGGTGTTTGCGCGTACAACTCTGCCAGGTTGACATAGGGAGAGCGGATCTCGAGGTCTTCTTCTGGCACTTCAAGTTGCGAATAGGCAGTCGTAGAACTGTGCAGGCCAAGATACAACACCAAGACAACGTCGATAACCGTGCAGAGAGCGATGATGATTGTCGCTACCCACACAAGGCGGTCAAGCTTGGAGGGTCCAGGTTTTTCAACTGGTGCTGGATTGTCAGGTTATTACCCAACTATGTATGATCGCGCTGGAGCGAACCTCTCATAAGCTCCTGATGGGTAGAGTGGCCCAGCAGAGAGGTATATTCTTCGTCGTCGCCGATAGCGGCAACATCAGGTTCAGAGCCAGAGGAGCTTTGTGGTGAGTTGAGCTTCATTGAAGACAGCGATTGGGAAGAAATCGAGTGGTAGATGTATTCTTGGACGAATTTCGGGCTTCCATTGCACCGAGAACAGAAGTTTGATTTGCTGCCGGAGTTCACAGCTTCCCGTGTCTGTAGCGGGAACGTTCAAGGCCTGGTCGTAACAGACAAAACAGAGTGACTGTTGATGATGCAAAACCCCCTCGACCCTCGGACACCTCCATGCCAAAGAAAAATGCTTCTTTATTGCCTTTAATTGACCACCATCCTGCCAGTGGTTTGCGATGCAAGTTATACTCTTCCTTCTCCTCTTGCTGCTGCCAATAAAGATTGGTGGCGGGTTATGGCTTCGCAAACTCTGGATATTCGACGCTTTCTGTCAGCATTTATTACTGGCTCCACCTTCTTGGTTTTGTCTAACACACCTATGAAGCCTACATCGGGGACGATTACCCTCGTAACTGGCCTATAAAATGGCCGCATGATCCACGCGTCAGCATGCCTATTCACGACACGGTTCGTTTCCAGCTGGAAACCGAGGATGGAGAAGCAGAGTGGGCAGCCTCGATTCCAGGCAGTGGCATAGTCTATCTTGGGGAGCAATGCCGACCGTTCAGCATCTCGATGTTCCATCAAATACGATGTCTCGACATCCTACGCAAGTCAATTTCCAGCGTATGGTCTCGCAACGCTACCATCGATCAGCTAGGTCAAACCCGCGATTATGAGTTGACAAAGCATTGCCTCAACTATATGCGCCAAATGGTACTCTGTCGCGCCCATCCTTACCTCGACCCAGTGCTGGGCTTTCCTCAACCTAATGCTCATCCGGATAAGGATGTCTGTCTTGACTGGAGTGTCGTATATAGAGAAGCAGTCGCCAGCCAAAAACGATGTGTCTCATAGGTTAGCCCAATAAGTCCTTTTTCGAACCTTAGCTAATCCATACCAAAGAATACACCCTCAGACATGGGACGAAGGATGCGACGCTTTGCTCCGTTGTGACTCCTCCTGCTCTTCGCCTCCGTGGTTGACAACAGACAACTCCATACCCGTCGACACACGGTCAAATGCGTCTTTTGTCCACCCTGCTCCCACTGCTAGCCTCAGGATAATAGCTTGCGGTGATAATGCCTTGAAATAGTCAATAAACTAACTGTTCTTGAAAAAAAACGGTGATGGCGTACGACCACAGCGCCCCAAATATCGGCAAGAGACAAAGCCTCCGGAAGATTGCGGATGTACAACGCCAAATAGACGATCCCAAGCACTGTAAAAGTTGAATTTCGCCCAACTTCCACTTTTGTTTTACCCACCAGTGAATGGGAGCGCTGATTCTACTAGTACGGCGAGCAAGCCGGTGTACCGCTTCGAGACATCGGTGCCGAGAACGCTGCTCATTTTATTCTGCACCCAGAGAAGGCGAGCGACGATCATGGCAGTAACGAGGATGTTGAACACAATTGTGAGGACTGGTCATCTTTCACGTTATGGACCAATTTTGCGATTGGAAAACCCACCAAGCCATGGGATACCAAAATTCACCGTCACACCTAAACTATTGGTTCTTTGGAGTTGCAACAGGATTGACGACTTGCCTTGGAAGAAGTTCCCATTAGGCAGGCCGCTTTGTATCGTGGTCGTGATTCCCATCGCTACAACATGTGTCTTCAGAGCATAGGCCATACGAATATGCACAACGCACCGACGGATGCGAGGTAAATGAGCGTTGGGAAGACCATTGCCAACTTCATATGCCCCCAGAAAATAAAGCACCGATAGAGCATTAATCCATCGCCCAGCACGTTGGCTGTCACGTCCGCCGCAGTTCCTGGGCTCCGTTGGCATTCTTATCATCGCTAAGTAGCAGAGAGTCATACCAAACGTGTTATACCAAGCCGCAATATTCTAGTATCATTTTCAATTGTTGTGTTCAAAGGGTGAATAAGGGCTCACTTCTCCGAAAAACTCGACAGGTCCGCCCTCGATATCGCGATGCTCAATCCACATGGCTTCTCCGAACCAGCTTGAAGTGATTCAGTGCAAGTCCAGCATCGTAGAGAAGGCGAAATCACAGGTTTGCAGCAAACGCGATGGTAATCAAGACCAATAGCAGCGAAGAGTAGGCCATGTAAAAGACTTTAGAGCTTCGCTTTGCCTTCAGGTTAGCCGTGTCGACATTGAGGTGGTACATCGACTGAAGGTACATCGATAGCTGCAAGCCATAGAGGATTGCAAAGAATGTCTGCCAGAGTCGCGTCAGCAAGGGACAGAGCACGGTTCACAACACGCAAACATTTCCAATGTACCATGAACGCTCAAGCGGAAGGCTCTGGTCACCCATTTTCGACGCTACCGATGTGGACGCTGGAAACTTGGGATAACGTCAAGGGCACTTATATCTCTCCCAGGAGTCAGGCACGCAGAAGAAAATTCGAGGTTTGTTGACATATAACGTTGAATTCACAAGATACGGAAGACATCAGGCATCACGGCGGTTGGGATGGCTTGGGAGCAAGTGAAGGCCATCAGAAACACACGTTACTATATATTGGGACATAATTGCAAGCTTTAGCTTGGAAATATTTGTCAACGAGAAGCGAGCAAACAAGCCCAAGCATACCTAGTGCGTTTTTTTAGTTGCCAGTAAGCAAGGTCAGAAGACGATGCGGGCCCAATTCGTCTGCTGTTGGTACATCGATTCAGCTAGCTTCACCTGCGGCCAACGATAACAAACCTTTTTCGGGGTTGCTGCTTGGCACTTCTCCGCCTCCAAGTAAAGTCAATGATGAGCCTCGGACATAGAATGAGTTACACACTTTCAAGCGGGGCAGCGCGGACTGCGACCACAGCAAGTACGGCAATAAAGAGCAATAACCTCATCTGAAGGCACGTCCAAGAATCTCTTGCGACCTGTGGCGAATACTCTGGTATTTATGGCGACCAGAAAAAAAACTAGAGTAGGACCCCAAGTTGCATCTGGAGTTCTTTGAGGGAGAAGCTTGATTGAGAGCGGGAGTACAGCGAGCGGGTAGAGATCATAATTTCTGGGCTGTTTCATGGCTTGCTTCGAATCCAGATCCAGGTTAAGAATAGATATTTTTTGCCTTTTCTTGAGGGTGGTGCGCTCATACAGAAGGTATAACGTGGGAAGAATCTAGCTTGGGAGTGCGGTGACATTGTGGAATTCTTTCCAGATGGCGACCCAATCACTCCAGTTGTCATCAACCTTGGAAATGACCGCGCTCCAGTCTCGACAGACGTGGGTAGCACCGGTGCGGTCATGTTCAAAGTTCCGTGTTGTGAAATCGCCGGGTTCTAGCGTGAGATCTGCTTGACAAAGCGCCCGTTCTCGAAGGTAATTGAGGCAGTGATGGAGATGCCCCCATGCGACGTGTGGACTAAGGTCAACGAGCGTGTCGCGGAATTGTTGGAGACAGTGGAGCTGCAAGTACTGAGAGGAATGACAGCGAATGAGAGCGACCTACAAACCTCGTGATACATCGATCTAAACGGGAGAGAGAGATAAGGACTTGAATAAAGTTTAATCTCCACGCTTACACAAAAAAAGTTCGGTGGTGAAGGCCTAGGCGAACAGAACCCACCCCGTCTGGGAATGCAGCATACCAAGCATCGCGAGCTTCAGGAAGGAGGGAGTACTGGACGCTTTCCTCCGCAACCATTTTGATACGTTCATCAAGAGCGACACCAGGTAAGAGCGGTGGAAAATCGTCTGAGAGACAGTGAAACTGTCAAAAAGAACGCAAAGAAACGAGCTACCTCCAATGTAGGCTGGGGTAATTGCCTCTATGAGAATATGGAGCATGCGAAGAGTGAAAGATATGCGCACAATAAGAGTGCTCGTCTTTTTGCGGACGATACGCCCTAGCAGAGGGACTGGGACGTGAATTCGATGGCACCAGGCTGAGAGTGACTTGGACATAATTGAACAGAGTATATGTGAACCACATTGAAGTCAGGCTGAGAGCGACTAGAGTAGCCCCCAGTATTTTTTCGTGGGTGATTGAACGAGCCATGATGGTCGGGAGACAGAATCTAAATGCACGTGTTATCTGTTCAAGTTGATCATGGCCTTCCAGGTCCAACTCAAGCAAAACACGATATCAGGTATATTCTATGGCAAATAGTCTAGTAAAATCCTGACTTCTGCGCAGAACGGGAGCTTGACGACGCCGTGGATGTTTGTGTGAGAGCATACGTTGACGGTGAGGACACTTCATGAATAACGGGCAACGGTCTTGAACTTGCACCCAAGAGCGCGCCAGCGACTCTATGGTCGGCGGAGACCAAGTTCTAAAGGGCTTAATCTTTCGAGCGATGATACGTGCTGGCCAACTGGATGGCCAGGTTTACTTCGCGACAGTCAAGGAAACCGGTAAAGTTGTTGGTGTCGCAATATGGTTTCCGCCTGGCAAATCCATGTTTTCATCGTGGGGAATTTAACCTACCCTCCCGCCGGTATTTTATCATTCTCAGTGAGGAACAAAGAGCTCTTGGTTTCGACGATTTCATGGGCAAACTCTCACCAGAGACCAAATCTTTTTGGGAAACCGCGGCAAGTGTCTCTTATTGCCATCGTAATACGACCTTCCTTGACGACAGCAACCGCTAGTATGTCCCAGCCGTCGAAAAATTTATTGAAGAGACTCTTGGTCCCCACGCAAGCCCGTTTTAGCAACCTTAACGGAGCCCTATCGCTGACCTTCTCATAGGCCACTCGAGAGTTGTGATCCCGCTTGCAGACAGATGAAGGCTGACTTGGGAAAATATAGCTCGTTCTATTTGAATCAGCTCGCGACCGACCCAGAATTCCAGCGACAGGGTATTGCAACGCTGCTTTTGAAGACGGTTCACGATCAAGCAATTCTTTCCTCGCGTCATTCGTTCTCATACTCATATCATCATAGTATAAATCCAGCGAATCACCACCAGTCTTTGCCCACTGTGCGGCCAACGAGGCGAATGTAAGGTTCAGTTATTTTTAGTGCGTTGCTAACTCCGACTTAGGAGCGGTTCTATCAAGCGCGTGGCTACACTACGAGAGGTGTTATGGAGATGGATGCATCGACGGGTCCATACCCTGTTATCATTCTCACCAAATGATCAGTAGACCATCACGAACCCACTCTCCAACGCCCGTCAACATCGGCGGTCATTCCAACAAGTTCGACGTCTGTTACACTCCCACAAACTCAGAGTACCAACAGTTGTCGCGGGAAGCTGGTGGGAGTCTAAGAATATCAGTACTCCATCGCTCTTGCTTTCCGTCTGGCCATGGCACTGAGCACCAAGAAAACATCTCTCTTCCCCGTCCTTCTGTTGATTTTGCTGGTGAAAACCGCCGCGATTGTCTGGATACGGCGCTTTCGTCCCAACCCTCCGAGTCAATATTGTAAGAATCAAGAGCTAACCCGAAGTTCTTCACTTATGGCTTGCAGCCTACCTTGGGGACGACTATCCGAGAGCGTGGCCGATACCGATGACTGGTCCAGTCCACATGCCACTCGAAAACACTGTGCGCTATGCAATCGAGTCCCCTGAAGCAGACGAGGAATGGCGGTCGATGAGCCCAAATGACGGAATAATTCATCTGGGAAAACATCGACGCCCGTTTAGCATCTCTATGTTTCACCGCGAGTAACTCATTGGTACTGCTCTCCTCCTGCTAACGTTTCACCAGAGCTCCGATGCATCGATATTCTCCGCAAAGAGATGTGGCTGGCCCAAACTACTGGTGTCACCAAGCCAGACTCGATGCTCAACCGCCACTGTGTCAATTACCTAAGACAAATGATGTTTTGTACCGCCGACTCAACTTTGGATGTAGTTCGGGGACCCATCGCGCACCCTCTGGTGGTCCCCGAGTTCTTCACATGTAAAAATTGGTCAATGGTCTATGACGCTGTAGCACAAAATAATCAACAACTGTAGATAGCCCCACTTGGCGGGACAGACAACATTAAGAGTGCAAGTACAAGGTAGCTCTACTTCTAGCAGCAGTCATAGTCGTAATTGTTCGTGCGTCAGCCTGAGACGAGGCGCGGACAATTAATTGGGCGTCAAAATAGCATTACCAACGGTCACCGCCCCCTCCAGCGAGTCGTCCTCCATAGCCATTGTCACTGGAGCCATAACCTCCTCCCCCTCCCCAACGTCCCCCACCGCCACCGCCCCCGCCACCACGTCGGCCCCCTCCACCGCCATAGCGACCTGATCATCACGTGAGAAAGTAAAAGACCAGTGACTTGATGAACAAACCTCGACCACCCCCGCCTCCGCTGTACATGGCCATTTCCTCTAGTTGAGGAGGGATCGTGGCTTTAGCATCTCTCAGGATAGAAAGCAGCTCGCGCGCAGCCTTGGCATTTTCCGTGGTGAAGTAAGTATAAGAAGTGCCTTTCATGCCAGCACGCTGCACAAATAATGAGCCTGAATCCACTGATGAAGGAAAAAAAAACGGACCCCTGTGCGACCAATCCGATGAATGTAGTCTTCACAGTTATTGGGGAAATCATAATTCTAGCACATCGTCATCAGTACCCAAGTAAAAGTAAAGGTGGCACAACTCACGATGACATAGCGGACGTCCTTGACATCTGCAGTTCACAATCGACAGTCGAGGACAATACATTGAAGGTCGAAGACGAACGAGTTCAAGGGAGGGAAGAGCAAAGACAAAAAGTTTGGTCAATAACGTGAACAGGCATAGGAGAAGCAAAGGCGCCAAAGAAATAACACCCAGGGTTCGTGAATGCAGAGAAGTGAACAGAAAACTTGTTGAAGGGCAGGCTGTAGTCGAGAAGGGCAACAGGATAGATCAATTAAGCACAGTCCATAACCGCTCGTGACCGAAAACCAACAACAGATTGCATAGAAATGTCCGTTGGAAGGCAAGCGATCCCATACGCACTCCATGAGAGAGAACGTCAGTGGGCATGTCTTGGAGAGGTTAGAGGGACGCTGAACAAATTGTCTGTCTTGATCCGGTTGTCTTCTGCTCAACGTAGCCTTCTACAGTTTGTCTGTTCTCATTGCACGAAGACCTTGCCGAGAGGGGTGAGCTGTATTGTGTCAGGTAACTACACGGGAGAGTTTCGTTCTCTCCCTATTACCGTGTACCACTCTGCAGCACTGAGGAAATGTAGAAGAACGTACCAAGACCACGAGACGCGACGTCAGTGGCAATCAAAATTGGGGACCTGCTAGCTTTGAACTCGCTCAAAACCCAGTCACGTTCACGTCTGAAGATATGTCAATCCAGCGGAAACTAGGCCAATCAAACGAGGACTCACTGTTCTTTGTCTCCGTGTATAGCAAGTGCTGGCCAGCCATCTTGACGAAGATATTTCGTTATGTCGTCCGCAACTCGCTTAGTTCCGACAAAGATGAGTACTTTGGCGTTTTCGGCACCGATTTGGTCAAGATGCTTGACTAGCTTGCCCCGTTTTTCAAAGTCGCTGCAAACTTCAACGATCTGAGTGATGTTGTGGTTGGCGGTGAGCTCCATGGAACCAATGTTGACTTGAATCATGTCTTTGAGGAAATCCTAGATGTCATAAGCACAACATGGTAACAATGAGGCGGAGAACGCACATTGGCCAATTTTTGAACGTCTTTCGGCCACGTTGCACTGAACATAAGAGTCTGTCGGTCTGGTCGGATTTGACTGACAATTTTACGAATCTGTGGCTCGAAACCCATGTCAAGCATACGGTCAGCTTCATCCATGACTAGATAAGTGACTCGACGAAGATTTGTCTTCTGTGTCTCGAGCATATCGATCAAGCGACCGGGAGTAGCGATAACAATTTCGACACCGCGTTGGAGGTCACGTATTTGCGGGCCTTTCGGCGCGCCGCCATAGATGGCAGTGTTGCGAATGCGGGAATTCGACCTATTGAGGGCGAGTCAAATCGGACGACGACACGAGCTCATGAGAGGACATACCCAAATTTGGTGCACTCTTGTTGGATCTGAACGGCCAATTCACGGGTAGGCGCAAGAATAAGCGCAATAGGGCCATCTCCGGGAGCTAAAAGCGGTTGGCTAGAAAGGTGGTTAGAGCTTGGTGTCGCTGGGTGTGCTGCGGCTTACGCATTGATGTGGAGCATGGCAGGAAGAGCAAATGCGACAGTCTTTCCGCTACCAGTCTGGGCAATCGCAACAACATCACGGCCGCTCAGGGCCATTGGCCAAGCTTGGCATTGAATCGGTGTTGGGCCTGCAAAGCCTTGTGCACGGATGGAGGTCATCAGGTATTCGGGAAAGCCTGCCTCCTCGAAGGTGGTCACTGGCCGAGGAATTCCACGCCCTTGAATCTAAGAAAATTATATCAAGACCGACAAATGCAATAAAAAAAGGGTACCTTGATCTCTTTTGCTCTCCTGAAATCTTCGACTTCCTTTTCACTGCGCTCCTTAACTTTCTTGTCTTCGACGTAAAAGTTCTTTTCGAAATGCTCGACCTTGGTGTTAGACCAGTCGATAGAGCGAAGACTTCCACCCAGGTTTCCCATGCGGTCGTCGTTTCCGCCACCCCAGCCCCCACCCCCGCCACCCCCATAGCCTCCACCGTAGCCTCCACCGCCGCCATATCCACCGTAACTCTGCAAGCAAGATGAATTTTCGAGCCTAAACCCATTAGAAGGCGACAAACCATGTCTTGTGTGGGGTGATGGGGGTAAGAGATAGAAAAATGTTTGTGACGCGTCACATGGTGTAACATCGCATAGCCCAAAGACTCAGAGACAGATCGCGTACACGCAGGACCACGTCGACGCTGCAAAGCTTTCCTGTTGCCATTGCGAGCAACCTTCCTCACACATGTCAGGCACAGTCACTGTTGACTTTGGTGCCTCGGACTCTCATACTCGCACTTCTGACGACTTCGAGCAAGTGTCATACCCGACTACACATTGGCCTTCCCAACAACATGAAGAGGGATTACCACTCTATGCAGAAGAAAAGGCACGTAGAAGGGGCCCACGAACCGCCGGCTCAGCACCTTTCTCGGTCGACGAGCGAGATTTATATGATGACGAAGGCAAAGACATTTACAGCAAGTCTCGCGCGTTCAGATCATACAACCCTAACGGTCGACCACGCTATCACGCACCACCCCCAACGTCAATAGTGCGTCAACAAATTGTCTTGCTCCACGAATTGACTTGTTGCACAGAAAGAGTTCTTGCTACAAAACCTCGAGCACGTAATACCAATAATTTACACCCTTCTATCATGCTGGACGCGATATCACAAGATTGGGCATTCAAATACTGTTGTCTGGGACGAGGCTCACTGTGTGTCTTTTCTCCGAACCGAAGTTCTCCGCTAATTCACCGTTCAGTCGGTATGTTGCTCTTTCTTCTAACAGGCATATCCAACCTCCGAAATTTAGGCAAGTTCGGGTCCCAATACATCCGCCGAGAATTCTATTTCGACGTCCATCCACCGTTGGGGAAATTGATTGTCGGTTTTGTGGGCCTACTTGCTGGATATGACGGCTCTTTCGAGTTCAAGAGTGGTAGTGAATATCCTGAAAACGTGCCTTATGTTGCGATGCGCGTGATGCTAGCAACATTCGGTGTCGGAATGGTACCGCTGGGATGGTACACAGCTGTAGAGTTAGGCATGAGCCAGTGGGCGTGTCATCTTGTTGCATTGATGGTCCTTCTGGGTAAGCAAGTTCAATTGGCTATGCCAACCTGAGTAACGTTTAATTAGATGTTGGCTGGCTCTGCATATCCCGCTTCATCCTCCTTGATTCTATGTTGTTGTTCTTCACCCTCCTTGCGGTTTTCTGTATGACCAAGTTCCACAACCAACAATACCAGTGGGTTTTCTATCACGATATCAGCTCAGTCTGTTGACTCTCTAGGCCATTTTCCTTTGACTGGTGGGCATGGTTAACGTTCACAGGCATATCTATTGGTCTTGTTACAAGGCGGGTTTCGTCCACGTAGTACACTATCATCTCTAACTTCCCGATAGCATCAAACTTATCGGTCTATTCGTCACTGCTCTCATCGGTCTCTACACGATTGAAGACTTGTGGGACAAGTTTGGCGACGTGAAAATGCCTGTGGTCAGTCGTATGAAGATTCACCTGATAAAATCTGACTTGTAATCCAGAGAACCCAATTGAAACACTGGGGCGCCAGGATCGGCTGCCTAATCGTCCTACCTATAATCGTTTTTATGGCGTCCTTCAAGCTCCATTTTATAGTCCTCAACCGTTCAGGATCCGGGGACGCACAAATGAGTTCTCTGTTCCAAGCCAACCTTATCGGCAATGATTTTGCAAGAAATCCGTTGGGTAAGCTCCACTTTTCCTGCTCTTTTTAATTCAACAACGTTTTACAGAGATCGCCATCGGGTCGAAGGTCACCCTCAAGAACTATGGCTATGGTGGCGGCTTACTACACTCGCACGTTCAGACATTCCCTGTCGGCTCCAACCAACAGCAAGTTACTTGCTACCACTACAAGGACGAAAATAACGACTGGAATATCCTTCCTCGTTGGAATGAGCCAGAATACGACCCTACAGCTCCTATTCGGTTTCTTAAACACGATGACGTTATTCGGCTGTCGCACGCACCTACAACTCGTAATCTTCACTCTCATACAATCCCAGCACCCGTTACCAAGCTTCACCACGAAGTATCCTGCTACGGCAACGCAACAGTCGGCGACTCCTATGACTATTGGAAAGTTGAAGTCGTAGATGACATTAAAAGAGGAAGCCGCGAGCATGTGGACAAGATTCATTCTCTTACGACGCGCTTGAGATTCAAACACCAGGTTCTTGGCTGTTATCTACGGGCCGCCAATGCCATTCTACCTCAATGGGGGTTCAAGCAAGTCGAGGTCACGTGCGTGCCGGAGAATGACAAGTATGATCCTCATACATACTGGAACGTTGAGAGCCACTGGAACGATCGCTGTTCGTCAATATCTTTCCCGCTGAATCATCATCATCTGACGTTTACAGTGCCTGCTGGAGAGACTAAATATTACAAGTCACCCTTCCTCCATGACTTCTGGCATCTCAATGTCGCTATGATGACATCGAATAACGCCCTAGTTCCTGACCCGGACAAGGAAGACATTCTCGCATCCAAACCCTTCGACTGGCCCTTCATACATTTAGGACTGCGTATGTGTGGGTGGGGCGACTCGCAAACGAAATACTACCTTATGGGCAACCCTCTCATCTGGTGGGGAAGCACGTTGAGCTTGATGCTTTCGCTGGTTGCTCTCGGAGTCTACCTACTGAGACAGCAAAGAAAATATGCTGACATGGATCCACGTGAGTCCAACCACCTCCACGAGTGCTCGATCTCAACTATATTCACAGAGGAATGGGATCACTTCTTGTACGTCGGCAAAGTCGCTTTCCTTGGATGGGCACTACATTATAGTAAGTGAGCAGTCGTGGGTCAGAGCCCGCTGACTAACCTCGCCCAGTTCCTTTCTTAATCATGGGCCGTGTAACCTATCTCCACCACTATGTGCGCCTCTGCCTTCTTGTCATCAACAACTAATATATTCCAGCTGCCGACGCTCTATTTCGCTGTCCTGATGTTGGCTCACCTCCTCGATCATTTCATTTTCTCGTCACGTCGGCTCATTCCACGAACAAAAGTCATCGCCTTCGGCATATGTGCAGGGTCCATAATTCTTACTTTCTGGTGGTTCAAAGGGGTTGCATTTGGTATTGACGGACCAATTGCTGACCACAAGGGCCTGTTATGGCGAGAGGTAAGCCTCTTTCTGTTTCGGAAACGTGACCCATGGTTTTACAGTCCTGGAATATATATACCCAACGCTAGATTGTTCGCTGCCCTCTCTTCTCTAATCTTATTGTCCGTAAAGTCAACTGAGCTTCTTACAACGTCACAAGAAATTGCTGGTAGGGCAGCCAGGTATACGAGTCAAGGTATTGGGACTGCAGTCAAGTCAAACAAGTTGACGGAAGACAATTTGAATACCATTAAAGGCATTAAAAGGCATCGCAGAAGGATCACATAATTATGCATGGACCAGGCTTCTGCGGTTTCTGGGGCTTCTTGGGTTTCTTGTCTGGCGGATAACGCACGCGCATTTGGCGAAGGAGATCCTCAAAGACCTCGTTTATATGCCAGTTACGCTTTGCCGACGTTTCGTAGAATGGCAAATTCCATCGGCTCGCCAGAGACTCTATCGTCGTTGCCGGAACTTCTCGTTCACTGACGAGATCACTCTTGGTACCGACAACGACAATCGGAACCTGCAGATCTCCTCGGTCAGCAGGAAGAAGGGGGGAAAAATGCACTCCCATACGTTTTCAGAACCTTTGATTCGGAATATTTGTTTCCGTAGACTCTCTACTTCCTTCAGGCTGGCTTCTTGAGTCAAACTGGTGAATGTGATCAGAGCGCATGGCGCGGACGAAAGTCGGAGGAATGAACCTGAATACGAGGACAAAACCGCGACCGGACTGCAGGGCGGTGCTTAGCTACTCTGGCTCGATAACGGTGAATGATGATGACCTTGATATAGACCTCGTTCAAGGAGGTGAATTGTTCTGCTCCAGCTGTGTCCAATACTTCAAGCTGGTATGACGTTTAATTAGACGCGTCAAGAAAACGTGATGCAAACGCACTGAAGATAGTTCACCGTCGACTGTCAGTGGTCGATGATACTGTTCTGCTTGGGTTGAGAGCTGTGTCCTAACTATAAGCGCTGAGACCCACCTTCGATCGTGGGGTCGTAGTTCTCAACGAATACATCTCGCACGAAACGGACTAAAGGGTGTTGTCAGAAGGGCATATAGCATAAGGAAATAACCCACCAGTGAGGGCTGATTTACCAACCCCACCAGCTGTTAGGAAACGCGTCGAGTGAGTTTGGGTCCCGGTGAAACGACAATCAAGCAGCTACCTCCGAGAACAACGACGTTGAACTGGCGCTAAACAGACGGTCAACAGTGAAAGCGGGACGTGTAGATGAAGAGACTAACCATGGTATAGCAGAGTCAACCCGTGAGACCGAGTGTAACGGCTTGCATCAGCACTTTTAGATGCGCCCCCGCGTATTCCTAGATTGGAATATCCAGAACGAACCTCTGGGCAGGTAGCTTTTGAATTCTTATTTCTGGGCGTAGCTCACATTCTACAGAGTTATCTTTGAGTTGTTCAATGATGAAGTGCGACCCAGTCATTCCTCCAACTAACATGTCTCACCACCCTCCAGGCACCACGGACTTGTGAGAACTTTCGCGCCCTTTGGTCTGTGGATAGCATCTAAAAGCAATTATCGGCTGACTTTCGTTGCAGCACTGGAGAAAAGGGCCTCTCGAGCGCGGGCATTCCGCTCTACTACAAGAATTGCATTTCACATCGTATAATTCGCGACTTTATGATTCAAGCTGGTGGTATGGACGACGTCAACCTAGATTAGCCTTTGAGTTGTTGACCCGTTCTTGCAGATTTCACCAAGCGAAATGGTCAAGGTGGTGAATCTATCTATGGAGCGCCATTTGAAGACGAGAATCTCGACCGACCTGTCGATAGCCCTTTCCTCTTGTGCATGGCCAACAAAGGTTTGAAAGCATGATACGCAGCGTTTATCTGCCTACTCATCGCCACAATGCAGGTCCAAACACCAACGGCTCCCAATTCTTCATCACTCTGCGTGAGTGCCCACATTTGAACGGCAAGCATACCGTATTTGGTCGCGTAGTCCGTGGCGAGGATGTAGTGTTGAAACTGGGAGATGTTGAAGTTGATGAAAAGTCGCGTCCTTTGACCACAGTTTCCATCACCAACTCGGGGGAGCTTGAACTGCGTAAAGGCACGTATAAAATGCGTTGATGCTGGTCTTCGTTGACTCTACTCAACAGTTTCCAAGCCTGAAGCTCCTACCTCGCCTGAGTCAGAAGAGGAACGTGAAGCTCGCCGACGTCGTCCCAAGTCAAAACGCTCAGCCAGTGAAGAGTCCGAACGACGTCATCGCAAGAAGTCCAAGAAAGAAAGTCGGCGACAAGCGACAAGTCCTGAACCGCAAGTCACAACAGGAACGCGTCAGGAAACGGAGGAGGAATATGACGCGCGATTAGAGAGGGAAGAAAACGAACGAATCAAGGAGCAAAAGAGGAAAGAGCTGGAAAGAATCAAAGAGCGATACGAACGGGAAGCTCAAACAAATCATGAAGGCGTTAGGTATAAAGGCCGTGGGCGAATGGTGTTCCTAGATCCAGGTGGGTTGGCTTGCTTTACTTTCACGAATGTTACTTCTTCTAACTACAACAACACAGAAACTCGACGATAGTACACATTTAAAATTCGCCGCCTTCGTCGTCTTCGTCGCCCGAAACTTCCGCATTTTCCTGACCCACCTTGGCCATGAGTTGGGCCAAGTCTGCTTCGTCCGATTCCGAAACAGCTTTGGGCTGGCCGTATATCTTAGAGAACTGTGCGAACTTAGGATTAGGAATGCTCACCTTCATCTTGACTAGGCAGTTGCCTCCCTCATCCTCGATGCTGGATTGGATACCTTCAATTGCCCGTTCCAATCGTTCGACGGCAGCGAATTTGTCGGTTGCATTGGTACTAGCAGAAAAATATGAGATGAACAGTGTCAAAGACCTTGTCGATGTACCTCAATACGTATAGAGGAGGAGCAACAAGCTTTGCCTTGATTGGGACCGCCTCTGTGCTCGCCTTTTCGCCAGCTCTCAAGGCCCGTTTAATGGCATCGATTCCAGCAGGTGTATAGCAAGTAAGCTCAATATCTGCGCGAAGCTTGATTGGTTGGGGAGTAAGACGACGAGCAATGGTTGCAGTGAGAAGAGAGTGGATAGCCTCTGGAAGAGGGGTGGGCAGTGTGGCAAATACTGTGTCAGGTTCCCTAGATCGAGTCAGATTTTTCTGGAGATCAGTAAAGAATGATACCGCACGTTAATGCTAGCTTGAATGCGTCGTAGGGATGTCCATAAGTGCGTGTGAGAGGCCATGCGATCGTTTCGTATAACATTTCAAGACGCTCCGCTTCACCAGCCGCTGGCGGTGGAGGCTCATCAGCAACAGGTGCTGCATCTTCACCATCGGCAGCTCCCTTTTTCCGGGATCGTTTCTCTCGTTCGCCAGGCACTTCTCCACCGAGTTTGCTTGCTACATGTCGTAGAATGCTAGCAACACTTTTGCTCTTCATGTAGCGTTCTTCACAGCGCGTAATGTCTTCAGGCGATACCCGTCGCTTCGATAAATCGATATAGCCCTTTTCATTGTCGACACGGAGAACAACTACGACCTCGTTTCGCCCAACACGGATGAGCTTTTGGACAGAGCGAATACGACGACGAGAAAGCTCGGACAAGAGGATCATGCCCTCAATCCCATCGTATTCCAATAGTCGCACATAGGCTCCCATTTCTGCAATGTGCTGCACCTGAACCATAACGAGTTCATCGACTTCGGGATATTTTTGCTGGTAATACCGCATCGTGAGGTGAAGATTGAGATTGGGAGTGGTCACGGGGTCACAAAATCTATTCTGACGACAAAAACAGATGAACTACAGAGACAAGATACTACAACAAGTCAAGGCCTGAAGAGAGAAGATCAGCATGCAGTAAAAAAGAGGACAGCTTGAATCAAGAAAAAGATCAGTAGGAAGGCATGCGGAAGAGTCCACACGAGGTTTTGCGCTCTCGGACAACGAGTCTTTGACTCTACATCCGTACTGGTTTCATCCGAGGAGAGATATGACAAGTATATTGAGACTTACTGCAGCTGGCTAGCGTACTCAATTGTTGTGGTGACGGAAAGAAAGAGAAAAGTTCGGGGTGACAGTGCGTTACTTGCCTTATGTAGTCGTTTCCTGTCATCCGTTCTTGTCTTGTCCGCATCCATGTCGTATCCTTACCAACAACAACCACCCTCACAAGCTTACCCACAATCTTATGATCCACGGCAATATCCCCAAAGCCATTTCCAGCCACAACCCCAGCAGTACTCGCCTTATGCCCATCCTCAACAATACCATACCCCCCAACATCCACAGCAGCCATATCAGCACCCACATCATCATGCTCAGCCACTGCGACCCCGATCGATAGGCCATACCCATTCTCATTCTGTACCTCATCATTCGTATGGTAACCCGCCTCCAATCGCGCCGTCTGCTTGGCAGGCTCAGGCAGTTCAAGCCCAAGCGCAGGCAGTTCAAACCCAAACCCAGTCCAGGCCAGCAGCACGGCCTCTTCCAGCTCCAAGACGCGCAGAAACACTCCCACAAGGCCCTGCTAATCCAATACCGGTGGCTTCTCGTCCATTGCCAACACCAACTTCATCCTCGATCCAGTCACCAATACAAAGAAACGGTGCAAAGCATCACTCTATTGATCTTGGTCGACCTTCAATTCCTCATGAACAACGCAGTCATTCTCCTCCGCGGCGACGCGCTTCCCCTCCCCGATTCACTGGTGGCTCTGGGTCATGGACAGATGTTCCACCCCAGCCAGCCGAACCACCACCGCCTATTTCCACGATCAGTAAATCGAGTGATTTCAAAAATTTACTTTCTGGTCCACCACCACAAATCGAAGGCGGGAAATTTGTACCCTTGTGGAAACGCGGTCTCGCCAATAATGGAACCGCGTCAGGCTCATCTTCCGGTCGTCCCCTTCCGACTCCCTCAAAGACTCCAGCTGCCCCATCAGCAGAGAATGGGCTCAAACGAGGTGGCTCTCTACACATCCGTTCGCCTGCCTCCGCTGTTACAGAAAAGTCGCCCACACCTTCGCCTGAGCCTTCAGACGATGACGAATCGGAATCGGAATCAGGGTCTGAGGCTGAGACGAGAACGAGTGTAACAGAGAGCACCAGGCCAGATGACTCTGAATCTGACTCTGGGTCAGAATCAGAAAGTATCACCTCTCCCGTCTCTCCTAGCTACGGCATTCGGGATCTACCGAGACCTCCCTCTATGGACACTCGTGCAACTACATCTACACTTCCCCAACCACCTCCGATGCGCAATTCTGCTTTTGAGGGACGAAGCGCTCCAGCGGCAATGCAAAATTCAGGAAGTAGTCGGACGCTTATGTTTGCTGCTGCTGGGCTGGCCAATCACCACGGAAAACCCAACGGATGGCCTGTTGGGATTCCTCCGTTACCCCGTACACCTGGGAGCAGTAACATGAAACGCGAAATTGGCGATCTTGAAGATTCACCCCCCGTTTCTAACATGCGGAGAACCTCTTCATCTACGTCAAGCGCTACCGGTCTCCCGAGCTCCCCTCTCAAATCACCGACTTTTTCGTCCGCCCGACCGGTCCCCACCTTGACTTTCGACCCACCATCAACCCCGAAGTCAGCTGTTCCTTCTTTCACCATCACCAGCTCCTCCCCCCCATCAGTCCCCATAATCTCGCTACCAGATGACAGTCCACCTTCAGTGAACATCAAAATCAATTTACCAGATGACGAGGGGCCTTCTATCTCTATCGAAGAAGTCGACACAAAACCGAAATCGACCCCTGAAGTCTACGAAGTTCCGGGGATTAGCTTCTCAGGCGGGTTACCCTCCTCCTCCTCAGCCTCCCGGGTTCTTCCTGCGACTGCCCCGAATACTAGACAACTTCGAGGCATTGCATGTGGTGGATGCAACAAGTACATTGTTGGTCGCATTGTCAACGCTATGAGGCTGCGTTGGCATCCAGAATGCTTCGTGTGTTGTGTTTGTAGCGAAAATCTAGAGCACGTGAGTAGCTATGAACGCGATGGACGCGCTTACTGTCATCTGGATTATCATGAGGTGAGTCCTAGGTTGAATTTATCGTGTTTTCGTCCTGATCCAGCATAGCACTTTGCACCTCGATGCTTCAGTTGCAAGACCCCAATAGTAGATGAGAGGTTTATCTCGCTTGATGACCCCGAGCTTGGAAAACGAACGTATCACGAGCAGCACTTTTTTTGCTCAGAATGCGGGGACCCATTTTTACCTCCGTCACAACCTGCAATCAAAGGCGAATTAGCATTCTCTGGGGACGGTGCTTTCATGTCAGATGATGTCGGTTTCACAGTATATAAGGGCTACCCTTACTGTGAGGCCTGTCATGTGCGCTTACGATTTCCCAAGTGCAAGAAATGCAAGCGGAGTATTCGAGACGATGACGAGGCTGTTGAAGCATTGGGCGGAAAGTGGTGCTGGGCATGTTTTTGTTGCACAAGCTGTGCTAAGCCTTTCGAGACGCCTGCATTTTTTGAGAGGGACGGGAAGCCGTGGTGTGAACTTTGCTTTAGCATCATTCTACGAAACGAAGTGTAGCGTTAATTGTACCATCACTTTCTGTATCAAACCCCCATGAGTGAACTCAAGAAACGTCAAAGACAAGACTATCCCTTCGAGCTAAGTTATAGAACCAGATGGTAGGTTTTGTCCAGTGTTTGAACCATTCAATTCAAGCTACGCTAGGAGTGACAACGACCAGTACCAGCATGCAAATAATGCGGCTTACTATCTGTGGTTCGACTCAATAATCAACACCTATCTACAAGAGCACTGTGGGCAAGACCCAGCTACGAGCCCTACTATAGGACTAGTAGTCTCTTCCTGGTGCGAAGTAAATCCACATTGTTTACTCAAAATCCGGTTATTGGACTGACCGGTCCGAATTTTGGCAGTTCTTTGCGCCAGTGTCGTTTCCTCAAGTCTTAGATCTGGGACTACGAGTGACCAAACTTGGCACGTCCTCAGTGAGCTACGAAGTCGCGGTATTCGTCGCAGGACAGCCCGCACCATCGGCTGTCGGTGGTTATACTCATGTTTTTGTTGAGCGACAAAGTAGAACCAGTGCCTCAATGAGGGCAACGACGAGAGACGGTCTAAAAAAGTTGTGTGTAGAACATCTAGCCAAATTATGACCCATTTTATCTGCGAATTACGGGCGAAACGATGACAGTCACAACGTGACCACACGCGTCTGCATTCACCACGACCGACCATGGGTATCAAGGGACTGACTGGTCTGCTCTCTGAGCACGCGCCAAATGCGATAAAGGAACACGAAATAAAGACGCTCTTTGGCCGTAAAGTTGCCATCGACGCCTCCATGTCCATTTACCAGTTCCTCATCGCTGTCCGACAAAAAGACGGCGAACTTCTAACAAACGATGCTGGAGAAACGACAAGCCATCTTATGGGTTTCTTCTATCGCACTATCCGAATCGTTGAGAACGGTATAAAACCTGCCTATGTCTTCGACGGCAAACCGCCAGAGCTTAAAAAGGGGGTCGTGAGTTGGCCATTCGCGTTTCTGCTTCTTTTTGTATGACCATACTTTTCTAGCTATCAAAACGATTTGAGAGGCGCGAAGAGGCAAAAGAAGGTGGGGAAGAGGCCAAAGAAGTCGGCACAGCGGAGGATGTCGACAAATTCTCGCGTCGGCAAGTCAAAGTTACGCGTGAACATAACGAGGAATGCCGGCGACTCCTCAAGCTCATGGGAATCCCGGTCATTGTAGCGCCTTCGGAAGCGGAAGCCCAATGTGCAGAACTTGCTCGTGGTGGCAAGGTCTTTGCGGCTGGCTCAGAAGACATGGACACTCTTACTTTCTCCGCTCCTATCCTATTCCGCCACCTTACATTCTCTGAAGCTAAAAAGCAACCTATCAGCGAGATTAATCTGCAAGCCGCATTAGACGGTTTAGACATGGACATGAGTCAGGTGGGTTATATCTAGACACAATCCGCAATATTTTGACATGTGCTCAGTTCATTGACCTCTGCATTCTTCTTGGATGCGACTATCTCGAACCAATAAAGGGTGTTGGTCCAAAATCTGCTCTGAAACTCATTCGGGAGCACGGTGGCCTCGAGGGTGTGGTAAAGCACCTGCGTGGAAAGTATGTCGTTCACACTATCCAAGCATCGTGATGACCGAATCAATTTAGAGCTGCAGAAAGAGCGGCGGTGCCTTCGGACTCTGAGGAGGAAGAGGAGCCTGCGCCAACTTCAGATGTCGAGAAAAATTCGGAGGATGATGAGGACGAAGAGCCGAAACCCAAGCCAAAAGCAAAGAAGAAGGGCAAAGGAAAGGCCAAGGGTGGTATGGTCATCCCGGAGGAGTGGCCATGGGAGGAAGCAAAAAAGTTGTTTGAAAAGCCAGATGTGACACCAGCCGACGAAGTTGAGGTATGGACAGCTAATTACACCGTTGCTGGACCTCACATTTATTACAGCTGGAGTGGAAGAATCCCGACCTAGATGGGCTGCTGCAATTCTTAGTCACCGAGAAGGGGTTCAGGTCTAATTCTCTCTGTTGGCATTCCTTATTTGCTAAAACTTGCTTCAGTGAAGAACGTGTTCGCAAGGGTGTTGAGAAGTTGACCAAGTTCCTGAACGCGAAACAGCAAGGGCGACTGGATGGATTCTTCACAGTAAAACCGAAAGAAAAGAAATCTCCGGCCAAGAAGGAGCCCGTCAAGAAAGGCACCAAACGCAAAGTGGGTCTAATATTATGTTGTGGATTCCACTGACGTCTATTGAGGGTGACGATAAGGCGGAATCTAGTGGTGGTAAGAAAGCTAAGACGAGGAGGTAGTTGTAATGGCGTGTGTTTTGTACTTATCTTACTTTTGTTTCTCTCTTGTCAAATTTGCCATCAGCGTCGGCGTCATCACGCGTCTCGGCAACTTGACCACATACTTTTTCGTCCAGACGGCGACAACGGCGGTCTCCGCTGGAAATGTACTCAAACATTCGTCGCAAGATACCACCTATCCTTCCAACTTTCAAGGCCTTTACTTATGGACTAGCCGTTCCTTCGCGACGCGTTGCGGACTCAAGCCGACCAGTCCATCGCCAATTCACCACTATGATTGGAGCAGGTTCCCTCCGGAGGCGCTATGCCCAACCCAACCCAGCTGCCTTGAGAAATATGCACATCAGGGCGATCTCCTACTCATCCATTCCTCGTTTCATCGCTCGTGCATTCCGCGTTCCTATTGCAGGCGCTACTATTGGAGCTGGCAGCTTTGGCTACGCTAACTACAAGTTCGAAGGTATGTCTTTGACATCAGCACGCTTTTTGGAGTGTCTGAGCCGCGATAGAATTTCGCAAGACTTCGACTGCATGGATGAACTCAGTCCAAGATACGGCAACTGACCTCTTCGATACTGCTTCCGACTCGCTCAAGACTGTCTCTTCTCGAGTCTCCGACATAAACCTGCCTAAACTCGAAACGCCAGAGTTTTTGAAGGACCTGTTCCAGGCAGCGAAAGAGAGGCGAAAGCAAAAGCAGGAGCAACAGCAAGAGGGTGAGCCTGAGGGTTCCAATGAACGGCCACCCACAGACCAAGCAGCAATTGCTGCTCTGGTAGCCGCCACCATGTCTTCCCCGTCTGAGCCCAAGAACAGATCAGACGAAATCGACGGTCGCAGCAACGGCCTAATGCATCTCACCCGCAAATTGATTGAGATACGGAGCATGCTGCTGAGCATTGACCAGAGTGATGCCCTCAAGCTACCCAGTATCGTTGTTATTGGGAGTCAGAGCTCGGGCAAGAGCTCTGTTCTCGAGTCGATTGTTGGACACGAGTTTCTACCCAAGTAAGTGGTGTTGATTTTTTTTCTGTACCACCATAACCTTATACCAGGGGAAACAACATGGTTACACGACGCCCCATTGAACTTACTCTCGTTCACACATCTCCTGCAGACGGCAAAGCTGTCGAGTATGGCGAATTCCCCGCCCTTGGATTGGGAAAAATAACCGACTTCACCGTTATTCAACGCACTCTGACTGACCTCAATCTCGCTGTTCCCGACTCCGAAGCAGTCTCTGCAGAGCCCATTGATCTACGAATTTACTCTCCAAACGTGCCTGACTTGACTTTAATCGACCTACCGGGCTACATCCAACTTGCTTCTCTTGACCAACCGGAAGAGTTGAAGGAGAAAATTGCGGGTTTATGCGAGAAATACATCCGGGAGCCAAATATCGTCCTGGCGGTCTGTGCAGCGGATGTCGATCTTGCCAATTCACCGGCTTTGCGGGCCAGTCGCAAAGTTGACCCACTCGGTCTGCGGACATTGGGGGTTATCACTAAAATGGATCTGGTTACTCCTGAACAAGGAGCAGGCATTCTCGCTGGCAACAGGTATCCTCTCCATTTGGGATATGTTGGTGTCGTAACAAAGGCAGCCAAGACGTCCAAACGCGACTCCACCGCCTTGACGGTGTCCAACGACTATTTTTCCTCCCATCGAGAGGTATTCGGCAGCTCTACCTCTCTGATGGTAGGGACTGATACTTTGCGTCGCCGTCTTATGGAAGTTCTTGAATCTTCTATGGCCTCCTCGCTACATGGAATCACCAACGCTGTACAGCTAGAGCTGGAAGAAGCGACCTACCAATTCAAGGTTCAGTACAACGATCAAAGAATAACCGCCGAATCGTATGTTGCGGAAACGATGGATGCTCTTAAACTGCGATTCAAGGAATTCACGCAGCAATTCCGCCGCCCAGCTATTCGCGAAAAACTCAAGAATATGCTTGACGAAAAGGTTATGGATGTTTTGGAGCAGCTTTACTGGCTGGACAAACGGGCTCCTGAGCTTGGTACAATTGCCCAGGATCCTCGTCTAAAGCCAGAGGACGTCGAGCCGTACTGGCGACACAAACTCGAAGCGGCATCTTCGTTGCTGACAAAATCAGGAGTGGGTCGTGACTCGACATTGCTCATTGCCGACGGCCTTCGAGGACTTATTGACACCATCGCGTCGGGCGAACCATTCACTTTCCACCCCCGAGCATCAGAGCGACTGATCCAATTCTCGCACGCCATTTTGAGGGATAGGATAGGCGTTACCTCTGACCAGGTAGAGAACTGCATCAAGCCTTTCAAGTATGAGGTCGAGGTGGAGCCACGAGAATGGGAACTTGGCCGTGAGCGGGCGATTGACTTGTTCGAGAAGGAAGTCGTAATGTGTGAGTCCAAGTTGAAGGATATTCGCAAAAAGGTTGGTGGGAGTCGTCGGCTGGGTGGGCTAGTCAGCTATGTGAAAAGCTTGGAGGAGAGAGAGCGAGAAAGGAAAATGAAGCGATTGGAAGGGTCTTCAGACGACACGGATTCCTCCGAATCTTATCGCTATCCTCCAGCCCAGATTATTGATGGCAAGTTAAATTTCCGTCGACTTTTCCCTGGTTGGCTCACTTGTTATTCAGCTCGTCATGCTATCATGTACAACGACCGACTGGGAATATTACGCCTTCGACTAGCAGCGTTGAAGTCGAAACGTTGCAAAGCGGGTCCTCAGAGCGAGGTATTCTGTCCTGAAGCATTCCTGAACGTGGTCGCGGACAAACTCGCTTACACATCCGCCATGTTCATCAGCATCGAATTGCTGGATCAGTTTTTCTATCAGGTAAGTTTCACAAGCAATGGTCTTTCCTTGATTGACGAAACTGGGGTCAAGTTCCCTCGTGAAATTGACTCTCGGCTACTGTACGACCTTGACCGGAAGGAGATTGTCGAGTTTGCACGTGAAAATCCAGTCGTGCGACGTCACCTAGATCTACAGGACCGGAAAGACAAACTTGAAGAGGTAACTAGCAGAACTGGCTGAGTCTTACTATTGGCTGACTTGGTTTTTCTATAGGTTATGAAGCAGCTGAACAGTCTGTCGACACTGCGACCTGACGCGCAACCCGCTCCTCGCCGCCAACGGGGTCTTTTTGGGATGTTCTGAGCACTTATGACTATTCTGGATGTACATGTAGAACCTTATAATGATATCCGTCCGTTCACTAACAATTCGGTGAATCCATTACAGCTTCGCTTTAGGCTTGCCCGCCTAGAGGCCACGGTGAGACCACATATGGGAGTGGGAAGTTAAATGGACGCCAACCTTGAGCACACCATCGAGTTTTGTTGCAAGCATCATGTTGCCCTTCGTCTTGAGTTTGCCAGTCATGAAAGCTTTCTGGCCGTTAAGCTGTGGTTTAAGATGAGTAACAGTCAGTCCAACTGAACGCATTCAACGTACCTTGCCAGTTGCAAGTCCGACAAGAGTCTCGTCTGATAGGATGACCGTAACATCGGCCTTGGTCTTTGCCTTGCCGAGGTAAACAGTGCCAGTCTTCTTCAGATCCAATGTCCATGTCGTGGTGACTTTGTCTGCGTTGGTGACTTCGAGCTCGATAATGCCGTTCACCTGGGAGAGTAAGTAGAGCACCAGCGATGCGGGAGGGTGCAAACGAGCGTGCCTTTTTGACCTGAGCAGCCTTTTCTGTGTCGCTCATGGTGCTGAACTGCTCATTGATAGCAGCAATGAGGTCAGAGGACTGGCATAGGAGGTTAGAAAGCTTGGCCGATTGTGGCGCTAAGATACATGCCTGGAAGCCGTCAACTTTGAGGTCGGACATGGTTTTGGGGAGAAACACAAAATGATCTGGAGTGGGGAACCGGTGATCATTCGGGCCGTTGTTTGTTTGGCAAGGCTTCGGCTTGGCTAAGACCACAACCCGACAATGAAGTTCCTCGATTGTCCAACACTCGCTAATCTATCTGAGGCGCTCAACCATGAGGTATGAAGAGTAGTATGCCCTTGGTCTTGACTCTGACCATTCAGGGACCTGAATGCTCTGTCCATACCCGCATCGAAGCCTACTCGTGCAAGCAGATAAAGCGAGACAAGAAGTTGTTCAAATCGCTCGAACAAAGCTACCAAACCGACGTATCCAACTCCCCACCGCTTCCAAGCTGGACTGGGCTCGACCGTGAGGCCGAAATGACACCCTTTGGTCCGATAGGCAAGGAATCATCAAGAAAGACACTCTACCTCCTCATATCAACGCTGAACAACGCGTTCCCGGACTACGACTTTTCGAATATCCAGCCAAGCCAGTTCAACAAAGAGGAAAGCGGGGCCTCTGTGTTAAATGCGTTAAGCACAACACTGGTCGCCCCACACAGAGCGGGAATGACCGCCCCGCGCACTTACTCATCTTACCCACCAAGCTCATCTGACGCCTTTCCCTCTTCTGAACCCACTTCTTCTTCACCTCTGAGCTCAATTTTGCGGAGTCCCTTCGCCCCACCACCTATTGTCTCAGGCACGCATCCCACGTTGTTTCGCCTCATTGACGAAGTTATTGGCCTGAAAGAATGCGAGGTCTTCTCATATGCACCAGAGATAGAGTCGGACCCGCATGCCAGTGACTTTTCCGATGACGAGGTTGACATTTCACCCGACGATGAAGAGGGGTCCTCGTCTGACGAAGAGTTGTTCCAGTTTGATGACTATGACGTCGACGAAATCAAACCACCAAACCGTGCCAGAAGTCGGTATAGTGTAGCAACACCAAGAGTTGCTGCACTCTCAAGCGGCTTCACTCCATCCTACAAGCGTCGAGGAACTTTGCTGTGGTCATCTCACTGGTTTTTCTTGAATCGAAAATTGAAGCGCATTCTTTTCGTTTCCATCTGGGCGCGTAGTCGTGGCTTGAACCGTTCTTGGACAAGTGACGAGGAATTTGATGCACTTCACTCCAAGACTCAGAAGGAGCGCTTTCTGGGATGGGAGGGCGGCGCTGGCGCTGGCGCCCGTGCTTTGGGCCTTTGAGCATTACTGATCTTCGTAAGTTCATTGGCTCTTCCTCTTTTCCTATTTGACCAGAGTGTTGAATCGCTTTGCCAGCGCCATGTTGTCTGTATCTTACTGATCTGAGGACTCTTTTTTAGCCTGTTGTGTCTGAATTTGTACCACTACTCACCCGAGTAACATATCTTCACCTATATTCGTGTATGCTCTATTGCTTCAGATATTTTGTTAGTCTAGTACCAATGCGACAACTTACTTGCTCAATTCTATTCCGTGATCGCGGGACACGTCAACTTGGCACAGAGAGAAAAACTTGTCTCGGAGTCGTGGGCATATCGATGAGCATGAAGCATCAAGATCCAAGGCATAAGGCTTGATGGGGGAGAGCAAAAGCACTTTGCCTCGTGGCCTTTAAGGTTGGGACAACGGTGGTGCAAGAGGTCAAGGTCAAAACCAGAAATCGATGACCCAAATGAGTCAAGCCATCAATCAGCTACCGGCTATTCCAGGACCGGCCAGTCCGGATCGACATCATGCACAAAGTTTGCCAGTACAGAAAACAACGATTCTACAGCCATATAATATTTCAGAATTTACGTCGCTGGGTGCTCAATCGGCGGGGCCGCCAAATCGGAAATGTCTGGCAATGGGGGAGAGACGGAAGGTAACGCGGTCGCTTTCCATCCCGTTCGGAAGGATACTACTGCGGCAATAAAGGACAGTATATCAACGACAAGCTGGAAAAAATGGTCAGTCACGACAAAGTTGGAAGAATTGGATATAAAATACCGAGTTCTTGATTAAGCCTCCGTCTATCGACCAATGGAGGGCAAGTGGAAGATTACAGGCATTCACAAGCAATCCACTGAAGTATGCATCCCACTTTCGAGCCAGATCCTGTTTCTCTGCAGCAGTGACTGTGCCTCGACTTTTACGGCGTAACGCGCGTTGTTGGAATTGTAACAATTGGCGATCTTCACGCAAATGCGCGAATTGGAGGACGATATAAGATGCCCAGAAGCGGCAAGACCAACGTGAGAGAAAACCTGAGTCGAGGGATATTGGCTTTGCGGTGGAGTCAAAAATAGATACTGGCGAGGAGACGGAGGCGGGAATAACGTCGTGGGTGCGGAGATAGCTGAGATGCTCAAGAGGGTAATAGCCGAGCATTGACCAGCCTTGAAGACGCTCGATTGTTAGCAGATTTCGAGTGGGTTGCTGGGTCCGTTCAAGGGAGATCAGCCATTGGAAGATTTGAAGGAGACCTAATGGATTGTTAGTAAAAAAATACTGATAGTTTGCACCGAATCTACCCCAAAACCGCCCGAGCATCTGAGAGTCACTTATAATGCTCGCAAATTTACTAAACCCAGTCGCAGCACTGCTGGTGGCCACCCTGCTCAGACCCGCGCGATGCTGAAGGCGAGCGCGAAGATGGAGTAGAGGAACCAGGATTTTACATGTGGATTGGAGAAGCTGAAAAGAGTTGAGTCGGGTGTTTAGAGCAAGTTGCTCATTCGTCTACCGTGAAGAATTTGCTGCGATTTCAAGGTTAACACTTGATTGAAATTGAGACGCAATACGCAACTCGGTGCCGCTCCAGGTTGAGAGCAGTCGAAGTAGGTGGTCCAAACCCTCCGATTGCGGCAATAGTAGACCCCATACGCCTAGCACAGAGTCGTTTAGTCGAGCAAGTGAGTATTGTGGTTTCCGGGACATGAGAGCTGCCGGCAGCGTGAGAAATATTTTTTGCCAACGACCTCTCAAGCCCATTATCACCTGCCAGTATATTTCTTTGTCACCGTCCTTAATGTTCTCGATGAAGAAGCGGGATAAGCTTGAAGTAGTTGTCAGTGACACTGAAGTTGCTCTCCAAAGAGGAATAACTCCTTAAAAGGATGATCTGATATGGCAGAAACCTTTTAACTTCCTAAGAAGTCGGACGCATCTGAGAAGGCGAGGTCTTGTGTTGTGCACGCTTTGGATTTTTATTTCTAGGCAGAAGTATTTGGAGGCTATGAATTGCGCGAGCACGTGACGAGGAGAAATGCGGATGTCACGCGAATGTGACAGGCTGTGGTAAGACGCGCATAACACATGTCACATCTTCCTCTCTCTTGGTCCTGACCACATCTGAGAAGCTGCTACGCGTATCCCAACGCCATGCTCACTGCCTACTTTGACCTAGATACTAGTTTCGGCCTCTTGACCCTCATCTTCTCCCTTCTCTCTCTCTGGGCTATGGTTGACACTGTTAACATGACGCTCGAGGTCCTCGTCCTCATCGTTGATATGGTTAATCTCCTCCCATTCTTGCTCCTTCGTGGCGCAATCTCTCTATACTTCAGCCTTGTGGCAGTTGTATTCGTTCTCCCTTTCTACGAGGAGAAATGGCCTAAGGTGGTCAATCAATGGACTCTTCTGAGTCGCCGCGATAAAAAGAGTGGCCTGGCTTTCGCTTGCGCCTCTCTATTCGTAATGGCCATATTCTATACCGTCATTGGCCTGGTCGTGACGGTGTGCCACTTGTTGCGTTTCGTTCACTCCAGTCTCTCCCTTGCGATGATGACCTTGGTCATCTTGAGCACTCTTGTTTGTGTGGCGTCGTCGTGGCATCTTCTGTCGATACTCATCAAAACCTGCGTTCAGCGCATCAGAGGTATATTTGTGTTTGGCATTAAACAGCATACGCCCACTGGTTTGTGGACACTACGAACGACCCACCTTCCGCTTCCCAGACTTACTGGCTTCTCGGGGCTCGTCATCATCGTCGCTGCCGACATTCATTTGACGCCAGGCGACTCGGAGGAAACGTGTGTAATCTCTCCTTTCAAGTTGCGTTTATTCTCAACGAGTATAGCCCACCAGCAAGTTTCCTAGTGTCGTGTTTATCCAAACTCCTGTCTTTCTGGAAAACGACAACCAGCCAAACTATTTCGAAACACCTCCATGTCTCCATTCCACGCGCGCTGTTTACCCAGCACCTACCACCCATGATGAAGCCGGCATTGCCAGTGGATACGTCTTCGACTCAAGAGAATAATGTTACTGCTTTGACAATGACTCAACTCCCAGCACCTAACTGGCATTATTGTTTCGACCCCGTTCTCTTCAACCAATTGAAGATGGTCACCACATGCAACAACAACATTCCCCAATCGATTAGTCCAACCATACCTTTTTTCCAACATACGCTCACTGTGCCGCCTGACTTGTATGCGACTCTCTTTACCAATGGTGGAATGACCGTCAGCCCAGCACCTAATTTGGCGACTCCCTCCATTTGCAATCATCCTGTCCTAGCGAGTGAACCATCGAGCGCAGAAACCACTGCAACGCTGAATCCAAACGCAAATGCATTCGTTCCAGCAAAACTTCCTGTTCTTGAAGGCGCCGCTCGTCGCGCCTATCTCGAGAAACGATGGGAGCAACGACCTTCCACTGGTCCTCCCGCTTTCTGGCAACCCAGGCCAGAAATTGCCCAACCACCACCACCACCTCCAAAGCTTCAGCCGGCTTTCAAAAAGTGCCGCAACCGTCGTCCACGACAGAACCGTACTCTTGACCCAACAGGAACAGAGAACCAGATGCTGTAATACCATCTCATTGCTTCATATAGATTAAAATTGTTCGTGGATACCTACCTTCTTGCTTAGACTTGATACCTTGCTTCGAAGTACATATAATCTACTTGAATAATAACCAATCACGACCATCACCCCCTCTGAACCTGTGTCTTCCTTGAACGCTCACCCAGATTGCTGGCTATGAGCTCCATTGCTCTAAAGCTACTCCCTTTGCTCGCTGTCGGCATAGCTTGCTTGGTCTACTATATCAATGCCCCGACTCTTTTACCGAGCTCGCTCCAAGTGGGCCGGCCACTACCACGAATTGCTGTGACTGGTCCGTCAGACCCGTTGCTCTATCTGTGCCAGCCTGAACATCCAAAGGAAGCAATGGTTCGGTGGGGAAAAGGGTGGTATTGGGGGCACTTGCCCATGGATTCCATGTTGTTGGGATTGGTGAGTTTCTGTGCAACTGGACGACTGAGCCGGCTAATATGTACAGACCATTCGCCGCTTGCAACTGCCAATGATTTAGATCTCGGAGACAACTTCTCGTTTCTCCAAACTGACCTAACCGACTACAATGCAACCCTGAAGGCGTTGTCCGGTTGCGACGCAATTGTGCATCTAGCTGCGCTCCCCAACCCAACTGACTACAAGGTGGCCACTCATAACATGTGAGACTCCCTTATTCGAATGTTTTGGGGGGCTCAACAATGGACGGGTAGCAATGTCGTTATCTCCTGGAATATCCTTCGCGCTGCAGCAGAGGTATGTCAGGATTGGTTTCGCCGCGGTTTTCTTATGATTGTGTGGTGTAGCTTGGGATAAAGCGCGTCGCGCAGGCCTCTTCTGTCAACGTGGTGACGCTTGTGTTCAGTCAACAGCCAGTGCTAGAATATCTGCCCCTCGATGAGGAGCATCCAATTGAGCCTGACGAACCGTATGGGCTCTCGAAAGTGTACGTCTCGGACTCACCCTCTTTACGTCTGATAAGCCCTGCAGAATATGTGAACTACAGGCCAGTGAGTGGCCATTTGACCTTCCGGGAGTTTTTTTATCGTAACCCCCGCCCCCCCCAGAAACCATCGTGAGAAGATACCCAGACATGCGTGTTGCAAGCCTACGACTGCATTGGTCCGTGCCAAACCGCACTTTCGCCAATGAGCGAGAACACACGTACAACGCTAAACACGACTTGTGGGGCTACGTCCAAGAAGATTCTGCTGCTGAGGCGTTCATGCTGGCTGTGACTAAGCCAACCGAGCGGTGGCCGTCAGCGGCAGAGGCTTTCTTCATCGTTGCACCAGATACCATGACAGACACGGACACTATGGAACTCATAAAGGAGCACTACCCAACTGTTCAAATGAAAAACGGAGCAATCTCGGGAAGAGGGTCTTTCTTCAACTGCGCAAAAGCAAAGGACCTTTTGGGCTGGGAACATCCTACGTAGCATAATTTATTCGTGACTTATAAATCTACTCAGAAAGCATGCCAAAGCAGAAAAAAAAAAAACAATCAAAGTGGGATACAGCTGTCTTCCCCGCGCCCAGCTTGAAGGGTATCGAGAAGAACCGAGCTGCGCATTCGCAGGTCGGTCACTTCCTCAGTCAGAAGGCGAGTCCTACTACGTTCTTCTGCGCGAAGTTTGGTCAACAAGGGCAAATGCTCTCTAGCCTTGGCCCACTTGTCACACCGTATACCGATAGCATCGATTCGCTCGAGAGTATCGGACTCAGAGTCGTCTGGGGCAGCGTGGTCCCAGGTCACGCCGAAATCGAGCGCAATGCCAAGAGGACATATCTGGCTGAGGAATAGCGCGACTTCGCCAGGCTCGGAGATGAGTGAAGTGCCCGTCGATAAACGTCGCAATTTAGCGAATGGTTTAAGTTGGTATGTTGTGGCTGCATAGGCCGAGGGAAGATCACCCGACGAGGCATTGATGAATAAGCCCAAGTGTTCCAGCTCGCGACAGTGTGTGGCGAAAGGTAGCAAAGCCCCAAGTGTCAGATCGCAGTGGTCTGAAACCGCGGGTTCGTTGTTGAGTATAAGTTTCCGCAACGACGGCCAAGATTGCGCTAGTTGCTGGATGTTGTCAATAGTCAAATCCAATGGGAATTGGTGGATAAGTTCAAATGTGACGAGGTTGGGAAAAACGAGCAGTGGTTGTAGATTGGAAAAGTTGATGCGCAAGTCTGAAGGAATATCAGAGAGTTGCCGGTTGTCCGTGTTATCAATATGAGCGAGGATTCCGAGCCCTTCCAAGAGCTGGCAAGAGTCTGATAAACTCTCCAGGAATTCCTGAACAATTGAAGGCGACTCGATTAATGCGGAATCCACATAGAGGGTCGTGAGATTTGTCGGCGAGAAAGGCTGCTTCATGAAAGCAAGCGCGTCGTCTAGCGTAACAGTCATGGAGACATCCCAAAGGGATGGGAATGCCCCCATTTGTAGTTTGGGGCGGAAAACACTGGAAGTGTCATCGGGGTCCCCGATTCCCTGGTCCTGGTGGTACTGGAATTCAAGGCAGCCAAAATCCTCCAGTCGAGCCAATGTTTCCGCGATACGCGTTGTTACATGGTAACGAGGAAATACGGCCTTGCGGAGCTTGGTCAGGCTTTCAAAGAGGAACACCATATCGTCCTCGATGTCGTGCATTGGAATAATTGTGCGGATGTCAAGGGTGGTGAGATTGGGCATTCGCGTGGTGACATCGCGGAAGAAGGACCTGAATTCGGCTGTTGGACTTGTTTCGTCTTGAGGCATCCAGAGTATGAATGTTTTCACGTGACTGGACATGAAGATGACCGACAGGGGCAAGGGAGCGCGCCAGTCCAGGTAAACAAGGTTGGGAAGGATAGCTAAGCTAGTACGCGTCCGACTCGCGTCCTCAAATACTGAGGCTTCAAGGGGAGTACCATAGTCGGCATCGAAGATAAGTCTTCGAACCCGCCGCGTATATTTTTCAAGTCTCTTCCAGTCACTTGCGTCTGGAGCAACACTCCAGGCCTACAACAGCGTTATTAGAATACGTGTCAAGTTTAGTGGGGGAATAACGCACATATACGGCATCTTTGTCTCCTGCAACTTTCTCCAGTGGTCGGAGAATCCGAAAGAGGCGCGCTAGATCGCTCAAGTTGCTCCATAAAATGTTGAGAGCCACCTCAGACCATTGCGTGCAAACTAAGGCATTGGAAGTGTTGGATTTGTCGTCCAAATAGCGGAAGATGAGATCTAGCAGCTCTGGGATAGCAAGTACACGCGTAATAGAACTCGAGGAGAACAAGGGCGCCATAACGAACTGTCACGCTTTGTGACACAAACCAAAACCGCTTTTCATCCATGCTTAGTCGGGCGACTGGGAGTGGTGCGCTCCGAATTAGGACCAGGAATTGTGCTGAAAAATTCTCACAGCTCGATGTAGCTTCCAGCGGTGGCTACATACTGGAACTGCGACCCCGTCTTCAACTTCCGCCGCCCTCCAACTCATTCGGTCTCAACCATCTCGATATATTGTCGCCACTCTCGGTGGCAAGAAGCACATCTTAACACCTCGAGATTTGCTTACTGTACCTCGAATACGTGACGTCAAAGTTGGGGACCTCGTTGCCCTGTCCTCCATTCACGAACTTGGCTCTCGCGAGTACACATTGCGTGGAGATCCGATTATTCCGGCCTCAACTGGGGTCAAAGTTCATGCGACGGTCGTAGAACACACCAAAGGAGCGATGGAATACACGTACAAGAAAAAACGGAGAAAAGGCTACCAGAAGCTCATCCTGCACAAACAACCCTACACCCGTTTGCGCATTGGAGACATCGAGTTTTCGTCGGATGTAATAACTACTAATGACCAGGCCTGATTTTCACTTTCCACTTGTGATATTGCCGCGGTAACCAAAAAACGGTACCGTCTCCTTTGACTCGACGACTGATGGTATAAATACGGCCAGTGCTCTGCTTCCAATTGACACAAATGACCACCCCGCTTGCGGAGAAGCTTGCCAGCCTGTCTGGTTATGGCCCAACCTCCAGCGTTGCCCAGGCGCAATATCGTCTAGATTTGATCGCAAAATGGCCAATCGGTCACGGTGCTCGCGTGTTGGAGTTGGGGTGTGGACAGGGAGACACAACACTGGCACTTGCAGAAGCTGTTGGTGCAACTGGTCACGTTGATGCTGTTGACCCGGCTCGCCTCGATTATGGTTAGGTCGCACACATCAACTTTTACGCTGTCTAAACTAGCATTTTCAAGGTTCACCGACAACACTTGGAGAAGCTCAGAACACCATTTCTACTGGGCCCCTTGGCCCTCGCATTGCCTGGATCCAATCCGAGCCTCTCAAATATCTCAAAACCAATCCACTCGCGCAATGGGACGTTGTTGTGCTTGCCCACAGTTTATGGTACTTTGATTCACCGGAGTTGATCTTGGAAACGCTTCGTTTTCTTGCTTCCCGGACGCAAAAAGTTTGCATCGCAGAGTGGAGTCTATCAGGCATCAACGCGACGACCCATATCCTCTCTGCTCTCACCCAAGCGGCAATGGAATGTCGGAAGCCTGAATCTGAGTCGAATATTCGTACTATGGTAGCCCCGACGCGTATCAAGGAGCTCGCAGCTCAGGCTGGCCTAAAGCTTGTTGAAGAAGCGCTGGTCACTCCTGGCAATGGTGTTCATGACGGCATATGGGAGACCCAACTCACCTTGGGAGCCGAGTTCGCCCGAGAAGTGGAGGAGTTTGTCAAGGATAATCGGGAAAAGGCAGTCATACTTGCTATGCGAGATGCAGTCCAAGCTAGCATGGATAAGATTGGCGGTATCAAAGCTGTTGAGACGATGGACGGCTGGGTTGGCGTTTTCACGGTGTGATCCGTATAGGCCTAGCAATTCTTCCTCATGTCCGTCACTACGAACTTGACAAACAAACCCTTGACCCAAACTGCTCTCTCATCGTCTTTCATAAGCGTAAGCATGTCACCAGCGACTGCGCTGATCAGCGTTGATTCCAAGTAAATTTGGTGTCGATAAGACTTATCCTTGCCTTTTCCTTCCATGTCTCGACGTGTTGTAGTGGCGTTCGCTATCGCCCTTGTGGTGAATGCTGCTCAAACTCCCTTCTTCCAAGTTGAACCGGCTTGGGATTTAGACGTTCCCCCCAATGTCAACGCCACCGGAAATCTCATCTTCGACACTGTCAGCTCAGCGCTAACTCATTGGACACACACAAGATATCGAAATGGCCACAACCTCATACCAGGCACAGTCCCAGTTGGAACCTTGCTCTATCATGGTCGAGGAGATCCTGATGTTCGTTCTGGAGTGCCAGACTGGGTATATACGCACGCTTACCATTTTTTTTAGTTTACTCTGACCGTGGATTTCAGGTTGCTACGGACCCAGAGCATTCGTTCATGTTTTGCAGAACACTCAAACCCGAAGAAGGTTGCTGGCATCTCACTCTGGCGACAACACGGCCTCTGAAGGTAGTGTCGGTTGCTTCAGACCAACAATCTGCTAACAACAGAACCAGATCCTCTACTTCGATGGCTCTAGCGCCGCCAAGATGCGGGATGGTCCCATGGATTCACAAGACATTGTGGCTTGGGGCAAGGTACTGCCCATGTTGTCCTACAGTATTATATAATGCTGAGCTCATGAAAGGTTATACCCGAGCGGTACTTTGATGAGCGTCAACGTATCATCGACATATGTCATTGGGGCAAGCAATTTGGAGTGGACGGATATGTTCGGTGCAGTCTCTCGTCTTCAAATTGGACTACATTGACTTTGAATCTGTTAGCATGGAAATGGATTTGTATGACCGTGACTTGGGCCGCTTGTGCGTTTGCGCTGACTCTTTGCGATAGCGAAATAATGCTTTGCGACTTCACTGAGGGCGTAGACGTCGTTGCGCTCGCCAGCTTGACGCGCGAGGGCAATGGCATCCCTGGACCTGGTCGTAGAAGACCCCCACCAGGCGACCCTTATTTGAATCTGGCACCCAACTCCGATCTTGCGTCGGAGGTAATCTACTCAGGCTCGTGGCATAACCACTATCCGGGCGACCGGAGAATTCAGCTTGACCTTACTGCTCTTGTTTCGTTTTATGACACTCAACTCGTCCCCAGTCTAGTGCCTGTCCGCTTTGGGCAGGAGCGCTGGGACCACCGCCTACTGGGCATCAGCGCTGATGATGCTGACTCTGTCCTGGCTCGTCTTGAAAGCGTTCTTTCTGCTGGGATACCATCTCGGAACGCGACAGGCGTCGACTGGGACACCCTCTTCAAAGTGATCGTTGACCGATACGCCGACCGGCTCGAAATAGCCCAGTATCTCCTCAACAACACCACTAATGCTACCGACACAGCTCAGCGGGTCATGAAGCAGCTCCACATCATGCTCACCCCATACTTGCTACATTCAGCCAGCCCCTCCGGTAAAGGGAACTCATGGGCAGCCCCAATATACGAGTTTTGCGCTACCTCCCACACATCCTACATTCACCGAACCTCAGCCATCCTCTCTCGAATGACCGCATCAGAACATTTGCTTCTCGGCGCTGTAGACCAAGTAAACCGTGAAATATGCCGCATCGTCGTCTCCATGTGGGTCCAAGGCGTTGATGCTGGTCTTGACGAAATTGTCCGTCCACCGATCGTAATAGACTCGGACAACGAAGAAGTTTTGGTACAACACTGGAACTCCGCGCTGGCTGGTCTGATGTCTTGGCTTGACTGGAGCATTTGGGTCAGATGTCGACCAGCGTGCAATTTTGAGGTCATTCCGTCGTTTCGCTTTATCTGTCGCTGACTGTCAAGCACAGGAAATATGCTACCTCCCTACATGGCCTTTTGGCCGAGGAGTCCATGAGATTCCAGATAAAGGTGTGGAAATAAGTAATTCAGCCAGCGAGCACATTGACATGATCTAGAGGACTTCCTCCGACCCAAACCACGTTGCATTCCTCGCATAGAGTAGTCCTACATTTGGGTGTTGCTAGAGTATTTCTATTATCTACAGTCTCCAATTTACTAGTGGTTCTAGATAGTGATGTGGTGAACGTCCTCAAGCCAATCTCCAAAGGCCATCTCTACATCGTGAAGGAGCTGGGACACGATTGGATGTGGTTGCTTGTCAGAAGGTCCTTCCATTCGTAAAGGGCGGGCTTTGACACGCAGAGGACGGGTACTGAATTCCATCAACGACTCTTGGGAATAGACAGACGAAAGAGAGTCGCATGAATAGGCAGACAAGAGAGCGCCGAACGAGTAGGTTGACAGAGGTCGATCTATGACAGACGGCGGGTCAACTGGACTGAAATCGAGCTTGTCTGGCGTGTAGACTCCATATCGTTTGTTGCTGGCGTGGGCTACGGAAAGGGTGTTGGTACGTTTGCGGCATTTGACCCGAGGCTTCAAGTTTTCGTCTGACGAACTTGTCGAATGAGACAAGAGGTGGTGAATAGTACCGAGACTGGGAGATTTGGCATGGCGAAGGCGATTGACTGGTGTGTCTAAACTTGGGGCATGGGCATGAACAGACTCGGAGTCAAGAATGATGGTTCGGTCCTCGTCAAAGTCGAGAGGGTTGATGACAACAGTATCTTCGCCAAGTTGAGGTTTCCGATGAGATGGTGTGAGAGTAGAAAGCTGCATGGATTCCGATGATGGATAGTCTCGCGGGCGATGAACGCGTTTCGCCGGCGAGCTTGTTTGAGCATTGGGGTCTTTATTTTCCTTGCGATTTGGAGTGTCTCGAGAACGGGTTTGAAGACCGCGGAGAGCTACTTTGTCACTGCGTTTGGGAGTGTCCGATTTCTCTGGCAGACCAGTGTGCTGTGGAGTGGATTGGCGCACTCTCTCAAATGCTGGTGAGGAAGCGAGGTTGATAGGCTCAATGTTGAATGAGCATGCATAAAATAAAATAAAAGTCGAATCAATCTTGCTCACAACATTCAACCCAAGACCAACCCCCAAGGGACGAAACATGGGAGTAAGGTTCTCGCGATTTTTCGGTGCCTCGCGTAGGGGTACAACCTGGAAACGATGTGAAGTATTGTCACGGACAGCGACGCGAGTCTTCATCATGATTGAAGCAGAATGACTGGTGGAAAGAGAGGAGACCGGAGAACTTTGCGGCGGCTGAGATTGGTGGCGCTGGGTAGCGAGAACGAGGGCATCTTGAAATTCTGGCGAGACTGGCCATGGGACGGTGGCTTGCATGATGTAGTAGGAAGCAAAAGCAAGCAACGTTTGTCACACAAATAACAAAGTCAAATCTCTCCCTCTTCAGGACTTTCCTCCCGCCCATTCCCATTCTTACTCGCGGATGGATTCTTTTCGTCCACTTGCATGGAATCATCGTATCTCGCTCGCTAAGAGAACAAAAAAATCAGTATTTTTGAAAGCCGATTACATAATGCGAACCTTTTCCGCACGGTCATCACCTCGGGGACTTCGGCTTCTACGACGCGAATCTCTGCGTGAATCATCCCAGTCCTTCACTGATGTCTCTCGCCGTCTGTCCCTCCTCCGGTCCCTGTCACGATCGTCGCGGTCACGTTCTTGACGATAGTCTCGAGAGGAACGGTGGTCATAATCGTCACGGCGGTGGTAGCTTCGACTTGCGCGGTCGTAATCTTTGCCTCTGTCTCGATCGTGGTCACGTGCAGGCTCTTTTCGACGACGACTCCCTGCGCTCGCAGCATCATCCTCTTCAGCAACCTCTCGTTGCCGCTCCTGTTGACCATTCAATATTTTTTTGGTTTGTGAATGAGCATAAAAGGGACCTTCTGTCGCTTGATATACTTGTTCCAGGCAGCTTTGCGAGACTCTTCGTCTTCAAGCGCTTTAAATTCGGGAAGGTCTTGCATTAAAGGCACCGCTGCCTCGTATTCGACAGTTTCGGATGGTATGGAAAGTTTCTTGAGGGCGTAACGAAGGTCATCTTGAAGATGTCTCATCCGTCGCTCCGCGCGTCTCTTTTCATCGGCGCGTTTCTTCGCAATGACTTCTTGCATCTGGTTACGGCTTAGCTTGCTCAACCCACTGAAAACAGAAAACTTACCGATGTGAAAACAAAGTGGAGATCTTCAGGGCTGAGTGCCTCCAAGGCTGAATCACCTTGGCTTCCTGCTTTCACCACAGACAAAAACTCCTCTTTTTTCGTCTCTGGTTCGACAGCAAATCCATGGGTAGACTCGTCTGCTTGCTCAACATCTCCCATTTTGGTATCCTCTCCCTCCCTCGTTTTGGTTAGCGCCATGTTGTATCTCTTTATTGCTTCTTCTACAACTGCGGTCTTCTCTTCAAGAGCTTGATCAAACTTGTCCACCGCGTCCCAAAACAATTCCAAAGGGTTGGACCCAGGGTTACCCAACATATTGAGATAGCGTTCGTCAGATTTGAAGAGCGGATAGACGTCTTTCCACTTGGTCCGCGCTTTGATTTGCCCAGAACTGACTAATTCGTCCAGAATTGCCTGTTGATGTCAAAAAAAAATCGGAATGAATCAGTCGAAGACGGCGCACCTTGAATGCCTCCCGTGTTTTACGTTCTTTCCTGGTCTTTTCCACCTGTGTGCGACGCGTCTGTTCCTCATATTCTCTTTCTCTGACCCGACTGTAGTCTTCAAAAGCAAGAAGAATATCGAGTGTCGGGAGTTTTTGCAGCTCTGCATCGTCCCGCCACGCACTTGACTTCAGTAATCGGTCTTGAGCATCCCGCCATCGAGTCACAACATCGACATTGAGCTCTTTGAAGAGAGCAACGACTTTGGAGACACTGCGAGTCCGTGATGCCCTGGTTTCTTGCACTTCACGTTGTTTGAGCTCTGAGACATAGTCTTCAAAAATGAGCTGCCGCTCGGCTTCAATACGCGCCTGTTGCCAGATCGGATGTTGAGCAAAGAGCTTGTCGGCCGTGGCAAATGTCGTGTAGTGAAACACATTAGGATTGCCCTTGAGCATATTTCGTAGAGCAGGTCGGAGTTTCGAGAGTCGTGCCTCCTTTTCTTGCTGCTCCTTGGCCGCAAGCTCGGTGGTGTACTAAACGAAGATGCCATAAGTGTGTTCTCGAAGTGATATCTAGTGACGGCGCACCTTTTGGAAAGTAGCCTTTTTCTCCGCTAGGGAATTTAGAGCACGATATAACGGGTCAGTGATGATGGCGCGCATCGTCTTTTCCCAGGTCCAAGTCGGATCCACGCCAGCTTTCCGTAGAAGATGGATGAATGCCTTTTCGCCTTCCTCAAAATTGTTGAAACCGTTATGAGGGACAATTGGATCATCTGGTAAGTTTGGACGAGATGGAAGAGCAGGCGTCGGTGCAAAGGGTACACCGCCAGTATGAAGACCCACAGCCAAATTATTTATTCCATTGGTCTGCACAGGTGGCTCGCTTCCAACTGCCACCAAAGCACCACTTCCAACTGGAGTAAATCCTGGTGCAGGTGGCTTCGGAGGACTACCAGAGCGAAAATTCAGAGAGAAAAGTCATGCAAGTGAAATTTGCTTACGCCGGCGCTGAATCCTTTTCCACCTTTTCCAGGAGGAGGAGGAGCTCTTCTGGCATATCCCATTTTGACTCTTTCGTTTCCGTCTATTCCAAGATCAGTGGGGAACAACAGTTATGCTGAAAAGAATGCACATTATAGTAGTATTTGCGTCCCCCAGAGAAGTACTCCTTCCATTTGGTTTGGTTCAGAGCGCGCTAAGAAGTATAAGATGTAAGGCCGGAAAAAAGAATCGGGCGTACCTCGAATGGAGTCTTGAGATCTGGAAAGTGTGAGCGAACGCGGGGTTTAATGGATGCAACTGACCGTCTGGCTTTTCCCAGACACTTTCGTTCGTTGCGGGGTTGAACCAATACGTGCGACCTTCTGGGTTGCGATGCTCAGTCTAAGACCTCGTCAAGGCATATCAATAATATGAGGCACAATACTCACCCAGACGGTGGGGGTTGTCGTTGCGGACTGCAAACGAATCAGTCGTGGAAGAACGATGATGCCTTTTACTCACCATAGCGGAAGGCAAACGCGTAACGCCGTTACGTTCGGCTTTCATGAACCCAAAATGTCGTCGCCTGTGGTTCTCATTATTCCTTCCTCTGGCAGTCCTTTCGTTACACAACGAAGTATTCGATGAGCAACTCAATATCCGGTCTCTCCCTGACGGCAAAGTCGCGTCTCGATTCTCCTTCACCACTGTTCTTGTTGGCGCGAGTCCGCCCACTCCACAGAACCACTCATCGCAGGATGACCGTATGAAAATGTCTGCATTCATAGTATAGCTTTCTAATGCCAACTCGAAGCTCGACACTATAGCCTCTTTCCGCTTGCCTTGGGCCAGATCCTCCATGAATATGCGGTCACCGAAATGCATCTTACCTTGAACGCTGGAAAGTGGAATTACGACCATTGGGGCTATCCTGATGAAGATGGTGTCGGAACTGGCGCTGAGCTTTGGGCATGGATGGGTGATGGGGCCGTCTCGACGTATGTTTTCCTTTATCATAACTTGCACTGACTGAGAGAGTTGCTCAGAGTCGATGAGCGTTGGCGCGGCTTGCGAAATGCTCTGGCAGGTCTTTTCTGCGCGTCACTTGGCTCTCTCGATGAACTACGGACTACCTCGCCGACTATGATGTTTGCGCCAGGTGCACTTTCAAATCGAACTTCTACCCACTCTCTTCGGCACGCTTCTCTACCCTCTGAACACGTCTGCACTGAAAATCTTACTCCGTTTCTCAAACTCCTCCCTTGCAAATCTTTGTCTGGTATAGCCACCCTACTGAATCCACATCGTCTTTTTGATGCTGACTGGCATGGCATGGGCCTTCACGTTTCCTGGCTTCCACAGCAAGGCGTGCAAGTAAAGCTCACCTTCCAGACAATCTCCGACCCTCTGAGACCACAGTCAAGCAGCCGAGGCTAGCAGTCCATGAGTAAACTGAATGTTAGCTGATCTCATCATAGACTGGTCCTTCGCCTCAGTCTTCGAAAGGACAATCCAGAGATCATGTCCCGTCGCTACTTCTAGCCAAATTGTTGTCGCTCTACCCTTCGGTGTGCCCTATACCATCAACCCTCAACCATCACTTGTTGATCAAGGACATGCTATTTTCGACGTCGTTCAATGTATGTGCTCTATTGTTTTTCATGATCTGTCTTTCTCACAACTCCAGCCGGACCGTTAGATGTGTCTCTACACTGGCCATCTGGCTTCCAATACAGTACGACTCGCCTTGCAGAGACGACATTTTCTGTGCGAAGGACTCTCAAGGGTTACACGCAAGACAATGGGCAACTCTCGGTGTTGCTTAGAAATGATGAGGATAGTCCAGTTAATATTGCTTACCTCGAAACGATGCCTTGGATTATTCAGCTCTATCTGCATACTTTAACACTCGAGGTTGACGGGGTGTCACGAAGTTGGTTCAATCTCGCGTCAATTCGCTCATGCTGACATGGTTTGTCAGACGACCTCCTTCAAAACATCACCTATATACCACCTGTTCCGCATTCTCGCGCAACTTTGTTCCAAATCGTGCTGCAAATTCCCTCACGAAGCACGCTGAAACTTACCATGGACATTACCAAAGCATTCCTCCGTTACACTGAGCACCCGCCAGACGCTCAACGTGGGTGGGATTTGCCCCCTGCCGTCTTTGTTCGCCTAGATGGGCGGCCACAACGCCGTATATATGCGCCTGCATTACTGGTCGACCTCGCAACCCCCGACTTCAGCATGCCATATAACGTGATCATCTTCACTTGTTCACTGATCGCGTTCATTTTTGGGAGTGTGTTCAACTATTTGACACGTCGCTTTATCGTTCTCCCTGTACCGAGTTGAATTACGACGGATGCAAAAAAGTCAAAAGCTGTGATCATTGTTAGTCACTCTGAGGTTGGAGACGAACCCAGCGGCTTACATGTTCGTCGTAAGCGTGTAAAACTTCGCGCAATTCACGCCGACTCATTTCTGCGCGATATAGAATTTCGTCGTCAGTCCTTTTACCATCAAAATATTGGTTGATCCTGTTGGATGTTGAGGAGAGAAGGCGTCTAGTTACACGGGCATACCTTTCAAAATGGCGAACCAATGTCGGGTCTTTTCCATACGACATGACAGAAAGCCATCGTCGTTGTGATGGTGTTGCCTGGCCAGGATCATTGATAATGGACGGCTCATCTTCATCTTCGCTCGCTTCGTCTTGGGTGTCAGTTGACTCTTCGTCATGGCGTTTCTCGTCGCTCTCGCCACTGTCGTCGTGCAAGAGGAGCTCACTCAGTCTGCTGTGACGAGACCCACTAATAGAAGGCGCTCGAGCATATTTGCGTGCGGTTTTCGGAGACATCGACAACCACGACGCGCCTGGAGGAGAGAGGCTCCCATCAGTGTCAAGTTGATTGCGCAGCTTGCTATGTCCGCCTCGCCCACCACTCTTCTTGTCTCGGACTCGCCCTTTGGCGAGCCTGGCGGCCTCCTTCAATTCGACAGTGGCAATGATACGCACACGCAGATGAAGCGTTATTATCATATCCCGCTTTAGCATCCAAATTACCACTTCGCTATAGAGCGGGATCAGATCCTTGTCCATCACCACTGACGCGAAAAAATGGAGGTCGCGCTCTTTCGAAGTTGATATTTTGGCAAGCAGGTGAGGTAGAGAAGGTACCTCCTGCGATGAAAATTCCTGGTCAAATTCTGCCGTCAGCTGAGCTAGCCTGGATGCACTCATTGGTAATTGCGCGAGGATTATTTGCGTACTCACGGATAGTTGAATTTAGCGGGTAGTGTGAATATAGTCCTCAGACCCGGGTGCACAGTGTCGACAATTTTTGCTCGTCGATGATGGACAAGCCATCTGACGGTCGGGAACACTTGAGTCTCAAGATCCCAATCGAGAAGGCTGGCAAGGTCGGCCAGACTACGCTTCGTCAGTGAAGCATAGAGAATGAGACAACACGAACGATAGAGTAACGGACGACAACTCGAGGAATCTCAATAAACTCTCTACAAGCGATCGGTCTCCCGTGTCAACGAGGCTTTGGCGGAGGTTCTCAAAAGGGTCGACACCTTCAGGACTATCGTCCAACAGAAGGAGACTTTTCCAGGCAGTAAGAGTGGGCAAGCGGTATCCAAAACTCATTTCCTGGCCCCATGACTGAGTCTCATTGTCGTCAAAAGAGTCGACAGGTTCGTTTTCGTCCTCTTCCGAATGAAGGAGCGCTTCAAGGTATGGGGGCAGTTGCAGTTCCAGTGGCAAGTTGTGAATGGTGACATAGGCGACAGAGGACGATTTCAGGGCTTCGAATAGCGTCTTCATTGCTGGCGCAATTGAAGAGACTGTAAGAGCCTGGTGCATGTAGGCAGTGAAATCATCGCCTGTGTTGGATCATTAACTTCAGGGACAGACTTTGCTGGGGTAGTTCATTACCTTCCTTTGAGCGTTCATCCTTCAAGGATCCGAGTCTTTCGCATTCTTCCTCGACAAAGTTGTACAATACCTGTTCTTGGAACAAGACAGCGGCGACTGGGAAGGCGATTTGTTCGTATATGATGTCAAAATATTTAGTAATATTTCCAGAGGCAGAGGATGATGGATCGGGCACGTCCAACACCATCACGAAGTGAAAGCGTTCTAACCACGATGCTGACGAGGTGGGAGAAACTTTTTCGGAGGAAGCTGGACGTGAGTCTGGATGCTCAGCCTGGGCTCTCCTGTTCCTTGATTCGCGGCCTCTATCGTTCATTTTGACCTTCTCTGGTTTGAAACGCCAGACACCCCCATCTTCTGCAGAAACAGGATGACCTATGAATGCTAAATCTTCTACCACGAGCTCAAATTTCTGGTGGCACATAGATCGCCGAGGACACAACAAGTTGGCCAGGAACTCCGAGGGGTAACCGAGAAGATGGTCATCCTCATCTTTGAGAGAGCTGCTCTGTTGTTGTTCGGGCGAATTTTTTCCAGATGAACGAGACGAAGAAAAAGACGTCGACAAGGAACGGTCTCGAAAAGCACTTGGCCGTTTCCATTCGCGTTCAGGATCGCTTTCATACTGGAGTGGTGTACTTTGCAAGTCATGTGGTCGTGCGCTCTTCCATGGATTGTCGGGATGAAGAGTTTCGGGCTTTGCACGACTGAACCTCGGAGACGACACCGGAGAAGGTGGCCATCTATACACGATGCTGGAGCCTTTTGCTGATGTCGTCACTAACAGAAGAGCAAGAAGATTTGAGAATTCAGCCATGCTCTAAGAAGTCAATGGTCGATGGTGGCTGAGAACAAGCGTGACATTAATAATGTGACCAACGCAACTTGACGACTGACCACCACTAGTACTTGAATCGTTGATTCCCTCAAATGCTTGCCTCAAAGTGAACCTCACCATATATGTTCATTCTTGAGGGTTGTCTGCCGGCTAAAACACACACCTCAAAGCTAGTTTGATGAACAGAACTCTTCGAAATCCACCACAGATACTTGCAAAACGGGTCTGGTTGCCGGCGCCCGAATCCGACTTTAACCTTTCAACCCGCATGGTAGCTTCCTTTATTTTATTCATACCGACCCAAGCCTACCCACCAAGACCGCATCCCCAGTTCACACCACTGTTGCGGTATGCCCCAATCTTTTCCCAATCCGGGACAAGGGTTCTGTTAAGCGATGTTAATTTTTGATATTCGAATTCGCGAAGCCGGTAATTTTTACATCTCCGGGGTGCTGCTCTTGCGTGCAGACCGACGAGCCACTGGACTCTTCGCCTATTACGCCTCGAATTGCATCGACCAAGGTGAACCATTTTGAAGCTTGACCACTCAGTGGAGGAGAAATATAACTCCATGGAACCAAAGCGGGATGGTCATTGGATGTTGATGGATCCATTGATCTGGAAACCACCTGCCTAATTTGGTTGGTAAATGACCCTTCTTATCTGTCCACCACAAATAGTCCACGACGAGGCTTGCTCCTGTTTGCTCCTTGCCCGTAGCCTCGAGGCCACCGTATCTACCCGCAGCCCGCCCTTGCCTCATGCCTGCTGAGCGCTCACGATATTCTCGTCGCAGTCAAGCCGATGGTTTGCTCACAATTTGTCTCTGGATTTTTTTTTCACTGACTGTATACTTAGGGAATGCCATCGTATGGACTCTTCCAGTCCAGCCGGTCGATGAATCAGGTATCGGATTTGCTCCCAACTTGACAGAGCAAAACTTTGCGGACAGCCCTCCTCCCCTCGTCGACATTCCACCAACACCCGTTTCGCCATGCAACACGTTTATCTTCTCCGATGAGACCACTTTCAGCGACACTCGGCAAGAAACTCGTCGAGTTCATGCGCGAAAGAAATCGGCGAATCACATTCCGCGTCCGCCAAATGCGTTCATCCTCTTCCGCTCGTCATTCATCAAGTCGCAACAAGTTTCCGAGACTGTGGAAACGAACCATTCCACCCTTTCAAAGATTATTGGCTTGACATGGAAGAACCTAACGGAGGTGAGGGCCGCTCGCCCGCCAATTGCCAGCTTATCTAACTTGGATCAAGGACGAGCGCAAAGTATGGCGTCAAGCTGCTGCAGAGGCCGTCGCAGAACACAAGCGTAACTTTCCCACATATGCTTTCAGACCCAAGCATTCGCGTGGCAAGAAGGGAGACACCGACCGACCACCACCAAAGCCCAAGCGCAAGGTGCGCGAAGGCACCTACCAGGACCCTATTCGCTGCGAGAAAATTGCTGAGCTGCTCGCCAAGGGCACTAATGGCGCTCAACTTGATGCTGCCATCCAAGAGTTCGACAAGAACCACGTGCCTCAAATCGTGGCCAAATTTCAGGCCCCGATTACAGCTCGCGCCTATCGACGGTCCTCCTCAGTCCCCGCGCCAAATAACGACGATTCACGGCCTTTCCTTGCTCCTTCTCCCAAGTCTGAAGGCAGTCCTGGACGACGTCGTTCATCCAGTGTTGGTGCAGTAGCCTTACCACCTCATCAACACCATGTTCGGCCAAGAAATCCCTCCTTATTCATAGACACAAGCTTCAATAATCACCAGCTGTACGAACCACTCAATTTCAAGCAAGAAGTCATAGATGAAGGATTTGTACGCTTCCTTTCGTTGTCATGCTCTCACTGATGCTGAAGCCTATTCTAGGACTTTAGCTCATTTTCCTTCTCCAATGTCACTTCTCCTGCGCCGTCTGTTGGCTATGATCCCTTATCGATGCCGATGTCTCCCTGTACTCCTTTGGAGTCTTCAGTGTTTGAGGCATCTTCGCCCACGGAATTTACCCCCATTGATTCTATTGACGTCTCTGCACTCATTGCCGACGAGTGGCTGTTACACGGACAATCTGGCCACCCTTTTGGCAGCTACCCAGCTGTAGCCCCCGATTTCTCCATGCCTGCCTACTCCTATGCTCCTCCGCCATATTCGATGGCCCCGACCACCGACTCTGGTTTTTGTTCTAGTTTCAAAAACCTTGCATTCGGGGAGCAGGCCTCATTCTGTGCAGCACCTGACCCAATGGTCGGTCTTGCACAGCTGGAAGCAGACCTTGCGTCGTTTGTGACGCAATACTCACTGTAAGTCTATACTCTGTGATGTGCCTTTATAATGGGCCTGTTGTACCACCACAACCTATGTAACTTATACCAAACCTGGATACCTTCTCTCCGTAACGGTAACCCCATATATACTTACAGACACGCTCCTTCCCTGCTTATCTCTCACTTATGAACTGAACACAGTTCCTGGCCACTTAGATCTAAAAAAAACAAAGTTTATTTTGAGCGAATCGGAAGAAGGACAACACCGACTTCAATTTGGATCCAATCTTGTCGTCGCTCTCCTCAACCACAAGATGACTAATAACCCTCGAACTTTCTGGAGGCTCTTATGACTCAGCTGAATCAAAGCCATATAAAGCGGCGCATCAACAGCGCTGCTACAGTTTCCACTACAGTATGCCGAGCACTGATGTCGTTGTTTCACAAGCGCGAACTGTTTTCTTACACCATTCAATACTAGTCATCCTCGTATGTGTTGCTCTTCATCTGCTATTTTATCTAATGCCATTCAGGCACGTGGACAGAGGTTGAACTTGTCAGGCGCGCAACTGGTGAGCACACATTGACCCTCTTGTCCTATTCCTGATGTCCAAATAGAGACGGAAAAAACGAGTCAAGCCTCGCCGTTCTCCAAGCCCTGTTGTCCATTTGCACAACACTATCTCTCAGATGAGATCGGATTTCCGAACACTCTTGTAGTTATCAGTAGACAGTTGAAGTGTCACATGAATGTAAGTCTTTTGACAACAACCTATGTCAACTCTTGTGCCTTTGTCTACTGGTGTATCTCTGGAAGTGCATGTCTCTCCTCCTCCTCGGAGAGACGATACCATTGGAAACAAGCTGGCTGTCTGTCTGCACCCCTGGTCCTGGCTCGGCGGTCGTATGAATGACCCGTTCGTGCCTCCCCCCTCAAGCTTAGCCTCATTACCAATGATGCTTAAAGGGTTTTGCATTCGCTCTTGGAGCCTCTCCATAACGGGGGTTTCCATGTTGTGCGGTACAACTCTCGAGGGGTAGGCAAATCCACGGGTTGGTCCTCCTTCACTGGACAAGCAGAGGCAACCGATCTCACGGCGCTGATCGAATGGGCCCGCAGTTCAATTGGCGATGTCCGTTCGGTGCTTGTCGTGGTGAAGAAACAATATTCCAGCCGTCCGAGTTGTCTGAAGTGAATTCTCGCAGGGCTACTCGTATGGGTCGTTAGTAGCCTCACTGCAGCCCGTGCTACCAGACGTTGAGACTGCTCACGTTCTTATCTCTTATCCCCTCAGCGTTCGTGGCTGGCTGACAATGTTTCGGTCGTCGCGCTATGATGAAGCACTCGTTGCGCTAGCCCGTGAACCGCGTAGCAATGTTCTTTTTATTTTTGGCGACCATGACAACTTTACGGCGGTTGACAAGTACCGGAGCTGGAAAGAGACCTTGGGTGAACGGGTCGAGTGGGTCGAGGTGAAAAACGGGACTCATTTCTGGCGGGACGAGGACGGAGATGAGCTAGCTACGGTCTTGAGACAGTTTGTTGCCAGACGGTAGTGATTTAGCAAATCGGCATCAAATGTGATGATTTCTCAACTTGTTCTCCTTCACTCATCATGTAAGTCGCGCAGTGGAGTGCCCTGTTACTGTAGCTAATTCAGACAGGCCCCTGCCGGATGAGCGGCCACGAGGGAGTGTAGCGAATCTCATCGGGCGGTTCGAGCAACAGAAGAAACGACAGTCGGTGTCACCAAGGAGTAGTAGTGTTGCCTCCAACATCACAGGCGACTCTGCAAAGGAAGAAGTGAAAGAGAAGCGTGAATGGCCTCCACGTCAGCCATCGGGCGACTCTAAATCACCCCCACCAATTGTCGCGTCCTCTTCATGGACTAGAAGGGCTTCCGAATCGCCAGCAGTCCAACAGAGTAGTTCACCCCCCATCTCAGTTTCTACCTCACGCATCTCTCTGTCTCCCCAACCGATTGCACCACCACCACACATCGAAACTCAGCCTTTCTCTTCCGAGCCTTCGATTACGGTCGATCCCTCCAGTCCAGCTACTCCCCAGCCAGCCACTCCCAAACCAGCTAACCCTAAGCCTGTCGCTGCAGCAAAGACAACTAAATCACCAGCTAAACCAACTCATAAACCAGTCGCGGCAACCCCCGTGAAATCTCATTCTCCTTCCCCTTCTCAAGTTCTGTCTCCTGCTGCGGCAGCCAGAGCCAAAGCCGCTGCTTCAGCGCCTAAACCTGGCCGGTCGTCAATGGGAGGTCCTGGTGCACGTGCCAAAACTCCCGTTAAATCGACTGGAAGCACTGCATCAACGACGCGTCCCAAAACACCCAGTTCGCTTTATGCGCCAACGGCAGCAACATTGGCGCGAGCGCGTAATTCTCAGGCTGTGCCACCTCCTGCTAAGAAATTATCTCTTACTCCCGAAGCCGCTGCTCGTCTGAGTGCGCCAACCGCTGCTTCAAAGGCTCGCATTGCCGCAGCAGCTGCAGCCAGTCCACCAACTCGCGGAAAACCAGTCACACGAGGGGTCACTCGTGGTACTCCAAAGGCAAAGACACCGGCCTCGACCAGAGTCAAGACGGAAACCACAAAGGCAGCTGTCGATGCCGCTTCAGCAGGAGAAATTCCAGACGAAGAAGAGCATCACGTGGAAGAGATCCAAGACGAAGAGACACACGAAGTAGAGACTCATGAGCAAGAGGAGGTCCATGAAGAAGAGGAGGTCCATGAACAGGATGGGGCCCAAGAAGATGAACAAGTCGAGGACCAAAGTCATGAAGAAACTGTGGAAGACCAAGAGCCAATAGAGGCCGACATAGCTGCTGCTGATATTGTCAGTGACGACTCTCATCCTTCTGATCAAAGTGCGACGGTCGTCGACTCAAAGGACGAGACTGGGAATGACTTGGAAGAGATGGTGCATATGCTCGAGGGGAAAACGCGTCCGCTCAGCATTGCGAGCATACCTGATGATTTAGATGTCTGAACGACCCATATGAAATCAGATCAAGGGTGACCAACCCACCCTCTTATCGCTCATCAATTTGTACTCATAATAACCGGTCTGTATCTAGCCAGCTTTGCTTTTCCAAACTAACATTCCCTGTAGTTTCTGCACTCTCTTTCTCTCGGTTTTTCTACTTAAGAATACCCTCTTTTTGCTTAGTAATCGGAAGGAATTGAATAAAATATGGAGTTCTTGCTTACGCCCTGACCCTGAGTAAACCGGCGGGCCATGATAATCGATAACGGAATGCGATCAAATGTCCCAAAGGGGCTACAATTTCCAATTTAAAAAGGGCGGCCAGTTGTCCGACTTTCTTTCAACCCACCACCATCTTGTCTGCGTCCCAAGCAGACTCAACTTGTCCGTTCTTGCCTCTGTGCATGTACAGCAACACCCTCTGCTCTCAACACAACACAACTGCTGGCTGCAAGCACACCGCTGCCGGCTTCATTATAGCTCACTAAATTTCCTACTCCCCCTCGTCGTCTTCAACTCTCTCATTATCCAATGGCTGACTCTGGCTACAACACTCCCGACGTTGAGTCGGTTCTTCCCATTCACCCCACCGCTGCTCGTCGGCCCAACTATCTGACTGTCCAGTCCGAGAACACTCAATACACAGACGACCACATCACTTCCAAGTTCGTTAACCGTGGCGCCAGTGTCGACATCTCCAATGGGCAGTTCTTAGTCACCCCGACTGCCCAAACCTACGAATTCCAGACCAAGCGCACTGTCTCGAAGACGGGGTGCGTTTCTTCTCTTCTTTCGCTTATCAACAACTAACTCGCCTGCAGCCTCATGATGATTGGCCAAGGCGGCAATAACGGCAGCACGCTCTGTGCTACCATTCTCGCGAATCGCCACAACATTATTTGGCGAACCAAGGCTGGCGTTCAACAGCCCAACTACATTGGCTCAGTTCTCCGTGCCTCGACAGTCCGCATCGGTACTGACAACTCGACTGGGCAGGATGTTCATGTCCCAGTGTCCGATGTTCTCCCTATGGTCCACCCTAACGACCTTGTCTTGGGTGGCTGGGATATTTCTGGTGCGACAATGGACAAGGCAATGGACCGTGCCCAAGTCCTCGATTATGACCTCCAGCGTCAAGTCGCTCCTTACATGGCGCTGCTTGGCAAGCCCCTCCCTTCCATCTACTACCCCGACTTCATCGCCGCCAATCAGGAAGCACGCGCAGACAACCTCATTCCTGGCGATGACAAACAGGTTCACCTGGACCACATTCGGGCTGACATCCGCAAGTTCAAGCAGGACAACCAGCTTGACCGCATTGTCGTTTTCTGGACCGCCAACACCGAGCGTTACAGCGACATTATCCCAGGCATTAACGACACTGCCGATAATTTGCTTGCGGCCATCAAGTCTTCTCACTCCGAAGTCTCACCGTCCACCCTTTTCGCTGTCGCGGCTATTCTCGAGGGTGAGCCTTTCGTAAACGGAGCTCCTCAGAACACCTTTGTCCCTGGTGTCATCGAGTTGGCCGAACGCCATCAGTCCTTCATTGGCGGAGACGACCTCAAGTCTGGCCAGACCAAGCTCAAGTCCGTTCTTGCCGAGTTCTTGGTCAACGCCGGCATCAAGCCCCTTTCCATCGCGTCTTACAACCATCTTGGAAACAACGATGGCCACAATCTGTCCGCTGAGAGGCAATTCAAGAGCAAGGAAATCAGCAAGAGTAGCGTTGTTGACGACATGGTCAACGCTAACCGTCTCCTCTACAAGGCTCCTGTGGAGGAAGGCACCAAAGGCGAACACCCAGACCACATCGTACGTTTGCTCAAGTGATTTAGAATCTTCTTGTTCTGATTTCATTTTACTAGGTCGTCATCAAGTATGTTCCCGCCGTCGGCGACAGCAAGCGCGCTATCGACGAGTATTACTCGGAGATTTTCTGTGGTGGAAGGTCGACTATCAACATCTTCAATGAATGCGAGGTCTGTTTGTTATCTCCTGCCTCGTTTGCGTTCACTGACTGGCTCGGAAGGACTCTCTTCTGGCCACGCCTTTGATCCTTGATTTGACGATCCTCACTGAGCTTCTTACACGAGTCAAGTACCGAGGCGTTGACAAGAAGGATTTCGCGCCTCTTTACCCCGTGTTGTCTCTTCTCTCGTACATGCTCAAGGCCCCTCTTGTCAAGCCAGGCACCGAGGTCGTTAACAGCCTTAACCGGCAACGGAATGCTCTTGAGGCATTCCTCAAGGCTTGCATCGGCATCGAGGGAAGCAGTGATCTCCTGCTTGAGACGAGAATTTGGTAGATCGAATAGCGCGACGGTTTCAACATACCGCATCCATAGTCACCTAGTTAGAATAATTTGTGTCCTTCAACCGACCAATACGAATTTGAAGTCTTCATCACGTGCTTGATTGATGCGCCTGCTTCTCTTCTTACTTGTCGTCGCACTCGTTTCCGCTGCAAGCCAGCATGAAGAGGTCGTCGGCGACTTTTTTTCAAGATCGTCTAATCACACCAATAACTGGGCCGTGTTAGTCTGCTCGTCGCGGTACTGGTTTAACTACCGCGTAAGTCATCGAACACCGAATGAAGGTTATAACTGATAGGACCAGCATATGGCAAATGCCTTGGGAATGTGCGTATTGCCTCTTCTTCACTGGGTGGCAAGGCTCACAACAGTGCAGGTACCGTACAGTAAAACGCCTGGGCATCCCCGATTCGAATATTATCCTTATGCTAGCCGACGACGCCGCCTGCAACTCTCGGAACCGCTTTCCTGGAAGCGTCTACGCCAACCCAGGGCGCTTATTGGACCTTTATGGCGAGAATATCGAGGTCGACTACCGTGGCTACGATGTCACCGTCGAGAACTTCATTCGCGTGATCACTGGCCGGCTCGATTCGTCTGTGCCCCGCAACAAACGCCTGCTGTCAGACGCACACTCGAATGTGTTTGTTTATATGACTGGACATGGGGGGAATGAATTCCTCAAGTTCCAGGACAATGAGGAAATCAGTGCCTGGGACATCGCCGACGCTTTTGAGCAGATGTGGCAGAAGAGACGGTACAACGAGCTGTTTTTCATGATCGATACTTGTCAGGCCAACACAATGTACTCCAAGTTCTACTCTCCAAACATTCTCGCCACGGGTTCGTCGAAGTTGGACCAGAGCTCGTTCTCAGTGCGTGTTATTGCTACTTCAGTTTCCTTGCTGACGAAGAGGAATGCAGTACGAGAATGACGCAGACATTGGCGTTTCAGTGATCGACCGCTATACGCACTACGTCTTGGAGTACATGGAGAATATCAATAAAACCTCCCAGACGAGCATGGCGGACCTATTTGCGTTCTATGACCCCGTCAAAATTGCATCTGATCCCGGCGTCCGGTCCGACCTCTTCCGCCGCCCGTTAGACCAAGTTAGAATCACCGATTTTCTGGGTGGAGTTGCGCGTGCGGAGGTATCGGACGATGACTTGTAAGCCCCTACAGTACACTAATTTGAATACCATTATCTTCCTGCGAGTCACGTGTATTGAAAGGTTTCAAGCTTACGCGGCGAATCGGCATTGGGATTGCACACGAACTAGACCGGCAAAGGCCGGAAGCCTACGTAGAATGTCGGCGTTGGCTATGTATAAAAACCACCAAATGCCAGACCTGAAGCGCAAATCACACAATGCCCAGCGCTCTTCACCTCATCAATGCAAATCCTCGTGCAGTCACACTTGCAGCAATTCTCGCAGTCGGCACCCCTGTTATCCTCGACAACTACAAGCGCTACATTGCGCTGGGAACCAGCCGCTTGACGAGGTTTGGCGTGTTTGGCTGGCTTGCCTCGATTGGCTTGACTGGGTTCTCGAGAGAAACGGTCAGCACAAGCGAGTATGGCCAGGACTCGAAAGGGTGGCTGGATCGCAAGACGGTAGTGGAGCGGAGGGGGTCAAGGCCAGAGGTTGGTTGGCATAGCGTGCCGAATCGACAATTGGACAGGCTGCCCAGTGAGGATATGGCCAAGGTAGTTGTCAGAATTCAAACATTTGATGTAAGCTCATTCTGTGCAGCGCCTCGACGAACTGTTCATCCAGCACGTGAATGCAAACCCAACGCTCGTTCAGATGGTTGATAACTCGCGGATCGAGCAGCTACATCCAGCTGTGGTCATTCATTCAGACCACGAAGCCCCACACCGCGATGCAGAGCGGTCTATGCGTGAAATTGCGCATATTCACCCTACGGATCATAGCATGCATCTAGTGCTGTCTCCAGCAGACAGCAAAATAGGTGAGTCAGAAAGCAAGGAACGTTTTCGACAACGATTAACTTTAACTCATAGCGATCGAGTTGGGCTGGGCAGAGAGACATCCGTTGAGTGGGGTGTCAATGGTATTTGCTAGTTTATGCGCCCAGGGACCAAGAAGAGTTGGAGGTAGTGGAGAAAATTCTGGTGGCTAGCATTAAATACATGACTGGCAGCGAAGAAGTTGTGTAGATCAAGATAACATCAATAATCCAAGTCGCGTGACTGTTACTGACCGTGACAACTGGCAAGTCTCTCCATCGACCACCTCAAGACACACAAAAATGGTGCGTATTTCTTCTTATGGACCCGGAGCTCCTGGTACTGGATAGCGTCCCAATTCGTATCCGAATTGAGATGGATGGTATGCTCTTCTCTATCTTCATGGATCGAATTTTTCTCATGTTCTGCGCATAGCTTTCCGTGAAAGTCGTTTGACCGATTTTCGAGGCGTGGAGCTGAACAATGTTCAGTGATGAAGCGTCTAATGCTGGGTCTGCATCATAGCAGACACTAGAGCTCCGGGGCTGGCGTCTGAATCTACTTCAACGCTGACTCGTCTCCATGACCAGCCGCCAAAAGCAAAGTCCGGCAAGAAGCCCGCCCCCGCTCCTTTTGCGAGCAAGACCTCCAAGGTCAAGAAAAACCCTCTCTTCGAGGCTAAGCCTCGTAACTTTGGCATTGGTGAGTACTTTTCTCAGATGAAAAATGCTTTGATTGAGACTCGAAAACAGGTCAGGACATTCAGCCTACGACCGATCTTACCCGTTTCGTCAAATGGCCCGAATACATCCGTCTGCAGCGCCAGAAGGTTATTCTCCACCAACGCTTGAAGGTCCCCCCTGCCATTGCTCAATTCTCGCACACTCTGGATAAAAACACGGCAACTCAACTGTTCAAATTGCTCAACAAATACCGCCCCGAGACAAAGGCCGAGAAGAAGGCTCGTCTCACTGAGACGGCTGCCGCTGTTGCCGATAACAAAGAGGCTAAGGTAATATCGGATTCTAGAGTGCTTGACCTTTGCTCTGACTCCAGATTGCAGGACACCAAGAAGCCTCTCTTCGTCAAGTATGGTCTCAACCACATCGTTGCGCTCATCGAGGCCAAGAAGGCGTCGCTCGTTGTGATTGCCCATGACGTTGACCCCATCGAACTCGTTGTTTTCCTTCCGGCTCTTTGCCGCAAAATGGGCGTGCCATACGTGATTGTGAAGGGCAAAGCCCGTCTCGGGACTGTTGTCCACAAGAAGACCGCCGCTGTTGTTGCACTCCAAGATGTGAAGAGCGAGGACACTCGGGAACTTGCGACTCTTGTCAGTGCCGCCAAGGCCAACTTTACTGACAAATACGACGAGCAGCGCAGACAATGGGGTGGAGGAGTCCGTGGAAACAAGTCGACAGCGATGTTGCGCAAACGGGCAAAGGCTTCTGGTCAGACTCTGACCGCTGCCCAAGCTGGCAAATTGTAGTTACACCTCCTCATGTAATCATGATTATGCAACTAGGCGCTTCTAACATCAAAAGTGTGACTGATACGGGAACGTCGGTGCGCTGGCATCAGGCGGGGGGCGCATTCCGTCTCCGGCTTGTCTCCTGCTACCATCTCCTCTGTCTCCCGCTTCCCTGTCCCCCTCCAGGCGCTCCATTGCGATCACAGCTATCAGCCACTTGGATGATGAGCGACCCAGACCAAACGACGCCCAGCCCTAATGACCCACTCCCCCAACCTTCTGGCGATATATCGATGGAGGAGCCAAGCTCAAAGGCAGTCCCTGCTGCTGAACCCGTGACAACCAATCCCCCTTCAACTTCGACGTTTTCGACGAGTATTGTTGCCGCAGCCGCCGCCTCAGTAAACACCCCTGCATCTCTAGCCGCCCTTTTGGCGACTGCTCTAACCGATGTTGATGCGTTGCGTGAAGAGCTCGCCATCACTCGTCAGCGGGCAGAGCGTGCCGAACGACTTTTGAAAACATTCGGTCTTGTTAACACATCCCTTGCCGAGGTTCAGGATGGCGAACATAAGCATGCACCAAATGGAACAGACGCGGCATCCTCCCCATTACCCCAAGCCACTGCCAATCTTCTTCTTGCTCTTGATGAACGGACTGTCACAGCAGAACGCGAAAGAGATGAGCTTGCCGCTCGTTTGACCACTTTGACTAGCAATTGGAGTCAGCTCGAGACCTACATGGGCGCTGTTGAAGCCGGTGTCCGAGAAGCCAGGAGAAATTATGGTCGAGTCGTTCGTGATGAAGGAGGAGAGGCAGCGTATGATTACAGTCGAGGATCAGTACCTCCAATCTCTTTCACCAGAGTTAACGAAGGGAAACGAACCAGAACAGACAGCATGTTTAGTCTGGATGGTTATGGCTCGAGTATCAAGCGCTCAAGGCCGGATGTTGATTACGAGGTGAGTCTTGACAATCAGCTTGGTTCTGGCTCGATCTCACTTCATGCTAGTACCCCATCTCCCATTCCCGTCGCAACACCTATGTAGCGCCTAGCCACCCTCACAGACACCTTCCCTCGCTAAACCATCATCATCATCACCACCATACATTAGACCGTCAAGCAACTTTGCCTGTTCATCCACCAGCAAATTCAAGTTCCTTGGCGGCTCGCGACACTTATCCTGACCATACTCATCGTTCTCCTGCGCGACAAGCCACATATCCTGCTCAACGTTCGAGATCACGTTCACGCTCAATGTCTGCTGGCGGGTCAGAGGAATTGGAAGCCATGCTACTCGATAGTGCAACTGGGAACGCTCGGCGAGAAAAAGAGCGTGGGTCGACATTGGAGAACAGAGCGCATACGATGCCTGCTATTCCATCTGGACAACCTTTCCCTGCTCGAAATGCACAAAACCAGCGACTCTGTCGCCAGTGTGGCCTTCCCGGGCGTTACAAAGACGGTCGATGCGTAGAGAAATGGGGCCCTGGGCCAATGGGGCCGGGAACCGTCTGTGACCGTTGTCGAAAAAGAGCGAAGAGGGTCGAAAGAAGAGGCACAGGCCCGACACTTTCCTCTGGAGACATAGCGATACCGCCAATCAACTATATGCAACCCGAACGCGAAAGTTCAATCCGGTCTTCGCTTACTGCAAATCGCACTCTTTCTGTCCCGGCCTCGGGAGGGACTTCCAATGCCACAACACCACAAGCTGCTCCTCATATTCTCCCACCACTTCGAACACATAGTCCCTTGGAGGGGGATACTGATGGTGATGGTCTACTCGATGGGGACGCGGAAGCGGAGGTTGATGAGCTTGAAGAAGCTGTCGATGGAACTGAAGTGGTTGTCACCAGCTCTCCAAAGAAGAAGGACATAATAAAGGACGACCCGGAGGGAGACGTCGATTTGGATATGGACTTGCTGGAAGCTGTCGATGCATCCGAGAAGGCGAGTCGTTGAGTTTTCGGCGCATAGACCCCCGTCCTTGGATTTTAATTGCTATATCCTGTATCATACTTTGAGTAATACGAATTGCGCGAGCACGTGACGAGGAGGAACGCGGATGTCACGCGAATGTGACAGGCTGTGGTAATGGTAAGACGCGCATAACACATGTCACATCTTCCTCTCTCTTGGTCCTGACCACATCTGAGAAGCTGCTACGCGTATCCCAACGCCATGCTCACTGCCTACTTTGACCTAGATACTGGTTTTGGCCTCTTGACCCTCATCTTCTCCCTTCTCTCTCTCTGGGCTATGGTTGACACTGTTAACATGACGCTCGAGGTCCTCGTCCTCATCGTTGATATGGTTAATCTCCTCCCATTCTTGCTCCTTCGTGGCGCAATCTCTCTATACTTCAGCCTTGTGGCAGTTGTATTCGTTCTCCCTTTCTACGAGGAGAACTGGCCTAAGGTGGTCAATCAATGGACTCTTCTGAGTCGCCGCGATAAAAAGAGTGGCCTGGCTTTCGCTTGCGCCTCTCTATTCGTAATGGCCATATTCTATACCGTCATTGGCCTGGTCGTGACGGTGTGCCACTTGTTGCGTTTCGTTCACTCCAGTCTCTCCCTTGCGATGATGACCTTGGTCATCTTGAGCACTCTTGTTTGTGTGGCGTCGTCGTGGCATCTTCTGTCGATACTCATCAAAACCTGCGTTCAGCGCATCAGAGGTATATTTGTGTTTGGCATTAAACAGCATACGCCCACTGGTTTGTGGACACTACGAACGACCCACCTTCCGCTTCCCAGACTTACTGGCTTCTCGGGGCTCGTCATCATCGTCGCTGCCGACATTCATTTGACGCCAGGCGACTCGGAGGAAACGTGTGTAATCTCTCCTTTCAAGTTGCGTTTATTCTCAACGAGTATAGCCCACCAGCAAGTTTCCTAGTGTCGTGTTTATCCAAACTCCTGTCTTTCTGGAAAACGACAACCAGCCAAACAATTTCAAAACACCTCCATGTCTCCATTCCACGCGCGCTGTTTACCCAGCACCTACCACCCATGATGAAGCCGGCATTGCCAGTGGATACGTCTTCGACTCAAGACAATAATGTTACTGCTTTGACAATGACTCAACTCCCAGCACCTAACTGGCATTATTGTTTCGACCCCGTTCTCTTCAACCAATTGAAGATGGTCACCACATGCAACAACAACATTCCCCAATCGATTAGTCCAACCATACCTTTTTTCCAACATACGCTCACTCTGCCGCCTGACTTGTATGCGACTCTCTTCACCAATGGTGAAATGACCGTCAGCCCAGCACCTAATTTGGCGACTCCCTCCATTTGCAATCATCCTGTCCTAGCCAGTGAACCATCGAGCGCAGAAACCACTGTAACGCTGAATCCAAACGCAAATGCATTCGTTCCAGCAAAACTTCCTGTTCTTGAAGGCGCCGCTCGTCGCGACTATCTCGAGAAACGATGGGAGCAACGACCTTCCACTGGTCCTCCCGCTTTCTGGCAACCCAGGCCAGAAATTGCCCAACCACCACCACCTCCTCCAAAGCTTCAGCCGGCTTTCAACAAGTGCCGCAACCGTCGTCCACGACAGAACCGTACTCTTGACCCAACAGGAAAAGAGAACCAGATGCTGTAATACCATCTCATTGCTTCATATAGATTAAAATTGCTCGTGGATACCTACCTTCTTACTTAGACTTGATACCTTGCTTATATAAATTGACTTCCAAAGTATTGTGGGTTCATTACAAGCCTGGTACCCTACTGCAAGGGAAGGTACCCTGAATCCATCGCCGCAGCCAGCATACGGGTAGCACTGCGCTTCCTTCCCAGTACCAGCAAAAGATCCACAATGGGAGGGCCATCCTGATGGAGTTGAGAATGAAGAAACGTGAACGTGAGAAATGACAAGCCTTCACTGCGGTCAATGCATGCCTCACGGCTGGTAATAGCACCTTGGAGCGTTTTTTTGCGCAAGAAATACATTCATTGAGGGAGCTCGAGTCCCACGACTGGATGTTCTCTAAATCTTCACCGAATTCCTTCACTACGCTGCCTTGAAGCAAGTTTCAGTGTTAACAAGAAACACGCAAGGAGTGAAATTACCCACTTCGTTCCTCTTGTTGGATTTTTCGGACCATTTCGCGCGCATCATCAGTGGAATAGTCGGGCTCGACGAAAAGGTATGGCGCTAGGGTGACTATGTCGCGGATGTTGGTGGCCCGGGTCTGCTAATTGTGAATGCGGTGGTCGATCCAGGCGAGATCAGCTTACGTCTAGGACACGAATAACCTTCTCGATGTATTCGGGGAATGTGTACTCGAGACTGCATGACGTCAGACGATTTTGACATGTCAAAAGGACATCACCTTATCTCGCCCAGAGGTTTGCTCTCGTCCAGCCAGGACCTGACTCTTGAAGCGACATCAGCCAGACCAGAGGGCGTGGAGGCACCTTGGAGCAGGTGTTGCCGATTGAGATATGCCAGTTTGCCTTGATCTAAAGACGAAGATCGGTGTGTCAATGCCGCAATGTCGAACTAGCAATGCATTAGTGAAGGGACAACAAGATGCATTGTACTGAACCTCTGAAATGAGCTGGTCTATGTTCATGACCTTAGTGCTATCCGGCGCTGTCTTGACCGTTCGTTCAGTGACCGAGTCGTCGACGACTTGTTGCTCGTGTTGGGCTCCCCAGCCAGAAAGCGCAAGCCAATTAAGAACTGCATCTTTTTCCCACCCGCGCGCCTTGAAGAAGCTCGAGACTGTGTAGCGAAGAGCAGAAAACTACTCACGATGTAATCCGCGACCTTGACATCTCCGTTTCGTTTGCTCATCTTGGTCCCATCAGGGTTGACAAGAATAGGAATATGAGCATACTGCGGGGGCTCAACACCGAGGGCAGAGTATATGTCAAGGTGCAGAGGAAGAGAGGTTATCCATTCCTAAATTGACGTCAAACAAGGGCGACTAAAAATAATTTGCCATGCCTCTCCGCGCAGAACATGAGTTATGCCCATAGTATGGTCATCCACGACATTCGCAAGATGGTAGGTTGGGTACCCATCGGTCTTCAAGAGAACAGGATCCGTAGAAAGGGAACCGTGGGCGTCTTTAAGGCCACCAAATACCAAATCGATCACTGGACGTCGAGCAAAGACCCCACTTGTCTAGGAAAGCGGCATTAGCTTTGGGATTGAGAGTAGTTGAGATGGCACATTGAGTCTTATGATGTGTTTTTCGCCTGCACGAACTCGACGCGCAACTTCCTCCTCTGTCAGATGGAGACATCGTCGGTCATAAGTGGAGTTGGAGCCTGTTCGAGCGAGCTTTTCGCGGACTTGAGTAAGGGTGTCTACCGAGCAGAAGCAGCGGTATGCATGTCCAGTCTATTCAGAGTTGGCGGTGTCGGTTTACCCAGAAGGTTATGCGGCGCACGGTGAGTAACTTTGTGGTGTAGGAACGGTAAAGGTCCAGTCTTTCTGACTATTGCAAATCAGTTTTCTGCGTCGACTTGGTGGTTTCGACTTGCTTGAAAATATGGAGCGTGTGGGCCACCAACGCCAGGTCCTTTCGTCAAGTTAGAGAGCTTCGTTTCGAGAGAGCGCGACAAACAACACCATAGTCGTAGTTCAATCCCGCCCATTCCAGAGCCTTTTGGATTCCCTCGACAGAGCCAGGCACCATACGTGACTGGGGACATTAGATGAGCAAATGGTTGACCTGCAGAAGAATGAGAACACACCGCATCTGTATCCTCTATTCGCAATATCCATTTTCCCTTTGCTTTCCTGGCAAACAGGTGGTTGAACAGGGCCATCCTGAGGCCGCCCAGATGCAGAGCGCCAGTTGGCGAAGGCGCGAATCGGAGGAGTGTCATCTAGACTTGCTATTTCCCCATTCAGCCATGGCTGACCCTCCTACTTACGACCATCTCTTGCGCTCCCATTCAACTGATGTTACTGCTCTCTTTTTCTCCAGCGACAACGAGCGACTATACTCAGGCGATGCCTCTGGGCGTGTCGTTGTTACCTCAACCCGATCTCTTCGTCCCATAACATCATGGCCAGCGCACACTGACAGTATTCTTGGTATTGAGGAGTGGAAAGACTGCATTATCACGTCTGCGGCCTAAAAACTCTAATACTGCCTTACCTGACCTCTACTAGGCACTCTCGCGACCACAAACTGTTTATATGGACCCGCATCCAAGATTTGCCAGCTTCTGAGCGCGTTGGTGGCTCAGCAGCCTTTAACGATCTACCCACTCCCAGCCTTGTCCTCTCTATGGATGTCAATGCCCTCAATTTCTGTCGGTTTTCCCTTCTGCCATCCACACAGGATGCCTTGATTGCCATACCAAACCTCGTCGAGTCTTCTGAGGTATGCAAGCGACCAACACGTGAACGATTGCATGACCTAGCCAGCCCTTAGGCAGACATCTGGTCCTTGCCTGCGCAAAAGAGGATCCACGCTTCAGTTGGAACGCAGCGAAAACAGTCTATATTTTCACTGGAAGGTCGTGAGGGAATGAAGACAGGTATTATAATGTCTCTCCACCTCTTTCGGGCACCGCCCCCCATAGAGGGCTCTTCGGAAGACCAAGGAGAACTACGTCTAGTTACCGCATATGAAGACGGTAGTGTCACCCTCCGACGATTTGTTGGAAATGGCACGCATACTGGGCCAGACATCGAAACTTCCATTGAAGGGCGCGGCTGGGAGGTGATATGGCGCCATAAACTTCACGTAGAGTCAAGTGAGCCATTTTACAGCCTTACTTGGTGGTCCTAACTGCTTCAGTCATGGCCATGCGTGTCTCTCGGGATAACACGTTTGCGTTGACTGTGTCTGCCGACCACATCGTCGGACGATATGAACTGCTATCTGATTCCTCTTGCATCACTCATCGAACAAAGCACCCTAAAAATGGGTGCATTGCCATTCGCGATGATGGCCGAGTCTGCGCAATCGGTGGTTGGGATGGAAAGTGAGACACATCGCAACTTGATCTCGCTACAACTGAATTTCCCAAGAGTCCGCCTATACTCAACAAAAACTATGAAACCGTTGGGCACACTCCGATACCACAAAAGTGGATGCCAAGCGGTTGAATTTGCACACACTCTCAACGAGCCAGTTGGTAATGAAGACGAGGAATTCACTTGGGCTGAACGGGAGGCGCGTGGCAGATGGCTCGCTGTAGCGTCAAAAGACAATCGGGTTTCCTTATGGACTTTGATCAGCTTCGAAAAGCGATAGTAGAGCTTAAGCAACAATGTACAGTGGTCCGGATGGGTTTGAGAATTCAAAACTACGCCTGTGGTTTCTGGGGTGGAATGTCAGTATCTTCAAACGGGAAGAGTTTGCCTAAACAAACATATCCGGCCACCGTGGCGTCGTACTTGATCCCCAACTTGAGAAGTTTCTTGTGACGCTCTTCTTGTCGTTTCAACAACCTGTCTGTCGCCCGAAGTTGTTGTTCTTTTGTTCGAGGCTGACGCAATCAATCAGACACAGTTGAACCAAGGTAGATAAAGCTTCACCTTGTTGTGCTCCGCCCGCGCAACTCGCGCCTTGGGTACTGGCCGCCATTTGCGATTCGCGCCAACCCAGAGTTCAGGATGCACTTGGTCCTTAGGAATTAACTTGCAACGAAGGATGTGGCCCATGAGAAGGTAGTTGTCCATTGTGTCAGCGACAATTTGGGCCACGGAAGATGAATCGAATTCGATGAATCCGTAATGTTTCGATTGGCCAGTCTAGCCAAATTGTTAAGATATTTTCGTATGGATACTAGACGTTAGAGACCTTTTTGTTTCGGGACACACGTAGTCGCGTCACGTTGCCAAATTGCGAGAAGTATGCCTTTGCTTGCTCCTCATAGAATCCATGCGGTATCCTGCCCAAGAAAATGACCCCGCGATCTGCCGCCTAGGGAAAATTTCAGCACAACAGAAAGGACAGATATAGCTTAGTTACTGGTTTTCGTTTGGCATTTTCCAGTTTCTTTTGTACCGTCTTGTCGTCTTTGGCGATGGTCGGGAGTTTGGAAATATCGGCCGCTGAAACCTCGACATCCATGTACCCATCATCCTCGTCAGACGAATCCTCGTCATCCGTCATGAACCCATGGATCGCGTCGTCGTCTTCTTCCTCAGAGTCTGGTGGTGGCGGACTGGGCTCTTTTGGGATGGGGACAGCCTCCTTGGACTTTTTGACCTTGGGTGTCACGTCGACAGAATTTTCTAGTGGTGCTTCTGGAGCAACAGTAGTCTTTGCTTTCTTCGACGGTTTGGGAGGACTGTCAATTGGAGTGCCAGTGGGTTGAGGGCTATCGACATCAACAACCGGTTTCGTTTCAACCGGCTTAACCTTCCGCTTTTTCCCTACTTTCGTCTCTTCTGATGTAGACGCCACAGTCTCGATTTCCGTCACCTTCTCATTTGCTGAAGGTTGCTCGCCAACACTTTCCACCCCACTCGGCCTTTTCTTCTTTTTCTTGTCCGATTTTGGCGCAGGCTCGACATCGGAAGGAATGGTAGGTGGTACATCGGGGGCTTCAGCTTTGGCGGCAGCCTTAGCCTCCCTCTTTTGTTTTCGTGTGGGTTTGGGAGCAACCTCTTCGTGGGTTTCCTCTACGACAGGTTGCTTTGTTTTCTTGTCTTTCTTTTCGACGGCCGTCGCAACCTCGGGATCAGCTTCACCTTTCGCCTTCTTTGACTTTTTTGAGGGTTTGGGCTCATCGTCGATTGAAGGTTGGTCAGGTAGAACAGTCACGTCGGAGGATTTCCGTTTCTTGGGCGTTTTCTCTTCAGGAGGGACAGCCAGAGTCTTTTCTTTCTTGGACTTTTTGCGTGGCTGATACTATATGTGAGTTTTCAGATCACAGAGAAAAAGCGACAACGCACTGCATCCTCCATGTCCTCCGTAGTTTTTTTCCTTTTTACAGGCTGAGGTTCGGTGTCAACAACAGCTTCTACGACGGCCTTGCGCTTGGCTTTCTTGGTGGTACTTGATTCCGAAGTCATGGCTGTCGAGGGAGAAATTTTGCACAGCCACTACTCTGATGTCTTCGATTCCGCTCATGCAAATCGCGACGCGCAAAGAGTTGTTTGAAAGGGAACAACCCTATGAACCCGATGGAGAGTTGTTATCTGTGCTAGATGATATGCTCACCGCCACCCTCGAAATAGAACCACAAAGTTTTGAGCTCAAGAATGTAGTTACGGTCGCAACCCCGACATCCTCAGGCCAGTTCTGTTGCAAGTTTGTGGGTATAAAATGATGGCCATCGTATAGAATTTCGACTGTTGTCCGTAGTTCGCCCGATCTCTCTACTTCCGAAACCTCTACCTCCCTCAATGTCTATACTTCCTTGAACTTTCGACTGTGGCTAATCTAATTGAAGAACACGGCCGCCAGAATACGAAGACTCAAAGTCAACGGCAAAGGCGCGTCGAAAATGGGCGAAATTGGTGTCAGTGGATGCAGATTGGGTACGGGAGGAAGGAAAAACGTTGCCGGTATGAGTGGAGTTGCAACTCCGATGAAAGCTAAGAGTTTCAAGCCGTTCCGTCGTGGTTGCGTCCTCGACGTTGTGAGAAAGGTTGATACCGCCAAATGGCCGCCGATAATGCACGTATATCGACTCCAACAACCACGCAAGACACGACCACCAGTGTCAAGCTCCAAGTTGCAGCATCATCCATATGGTTCTGCCATTCACCAAACAAACAATTCAGTAGGGCTGATAGAGAGTCTTGAGGTGGAGAATAGAGGGGTGGCAAAACGTAGGAAGCGAACGAGACATTATCGTGGTCGAATACAAGCCAAACAAAGCTGATCTTTCTTGATGTTGACTTCCACCCCGCCACCACAAAACGCGTACAATGTACCTTCTATTCCACGATTGCCCTCCCCTTCGCGTCGATCCTCCATAAACTCCTTCTCGTTTGGTCCCCAACAGCTTGTTGACCTTTACCTCGATGCAGATTCATCCACTGCTAGTTCGTTGGACCCCAACCGCTCTATTCTCCCAGCTTCGCCTCTTCGCTCTTCTCCGCGACATCCCCCGAAACAAAAAGACGGGACAAATCGGGGACCACATCCATTGGCGCATGATACGACGACCGACATTTTCCACGAGGGCATAACGGACGAGAGCGACTATGAGTGGGGCATGGTTGACAGAATGCGTCTCTGGCGCCACGATGCACTAATGCAGCATTTATACGAAACGGCAGCTTTCTGGGGCGACAAAATTCTCTCTTGGACAAGTGCGTACTCGGCATATATCTGGTTTGCACCACTTAACCGTTGAGTAGGCGATCCTAATGACGCATTTTGGCTTGCCCAGACCTACTTCATGACACACCAATACTCTCGCGCGGAACGTCTGCTTACTCGCCCGTTTCCCTCCGCGCCACCGAAACGTCCTTCTCCTCTGACAAACGGCCACAACGGAAAGGGAAAAGAGCGCGAAATTCCAATGCAGCGCCTACCATTGGGCCTTGTTGAGCTGCCGGAGGAAATGCAGAGAGAGGTTTCGCGGCTGGTTGACATGAGCGTCGCGTGTCGATATCTTGCAGCGCAATGTCAGGTTCGACAAGGCAACTGGACAGGCGCAACCGAGATGTTGGGTGAAGCAAATCCTTTCCGAAACTCAGGACGAAGTGGTCCCGCAATTCCTAATCTTGACGGGGGCATCAAGGTATTTCCACATTCTCCAGCTGTGTCCTCTTCTGAGAGTATCAAGATTGAGGCTTCGATGTGCCATCTTCGTGGTATCCTTATGCTAAAACTCAATCGCGGCGATCAGGCTAAACAGTGCTTCATGGAGGCTCTTGCTCTGGACGTGAAGTGCTTCGAGGCCTTTGAGCAGCTTGTGAGCGGTGAAATGATGACCCCAGAGGAAGGTTGGCATCCCTTCTCTCTTGTCTACCACCGGTTTGCTCACTTTCAACAGAATGGGAATTCATCCAAGGTCTTTCATATGCACAGCAAACGCCCCAAGACGCGTCTTTTGTGCAACTGATTTATACTGCGCGACTACGAAAATACAAACACGCGACAGAGCACGCGTTGACGCGCGAACGCTTAGTCCAAGAATTTGGTCTGGGGGACAATCCCGATGTGCTCTTCAGTTTTGCAGACGCGCTCTATACGCAGTTCAGATGGGCGGACTGCTTTGCTATCACAACCAGGTTTGCGTTACGCTATACTTGGTTTTTGCCTCTAACTATTGTATTTTGGTAGAATCCTCGGCCTCGTATCAATTCACAACCCAACAATGCCCCTTCATATCGCATGCATGTATCACCTTTCACACCTCCATTCTAAACTGTTCATCCTGGCTCACGAAATGGTTGACCGCGAACCGGAAAATCCCATCAGCTGGTACGCTGTTGGAGTTTGGTATTTGAGCGTCAACAAGTGGCCAGAGGCCCGCCAGTATTTCAGCAAAACTTCATTGATGGACCCACGTTTTGGCCCAGCGTGGATCGCATTTGCCCACACTTTCGCTTTGGAAGGAGAGCATGACCACGCAGTCACCGCATATTCGACTTGTGCAAGAATGTTTACTGGGTACTGCGTGTTTCTTATCTTGCTGGCTCAATTAATTTGAATCATCTCAGATCTCATCTCCCGCTCATGTTTGTCGGTATGGAGAACATCATGTTGTCGAACTACATGCTCGCCGATGAGGCTCTCCTCGCAGCCGAATCAATGTGTGATGGCGACCCATTACTCTACAACGAATTGGGTGTTATGGCCTACAACCACGCGCAGTAAGTCCAAAGTCGTTTCTTTCATTATTCCGGACCAACTGTTATGCCAGGTATGAAAAAGCTGCTTCTTTCTTCCAGAAATCCCTTGACCTCGCCGCGGACACGCAAGGCTCGCACAAGACGTGGTCGACGACACATCTGAACTTGGGGACCTGCTACCGCAAACTTGGTCGATATGATGCTGCCCAGACATCCTATCAGAATGTTCTGGACCTTGAGCCGCGACACCCACAAGCGCTTGGGTTCATAGGAATCGTCTACCACCTCACAAACCAGCTCGACAAAGCTATACTCAAGTACCACGAGGCCCTCAGCGTTGAGCAACTGAATCCACACATCATGGAGTTGCTAAATCTTGCGCTCGAGCAGACCACAGCGGTGAGCACTACCAAGTCTGAATTCAAGACCGTTGTGAGAAGTTTGAGGGATAAATATGCGAAATATACTCAGGACAAAGGCAAAGGGAGGCAGACGGAGGAAGTGATAGGGGACGAGATGAGCATTGGATAATGTAGAATGTACTAATCATGCACCCAGCCCAACAACCTGGCTGCTTTGTCACAGTCAAAGAAGGATGCTCTACCTGAGACCGTCTTGCCGCTTTTGATTGGGATGTCTGGATAATGCTCTCGGATCAGGTCCATGGTGTCCCTTGTGCTGAAAGTTTGTGGAGCGACGATGAAAAAAGCTTCCGCTGCAGTTGTCCAGGCCTCGGTCGAGTGTGTCACAGCAAGGATGAATGCTTCGGCAGCAGAGTCCTCTTGTACATAACCCCACAGATCGTGTTTGGCGTTAGAAGAGTGGTCATGCTTACGGGCGTGTTCGACACTCCAATGGAGGCGGAGACTAGCGACACGCATGTCGGGATGTCGTCGTACAATAGTCTCTTCACAAACAGCGTCAAGTCCAAAACGTTGGATGCATTGACAACTCACGAGCTTGAAGTTCACAAATGACTTTTGACAGCCCATATGGCTCGTCTGGCTCAGTGGGATGTTCTTCATCCAAAGGGAAATAACGGAATGAATGTGCGCGGCTGTAAACCAATGCCAGCACATTCACACTGGAAGCTTGAGCAATCCGCTTAATTCCTAGCTTTTGAGGGCATCTTTTGTCACCGCAGGTTACATAATCACAACCAAAGAAACAAACCTCGGCGGCAGCTTGGAGGATGTTCCACGAGATAACAACGTTGCTGTGTCTATTGAGTTTCCGAAAAGGATTTGAATGCAGGTTGTTACTTGTTGTGAACTTTGACTCTGTAGTCTCCAGGTTGGGGAAGAGCGGCAAGATGTAAGACGGCCTCGCAGCCAGAAAGCGCCTTGAGAGTTGCATCGAAGTCAGTAAGGTCGGCTTGGATGAAGGTGAATTCGGGAGTAGGATCGTCAGGTACTCGTGGAGAGAAGTCTGAACATAGGTTTTATGTAAGAAGACTGCATCGGATTATTTCCTGTACCAATGCCCACGACGTGATAGCCATGTTTCAACGCGCATAGCACCACCCGCTTCCCAACGGACCCATTGCATCCAGTGACTGCGATAAGAGGATCAGGCATGAGTGAAGGTAAAGCGAACAAAGTGCTACTTTGAGTTCTATATGAGTGGACGAGGTCAGTTGCCGCCAGTGAGGTCGATGGCCGTCGGCATGGCGGGCCGAAACTGAGTTGGTCTTCAGCTTTTCCTTCCAATCGCCATGATTAACTTGACCAAATACCACTACCCTAGTCTTCATATGATTTGTGGCGTTGCGGCCACAGCTACTTGAGCTGTGCTTCTTCGAAAGAGCCAAGTTTTTTACGGTTGTCATTGGACAGTGGTCATCATTTATTTGGCGCTAACCGCCAACTTTGCAGCGCTTCAGCATGTCATTTATCTAGCGCTTCTCCCTTCCCAAGCCTCTCGTCTATCGACTTCGCTTCAAGATGAGCTTTGGCATTGGGATGGGGGACATCCTCCTCGTCACGACCATGGCGTGGAAGCTCTACAAGAACGTGAAGGATTCGGCAGAAGATTTTCGGCAGATGTCGTCTGAACTCATGGCTCTATATGCAGTCATGAACGAAATGAACGACTTTCTTGTTGAGAACGGAGACGATCTCGAGCCGTGGCGACATGAGCGACTCAAAGACTTGGTCAATGCCTGCCTTGGCCCACTTCGCGACCTGGAGAAACTCTATCTAAGATATGACAGTCTAGACACACAGTCACAGAGGACATGGGACCGAATGCATTTTGGGTTGAAAGATATTTCACCCATTCGCCAGCGCTTGGTGTCTAGTACGACATTATTAGCTGGATTCAACTCGATCATGGTCAAGTGCGTCTTCATTATTGGCTTGTTGTGATGTTGAAAACCTATTTCACAGCTCCTCGACGGCGCGGATACAGAAAAAACTCCACAAGTTCATGACCGAGGTACAAGCGGGGAAACGAGAAGGTTCAATGGTCTCAGTGTCTGATGCGGCAACTGCAATCGACTCTCCAGATGGTTGGGATCAGTTTCGACGCGAACTCGAGGACATTGGCATTTCTTCAGCCGTGCTGGAAGAGCGTCGTGAATATATCGTGGGTTGGGTTCAGACTGCTCTAGCGGAAGGACGGTTGGAGGAGGTTTTCGAGGGACGTACACTTACGCCCACCAATGACGGAGATGACGACCCAAGCTGGTATCATACTACCACCCCAGACGACTTATCCGACCGGGAGTCCCAGTCTCTTTACTCTGACGAAGGCTCTACAGTTGTCCCCAGTGAAGTTTTGGACCTAACTGCAGCCTCCGAGGCATTTGATGCGGATTTGCGTCGCGAGCGGAGCGAAAGGAGTGTTGCAGAGTTATTTGACCCTGTTGCTGCTGCTAACGAATACTCTTTAAACCCACCTTCAAGTCGTCGGCCTTCCAATCGCAAACGAAGAGCAACTGAGGCCGTCGGTTTGGTTAAACGACTCTTTCAAAAGCAAACTGCAATCATCCAAGCTGCGTCTGACGGTAACATTGACCGTGTCGCCGAGTTATTGAGCCTAGGCATGGCGGTGGATGCTCGGGATCGTTGGGGCTGGACAGCTCTTTCTATGTGCGGTTATGGTGGACATGCCGCCATTGCCCGTCTGCTGCTAGACCATGGTGCTAATCTGAACAATCGCGATGTGGATGGGGACACTCCAAAATCCCTTGCTGCTCAAAGGGGGCACACAGCATTGGTTATAATGTTTGAGCAAGAAGAAGCCCGGCGTCAAAGAGCTTCCCAGTAATCATACCCATTTGTAGTTTTTAGCCCTCACTGGACAGTTTTTGTAATGACATATTCCTTCGACTGTTCGACACAGCTATGATGCATGTGCTCCCCCTGCCATAGGTTACAGCTATGGTCAAGCCATAAAACGTCCCGCCTAGCTTGTTTCTTCATCTCATGGCCGAGCGAAGACCCCATGTTTGTATCGTCGGTGCTGGTATTTCAGGTTTACGCTGCGCCGAAAAACTCCTGTCCAGTGGTTTCCAGGTGACAATTTTAGAGGCACGTAACCGAATCGGAGGCAGAGTTTGTGATTGGTCTTGTTTTTTCGCGTCAACTGAAGTGGTTCAGATTTGTCAATCGGATGCCTTGGGTTATACCGTCGACCTGTATGTTCTCTGCTCGATTCTATCAGCCCTGATTCCGATGTTCTTGTAGTGGTCCCAACTGGATCCACGCGTGGACCGACTCTGACGAGCCCCATCCAATTTTCAAGCTCGCCCAGGACACACAGACGCCAGTGCACTATTGGAATAACAAGCAACTCATTTTTGACTCTGAAGGAAATGCACTGCCTGCTGAACTTGGTGAACGGCTGTCGACTTTGCTGTGGGAGATCATTGAAGATGCTTTCAACGTCAGTGAAGCGGCCCACAAAGCAGACGGGGGCAAGTCGATTGACGCTGGGGACTCTCTATACGACCATGTTAAGCGGGAGGCCGCGCGACGCCTGGAGGATCCAAACGAGCAAAAGTTGCTGATCCAAATGAGCGAGATGTGGGGAGCTTATGTTGGAGAGCCTGTTTGGAAGCAGAGCTTGCGTTTTGCTTGGATGGAGGAATGCTGTGGCGGTAGTAAGCATTTCGTTTGTGCTTTGTGTGTGGTGGTCTATTCTAACCCGTTCTTTTAGTTGAAATGTTTGTAGAGTCAAACTATTCTCAGATCCTTGATCGCTGCTCGGCTCCTGCGATGTCCAGTGCTGAAATTCGCCTCAATACGTATGTTACGCATATCGACACACCAGGCGACCTAGTCACCGTTATGACGGCAGATGGAAACTGCCTTACTTTTGACCAAATTGTTGTCTCAACGCCTCTTGGCTGGCTTAAGCGGAATCTAGCAAGCTTTTCGCCCCCACTCCCACCAACAATATCCAGCGCCATCACCAACCTTGGCCTGTCTCAACTAGAGAAAGTCTACATCACCTTTAGCAGTGTGTTTTGGACCTCAAATCCTCAAGCGGATGTGTTTCCGTGCTATGCCAACTGGCTGACGCCTGCGTATGCGACAGAGACGAATCCGATTGGTTGGCCACAAGAAATTTGGGATCTTTCGACATTCAAACCACCTAATAATCACCCGACGTTACTATTCTATCTTTACGGGGACTGTTCAAGGCATATCGTCGATCTGGTTCATGACAAGCCTGACGATGAAAAATACCGTCTTCTCGATGACTTTTTCAGGCCCTATTACTCTCGGCTTCCCGGGTTTGAGCCAAACAGCGCTGCTTGTCGACCTATCCGCATACTTGCAAGCGAATGGGCACGCGACGAACTTAGTGGAGGGGCAAGCTACTGCAATTTTCCAGTGGGTTCGCAGAGTGCGGATCAGGACGTTCTTGCTTTCAGGGCTGGATGTGAAGAGCGTCGATTATGGTTCTGTGGAGAGCATGCAGCACCATTTGACGAGTGCGGGACAGTCGCCGGGGCATATCTTAGCGGCCAGAAAGCAGCAGAGAATATATTGTCCGTGTATCGTCAGAAATGATCAATTCAGCATCACGTGTCTATGAACAAGCTTGACCTCGTATTTTTTTCCACTTGATATCGAATTGCTTGCCCGCTCCCCATGCGACTCCACGCAGTTACGTTTGGTCTCATCGGCTGCCGAAAGAAGTGTTGGCTGCGAGTAAAAACTTTTGCGATAAGTCGACTTATCTTGAAACCGTGGGGTTCGCTGCCCAGTTTAGAACAGCGATATAGCTGGCGACTATCTATGAGTGGCCCACGGCCTTTCCCTGAAAGAATCACTGACCATTTAGGACCTCGATGAGCAGCAACTACCGACTCGGTGTCGACGTAGGTGGTACCTTTACCGATGTTCTCTTGTTGAAGGTCAGTTTCCCTCTGACTGCCTGACATGACCCATGTCTTCTCTAGGTAGATACCGGTCAAACATGGCGCACAAAAATATCGAGCACTCCCGAAGACCAGTCACTTGGTGTCCGTGCCGGAATTGACAAAGTTCTAAACCAAATTCCTGACGGGTCGAATATTGTCCTTCAAGTCGTGAATCATGGAACTACAATTGCTACCAATGCCCTCTTGGAAGGTCAAGGAGCCAAGGTTAATGCCACCTGCATAATTTTCGTCGTATTCATTGTTCAACTCCCCTTTCAGGTCGCTCTAGTTGTTACGGAAGGCTACCGCGATATTCTGCAAACCCGAAGGTCGCAAGTGCCTGGAGGCGAGTTGAAAGAAGTGCCTAACTTAGACCAAATGGCTAATAGTCATGCCAAGGCCTCGCAGGTTGGATCACCTGGAAGAAACCCGAGCCGCTGGCTGGCCTTGAAGTGACGATCGAGGCTCCCGGACGTATTTCAACAGAAGGACATCAAGTCCGTCCATTCGAACCAGTGATTTTCAGGGAACGAGTACGAGAACTCGCCAAACAGAAGCCAGAGGCCATAACAGTTAGCTTGATCAACTCGTTTGCTAATCCTGTCCAGTATGTTGCCTTGTCATTGATGGTTCCACATCTTGCTCACTCATTTAGTGAGCACGCTGCTCTTCAAATAATCTCCGAAATTATGCCCGATGTACCCGTCTCTCTGAGCTCGGACGTTCTCCCTGAGGTAATGGAATACGAGCGTGCCGTGACGACGGTCTGCAATAGCTATCTGAAGCCTACTGTTGACACGTATCTGCATCATTTACTTGCCAGCCTGCAAGGCAAGACCGAACATCTCCGCATCCTTCGCTCAGATGGAGGCCTTAGTTCTGTGGCACTTGCGACTCGTTACCCGGTGACTCTTGCTCTCTCTGGGCCTGCTGGTGGAGTTTCTGGAGTCGTAACCTCAATCGCTGCGCAAACCAAATATAAGAATTTAATTACCCTCGACATGGGAGGTAAACGACTAACACCATGGCTGAATAATCGATTATTCTAACTTGCTCACAGGAACCTCAACCGATGTAGCTCTGATTCAGAATGCTACGCCACAGCTCCGTCGAGAAACCCACATTGCCGATATTGTCGTCGTTCGGAGTCCTTGTGTTGATGTTCGTACGGTCGGTGCTGGAGGAGGAAGTATAGCACATGTCCCAAAGGTTTCCGGCTTCCACCTCGAATATGCCAGGCTAACTTGGAGCTATTGGTAGGTCACCAAATCTCTGCGTGTGGGTCCAGAAAGCGCTGGAGCCGTCCCAGGTCTGCATCTCGCCACCAACCTCTCACCATTCACAAATGGTTCAGGTCCTGCTTGTTATGGAAAGGGCGGTCCTGCGACTGTGAGCGATGCTAATGCGGTCCTTGGATTCCTCCCAGAGTTTCTTCTAGGAGGTTCATTCAGACTTGATCTCGATGCAGCACGCTCTGCTGTTCAAAAAACGGCCGACGATTTGGGATTGAGTTTATTTGAAGCAGCCGCAGGTGGTTATTCTACTTGATATATTGAATGCCCTCGATTGACCAAACCAGGCATTGTTCGCATTGCTAACGAAACTATGCTCGGTGCTCTACGCCTTGTTTCTATCGAACAAGGTTACGATCCTCGAGACTTCAGTCTCGTTGCCTTTGGAGGCGCCGGTCCTTTGCATGCCAACGCTTTGGGCGTACTCCTACATACGTTTCCTGTTATTATCCCTCCTTCCCCAGGTGTTCTGTGTGCGTGGGGAGATGCGACTACGCGGCTGCGACACGAGGAATCACGCACATTTATTCGCAACCTGAGTGTAACTGAGTCAGAGGAAATTCTGACGGGCTATGCTGAGCTATTGGTCAAAGCGCAAAGCATCATGCTTGAGGAACAGGGTGTCTCTAATGACTCTCAGGTAATAGCTCTTCTCCCTTGTTTTTTTTTTTTTCTACTGGATCTTCGATAGGTTTGCAAGTATCAAGCGGATCTGCGTTACCTCGGCCAAGCTATCACAATTCCTGTCGATGTACAACCCGCACAAATCAAGGACAACGCTATTTGCCATCTAACTAGTCTTTTTGAATTCGCCCATGAACAGGCATTTACATTCAAACTTTCGAGCCCCATCGAGCTAATCAACCTGCGAATCATTGTTGAAGAGACACTGCCTGACTTTCGCCTCCAACCATTAGAGAGGGCTGAAACCATTGAACCGTCAGAGTCTTTGATTGTGACAAGAACAACTCTTATATGCTCCGGCATCCATTACCACGATAGCCCTATTTGGATGCGTACCCTGTTGAAATGGGGGCATATAGTGCATGGTACAGCGAGTAACGTCTGACCTCTCTCCTCTGAACGGTCCCATTCTAGGTCCTTGCATTATCACTGAAATGGACAGCAATACATTGTTCGATTCCTTCACCTTACCGTCTCTCTCGATTCACTTTCAATAGAGTGTTGCCCGGTTACAAAGCCGAAGTTGACGAAGTCGGCAACTTACTGATCTGGGAGTCGTCTGAGGCATCTCAGGCCAAAAATGATTCGGAAGACGACGCTGAACTGGACACAGTGATGGTCGATATTTTCGAGTCTGCGCTGAGAAACGCGCGAAATGAGATGGATACGGTGATGATACGCGCTTCTATGTCGCCCGCTATTCGTGAGCAAGTCGATGAATTCAATGTTATCGCTGAACCCGGTTGGTCTTAATATCTTCCTGACACCGTAGAACTGAAGTACAGCTAGGTGGTAAAATGATCGTGGGACAATTTGGAAGTTTCATTGGCCAGTTTTTGGAGCGCTGGAAAGGCCCAATTGAAGGTATACGATTATTTGTAAGCATTCATTGACATAATCCAAAAATCCAAACAGAGGGGGACATATTTCTTGGTACAGTTTTATTCTGCTGGATTATCCAACCTTAATTTGCATCTGACAGTGAATGACCCGTACTCAGTGGGCGGAAGCATATCTCATCTCAACGATTGGTATGGCTCTTAGTTGGCTCAAAAAAGTCACCATTGACTGTTTTACAGGCTTATCGTTCTCCCCGTCTACTCAGAGGATAGCAAACTTATTGCTTGGTGCTCTAACTTTGGCCATATGACAGACACAGGCCAGTTACTCGTTTTGCGCCACGCGAAATACCTTACTCAAACTGACACAGGTGGCTCAGTGCCAGGATCGCTGCCAACCGGGGCCATGAGTGTGTTCGAGGGTAATCGTCTTCATTTCAACTCCTCGACAATTCATGCCCATGGTGCATAGAAGGACTGCAAATCCCCATCACCAAAATATGTAGCCGTGGAGTTTGGAACGAGCAACTTATGGAGCTCATTTACCGTACGCTTTTCCTCTTCGCAGTTACGATCTCTTCTTATTAGTGACCAGGTAATGTTCGCCTTCCGGAGTGGAATCGATGTGACACCGCTGCTCTTGTGTAAGCGTTTGTTAGTCATGCTCTCAGAATAATGTACGTGTCTAGCGCTGCCTGTACGCTAGCTGGGCGACGGATGAAGCAACTTTACGAGCGATTCGGCGATGCCAACTATTTTGCAATAATCAGTGAATTACTCGAGCGGAATCGCAGAGCTATAGGCACGCTTATCCAACACGTGATACCAGATGAAGATGTCTATTTCTTCGACTACATCGATGACGACGGCCGTGGTACTGGCCCTTGGAAAGTCGCATGCACCATGTACAAGCAGGACGGGATTCTCAACTTTGACTTTACCGGAACCGACCCCCAGAGTCCTTCCTCCATCAATTATGTGCTTAGTCATAACATGTGACCATCCTCCTCCTTGAATCACACCTGCTCAACATCGTCTATAGGTTCAAAATGTTTGTTGGCATTTACTTAATCACCGTGTATGACCCCCCCTGCGTTGTGAACGACGGTTTCCACGATCTTATCAAAATTCACATTCCCGAAGGCACTCTCTTGAATCCAGTCCGACCTGCGGCATTATCTACGCGAACCCATCTCTTGGGCCGAGTTATGGACTTGCTTTCCGGTCTTCTCGGGCAGAAAAATCCTCAATATTTGACTGCCGGAGGGTTCTCCGATTCGCCCCATTTTATGTATTCCGGTTATCGCGAAAACGGGCGATGGTTCCAGCTTTACCAAATCGGATTCGGTGGTGTCCCTGCGAGACCCCACGGCGATGGTATGCATTTTCCCTCTTTGTCTGATAGCTTTCTCATAGCTCAAAGGAATGGATGGTACCTCTCTCTGGCCAGCCATGAAATCAGTGTGTGGTTTGGCATTTAGATCGGTGTTCTGATCCGATACTTTCAAAGGTCCCAAACGAGTTTCTCGAATTATATTTCCCTCTTCGGATTGAAGAATACTGCACAGTGACAGACTCTGGCGGCGCTGGCCTCTTTCGTGGCGGAAACGGGCAAAGAATATGCTATCGCTTCCTTGAACCTGGCGAAATATCATTGCACGATGATCGCTGGTTGCTCAAGCCTTTTGGAGTTATGGGAGGAGAGCCAGGAGGAAGGTCGTCCAAAGTTTTGGTTCATTACAGCTCTGGACGAAGAGAGATTCTTCCCAGTAAACAAGACCACATCAAGGTAGAGCAAGGCGACGTTTTGGAATGGCAGACATGGGGAGGCGGAGGGTACGGTGACCCCTTGTTACGCGATGCAAAATTAGTTGCGCTGGAGGTTCACCGTGGCCTGGTGTCTTTTGAAGGAGCCAAGCGCTATGGCGTTGTCGTATTGCCTGACTTTTCAGTTGACGATGCCGCGACCAATTGTCTGCGATCACAGATGGCTGGCACTAGGCAAAGCAACCGGCTGGATGTGTTCAATCGAGGAGGAACCGTTGCTGAATTGTGTTCAAAGGCATTTGAAGAGACAGGCCTTCATAGGCCGAGACCAGTGGGGGAAGTGCCTCTTCGCGGTCCCATGACTGGATTACCCCACATACGCGCTTGGATGAAGGCTCATGGTCAGATCAAGTAATTACAACTACAATGCAGATACCGAAATGAGAAAGTTTACGAAGCCTCTTCTGGAGCATCAGGAAGCTGGGAAAGCTCCTCCGAGACAGGTTGCTGTTCTGCAGGCTCATTGGTCGTTGACTCTTCCTCCAGCGGGAAATACTCGGGAATAAGGGTCCTAGGAAAAATAAGACCATGATTAGACGGTACAACGACCAGTTACTCGTAGACCTCTTTGTCCTTGTTGCTCCAAACAACCTAGAAACGCGTTCAATCAACAGGTTCCTTGCGATGGAGGCTGCAGCTCACAAAGATTATTCGGTCGAGCTAGCTTGGCATTAATGGAGGCGTACAACGAGGAACAGAGCCCACTTACTTTGCCTCCGTGTTCTGACTCACAGAATTGGTGGACTGTCTCCAACGCTATGTGCGTGGCGTCGACGATAGGGTACCCATATATGCCGGTGCTGATAGATGGAAAAGCCTGTGTGGGGCAATAAATCGGGATTGAGGCAAAGAATGAAGGAGACGGACGATATGCTTTAGGCCATTCTCGACTGCGATGTCGAGACTGGTCTTGTAACAAGAAGCAAGCTGTTTTGCGCGGTTCTCCACGTCGGATCGCGAGTAGACAGGCCCAACGGCATGGATGATGTGTTTGCTAAACACGCGTTTTAATCTGGGGGAACGAATGATTGGAATGTAGACAACTGACGAGGGCAGCTTGTAGGCCTTTGTGATCTTAGCGCCGCCAGTGTCGCAGCCACCCAGAGTCTCACCTTTCGCCCGGATCAGACGAGGGAACGTTGGATGGGTGAAGGAAACTTGCATTCTGCGAGTAGTTGCGGTCCCGCTGGATTTGAGTAAACAACCGATGAAGAAAGAGAATTCAGTCAAACCTGCTGAGTGGATCGCGCCATCTACTCCGCCTCCGCCCAACAGACTCCGATTGGCGGCATTGACGATGGAGTCAACCTCCATTGCGGTTATATCTCCTTGGCTGATCACCGATGTGAGTCTCGAGCCAATTAGCCCAAATATAATTCCTCACAAGAGCGAGACGCGAGTGAGGAATGTTGCGTTTGCCGTGTGTCGGGGAGTCGTTTTATTGGGTTTAATTTTTCCTTTCTCATACTGGGCAGCAACAGTGAGGATGTCTGACAAACGGACGATGGGGTCTTCCTCTGAATCAGAGCTTGAATGGGACATGGATAACGACCTGGAGATCACGTGCTAAGTAGTGAATGGCGGCTAACTAAAGAACGAATGTAGTACATATTTTCCGATACAGATAGTGAAACGAGAGCCGCCAGCGCCTCGAGCCCTGAATGACTAGTCGTGATTAATAGAGCTATTAGTAAGTTGGTTCCTTTCAATGGTATCATGGCGGAGTGTAAGCCCTGGCAGGGACACTGGGTACTGGGTGGTCATGGTGGGCTCCATCGAACATGGGAGACCCTGCTTGTGACCTTTCAGCCATTGTTGCTGTGTGGGATGGTGCCAGTGTCCGGTCACTGTCATCGGAGCCAACAGTGACGATTGGTTGGTTATGCGGGTAGTAGGACATCCTCTTGGATTGCATGAAGTCATAAACGGTGAACCTAGCGGAAAATTTGAGCAATCTATCAGTCATCAGACTTAAAACGCACTTTTCTTCCAATTCTCGGAGCTCGGGTTTGAGCTTGTCGAGGTCGGCGTTGGCTTTCCGTTTCGTATGGGTCAATGGTTTCTCAACCATCAGGAACTCATCAAGCTCATGAGATACGTCAAAGTTGGCGGCTTTCATCTGGCCGAAAGTCAATACGAATTATTCTCGCCAGAACTAGGCACTACGCACGTCAGGGACGAAAGGCGGCTGCGCTTCCTTGCTTTGAAGATCGTCCCACTTGATGGCAGCAAACCATGGGTGCTGTTGGATATCTTCAATACCTTGGCTGTCAGAGCGACAACCTAAGCGAAGGGCAGGATCCCTTTCGATGAACTGTGAACAAGTTAGAGACTTGAAACTGCAGTCAAGTCCAGGACTAACCCCTTTCAAGGCCTTAATACCTGCGTCCGAAACCTTGGACCGGGCATCTTCAGGGAATTTTAATGGGTCTTTGAGGATTGACTGGGTCATGCGATCCGAGGTACGACCGTCAAATGGTCGACGATGGAAGAGGAGCTCATATGCTGTTACGCCGAGACTCCACCAGTCAATTGCCCAGTTGTAGCCAGTTCGTCCAACAACTTGAGGCGCCATATAAGCCATGGAACCAGCGACGCTCGTGTGTAATCTTCGTTCAGAATAGTGAATAGCAACCTGGGGGTTTGTTTGAGGCTTGAAAAATTAAACGAAAAGAGTGCGGAATGCTCACGTTAAAGTCAGTAAGGTGGGCATGACCCATGGCATCGAGAAGGATATTATCGGGTTTAAGGTCGCGGTGAATGATCTTCTGTCGGTGGAGATACTCCAAGGCACAAGAGAGTTCAGCAATCCAGAAGCATACAACGTCCTCCGGTATTGAGCCTCGACGTTCAAGGTGGACTAGAAGGAGTTGTTGGAGCAAGAGGTAGAATGATAAGCAACAACGTACATCGCAGGTCTCCACCCAACATGAGGTCAAGAACGAAGAAACAGTTCTCGTCGTCCTGGAAGGCATAACGCATGTTGACAATGAAAGTATGGTCAATCTGTGGTTATGATAAGGTGAGGGAATGAGGCAGGTAACGACGAACTTCTTCCAGTAAACGACGCTCCTGTATCACGTTGGCGACCGCCTTTTGTCGGATGCACCGGGTCTTGTCGATATATTTGAGGGCGTATAGTTTTTTGGTGGGTTTGTGCTCGACCACGCGAACTTTGCCGAAAGCACCTTTACCTAAAATGAAGAATGAGCCACCTTCCAGGCACTCAAGCAAGCAACTAACCGACCGCGCGATGGAGATCGAAGTGGTAGAGTGTAACCTCGGCATTATAGTCGACAGGCTCAGAGAGGCAACAGCAAACGGCGCCCATCGTAGCGCTTCGAGCCTACAGGACAAGGGAAAGTGAAAGAGGAGGAGGTGAAAGAGACAGACGACACAGATCACCTATAATAGAAAAAGAACGACCAGCGTGAGAATCAAATTACAACAGACCCCTCTTTCAGTCCAAAACCTTGAACCCAATCCAGTAGCCTCCGAACTCGCGCTCTTCACCTCTGCTGTGAATTCCCCCCTCCTCCTCCTACTCGACAAAGAAAACAATGTGCTGCTCTTTACACCAACTCTGAATCCAAACTTTGGTGTACCCGTAACCACGCCTTTTGATCCGTCTCGCCTTCACACACATGGACCACGAAGACCAGCACCAGCCTCTCTTGGCTCCCACCGATCTTGCCTCCATCCCAGTCTACCCTCTCATACCTGCAATTCGTAAAGATGTCATTGTAAGACCCGTTGTCCACGCTTCGCTTCCAGTTTTATCTCAGTCGTTTCAGGAAACAATCGACAGTGCTCTTAGCTGGGAGTAAACCCTCTTTGTTGTTTTTCTCAGCTATTTTCTGATAGTTGAAAGCCAACTGACTGCCGCCGACGTCAACTTTGCCATCGTCCGCCCTCTTGTCCTCAAGTATGCAAGACTGAAGAATATGGCCTCGGTCTATGCCTGTCTCGTGAACCGAGTGCGACATGTTGCAGTCAAAATAGACCATCAAAAGATTGATTGCTGTCTCAGGCGTACTTCTTGGGCGAGTCCGAAAACAATCTGGCATATGCAGGCGTCATGTTATCGCGTGTAAAGTCACCATCCAGACCGCCGAATTCGCTGTCGTTGATGAATTTTCTAGGCAACATTCTGCGAGATACTGGCGATGAAACTTATGGGTCACTTTGCCTCCAATCGCCTTTCCCTGGCTGCTGTGTTGACCACGGCATGGAGCCCTCTGTCCGGTGCTTCTGCTCAAGTTTGTCTGGTAGCGGGTCCACTCTCCATACTCATTCTATATATGCTAGGTCGTCGAAGAAGTTAAACAAGTTCTTGGCAGCAAGGCGAACGTGAATGATGGCCAAAGCGCCCTCGAAATGGCTATCAGTACTGATGCCAAACACTTTGTGTCCTCGCCAGTCTCGCAAGCGGTCGTCAACGATATCTATGCAGGCCGTATCGTTTTCGCTCATGCAGCAACGAGCAGGTCGATGTTGGCCGACAATTACAAGCCGAGGGTAAGCATCCATTCTCACCTTCTAATACTACACTCCTAATTCAACTAGGGCATTCAAGTCTACGACTGTCGCGATGCACCTTTCCTTGACCATTACAGACTTCGAGTTCCTCGGTATGGTGCGATCCTGGAATTTCTCAACTTCACCTGCTTGCTTGTTACGTTTATCCTCTGTTTATCCAGTGAGTTGGATCTGTTTTACGTGGTTTATCCAACTTACCGCTGATCAGACCAAAACTACGACAAGGTTACCCTCTGGGAAGCCGTCTTCTTCGTGTTCGCCGCAGCGTTTGCGCTTGAAGAGTACACTGCCTCCAATGAGCATGGTGTGTATTCGACTTCCGTTGCGAACATCATCCCAATGAATACTTAGGTTGGATCATCTACATTGCCAATGTGCGTGAATTTTATGGACCGAGTGTAGTCTGTCACGTGATCTCCGGTAGATGTGGAATGTGTTCGACACATCGTTCGTTGTCATTTTTCTCTGCTATCTGGGCATGCGCATCAAGGGCCTTGTCTATTCTGACTTGGCTGCGTCCGACCTTGCCTTTGACATTCTGGCCTGTGGGGCTTGCATCTTGTTCCCGCGATTGGCCTTCTTTGCGGTCTCTAACAATGTTGTCGTCTTGTGTGTTCCTCCAATGCGATCTTCCCGACGAGAATACCTCCTGATCAATACTAACAGGTCTCTTCGTGCAATGATCGCGGAGTTCATATTTTTCATGACTATCGCAGCCATATGTTTCTCAGGTAGATAGCTTTTACCGTTCATTGACTCTGGAGTCACGAGAAGCTAGGGCTGCTCTTCACACTTTGGACCCTAGGAAAAGCGACTTGGACGCTCAAGGTGTGTCGAGTTCAAACCCACAGACGATGAATGACAATGAGACCAGAAAATCGCGTGGCTTATGGTGAGTGATCAGCCACCTTAATGGTCGCAATACTCAATTGCTTGCAGGTGCAAATATGGTTCGGCAATAATTATCTTTCGGTATTCGCCGTCAACCCTTCATCTTGTGCCTCTCACTACATGTCTCTAGTTCACTCAAGCTGAATCTTTCCACCCCATTTTCGGCCCGGTAAGCGCAGCTCTTTCATTGGCCTTGCCACCTGATCAGCTTTCACCAGATTCTCATGACTGCGTTTGCTGCACTCTCCAATACATTACTATTGACCAGTGCGTGTCCCTCAACAAACCTCGCTAGTTTTTCGTTTTACCATACCTAGTTTTGATTTCGATTCTCTCGAATACTGTTGCTAGAATTGATGCAGTAAGTTCATCCATGTCGAGGCCTTGGGAACATCGCCAACCACCATCCACAGAACGCTACTCAGGAGCACTTGTTTCAGTTTACCATTACTACCCTGGAAGGGGTACAAGCCGACGCATTATTCTCTTACCAGCCGCCATTCAATCTACTGGCATTCATCCTGCTCAAGCCGCTGTCTTACGTAGTCTCCCCACGGAGACTTCACTCGTTGAACGTGTTGCTGATCAAGATCACATCTTTGCCAATACTGGTCGTAATCACCATCTACGAGCGATACCTTGCAGACGGCCAAGCTCTTCGCCAGTCCTCCAAGGACGCTGCTCATACCATTTTCAACAATCTACCCCGTCACATAAAGAACATGCCTTTCGTTGAGGCCCTTGTAGGATCGGCCTCGAGCAACTTATATGAGGCGATCTTTGAAGTGGATGCACCCCCTCCCACAGAGCTTTTCAACGAATCAGATGACGAGGATGAGAGACCACATTTACGCTCATTGGCATCACGTGAGTCCCTTGGTGTTTCGCCAGCACCCAGCACTCCAGTACGCCGACAACCATCACGGGTCAGCTATGGGACTCGTTCTCCACGCAGTCCTCGCGGATCCCCTGCTCGCCCTCGGCCAATGAGTGCTTTGGAAGTTGGAGGAGCCGAAGTTGGAGGAAGCCGCAGTCCTTTGGCTAGGTTTTTCGCTCACGTTGACCCTCCTGCACCGTCAAACAATGAATCAGCGACGTCGTTACGAAGAGTAGAAGCAATGCTCGAAGACATTCGCGATCTCCCAGTGAACAAGCTGAAAGATGAGATGCGGGAATTACAGGTATGCATGGTCTTGCTGAACTCCATTAAACGCAAGTTGAACATCACAACAACAGGAACGCCAGGCGCGCATTGAGCAACTGTTACTGAGTCTGACGCGGGGCATGAGGTCTAGCGATACGAGTACTAGTATCAAGCTGAAATAGTTTACGAAGAATAACACGATATGGACATGTCCCAATCTGAGTGACTGTGACATCTGTCACAGTGAAGTGAGGCTCGGATTCTTCGGACCGGATAACCGCCACTGTTTATTCTCTGTCATTTCACGGTTACGCCGCATGGATCAAACGCGCCTTCGCTTCTTATTCTTATATCTATACCACACACGCCTACCACCATATAGCAATTATGGCTTCTCCAGCCCGACTCGACATGTTATCCTCCTCATCGCGCCACCAACCTGGGCCATCGCGTCTTTCACCCATTACCCCCGTTACAGGCATTGTTTATCCTTCTGCCGACGAAACAGAGAATGTTTCTCAGTCCAGCACGCGACCTCAGACTTTGAGGCGGACATCCAAGCTGCTTCCCCAACCCAAGAAATCGATTGATGCGGCAGACGACCACGTTGCTCTCGATGACTTGTGGAGTGCTTTGCGTCGACAAAAAGAGCTCAAGATGGAGAAGGAGAAGGCAAAAGTACGCTCACTGGAGGATCACCGACCGACCATTAATGGGAGTGGCGATACATCGTCACCCTCACCACAACCAACGTCCAGTCTGAAGATCAGGTTTGTGGGCCATCTTTGGATCTTCTTTGTTGTCTAACAATGGCACAAGGAAAACCACACAACGAACTTCGCCGCCGCCACCACCCACAGCCGCACCTTCCCTAGCCAACGAGCGACGTTGGCTAATTGAAGATTTCTCTGAGAAAGATTCGTTCTTTCCCAACGCTCCCGATCCAAAGACTACAACCCCATCGCCACCGCCACCGCCACCGCATGTACCAACACCTCCATCCAGCGGGCTCAAAAAGAAGAAATCGATGTACTCATCCCGCTTATTTTCTGGTCTCCAAGTTTTGATTTTTGCTGTCTAGATTATCGTTCCAGGTTCTGAAGGAAAAGAATTCCGTGGTGGCCATCTTCGATCTCAAACTCATGGACAAGGAGGCAGTCAGAATATCGCACAACTTGGAGCAGAATGAAATCACGGTCAGTTGGGAAGTCTGTGAGAAGGAAACGTGGACAGAGGACGACTGCATCGTTCACCAGACAATGGAACGGTTGTACTATCGCGTTATCGAGCTCGCCGACGGCGTTGAGGTTAGTCATTTCGTGTTTGTCGCGTGTTAAGGAGTCCTGATCTTTCTTGGCGCAGTCCAGAGAAATCTACGCAGCAATGAAGAATGGCGATTTGTTACTGCGGTACCCACTTGAAGTGAATGGCTCAAGGTCTCGGGCATCCTGACTCAGACATAGACTACTTGCTCACCCATACGTATTTGTTGAAAGCATACTTACCCACCTTGTTGTACTTATCATTATCATTTTGGATGCCTCATTGAAACTGCGCCCTTTATTTCCCATTCAAGTTCGGATCACGTTGCGGGATGTTGGCCGCGCCGAGGACGCGCCTTATCAACACCTTGTCTCTTACCACCACCCTTCACGCGTCATGTCCTCCTCTCAACCTTGGGACGACGCTCAAGCGACTGTTGAAGACCCACTTGTTGCTGTTTTCCCATCTCCCACTCGCTCTCGCCATGCTCTCTCTCCACATTCCTTCAATATGCCACCAGACTCTCCCAGCGCTAGCGAACATGCACCTCTAATCGACCGACCCCAGCTCAAGAAGAAGCCATTTTACAGGCCGAGGCCATTATGGTTCATCCTTCCTCATTATTTGCTTCCGTTACTGACTCGTCCATACAGGTTAGTACCATTCGCATGCACAAGCGCATTGGTGGTGAGCAACCTTGTACTCGTCTTAATCAAACCAACGCTAAAGTCCTCCAGCGAGGCATGACGCTTGCGCCACGGGTGGAAGTCTTTTCCCAACTAAGTTGCTCGCGTTTACACCACCATTTCAATCACACCGAGTCTGCGTCACTTGTTCCTCCACATGCACAACTCTATTCCTCCCTTGACCCTCTTGGCCCGCAATTTAACCCGGACCCGACTGAACTCTGGGTTATTGTCGAACCTCAGCCAGGCGAAGACAAAGACAGACCGTGGGGAGACGACGAAACAGAGGATGACCCTAGAAGGGTTCCTTCAGCCCGATGCATGTCTGACGCAGCTGTCCAAGCTGATGCAGGTGAATTTCGAGTCTATCTAGCTCCACATTGCTCAAACAAATTAGCGCGTCTTCAGACTATATTCACGACCACAATGGGCCTTCTCAGCGCATTAACCACCGGCTGGTGGGGTCGCTTCGGTGAACGGCATGGACGCACGATGGTTCTGAGCTTCTCGGTATTCGGGCTTTTGCTGACGTATATCTCCTTTGGCTGTTCTCTTCTCTAAGTCTGACCATTAATAGGGACCTCATCTTCATTATTTCGTCCACTCCATCATCTCCCTTCTCCGCACACGGTCATAAGTTGCTTCTAGTGGCGCCAGTGATAGAAGGCGCGCTTGGAGGCTGGTCAACGCTCCAGTCAGCCATTTCAGCCTACATTTCAGATTGCACTTCAAACAGCAGTCGTGCTGGAGTGTTTTCGCGATTTTCTGGAGTGCAATTCATAGGCATTGGGGTATGTGCTTATACGTTTCGATTTTCAGAGAGAGTGCTGACAACTTTCCAAAGGTCGGCCCAATTCTCGGTGGATGGCTTATCCGTCATCCTATTCCATGGCTCACTTCCTTGCCACATCCCGGCCAGCCTCAAGTCGCCACTGTGACCTCTGTCTTCTGGGTCGCCGTGGCACTTCAGATCCTCAACTTGCTCGTTGTGCTTCTCATCGTCCCGGAGTCTGTCCACAAAGATAACGGAAAGGGCAAGGCTCGCGATATTTCTGATGGAGAATCTACTTCAGATGACACTGCTACCAAGGCCCCAGTGTCACGCGGAGTTTTCAGCGACTTTTTCAGTCCGCTGGCTATCTTTTTGCCTGTGCCATTACTCGTTGACGGCACCGTTCGTCAGCGGAAAGACTACAGTCTAACCTTTCTGGCTTGTGCCTTGTTTGCGTACATGCTGTCTGCCGTGAGTGTCTTATCGACAATTAATACGAGCCACAGTCAATTGACCGCCGACAGGGCCTCTATCAAATTAAGTACCTCTACGCGGGCCATGTCTATGGGTGGGGTGCCGAGCAGCTCTCCTACTATATTTCGCTCCTGGGATCCACCAGAGCAATTTACTTGCTATTCATTCTTCCTTGTACGAATTACTTTACTTCTTTCAATTATCTCCCTGATCTTTTCCCGCAGCCATTATCACCGCGTTAAAGCCCAAGCCGAAAGTTCCCAAGGATAAGGCGACAAAGCCGAAGCCCACCAAGGCCCATCTTGCACGCGAGATCAACTTTGACCTCAATTTGAGCCGCATTTCGCTGTGCATCGAGATTGTGGCGCTTCTGGCTGTTGCCTGCAGCCCCACTCCGCTCTACCAAGTCCACTCATTATATATGAACGACGTCAGCGCTGACTCGAAGAAATCGACCTTCCAGCATTCACAATCGCTTTTTGTCTTTGCCAGCTGGCTGCAGTGCATGGGTTCTGGCGCTGTCCCTGCTATCCAGAGCCTGGCGCTGTGTGTACTACAGGCCCGCTCGCTGGTGTCGCCCGATGCGGCCGAGGTTGATGCACGTGCCGGCACCCTTTTTGGAGCCCTCGCAGTCCTCCAGGCGAGCGGTCAGATGGTGCTTGGACCCTTGTTCTTTGGCTTGGTCTACAGTGGCACCGTCGCCGCATGTCCCAAGACAGTCTTTGTCACCGCGGTTGCCATTTTATTCGCCGCACTTGTTGCCCTTCTGCTTGTTCGCAACCCGCTTTCAGAATCGAGGGCCCGGTCTTTGAGCAAGATCAGTGCACGACGGCAACGGCGAATCAGTTGGGAAGAGGAACATCGAGGCAGGTCGAGGATTAGTAAGGATTTGCGGGGGTATGGGAGCACGATTCAGACTGCCCCACAGGCGTCTTCGAGCAAGACAGCGTCAGTATAGAGTGTAATATCTAGAACATATGTAGCCCTTACGTAATGTACTCAGTCACTAATTTAACCCACACGGCAACTTTGAATACAGAATTGAGGGGAGATAAGTAGCTAAAAATGAGTGTGTGGTACAGAGACACTAGACTATAACGCTGAGTACTAGTAATACATAACCTTCCTTCCTATGCAGTCACTAAATTTACTTTACTCGTAGCCCGCTCTGGCGGGACCGTCCTTTTGGCCAACTCAGCCCTCCGCTCCGTCTCCCACCGTAATAGCTCGTCCTTCAGACAGTTGACGCGGACTTCATTGACGGGGTGCGTCGAACTAGTGATTTTATGCACAAAGGATACTGAGGGGACCTCTTCTTTGCGCTCTGGCGTGGAAGAGCACTCTGTAGAAGAGCGATGCTCCCAGAAGGTGACCGCTTTTCGCGCATCATATCCAGCATGGGCGAGTAATCTAGAAAAAGTCATCAACTCCTACTCTCTCAAAGAAAGGAAGACAAAATACCGAGCAGAGACCACATCGGCTTCGATCTCTTGCTTCATGCTTGTGCAGTACTCTCCGACCTTCTCGAGCTCACCAGAGCCAAGCTTCCCGAGTTGGGCAACAGCATCATTCACAAATGGGCTAGATGGCAGGATAAGATGACGCTAGAAAATGAATTGGTGACGAACCCAAAGAACATCGTGAATGGGAATATGACGACGCGCACGACGTCAGCAACCATCGACATAACTCCCGGGATGATGATTGTGGCGGAAGAGAGGGTCTCGATGTGATGAGAGAGGACGAGATGTGCAAGTTCATGAGAAAGCAGGATAGCTAATTCTGCCGTCTGTGATTCAGTCGGAACTGGGTGGGAAGGCACAGGTGTATTGGGACCCAGGACGCCACCAAATAGATTGGAGAGTAGAGAAGGTTCGGGTTGAGGTGGCTTGATTTGCTCGTCAGGGGGAGGAGTGCGGGAGAGAATTTCATCAAGGAAACCCGAGTAGACGACGATTCCGCCTCCGCCATCCGGCCCGAAACCATAAGAGAAGGCGTTTGAGGCATCAGGCTTATCAACCACGAGCAAAGAGTAGGGTGGGCCAGGTATGGAGTGTGGAACTGGCGGGACTGTCCGATTACACATCCCTTCGCAGAACATGCGGAGATATTCAGTTGCCCTAGGCCGTGGTCGTAATGGATACTCCGCTGGGGGCGGAAGTGGGATGTCGCCGCGGCCACCAGTTGACCAGTCTTTGTAAGCACGTTCCTCGTCGATGAGGATTGGAATTGTGGTTTCTAGTCTACGGAGAGTGTCGCGCACCCAGCCGTATCTCCAGTCCGAGGGTGGAATAAGTTGAGCAGGGCCATCGTTTGAGAGAATTTCCCCGACTGCCTGGTACCAGCCAGGGCCAGCGAGTTGGTTGGCGATGTCGTCTTCTTCCTCTGGCGAAAGAACGATTAGTCGCCAGCTACGTATATGTAAGCCACGGTGACAGCGAGAAGTTGTCACCCATACCGGCCAGTGAGAGGAGTTCGCTCGAGGCTCGCAAAGATAGTGCCCCAGAAAAGAACGGCGGGTATAAGGAAAAGAGCGTGGAAGATATAGGTGCGTCGACGCATCTTCTGGAGCAACTGGTCTTGCTTTTCCTCAGATATTGGAAAGCCATGCAGGGCAGCGTGCTTCAGATGTCGTCGTGTTTTGTGGTTCTTAAACATAAGCACTAATCGGGGCGATTAGACCAGAATTTTCGTAGGACAATAGACACACCCGGTATAATCGTCAACACGATTCTACCCGCAGTTCTGACAAGCTCCATGGCTGCTGACGCCTGCGCCATCATCAGAATAGAAGATTGGCGGGAGGCAGGCAACGCACCTTGAGCACTCCTAATAGAGGGATCAGAGGCAATGCACTCCGACGTGGGGTCGAATGGAAGGCCGATGTTTGCTGTAATGGAGAGCGACAGCGGTAGCCAGCACTAGTTGGCAGTAGAGAATAGGCAATCGGATACTGGCGGAGTTGGGTGGGTTGTTGGAGTAGCGAAACATTCGGAGAACGAGTGTAGAGGGAGCAAAGTTGTCGGGCACGGGGAGAGGAGGAAAATCGGGGGCAACGAACAGCTAGACCATGTCGCAACATCGTGCATAGACGGGTCTGAGAGAAAGCCTGTTTCACTTGCATCCTCTCACGTGACATCGCAGATCACAACTTCGCGAAAATCGCCGAACTCCCCAGTCAGAATCGGGACCGTAGGCTTTTACACGGACATCTTCTCCGCAGGGATGAGATTACGACAAAAATGTCACGATAAGTACTTCTACGCTGATATGAAGGTTGCCTCGTTGTATAAAGTGCCCTCCACTTCTGTTGGCTCGCTTCCAGGCGCAGTGAGGGTCAGCTTTGCAGGGTTCAACCACTGTGACAATTTGTTAGCGTGTCAGCTAGAAAAGCGTCAGCCACCTTACCTGATAGATGTAAGGCTTGGTGCCGGCCACGTAATTGACGGCAAGCTTGATTACCCTTGGAATTTCTGCCAGGACATCGACCTTCTCAACGAGACCTTTGGGGTTCTCGTGGTTGCCAACATCAATGTGAACCTTGGCGGTATACGTCCCGGGTGACTCAGCAAGCAACGACAAACCGGCCCATTCATACTCCAGTTCACTCGGCGCAGCATAGCCTGTTTCTGGATCAAGTTGTGGTTTGAGTTGGGTGGCTCTGGATTTGACTGGTGCTTGATCGTTCACTTCTTCGTCTGGATAGCGCGTTTCTGCGGTCACCGCAGCCAACTTGTCTCCCACCACCACTGAACCGATATTGAGGACGACACCTCCTGATTCTGCCCCCTTCTTTCCATAGCCTTGAATAGTTGTCAGTTCCATCTGAAGAGCCGACACTCCACCAAGTTGTGTGCTTTGGAAGTGAGCAAAATTCCACGCCGCGGCGACCAGATTTGGTCGCATGCCTTGAATGGCATGAACAAACATACCCGCCCCTTGAAGTGACTCGGCAGCGCCATTACGGATAATGTGACCCGTTGCATAGTAGCGAGGCCAGAAGCGATGGACAACATAGCCATCAGGCTTTGCCAGATCTGCTCCGAAGTACGAGTAGCCACCCTTCTCCCCAGGTCCGACCTTCCAGCTATGTACCAACTTGGGTCGGGAAATCTCCAACGAGACTTGTAAGTCGGCAGCCAAATTTGCCCGAATAGTATATGATTCGGGGTATTCAGAGTCGGGAGCGCCGGCCTTGTGGGTGACCGAGAATTCGTCCGCCTTGCATGAACGTTTATCGAGATTTGGTGGCGGGTTGACGAAGTTATTGACGTTGATGGACTTCCAGATCGTTTCCTTTGTAGTTGGGTTGTAGATTTTGCAGGTAAACTGGATGGTCGGGTACCACAAGCTGTGATGGTTCGATGACAAGGTTTTGACGCGAAAAATCAATTGTTTGCGCACCCAACGGCCGAATGAATAATTTGCAGGATCATGAAAGTCCCATCGTCGCCGATCGTGTAGAATACTTGTGTTTCGGTCGTGAAACCAGAGTTAGCGCAAAGCCATTCGTTGTCCTTGGCTTCCAAAGGTCCAAACGTCTGGTCAGGAGGAGGTGACACAGGGTGGAAGGTCGGCGCAGTGGGATCAACTGGGGCAGATGTTCTACTCCATTGAGGGTCTTGAACGCTTCCAGCGCGACAAACTCACGAGAAAAACGAGGAGAACATGAGGGTTAGTTGAGACGGAAACTCCTTCGTGACATATTGTGACGCTTACGGACTACCTATCTACTAACTATCCGGCCGCGCTCGTTTGGCTGGCCCAGGTCTATCTTCATCGTTGGGAGACATCTAGCAATGTTCAGAAATTATCACATCACGTTGTGTTCACACACAGATGGATCGTCGTATTCAATGGCCCATTCAAAGTTACTCTGCTCCTCTGCAGGAGGCGCTGGTTCGCCCTCATTTGTGAGAATGGTGCGCACAAAATGAAGCGTCCCCTTTTCAACTGCCTCTAAGAGTTGCTTGTTCTGGTCGGCCTTCAAAGACGAGGGATTCTGTGATGGGATGGAAGGTGGCCAACCAACGAGTCGTACGCCATATATATTCAACAGCGATGGGTTAGTCCACTTCATTTCTGCATTACTGACACCACTGGCTGTTCTGCATTCGCCGTTATGTTGTTTCTCTAGAAAGCAACTAAATGAGTTAATACCTTAGCGCTTTGCGAACAGCTTCATATAGGTCAGATTTGACAGTGCGTGCATTGGTAGGGTTGGATTTAGCAGCAGCAGCAGAAGAAGGATTATGTGACTGAGTCTTGACACAGTGAGACTTGAAAGCCTTTGCACCAGCATCTCCTCCCCCTCGTAGCCCTCGCCAGTATTCTTTCCCAACGGTTGTACCACCAAGGAAGCTGGGTTGACTGTCGTCGGAGGGATCGACAGCAAGTACGAATGACTCTACGCCGACAGTAGACCCAAGAGACTCAAGCATGCGCGAAGTGTCTGAAAGAATGGTTTTGACTACTAGATGTTGGCGCTACTTGCTTATCGGCTGTGTAGACAAACTGACTTTGAACTGCCCGGTCTTGCGAGGTAGAGTGCTCTGATGAGAATAGGGATCGACTATAATATTCTGCCACAAGTTGGTGTGTTTCTTTGAAGGTCAATGATGATGCACTCGTATGAAGAACAACAGTCTGTACCGTCGAATGACCGATTTTCACGCGCAGCAAACGTACGGACCGAACTAGTGCAGAATGCCTCCAAACGCTCAATGAAGAGGTCGCGATCCATGGGCCCGTTGTTTGCTGTGTGTGTGAAGTAAGTGCGAGTCACGGTGTGACGGACCAAGCTCTAAATTTCTTTTCGTTATGGGCCGCAACCAGATCAAGAAAAAGATTGCTCTCAAGCCCAAGAAAGTGGAGCAGGCCTCTTCTGGACCTTCAATCCCATCACTTTTGGAAAAAGCGCAATCTCTCATTGTACAATGCGACTACGAACTCGCTCATCGTTTCATTACCCGGATTCTGGAGAAGGACCCTTCTAATATTACTGCCAAAGAAATGCTTGGCGTTGTACAACTCGAGACCGGCGACATCGCTGCTGCGCGAACGGTACGTCTGAAGAAATTCATTCGAAGATGTTCTCATCGTCGCTAACAGACATTTACTGCATTGCTCTCACCTAATTCCTCACCGCCACCACCTTCAGCGCATTTATATCTGGCCCAATTATGCGAAGATGAGCCGCAAGAGGCTTTGCAACACTACCAGGCTGCGATCGAGATACTGATGGTGCAATTGAAGGGAAAAGAACGCGCTCAAGACTTACCTGTGGACGACGAGGCTGAAGTAAAGGGCAATATTGTCCGCGCGTTAATTGGCCAAGTGGAAATATGGATGGATCCATCTTACGATCTTTGGTACGTCTATCATGGCCTGAATGGTGTTCTTGTCAAAAGTAAAAATAAAAATAAAATCAGCTTCGATCCAGCAGCAGAGAAAACATGCGAGGATTTGTTAGCTACGGCACTACAAACCGATCCTGGTAATGCCGAAGCTCTCCAGGCACTTGCCTCTGTCCGCATGTCCCAACAACGACCAGAAGAGGCAAAGGAATGCTTAGAGCAAGCCTGGTCAGCATGGAAGGATCTCGATGCTGGTGCGTATCTCTTAATGCTTAATAGACGCTCTAATATCTGGTAGACGACCCGAAACTCCCGCCGATATCAACGCGGCTTGCTATTGTCAAGCTTTTCCTAGAGCTTGATCTACACTCCCAAGCCCTCCTTGTTTTACATGGAATCATGGCATCTGATGACCAGGAAGTGGAAGCCTGGTATCTTGAAGCCTGGTGCTTCTTTCTCATGTCGGAGCAAGCGAAAGAGAAAGGGGATGAGATCTCATGGAGAGAGCTCGCAACAGACGCGCGAGACTCTCTCGGGACATGTCAAATGGTGAATCAATCCTTCTCATTGGAACCAGTACCTATATCTGACTAATCTATAGCTGCATGAAACAGAAGGCCACCCCGATACTCCACTGTTAGATCATGTGAAGGAACTCATATCAAAACTAGACGCCCTTGGTATAAAACCATCTCCATCTAGGGAAGGGGGTGAAGATGGGGAAGACGAGGGGGAGTGGGAGGATGAGGATGAGGATGAGGATGAGGACGAGGACGAGGATGTCGAGATGGCATAGCCCAAAAAGTACATTAAACTGCCTAATACGGATGACAGCTGTCACGGAGAGAAGTTAACTTTTGCTCTTCCCAACTAATTCCTTCTCCCTGCAAGCGTCTCGATATCCATGGCGCCACCTCGACCAAGCATTAATCTGCAACCCAAACTACGTGTGATTGCATGCGGAACCCTGTTTTACACCCACACCCTCAGCATCCCAACTCATCCAAATCCAACCACTATGCCTGCTGTTCGGGCGCATTCGGTTACCAAGACGCGGGGTGGCTCAGCAAGCACCCTTCTTTCTCTTCTGGGCCAGTTTTCCAACATAGAGACATTCCTCGTCGCGTCTCTCGCCGGCAATGATGAAGGAAGGGCTATCATCAGAGAACTAGAGCGAGAAGGAGTATCAACCCGGTACTGTAAAGTCTGGAAAGCTGCCGGAGTTCCTAGCGCATGGGTATTCGAAGCAGGTACGGTCTCTCGACCTCAAATACCGACCCTGATAACCCTCCAAGCTGACCAGTCGCGAACAATTGTCAATCACAATCCTCTCCCAGATATCACCCACGAAGAATTCGTCAGCTCATTGGGTCCATTACTTGCGCCAGAAAACTTTCCTTCTCCCATCCAATCCCCTGTAACCCCTTTGGCCCCGACTGCTGTTCGGTCAAGGCAACCGTCCACCAATCCAAACACTCCAGCCCCGTTCGACTGGCTGCACTTTGAGGGACGGACGGTGAAGACAACTCTGAGCAATATCACTGGGCTCGACGGTCTTGCCCGTGACCGAAAGTGGCGGAGCCATTGTGTGTTTAGTGTCGATGTTGGTCGAAGTAAAGGCCGTCAAGGCGTAGAAGCGGTGTGAATTTCTCGCATCCTGCCTTTAATTTCCCAGTCTTTGCTGATTTTATCTCATAGCTCATCCCACATGCTGACGTCATCTTCTTGAACAAGCATTATGCGCAAGCTACTTCGCCAACATTTGCGACCAGTCCACGCGCATTTTTGCTATCGCTGACCACGATTGCTCCTGCCCATGCTCTGCTGGTGGCCTACTGGGGTTCTGATGGAGCAGCTGTCCTGTCGTTGCCAACTAAAGAATACTTTCAAAGTTCAGGATGGGTGGAAGAACGGCGCCCGCCCATTCACCGAGCTGCAAGACAAACCGGAGCAGACACTGAATCAGATGCGGGTGACCACTTGTCCGTCCGCAGTGGGAGCGACTTTTGGGCCGGAAGGCATAGTGGATATGCGTCCTCGAGTGCGTTCACTGCCAGCCAGTACCACTACAACAACTCGGAAGGTGGCGACAGTCGTGACCCGACATCGTCACCATTTTCCTCACAAAACGCGGAAACCAGCGGTGGACATGGCAGAACTGGGAGTTCTGAGGATGACCGTGATTCACAAGGGACGGAAATTCCCGAGGAGGAGAGCAATACTGGGGTAATCGACGAAGTTGGAGCGCAGGATGCGTTTGTGGCTGGGATGGTTTATGCGCTCAGTCGTCGCATTCTGCCTGGGGCGCCATATACCCCCTCTGCAACAGCAGAAGACGCATCAGCGGCTCTGGAAGCGGACAAGGGTCGATGGCGATTAGACGAGTGCTTGAGGTACCGTCATTTCAACTTGAAGCCCACCTCACTCATGTTCCTTCCTTATCAGATTTGCCATCGAATTGTCGGGGCGAAAAGCGCGACGAATCAACTGGGAAGGGCTTGGTGCAGAAATGGGCCGTGCAGGCTGGTTTGACCAATGACAAGGGTGGAAGAACAGTGTCATGTTCAAGAGTGCTACCTAGTAATACATTTGTAAGAAGTTTTCCAAGTCAACCCAGACCGTTGAGAGTAATAACGCTATAAAGATATGCTAATGATACAGTGGGTGTTTGTTGAGGGCTTCTATACGATGTCACCAGCGTCCCGCTTTGGGTGCACAACTGCAGGCTCAGGCATGGCAATTGATGTACATCGCAAAGACGACACATCAATTTCCTCCGCGTCTGAGTCACCCGCCAGTGAATCGGTTCTACTCCTGGAAGAGGAAGATTCGACAGGAGACATGCCAATTTCAGACGCGTAGTCTGGGGCAGGTAAAAGCCCACCAACGTCTTGTAGGGAAAGCGTGCCAAATGACTTGGCGCCAGAAAATGTGCCCATCGACTTTTCGTTGTCGTAAGGCAGAGACTCCAGTCCAGAGGACGACGCAAAGGAGTCTACTGATTCGCGTTTCTGAGGCATTCTCCGAACAAACACCGGAAGGCCAGCCCCATTGCCGTTGGATCCCTTCGAGGACAGCATTCCACCGCTGCCGCCCAATGTCGAACTCCCCGCAGTCGACAGTCCAACTCTCCTCGCGACGCTGTTGATAGCGATTTTGTAGTTCTTAATGGCCTCATCCGCAAATCCAAAGAATGCAAAGAAGATAAAGGCACAGAACACGGTTGCCCAGCGAAGTGTCTCGAGACTCGCCACCATGAGTGGGTCTCGGCGCCAGAAATAAGCGGCGATTTGGGAGACGCGGGAGAAATTGGAGTGTGTGTCATCCCACGAAATCCATGGGCTGAGACCGACAACGGAAACGTTGGTATAGAGGACCCAGATACCGAGGGGGATGGTGAAAAGGAGGTCGATCGAGGCAAGCGCCATGAGGCGAACATAGCGGTTGAGATTGAGGTTGGTGTTGGATGAGGAAAGCAGTTCCTTGAACTGGGCGCGGGAGGCGTAGAATGCACGAATGGAAAGAACGCAGTAGACTGCTGAGACGCAGCCAACGAGGATGGGCGGAAGGTGAAAGAGGACTACGGCGACTGGCGTTTCGAAGGTCTCGCCAAGGCAGCCAATGTCCTCAAAAATGTTGTAGCGGTGACCTTGAACGATATATTCTGACCGAATATTAGCCGCTTAGAAGAGGAGGGGTCGATGGATGCAACGTACGGAGAGGAATCTGCAAGAGAGGCAATCCCAGTCCAATCAAGAAGTCAACGATGATAGCCCGGCGCTGCTCCTGCTTCGTCTTGGTCACAGTTTTCACACTGGCGATCTGGTATAGACGACGGTTGATGCAGAGTGACGTAGCGGGGATCGCGAGATTGAAACCGTTCATGAAGTGCGTTGAGATGTCGCACCAGACGGGGGCCCAGTCAAGCATATTATTATGCCAGATGATGGAGTTGACGAAGAGAGTCAGGCAAGCAAGGCCCGTCCAGATCATGTAGAGGCAAGTACCGACATTCCAGGCTACCCGAGAGTCAGACTTGGGAAAAACAAGCAAGAAAAAAAAACATACCTTGCAAATGCCATGGAAGTGGAATGAAACTCAGCACGAAGCCAATGAAGGCAAAGGCGGAGAAGACCCAGTCGGGAGCACCAGCGTAGAAGTACATGCTAGTTCACTTGCGTGCTGTGGTGGGCGCGAGTGCGGGTGGGGGGCGGAGAGCAGCCTACACCGAAAAAATATGTCCCGCGGCCCTTTACATAGACGTTTCCCAATCGGGCGAGTTGTTTGTTATGTGGCCTCGAGGCCACGAAATGTCAGCCTAATGAATTCATGGCGAAGTCTTGGAGAGAAGGGGAGCAAAAGGTGACTTCCTAATCCGGACGAGGATGCTCAATGGGGAGAGGAAATGACATCTATCAGGCACGCGTGACCGGTATTACGTGATGTGTGTGTGTCCGGCAACGGAGCAGAGGGCCGAAAGCCGCTGAAGACGAAAACAGTCTGAAGTTTCGAGAGCGTGTATTGAGGTGGTTCCAACGATCGACTCGAAATCAACCAGATTGATCACGAATCCTGATGATATCTACTAGAAATAGGGAACAAACTTTGGAAAACTAAGATTATCTAAGGAAATGGAGGGAAAACTACATTAAGCCCCCCCTCACAACAAGCCCATCGGCCAGCGAGTCTCCATCTTCGACTATGAAGCTCCCGACACCGGTATAAAATGCACGTCCTTCGACCTTCACCACCACTCCTTCACTTACTCGCTCAATTGCCGTTCCGCGAAACCCCAGACCCGAGCCAACGCTAACGATCGAATGGTATGTCTTACTGTCACCCAAGTGCAGTATGTCCTTCTCGATGGCGAGTGCAACCCGAGCCATGACGCCTGAACCAGTTGGCGAACGGTCGATCTGCTGATCAGCAAAGAAGCAGATACCCAGTTCTTCGTCCGGATCACTCGCGGTTGTGTCCACAACGATGACACCGTACAGAAATCGTAGGTCTTGGTCTGGATGTCGTAAGACATTTTGGTGCAAGTCCGCGACAGTTTTCTTGAGGAGACGTGTGGCGGTGTTGAGCTCTGCCAGTACAGCGTTTTTTAGCCCATGAGGAAAGCCCAGCTCTCGATCTTGCACAATGGCGTAGAAGGCACCACCAAAGGCAACGTCTAGCTTTACTGACTGGGCTGTGAGTTGTGGCCACCTATTATCTGGTGGGATAATGACATCAAAATCAACTTGAGTGCTGTAAGACGGGACACCAAGAAAAGAAACAGAGCTTGAAGTCTCCGCGGAATCGTTTTGTGTTGAAACGTGGACTTGGATGACACCACAGGGTGCATGCAAACGTAGCGCAGTCAATCCCGTCCCTGGGTCGTAAGGTAACTCCTTTCGGCGCGGAAAGACAGTAAAATCATGGGTGTCGATGAGGAAACGGCCGAGTGCAATAGTGGCATGACCACACATCGTCGAGTAGCCCTCTATGAACTGGTTCAAATCTAAATATGAATACAAAGAGCCCAACAATACCGTTATGGCAAAACAGCACCCCGATGTCAGCCTCACCACTTCTTGTCAATTCGGTCTCTTGGACCAAAATCGCGCCATACATCTCTGCGTGTCCTCTTGGCTCGCGCATAAGCTGTTTCCGGAAATTGTCGTGCTTGTTTGCTGCACATCGTCGCTTTTCAAGCAGAGTTTCGCCCTCCAGATGGGGGTAACCGCGGACAACAATCCGTGTAGGCTGACAGTAGCAATATAATTCACTCTGTTAAGGCACAACGCCTGAGCGAACCTCGCCCGAGGTATGCATGTCCACGACTTGGATGGTCTGGTTGAGTTGAACCAAACTTTCGAAGATGTCCATGATGGGAAAGAGCAAGAGTGAACAATTATTATTTTGATCAGAAACGGATAGTTTTGGATTCAATTGGGACAACAATGTCAATAATGGTCCGAAAGTGTGGCTAGTAATACAAGTGTACCAAGTTCGAAGTCAACCTAAACCATTGGAGGAAAGGCATTGGTGTTGTTGCGTATCGCAAGCACCAACAGACAAACTCTTGTCATCCGAGGCATTAGCAGCATCAGCACAGTGGTTATGCTAGAAAAGGACTAAGGACATCGATGAGTTCAAAAGTCACCGATAGACACACCTGCTCTGCGCATGATCTGTTCAGTGCCTCTCCGACCTTATTAAATAGGGATCCAATTCCGTCCACTTGGAACTGATCATTCGCAACTGCAGTCACGGCTGGTGCAGTGAGCCCTCCAAGGGAACCAGTGAATTTCTGTGCCCAGTCAGCTTTCTTTCCTGATGAGGTTACGCATACCTGGAGGCCGGGGTTTGGCGCACTACTACTGCTGCCGCTACTACCACCACTAGGACGCGATGTTGGGATAGGAGGAGGGATTTCGGGGTTAGTATCGTCTGTGTTTGTTGCTGAGGGCTTGCTTAAATCAACAGAAATTGTCGAAAAAGGGCTTTTCCCTGTGGTTGTGGCAACTACTGCCTGACTTGGGGGGCGGGAAAGCGATATGGGTGGAGAGCTTGACACTGTTAATTGTGCATTAGTCGGATTGTTCGAAGTCGACTCTCGCACGTACAAGAAATGGGGGAGAATACGGAGGGCAAAGACGGTAGCGGAGTACTGCTGCTGGGACTGGGCTGGGAAGTCGCTGTTGTTATGAGTGACTCAGAGCTGGTAGTTGAATCTGAGCTCGTGGTTGTGGTTGCTGGGTTGAATCCAACGCAGATAGTGAACGCTGATCCAGTAGGGGTGCTCGTTGCTGCCCCAGAAATGATTACAGTCATCGTTGACTGTTTTCCCTGAGTTCTACTATCAGGAGAACTTGACGATACGAACTTTGGGACTCGGGGACGCATCTCCAATGTGAATGACGCGTGCTCTGACAATTCTAGATGGAGAGATTGGTATAACGGACGAAAAAAAACATTACTGAGGGACTCACTGCCTTCGCGCAATGTTCTCCGGCTCAAATGGAAGACAGAGGACGGACTGTAGAGCAGAGTATAGCAACAGGACGACCCAGAGACCAAGAAGCATAGTAAAGTTGTCGGAAGGAAAGTGGTTGCCGGCAAAGGCGATCAAAACAACTCGACTCCTGGTCGCAAAACGAAGAAAATAGTTTTGAGAGTCGTAGTAGGACCTCAGAAGCGTATTTGGGGGGGGGGGAGGCGTCGAGCGCCATGGATTGGGCGGAGAAGGAAGACAAGCCTTGTGACCACGAGGATCAAAATTACACCCGCGAATGTCAAACACAAAATCTATGGCCTGACTACCAGCCAACCAACCGTATCTGGAGTACAAAAATGAGGTCGAACAGTGAGCTATATTCAGACATGTTGGGAGATGGTATCTGGCCACAACAACTAGCGGTAAAAACCGGGGATCAGTGGGGGGTCCAGTTGCGCCTGGATCTCTCTATTCGATTTGCGACAGCTACACTTTGTTGTACCATGTTTTAGTGGTGGTGTGCTTCCTCCTCCTCGCCCTGGTAGTCTAATTGATAGACTGAGGGAAAGAGTTAACAAAAAAGTAATACTGCTCAGGGTAGCAATACCTGAACCGCATTCCGTGCAGAAACGCTGTCTCTCTTTGGTCAAGTTGAGCCAAATGATATCATGAGAGTCGGCAGGACTTCCGGTGCATCCAATTACACGCAATGGGTCCTGTGAAACTTTGGAATGCAACACTCTTCAGAGCCAATGACCACGCACATTAGACAGAACCATGATGGGGTTTTTTTTCGTTCCAACGCGGCTAGAGTCGAGCGGAGTTTCGTCGAAGACATCTATACCCTCCATTTCTCCTAGGAGCTCGAATCGCTCAAGACCGGTTGCTTGCTCCAAGTCGGTTGGCACTTCGCCAACCTTTCCTCCGGGTCCAAACAGGGAAGGAGCTTTGGGACCATGACCGGATGCGACGCGGAGCGTAGTAGAGAGTGAGCGAAAAGCGGTAGCAGGACGCAAAGCAGGCCGGACGGCAGGACCCGCTGCTTTCAGCGCGGCAAGAAGCATAGCGGTTGATTCAAAAGATGTGGACGTGACACAGCGTCACGGTACTGCAACCTCTCAAGTGCTCTTCAGGCAAATGCGCACCAATAATCGAAGTTTCTGTCTTGGCTGGAACTTACTTCTTGGCTCGTACTTCAATATTCTCATGCTGTTCATCCCAATAGCCTGCATCATCCGTCTCACCCATCCAGACTCGCGTGGTCTTGCGTTCACTTTCTCAGTCTTATCTATGATCCCACTCGTCAAAGTTCACGACATCGCGACAAGAGAGCTAGCAATCCACTTGGGAGGGTCAAAAGCTGGCCTCGTCAATGCAAGTCTGGTAAAACTCTTCCCGCCACCATTATTTCTTTAGCGTTAACTGCATCTGAACAGAGTAATATGTGCTGTTTCCATCGGTTGTTTTTTTACACTCACTAAACCGTGAAAAGAGTTGAGATGATTGTTGCGATCAGTGCTCTCCGAAAGTGTGAACTTCGGGTGGTTCAATCCTCTTGTAGGTCACTAAACTGTCCCCAAAACCAGACACTAATGATGCAGTAATCGGGTCAATGCTTAGCAAACTGTGTGCGCGTCCAGAAAATCAAGGTTACCTTGCTCGTTGACTTGTTTCCCAGTGCTCGTGCTTGGTTTATGTCTTCTGGCAGGAGGTATACGCTTCTCTGAGCAAGGTTTTGACCCTAGTATGTTATGTCTCAATCAGTGAAATTCGCCAATCTCTCTGTAGCTGCCACTCAAATTCACTCTTCGTTGCTCTCTCTCGGGGTTGGCGTCGTATTGCTACCAGCGGCATATCACTTCGCGTTGAAAGACAACTCCGACATCGCAGTGCAACTTCAAATGACCAATATCCTCAAGATGAGTCGCGGCGTGTCGATCATACTGCTCTCGCTCTACGGCTTTTACCTTTTCTTCCAACTCTATTCACACACGCACTTATATCAAGACGCCAAGAACAGAAGTGAAACTCTCCACAGAAAGCATTCACTCGAACATTTCCGAACCACAAGCATACCACCTCCTCGAAACATATATTCTGCATCAAATTACTCAGAGACTATTCTTCCAATCCTCGTCTCAGGTAATCGTGCTGAAGGAGGTGTCCCTCTCTCCCGCGACGACACCTTGGTCAACACTCGCAGTAACGACGGTTTTCAAGAGACAGTAGAACATCCTGAAGCTCTCCGGAGGCAAGAACCGCAACTTAGTATCATCCTGACACTAGCTATCTTGATAATTATCACTATGGTAGGTCCAATGAATGCTTGACTGCCTTTTGTTAACTTGAACCAGGCTGTTACGTACACCGCCGACCACCTTGTTGAGGCCATGGACAGCATATCCACTACTATTCCGAAGCCATATGTTGCGTTGATCATTCTTCCGACAGTGAGTTCAATAGCAGGTTCTCTAGTCTTTCGGTTTCTGTATCGCGTTCAATATCGTCGTCTCAGAATGTCTCACGGCTATCAACGCCTCCGCTAAAGACGAGCTGAATTTCGCGCTTTCAGTAGCTGTGGGGTCAACAATCCAAACTGCACTCTTCGTCATCCCGTAAGTGCGACTCTTGACTCCCTTATCATGTCGATCACATGGCAGGTTTATGATCGTACTCAGCTGGGTTATGGCTAAACCTCTCTCGTTGTTGATTGATCCTTTCGAAAGCCTGGTGAGTTCCAAGCATTTGCTTCCTTGTCGCACTAACAATTAGGTTCTCTATATCTCTGTGCAAGTTGTGGCCAGCGTCGTGAGCGACGGCAAGTCCAATTACCTCGAGGGCTTGGTGCTCTTTTGTACTTGGTGTATCATTTCAGTCAGTTTCTGGTTCTACCCCGGTCTGTTCATATTGATGCTGGAGTCAAACCAAGCTGACGATCGCCATGTAGCATGGAATCTCAATGCGGAGTCAATCTGCAAGACATGACTAATCGAACGTATTATTAGATGGGAGGTATTTCCGGCTTCGTCAGTAGCTTGGTATGCCGTTGGTTTCGTTGTAACTAATGAATATGAGACGTAAAACCACCTCACTTGAATTCCAACGCACGTCAGACCCGGGTTTGGGATGATAGGCAACTCGTTGGGAAAACTCGCATTCAAAAGATCAGCGACCATTCTATATGCCAGGTTAGTTATCGCACAAAGCTTGGTTCATCTTACCGTCCAAAAACAATGGTTCCGTTCGTGTTCAAATGTGTGTTGTCATCTGGTGTTCGATTCAGGCGATGGGAAGCGTCAGGACCTAGTTTGGTGCAGTAGGTGATAGAGGTCGAATGAAGGTCAATCAGGTGTGTCCCAAGTTGCTGTGAAATGAGAATCGTCTCGTCGGCCCATGGCCCCAAGAGGTCCTGTATAGTTCCATTGGCAAAGAAAGTGCGGCGAGTAAGGCTTGTGACGAGGACGGGTTCAGCGCCAAGAGTGCGAATCTGGTTAACCATGACGGTGAGATTGGCACCCATCGACTCTGGGGGTGCGATTTTCATGTCGTCTGTCAATGGTTCACTTCTTTTAACGGTAAAGAGACCATTCAAGCTTACTATGTCCAAACTGGATCGTCACCTACTTGGTGTTAGGATTAGCTCAGACTGCATGAACGAGCAGACGAACCAATGTTCTGACCACCAAAAGAATTTATAGTAAGCTGGCTTATGTATAAGACGGCGAGAAAAACGCACCTTCTTCCAGCAGCCACTTGCTCCTGGATATTCGCAACTAGCAACGGTAAATTCGGGGTGAACTCATGGATGTGATGAAACCAAGAACCAGAGATGTTCCAGCTACCATCTGCGACAAAAGACCCAGTCGTAGCCCCATTTTTTGCCGTGTTGATGCACGGTGTGTCCGGTGCAAGAGAAGATGGCGTGTTGTTGTAGGAGGAGCCACAAAACCCGTTTCCCCACCCACCAGAATTTACTGTGGTTCTGGAGTCGCGTTATTGGATTGACATCGTCTCAGTGAATTCGAAAGCTTACCCATTGGCAGTGGTGCTGTCACCAACCAGCACAAATGCGGTCGGAGTGCCAGGTTGGAACGCGAAGACAACAGGAAGCAACAGAAACAAGACTGAGGTACACAACTGGCGCAACATTGACACGACGAAAATGAGGCATTCTGGAGCCTTTAAAGGGCGATGAGCCGGTCACGCGGGTGGAATGGCGCGGACCGCGATCAGGAAAGAAGGTGAACGGTCCGGAGGAAATGACTTTTCGGCGTTTGTTTGATCACATGATCGCGTAGACTATCTAATCAAATCACAGATAATAGCGATCGCCTAGTTGCAAGATTAGATAATGCGACTCTTCAGATCGAGAACGGACCTATTTGTCCCAACCCCGGAAGCATAGCCCAAACTTGCCTGCCATCTTGCCCTTGGTAGCTGTCAAGCCATCCTTCTTGCATCGCATCGTCCACACCGCCTGTTACAATCTTGATTCGAGGGAAAGCGCGCCGTAAGATGGAGATCCCGCCACCTCGGGCGACAAGGAAGGTGACGAATATAATGTGTTCTTGCTTAACACCATGGTCCAGCAAAACTCTGATGGCCATAAAAGCAGCAGCGCCAGTACCAATTTGCGCGTCTAACAGGAAGACAAAGGCTTCTTCAGCTAGATGCCGCTGTCTGACGCAAACAGGGAGCATAACATGAAGCATCAAAGGTTCACCGTGCTCTCCATGAGATTGAACAAGCAAGGAGCCCATGGGAACATTGTTGAACACGCGTCTGAAACCTCGTTCCAGCGCGCCACCACTTGAAAAGACATGAGGGACTAAGGAGATGAAAGGAACGGCAGCACGTACGATCGTAGAATTGACACCCCACAAACGTGCTACCGCGATTTCAGTGAGATTTGGTATCGTCCGAAGACAAAACATACCTTTGCACTCATGGTCGTGCCCGCAAATGACGCTTCAGTAGGAGTTATCACTGATTTATCGGCGTAGGGTAGAAATTGTAGGGCGTGCTCGACGAGAATAGTCGATAGGCGATCCACAAAAAAGATAAAGTCTTGTCGACTGCTTGTTTTGGAACGAAGGATAGTGAAAATACCCTGAAAGACGTCAGTGAACTGACATTCAACGCAACAGCTACAGGACGACCTCAAGTTGTCGTGTCTTTGGCATCACCGTCAATTGAAGCTCTTCAAGAGTGGATTCCGGAAATTTTTTCCCGGAAGGACTCTGATATAAGTGTGGAATAGCCATTTTGGGACGGAAGTGATTCGCTCGCTCATGCAATTTGCGCTGAATATGGGTGCATATAAGTTCGATCGCGACTTGGTTATTGGAGCCAGGAACTATCTTGAGAAATTATTGGTGGAGAGCAGTTAGCAAGAAGTCGAGGCTTACGATATCAGCATGTCGCTGAGAAGGAAGGACATAGTTGTCGTAGGCTGGCTTGACGAAGCGCAAGTATTGCTCCAGTATTCCGTCTACACTACGCCCGCGCTCAGCAACATCACGCTTGAGTCTGCGTGCCAGCATTAAGTCTGAGTCGCATTGAACGAATAACTGGAGCGACGTGAAACAAGGAGGCTCTGAAGGTAAGAAACACAGACCTTGAGATCGTACAAGTCACGTAGTTTAGAGTCTTGCAGGGCCATTATGCCTTCCGTGATGATGATAGCGGCCCCATATAGGTATTTGCCCTCCTCTTCCCGCTGATGTGTCGTGAAAGAATAGACCGGAATATTTGACTGCTTGCACTCTTTCAAATCTTTAAGACACTTGAGAGCTTGGATTATAAGGAACACATCGCGACACCGCGCTAGCGTACCGCGGAAAAGAGGTCCATGTCAATTGAGTTAGGATGGTCAAAGTCGAAAAGATTTGCATGGGCGATTGCGAGCTCCTCTGGAGTGTGCTTCTTATAGAATGAATCTTGACTGAGGATTATAACTGAGGGTATGGAGCCTAAAGAGCGAACGATTTGACGCGCAACATGTGTCTTGCCACTGCCAGAGCCGCCTAGTTTGTGTGTCAAAGCCGTGTTCAATTTACGCAATTGCCACGCACCAGCTATTCCGACCACAAACGCGTCGGAAATACGATTCCCAGCTTCATCGTACCACGGAGGGCGCCCATGTGACACGAGGACAGTATTCTTTTTTATTTGCAGGCCGGTGGTATCTAGTTTGGGGGGCATTGTCTAGCGGCGAGAGGCACGACGTTCAAGCAAGTTGATGTGACAGACCTTAGACTCTTGGATCCACTTCAAGTTCAACGTGTGACTACTTACAACTAAACCCTCCCAGTCAGACTCTGTCATGAGTGGAGGTGGTATATTATACAGATCCTTTGACTAGGCTACAATCGTCTCAACGTGTGACTACTTACAACTAAACCCTCCCAGTCAGACTCTGTCATGAGTGGAGGTGGTATATTATACAGATCCTTTGACTAGGCTACAATGTGATTAGAATAGTGTCGCGATTTGTCTTGTTCATGTTGCACTGGTGCGCCTGTGAACATTTCCCATAGTTCCGGTCCGTCGCGGATGAGAGCAATAACGACCTCAACGGCGATCAAAGCAATGATAACCAATTCCATGCTATGCGTGGACGACTGGCAGAAACGGTCAGCGGGTTAAAGGATCACAAAAGACTCGCCAACTTCTGTTAAGAGTTGTCGGAGGACCGACTGAGCCTCTGCTGCATAGGTGATCTTGTCATTGACCGAGTCTGTCCGAACGCCAACGTCTAATGCCTTGCTGACGGAGTTGAAGTATTCTGGTATCATCGGACTTGATCAGAGGTTACTCGATGTAAGGCGCTGACATACTTTCCAGCTCAGGTTCGGTCCAGTAAAAGTCGGGTACGTCGCTAAAGTTTTCGTGGTTCAGGTTCAAGCCTTGACGAAACTTCATCAACTCTCCCAGCTTCTTAACCAGAGCTAAACGAGACATCTGGGGCTTGCCAGTTTGGGCAAGGGAGTGAGGGAGCAACGCCATAGACGACAGATATTCGTCCAACGACACTTCCAGTGCGGATAACGCCGTTGAGCGGGAAAGAGCTTGCGAGAAAGCGTAGCGCGCAAATAATGTTTCCGGCGGAAACACCATAGATGGAAGAGGTGTGGGTGGAGCAACTTCATTCAAAGTTGGGCCCTGTCCTAGGATAATTAAGTCGCCTTGTAGTCGGGTTGACCTTCGTCACAGATTAGTGGCCGTTTGGATTGTAAGAAAAGAAAAGCACTGAACTCGCTGGGATCGACAACAAATTCAAGCTCTTCTGTCTCCGGAGCTTTGAGTGGCGCTATTTCGACACCAGGAACACGTCCAATGACTTCCATTGTGAAACGGTGTGCATCATCCTCGTCCAGACCCCAGCAGACAACGCTACCGTTTCCGAAAACGAATACTTCCCCCTCTTTGCCTTGACTCGTCGTCCAACGAGATACCCACCATGCATCATAGAGCTTCTGCGCATTCAAAGAAAGGCCGTTCTGGCTACGAAGGCGAGAAAGTAGATAACGTTCGGCCGTTGCCAGAGTCGAAACGGGCTGAATGCTGCCTTTCGACAGTAAGGTAAGACCGAGACGCGAAAATGGGTTGGCGCACTTCTGGTTGGCGTTGGGTTGGCACGGATGGGCAATGATTCAGAGGCCGAACGACGCAACGGCGTAGTTGATTTCCGAGGTTTTTTATTGTCATCGACAATGTCTTGTGAAGTTGCTGGGGTAGCAAAGGCGCGCGTATATGGGTGAAGAGTGCATCTGAAAAACGGTGCTCGTCTTGCCAGGGTCCACATATGCCGGTGCGACGCGTCAAGAGGCAAGAAAGTTGTCGTGACAATTCAATTCCGGCAGGTCATTCCTCTATAGTCTCTCGTTTCAATATTACAATGACTCTGCTATAGCAAATAGCTTTTCAGTCTCTCCAATTCAACTCTCAACTCTCACTCGTCTTCGAAACCGTGCACTGGTCTGCGTGGGCGGTTGGGTACTAGTGTGTTGAATGAGTATAAGCAAGCCAAAGAGTATGCAGAGCAACGGACGAGGGTAAGAAAGGGGGATAGGTTCGGCAGGCTTGTAGCCAAGTTGTTCCTTGAGTGGAGGCACAGTGACTAGAAGAGCTGGACCGATGAGGCCAATCACACAAGAGTAGAAGATAACGGGGCTTTCATGCGCGTGCCGTTGCTAAATTTCGATGAGAAGCAAACTCCAGGTAAAGGTAATGGCGACGAACGAGCACACGGTAAGAGGCCCGGAATACGCTACTCATCGTGCGAAGCGACGGTGTTGGCTGAAGGGTGTGTGTGTGTGACAAGTGACTCCGGAATTCACTCTCGACGACCACCATGTCTATGGAAGAGAGCATCAGCTTGGAAGAGACCAACAAGATCCGTATATCACTCGGTCTGAAACCTCTCACCGACGATGGAGCTCCTGTAGACAACAAGGAGAAGACGGCCGAAGATAATTACGCTAAACGACGCGAAACGGAGGCCAAAGAACGAGAGTCAAAGTAACACAGGTTCGCCCTCTGCTTGTTCCAGGATTCTCTGACGCCCTTCTTCCTGTTCACAGGAAAACTCAGGAGCGTCTTGCAAAGTAAGTTGCACATTCCTTAATCCCCAACCAACCGTTTCATCCACCAAGGCCAATGTGTTCACAACCATTTTCGACAGAATAAAAAATCGACGGGAACTCAATGCGTCACTTCAAGGCACAACTCTCGGTGACCCAGAGGGCGACGAGGATACGCTCAAATGGGTCAAGAAGAGCAAGAAACGAGAGAAGGAACTTGCAAAAAAACGGCAGCAGGAGTTGGAAAATATGGACCAGATGTTTCAAGCCGAGTACACAGAACGTGCGTCTCCGAAACTAACTGGGCCATATCGTTTCTTATTCTTGTTCAGGTGATTTAGAAGGCTTGAAGGTTAGCCATGACTTCGAAGACTTAGGCGAAGGAGATGCTCGCATACTCACCCTAAAAGATAGTCGCATTCTTGACAATGAAGGCTCGTGTTGTTTGCCCGGTCTTTCGGTCTGACTGATGTATTCTATAGAGGATGAGCTGCAAAATGTGGAGATGGCGGAAGCAGAGCGTACCAAGAAAAACAAGGAGTTGAAGATAAAGAAACGCGACTATACCGGGTACGATGACGAAGAGTTTACTCCTGGCCAAGAAGGGATGAAACGGTCCGTTCTGTCCAAGTATGATGAAGACATCAATGGCGCCGGGGAAACTGTAGGCAAACGAGCTGGCCACTCGCTCTTACTCATTTCTTCTCAGGGTTTTCGACTAGGCAGCTCAACACAGCAGACCCGAGCAGTCAAGCTAGAGGAACAGAAGCACCTGGCTGCGGCAGCTGTGAACAAATCCCTTCTGTCTATTGACTACACCAGTGAAGTTCCTCCAAATATGTGTCAACCATTACTGATTATGTGGCAGAGACCTTCCTGGACACTGATTACCTCAAGGAAGGTGATGTCGGTTTTAAAAAACCCAAGGTTGGTAGCGTGTTTACGCCAGTGTTCCAACTACTAATTTTAGGATACAGAATAAGAAAAAACGCTCTTCCCGTAGGGTACCGGAGAATGAATTAGCGACAGAGGACTCAATGGAGGTCGACCAAAAGCCCGTTGTACCGCGGGAACGCAACTTGGACACAAATTTTGTGGACGATGATGAACTCCAGGCTGCATTGGCTCGGTCTCGGAAGGCAAAGTTGCACAAGGCTAATAAAATGACTCCTGAGCAACTGGCTCAAAAATGTACGTCTTTTTTGCGCCTTTGCACTGTTCCTTTTTCTTACTTGCCCCATAGTGGCTGAGCAACGGGTGCACGAGGAAAGTCGAGAAATAGTCAAGATTGAAGATGAGCCAATGGAGCGTTCTGATGCTCTCGTTTTTGATGACACATCGGAGTTTATTCGTGCTGTCGGAAACAACCCAGTTCCTGTTGAACGGGAGGTGAAGGAAACGAAGGCGCCGTCGCGGTCACGAGATGTTTCCATGGCTCCTGGAGACGAAGCCATTGACGAACTGGAGGCTGGGGAGGTAGAGATGAAAGAGGAAGACGATGAGATGCAGGACGATGCGGCCATCCTCGATGCGATAGAAAACCTGATGAAAACTGTGGAAGCTGAACAAGCGGATTCAAAGGCGGCGGAGGCAATTATGGGCACGGCCTCAGAACAAACCTTCAGGTCGGGTCTAGGCGGGACGCTCAACATTTTGCGACAACAAGGCCTTCTTGCGAAGCCCGACTCGGAGCTAATGGAGCGCGAGAAGGTTCAGACGGATCGTGACCGTTGGCTTGCAGAGCAAAGACGCGCTATAGAGCGCAGGGAAACAGAGAAGTGGCAGTCACGTGGACAAGCAAAAGACCAGGCAACACGAGAGATGATGAATAGGCAACGGGAGCAGGCAGAGATTCGCGAAACGGTCGACCTGTTCAAAAATTACAAGCCGGACGTGAACTTGGTGTACTACGATGAGCACGGGCGTGCTCTTACGCCAAAGGAAACCTGGAAGGCGTTGTCACATCGATTCCATGGCAAGGGGTCGGGGAAAATGAAGACCGAAAAGCGGCTGAAGCGAATTCAAGAGGAGCAAAAACAGGCTGCCATGTCAAGCGGTGATACGCCATTGAGTATGACAAAAGCCTTTCAAATGCGACAGGAAAAGCTTGGTCAAGCTCATATGGTTTTGTCGGTGGGCAACCGAGGGTGCGTAAGCGGGTCTACTCTGACGAATGCGACTGACTTGGAGTTCAGGACGGTGCCCCAAGCGGCCGAATTTCTTGACGCGCATCCACTCTCTAAATCGAGCAAGTCCATGGGGCCCTCAAAGGGCAAGCAGAAGAAAGAGAGCAAGAATGTGACGACAACGGACCCCGGTTTTATGACTGTCCCTGCACCTCAAGTACTCTCATCTGCTAGTGCCAGTCCCGTGCCATCTGGCTTCAACTCAACAGGCTCCCCCGCTCCAAAGCCAGGATTTTCACGAATTTCGTCTGTTGTGGATGCACCTTCATCCCTAGCCTCCTCCGACAGCATTGAACGGTCCAAAGTCACCATTGGGTTTGCGGCGAAGAGGAAAGCGACCGAAGAAGCACCAGGTTCACCTGCCAGTAAACGACGTTGATTTGTAATTTTTTTTCCTGTAGCCTAATACGTAGTACATGTCGCCCAAGCATGAAACTCTTTCGATGTAAAAAGACAATCGTCGGAGCGATTAAGAGGGCTTCTCGGTCTGAACCACCACGAATCGAGCACACTCGCCAGCATCGTCCCGCAAGACGCGGTCAGAAGGGTTGTGTGGTGGTGGTTGGAAGAAGAAATTACGCATGCGCATCAACAGTTTGACGTGGCTTTTTAAAGACACGTGATGCCGAATTGACCCGGTCCAAGTGATGTTCTGTTGCCGTCACTTGATCGTGCAACACTCGTTGGCAGCGGCATGTTCGCCCAACTCAGAGGATGGATTTCTAGCCTATTCACTCCCTCCCAACCAGCCCTCGACGGAATGCGCCTGGGCCCTGACGACAATGTCGACAATCCTCTCATGGTGCGGCAAACCGAGAAAAAATATCTGCCCTGTTTTATGGTCCGCGTCAGCTCCAATTCTTTACTTGGGACACGCTGCACCCTACCCTAAGCTGGTGGGGTCATCTAGAGAACGAGATACCCTCCCTCGCGATCATGGGTTTTACGCAGCTGTGGCTGCCGCCCCCGAACAAGGGCGAGAATAAGGTCAGAGAAGTCATTATTTTTGTCGAATTCTCAACTCCGGTCAAGAAAGGACGAGGATATGATGCCTACGATCTCGTATGCGTCCCCATCTACTTTCCCCCCCAATTGTTCAACTTCCTAGTGGGATCTCGGTGAATTCGACCAGAAAGGCAGGCAGGTTTCCCTGGTCATTTCGTCGATAATCTTTGCTAGGCACAGTGGAGACACGGTGGGGAGGGAGGGAAGCGTATTTACGAGCATGCCACGCTGCCCGCAGTCATGGCGTCGATGTCCTTGTTGATGCCGTTTTGAATGTTGGTCTGGCCTATTTTACCGCGTTGGACTATTTTGGCTCAGATCAATATCCAGCACAAGCTCGGAGCGGACGCATGTGAGCGGTTTCCTGCCATTCCTGTCAACCCGCAGAATAGGCTTGAGGACGCGGGACCAGAGCGAATCATCAGCGTGCGCACACATCATCATTCAGTTGGTTGAACGAAGACAGGTAACAAATGATGTAGGGGTGGACCGTTTTCGACTTCAAAGGCAGAGATGGGAAGGTTGTGTGTCTTTCTGGAGAGTCCCTCCTTCACTGATTCACGTGCAGTACAGCGACTTGAAATGGAGGCAGGAGCACTTCAGTGGCATGTTGCGATATATTATTCTGTGATCGCTGACCAACTAACTACCTCCAGGTCTCGATTGGGATCACGAGACGCGGACAAGTGGTGTCTACAGGCTCTCCGGCCCTGGCCATAAGGGCTGGTCAAAGCATGTACGTGTTGCATCCTTCTCCCGCTCCCGCTCTCCTGACACCAACTAGGTCCACACTGAGCTGGGAAATTACGACTACCTTCTGGGAGTTGACGTGAATTCTCGCAAGCAGCCCCCGTTAATCTGCTGAAGCGGCCACAGATCGACCATCGACATCCGTATGCGACCCCATTGACTGTCTTCTAAAAATATACCTTCATTGATAGGCAAGTCCAGAAGGACATGTTAGATTGGGGTTTGTTGGTCTCACACTGCGTTCTTGGGAAGTCTGAATGTACTGTTAGGTGTTTGGATCCTTCAGGTTACTGGTCCTTGGTAATGAAAATGTTCTCGACTGACGACCAAATAGACCACTGGAGCGTCTGGCTTCAGGTTGGATGCCATAAAGCACATGGACTACCGATTTATTCTCAAATTTGTGCCTATGCTTGTCAACCACGACCAATCGCTACTGACCCATCTATTAGCTTAAACATACCCGAAATAATCTCCAACGGTCGAATATTTTCGCAGTGTGTATGTAGATTGTGTTCCTTTCCCCATATTTGCTCTGATTTCGTATTGTTTCAGCCGAATTTTGGTCCGGAGAGTAAGTCGGCGCTCTAATCTTGTTCTATTCAAGCCTCGATTTGTGCAGCTTGAAATCAATCATACCCTACATCAAGATTTGTCGAGGCGCAGTATGTGCGGAATCTACTCTTTTCGATCACCAGCTGACGGGTGAAGACCTCCTTCTTTGACGTTCCACTGCATATGAACTTCCACGAGGCAAGTAAACAGGGCTCAAAGTACGATCTTCGGCGAATTTTGGACAACACCATCGTCAAGGCATTTCCGAGAGATGCGGTCACTTTTGTGGACAACCACGAGTGAGCGACCTCGTCTCTTTCATTTGGACAGCATGTGACCCATCACTTGCAGCACGGTCAAGGGCCAGTCCCTGGAGAGCTGGGTGGGTCTCCGCTGGCTTAGACCGGTTGGATTCTGACTTTCCCCAGGTGTCGACCGACTTCAAGTTGCAAGCGTACGCCATCATCCTTTTGCGGCGAGCTGGCCATCCGTAAGTGATTGATGCTTGAAGTCCAACACTGAGGCAATTAAGTTGCGTATTCTACGGGGATTTATACGCCAACGAGGAGTGTGGCGACGCCCGCATTGAGAAGCTGCTCCCTGCCCTCATTGAGGCGCGAAAGCGATTCGCATATGGTCGGTGCGACGACTATCTGCTAGAACAAAGTTGCATAGGTTTCGTGCGAGCGGGCGATTCCAAGCATGCTGGTTGCGCTGTGGTGTTGAGCAATCGTGAACCAGGGTAAGGTCAAGCTACTCCCACTCCACCAAAGACGGCTGATATTTTTGATCCCAGACCCTCGCATTCGCTACGCATGAGTGTAGGAAGCGTATGTCCTACCTTCCAACATTAGACGCGCTCTAATCAGAATTCTTAGGAAAACGCCAACACAACCTACCGTCCTCTCATGCACGAGTCTGATGCGACTGTGTCAGTCGACTCTGAGGGTTGGGGTTCCTTCAGTTGTCCGGCCAATGGGGTCCAGATTTGGGTTCGTGAGTAGTACATGCTTTTTACTATCCTTACTTAGAAATACACATTTTAATGAGTGGACTAATGCTCGTACGAAACCTCCTGGCGTTTTAGCCAGTTCATAGAATTTGTCGTGTCGGTGGTCATCATGCTGAGCGCCAACGACTGCCGTCGTTTGTCCAAATCGCTTGAACCTTCCTCCGAAGAGCTCAGCGGTTCAACGCCCGCCATGTTGTCGTGCTCCTGTTTGATCGACCTTGACGACCGCTCTTGCAACACGATGGCCCGGCTGAGATGGGTAGTTGCTGCCTCACCTCCCATATGCGCAAGGTCTTCTTGGCGCTGCTCGCCATCGAAAATAATGGCTGTTTCTTCGAGAGTCCGACCTGAGTATGTGTCAGACAGGTGGGAATTGTGAAGCTGTCACCTTACCTTTCGTCTCGACGATGAAAAAGTAGATGAAGATGAGCTCCAGGACTAGCCAACCAAGGTAGACCAGATAGTACATCCATCCGATCGCATCAATAGCCCACGGGTTCACAAATTGGTTGAAAGCAGATGTCTGCACGTAAATGGTTCAGTTGGGCAAAAGGGGTTTGCAGCAACAAGGCGGACCAGAAACACCACGAGATTCTGCTCAGAGGTCGACGACCGAAAAGTAGAGAGCAAGAGGACACGTACCATGAAGGCAAAACCTTTGGCGCGTATTTTGTAGGGCAGAATTTCCAGTGTATACGCCACTATTTGTCAGTTAGCTATATTCGTTGAGGGTTGGTTCATCGCACCTAGCATTGGGGTATAGGCCAGATCTAACTCGAGTTGGTGGGTATGCCGACCATGATATAGAATGGGTACCCACCATAGAAAAAGTAGAAAATGAAAATGACGGGAATGGTTGCTGTAAAGAGTCCAGATGAAGCACGTTCAGCTATGCGACAGCAAACCTTTGGCAGCGGCGGTTTTGTGCATGCTGTTGAAAATGGCTTCGGTTGTTGTCCAGAGGGCAAATGCAAATAGCATTCCAGCGTTGGAGATGAGGAATAACGTTCTTCTTCCCAGAAAATCGACGAGGAAGGAGGCGGAAACGGCAACAATGAAGTTGAAAACCTGGAAATTGTGAGCCAACCAGACGATTGCCAACAAGAAACTGACCTGGAGACCGGCATTGATACTGGTTTTGGTTTTGGTCCCATGGATCCCAACGCCGTCCAAGACAAGATTGATGTAATAGCTGACCTAAACGAATGATTAGTTAGCTTTTTTTGTGTGCGTGCACTTACTAATCCGTTGCCAGACCATTGAGAAAAGAGAGCAATGGCAATGATGATGCGCATCCGCTTGCGATTTCCGGGAGTAGAGAAGAGACTCCAATACGACGTTCCACGCTCGATTTCCTCCTGCAATCGCAGTGCGTGTCTGATTTGGGCGAGTTCAAACTGGACGAGAGGATGGGGTTCGTCAGAATTGTTGGCATGGTATTTGTTTAGGATTTTTTCTGCTTGTGATTCCTGGAGGAAATATAAGGATGCATGGAGTCAAGTAAGCATTTTTACGAACGCGGCCTTTGGACATGAGGAAACGCGGGGATTCAGGGATGAACCTAATGCCATTAGAGGACCATAAGAAGAAACTATTTCCCACACACCAGACAAGCATAACCTGTAGAAACGGAATTCCTCCTTGCACGAGCGTTGGTGCTCTCCAAACCCAGTTATTACCGGTGATAGTCGTATAAGACGCTCCAAAGCATATGAACGAGGATATGATTGAGCCGAGGTACCAGTTCGTGTTATAGAGAGCTGTGATCTTCCCTCGCTAATAGAACAATGTCAGCAGAATATCGGTATGAGGTTCAGGAATAGGCACTTGGGTGGGATAAGCTAACTCTATGAGTAGCAAGGGAGCAGCGTTCAAGCAAAAGGTCAAGCCGAAACCAACTGACCCAGATTGAGCATAACAGCAGAGACCGTTGGAGAATGACTGACTTATAATGCGAGCGCAGATTAGAACTGTAACATTCCAGGCAGCAAGTTGAAGAGCGACGCCTGCGAGCATGACAATAGAGCCGAGGAATAGTGCAGCACGACGTCCAAGCATATCAGACGCGAATGGTGTGAGCGGGAGGCCAGCAAGACCACCAATGCTCTGCGCCGAGTTGATGAGACCTGGAAAAATAATTAGGCGTGTTTTGGCTATCGGGTTTGGTACTGACCCAGCGTTTTCCCATGTGGAAAATTGAAAAAGTGCTGCCAATCGGGCAATATTTGTAAACCTGACGCGTCGTGAGCATTCATTATGAGGTTACTACACACGAACCGTTGATCAGCGATGAATCGAGTCCGTTTGCAGAAGAAGTGAGGAGAGGCAATATCAGGCACAGGTTCAGCCATAAGATACCTATGCGCACAAGATAAGCGGCACTCTACAAGACCGAGACGGATACGCACCTCGATTCCGCCACCAGGGGCCCCGATGGATAAAGTCGACCACTGTCCAGTCTGGGAGTTGTCGAGCCATCCGGAACCTGGAGAGGGTGGAGCAAAACACGAAGAACGGTCCTTTTAGACTCTGAATTCATTAAGTACTTTGAAATCCCGTGAACGCTGGGCGGAAAAATAAGCGGTGGCAGCCTGTGTCGTGTGACCGCCATTTGTGCGGGGTCGTGCGGGGAATCCTCGCAGCCAGCTTCTTGTGTGACGGCAAAATTGGAAGAAAATAAACTGCAGTCTTCAGGCACATATAACGCCACAAGACAGAGCCGGTCCGTGGCGGTATGCAAACCAATGTTTTCATGACGATGGCAGTTCAGAGCAAGACGAAACGGGGTCACATGATCGCATGCCGCGTTTTGGACTACTTCCAACAACACGCCTGCCTTCTCTCCAAAGCAAACAGGCCCTTGCGCGCGCAATACCTCTGCCCCATAAGCCAACCGTAATCCCACCATCTACCGCTCCACTACCCGACGAAGATGAAAGCCTCCGCGACAGACTTCGTCGTCGTCGTCGAACAGAGTGGAAGCGCCGCCAACGGGTTGGCTGTTTTTTTTTTCATTTAGCCTTTATTGACACAGAGACTCCCAGGGCCAGACTTTTCTTGACAATCTCATAGTTTCCGTCCATGGAGGTTCATCGGAAAGTTCTCTCTGACGTCAACGAGCTAACTTTTTTCTGGCTAGGCAGCGGAGGTGATGGCTGCGTTGCCTTCCATCGCGAAAAATTTGTGCCCAATGGGCCGCCTTCTGGGGGAAACGGTGGCCGCGGAGGCGATGTCTACATAATGCCCACTCCTCATCTGACAACACTTTCTGGGATCGCAAAGCGGATACGAGGCCCCACTGGAGGAAACGGCCAGGGTACATGGCAGAATGGCAAGAATGCGGAGCCGCTTGTCATTCACGTCCCACTGGGCACTGTTGTACGCGAAATACCTCGCGGAGATTCCCGACGGTCACCCGACGAGTGGGAGGCCGAGCAAGAGTCGCTTGAAGGACTTGACTCGACTGAACGAGTGCAAAAAATGCGTGATAACCGCTGGGTCCATTACCCCCGTTTCGGCGAAACAAACCTGTCTCGCGATTCATTTAAAGACGCCGAACAAGCACTCTATGCACAAGAAAGGGAAAGACGCTACCTCAGACGTCAGCGTGAAAAAGAGTCTCCAATTTACCTTGACTTGGACAAAGAGCTACAAACCACTCGTTCTATCGATGCTCCCTTTGGGAGCCCGTCACCGTGAACCACTCGGTTTTTTAATCGCATCGGGTGGCACTGGTGGACTCGGGAATCCTCATTTCATGTCGCAGAATGACCGGATACCTAGATTTGCTACTCGGGGTCATCCCGGAGAACGGATAACCCTTGCGTTGGAGCTCAAAATTCTCGCTGATGTTGGATTTGTGGGTATGCCGAATGCAGGAAAGAGCACTCTTCTTCGTGCGCTCACCGGTGGACGAGCCAAAAGCGAGGTCGCCAGCTACGCCTTCACAACACTCAATCCCGTTGTCGGCATCGTCCGTGTCGCAGACGATGGAACCTTTGAGGGTAGTTTGAAGAGTGATCAGGTATATGACGAGACCATAGTGGAGGAAATGCAAGAACAAGAGCGCATAGAACGCGGTGAACTCGCCCACGCCCTTACTCGCAACCAGTCCGGCCAACATGGACACCATTTCGATGCCGAAGAAACCTTCAGATTTACAATCGCAGACAACCCTGGCCTTATCTCCGACTCGTCTGAAAATGTTGGCCTTGGTCACTCATTTCTCCGCTCAATGGAGCGCTCTCTTGCTTTGGCCTACATCGTCGATTTGTCTGGACCGGCGCCGTGGGACGAACTGCTGGTTCTAAGAGCCGAATTAGAGAAATATCAACATGGAATGAGCCGCAAAGCTCGCATTGTCATTGCGAATAAAGCTGATCTACTGGGTGGCGAGGGTGATGCTGAAGCTATCGCCCTTGCCAAATCAAAGTTGCGTCGTCTTGAACTTTTCGTTCAAGAGCACATGATTCCAATTGGCGAGGATGGTCGTCGACTAGAAGTGGTCCCAGTATCGGCCAAATACAGCCAGAATCTTACGCGGGTAGTCGGTCTAATGCGTGGGCATGTTCAAGAGGCTCGGGACCGACTTGGAGAGCGAACTGTCAAGGAACTTGTAGTAGATGTTGACCAATCACAACTTATTACCAACTAGCCAGTTGTCCAAAGCAAATTTTCCATGCCTGTGTGGAAAGAACGACACACAAAACGATACAAACATCCGTCTATGGTGATCAAAGAGGTATAGGAACATGTATCGTCATGGTAATGGTATTAGGAGGAAGTTTGTCCGATGAATACTTTGTTCTCAAGCGGAAAGGGAATGACGTTTAGCTCTACGGCCATGGGATATAGGTCATAACAACAACAAACAGAGAGGAAACCACCTTGATCGTGTGCATGATATTTGGGGGGGGGGATACTCGTGACGCTTAGGCCATCAGAGCGGCGGCAGCAGCAGCACCGAAAACGGCAGCACAGACGGGGAGGACACCAGCCGAGAAAGCGACAGCGCCGTTGGGAGCACCAGACTGAGAAGGCCGCGAGGAGGAGCTGAATCAACCTATGTCAGACAAAACTCAAATTGACAACCGGCCAAAACGCACGCAGCGGGGCTACCAGATGATCTTGCTGAGGTAGCAGGAGGCGGGTTGGAACCGCTACCACTTGGCGGGGGCGGGGGTGGGGGAGGCGCAGAGCTCCCACCACTTCCACTTCCAGTCGAAGCAGGGGGCGGGGAACTTTGACTCGCGTTAAGGCAACCATCGCCGGCTTTGGTTCAAGTTAGAGGGGGGATGAGCGGGTCTTGGAATACAACTTACCGCCAGAGATGATGTTGAATGGGGCACTCGTTTGGGTAGCACCCGTGCTGTCCTTAATCTGGAAGATGAGGGACTGGCCTGGACAGCAGTCAATAAAAGAAAGGAACGGATAAAAAAAACAAACCAATTGGCGCATTGACAGTCCAGGTGACCGAGGGTCCGTTCTGCTGACCGAAATCCTTGAAGGCGGTCGTTCCAATTGGGTTGGTTTGGACACTACAAGAGGGTCAGACAAGAGGAAAAGACGGATATTTGGCACGCACGACTAGAGTAGAATCTTATGGGCCATGTCAGTTGGGTAAACTATGAAATCTTACCACGAAGTAAGGGGCTACGTGGAAACTGTTGTCAGAGACTGAGTCTCACGAACAGGGAAAAAAGGACTTACGGGTTCCACCAGAGAAGGAGATCAGCTGGGGCTCGCATTGAGCTGCAATTAAGGTTAGTGGTTGGAAAGGCGAGGTGGGGATTAAGTACCAGCTCCGGGGACACTGAAAACAGGTAAATTTTAGAAAGGGCGGGATAGAGAATGACATACGGCGTGTTGATTTGGAGTTGGGCAGCAACTCCAGCAACAAGGAGCCGAGGCGAGGAAAAGGACGGACTTCATCGTGGTTGGGAGGAAAGGGCGAGAAGATGGAGATGATGCGAAACAGGGCTCCGCCTTTTTATGATACGTGTGACTTGTTGCCAATCACGCAGTCGCGGCCATCGTGTCCACTTGATGATCTCATTTTTCTTGGCCAGCATATATCCGGTTACTGATGCTTGGCTTCAACCAACCGCAGTTTCCCTCAGAGAATACGACCAGTGTGTGCTGACCAATACTCGAACAAAGCCGTCGAGGAGAATCCACGAATCAACTTGTCTGTAACCACCGCTACTTGCCGAAGCGTGGGTTATCGGCTAAGAAGCACCACAAGAAGATCATTCTGGACTAAAAGTACTACAACAAGTAATCCTACCGACAACAAGTAACAACAATGACAATGACACGTTCCAAAAAATACAACATCCTCACCGCAGCACTTCTACCGTTGAGAGCAGCCCATAATGGTCGCTGGTCCAAATTCCGTTTGGCAGCCGGTCATCAAAAAGCTTGAGCCCAACTCCGAGTCTTTCGGGTGGCTCGACTCGATAGCCTTTTCTCGGAAGATATAATATTTTGTCGAATCTGGCAGCAGGGAACTGGGCTGGAGGCTGTTCTCCCCACGTGAAGCCCTTGGGGTCTTTGTCGCCTTTGCGCCAAGCATCCTTCAATCCGTATGCCGCCGGTAGCCCTGTTTCGGCGTTAGAAACACAGCAAAATCGCTTGAATTCACCAACTTACCAGCATCGGACGGCCCGATTGGGTTCATATCGCCTGCAACAACCCCCCCACGCACACCAGGACCCTGCTTATGTGTTGGCTTGTTGGCGTCAATCTAGATAGTTGTGACACACCTTTAAGAATTTCGAGAGCAGCTTCAACTGCCCAGGCCTGACATCGTCTCCCACTCTCAGTGATTCCAGATGGGTATTGATCAGCCTCAATATGACATCGTACTCGTGGGGTTTTGGTGCTTCGAGGCGGACATCGACAATTAAGCCCGTCCTGTGCATTGATGACGACCCAAACTAAAAACAGACCAACGTAAACAAACAAAAAAAAATGTTGGGGGCACAAACATAGACACACCTGCAGAATGTGGGCCTTCTCGACTTGAATCGATTTCTCCACCAGAGTGATGTTGCCATATAACGCGTCAGTGGGCCATTTGCTCGTATCGGCGGGCGTCAACAAGAAATGTTCCCGGACCCACGAATCAGAGAGAATTGCGGCGACTGCCCTAACGTGGACCTCTTGGAGCATGATCACACAAGGATCGGGTGCTTCGCCATTCTCGCATTTGAACACATCCTCTTCCAGGTAGCGCAGAGCCTTGGTCATCCTTTTGTCGGGCATAGGAGCATCAAAGTTGACATTCCAGGTCACCAGCTGGAAATTCGTAGGAGTTTGCTCGTCGCCTGTCTCGTAGTCTTCTGACAGCCTTTGCCAACGATTTCTGGACCTCCTCCACCGATACATTCGGAGCTCATAACACTGAGAAGGGATAACAGGCCCAAGGTCATCGTCGCAGTTCATAGTGTGAGATGGAGGGAGAGGTCAGAGGGCAAGACAAGAGAACCCCGTCGCGGTGTTTATGGCTCAAGCGTGGCGTTCAATCGATCCGGCCACCATGGTTTGTCCCAACAATCCAGAATTTCGACGTGCGTGACCTTCTTTTTCATACACGAGGCTTTGCCGCGAGGTGATAAGCCGCAATGGTGCCTGTGGGTAGCCAAATTTCTCTGCTTTCCACAAATATATATAAAATGCATCATGCTCGTCTACAACTCAGCCGTATCACGCTTTTCCGACTCCTGAACTGGGTTGGAGAATGCCCTCAGAATGTTTGACTTGATCTTGATTTCGTCCAGCTTAGTCGGAGCAAGACTCCGCTTAGCCAGAATAGAGTTCAGTCTGGGAAAAATAACGACGTCAGCTGCGAGCCAAACTCCAATTGGCACTAATCGTACCGCTTGCCCTCCTTCTCAAGGTATCCTTCCGAGCTATTGGCGAGCTTCTCCATGACACGGAGGTAGTGGTTGGAAAGGGCTCCAGCACCAGCCACAAGCGCAGTAGCATCTTGGATGATGGTAGACCGGGCGTCAGCGGTGGCCAACATAAATTTGCTGGCGAGGGCATCAAGACCAGGAACACGGCCAGCCTAAAATAACATTTAACCTTCACAAACTTCGAATAACCCAAGCTGTACCTGATCAGTTAATCCGCCACCAACAGCGCGCTGGGTCCCACAGTGCTCGTTCAGGAAGTTGACGAAGTCAGCCTCCGAGCGGCCTCCTTCATAACTGACAGCTTCAGTGCTGCCCTTGGGGAAGAACTTGATAGTGGGGAAGCCCTTGACGTCGTATTTCGCGGCGATACCCTTGTTCTTTTGGTCATCCGCGTCGATATTTGCGACAATGCACTGAAAGCCATCAGAGGTGCGCAGAAAGAGGGTGTCTGGTAGCTTACCTTGGACTCCGTCTTGAAGGTGGAGGCAACTATAAGTGGATGATCAATACTAAAACAACATTCCGAAATCAATCGACCTTTCTCGTAGGCGGGCTTCATTGATTTGCAGTGGCCACACCATGGCGCCTAGGACATGGGTTAACGCGTGGAACATCGAGTAGTCGCATAGGAAACCCACAGTGAAAGTGACAAGAACATCCTTCTCTTGGTCCTAGAACAGTTTACTTAGTTCTTATAGGCACTAACTCGGCTTGCACGAACCAAAGCGACTCCATCGAAGTTAGTGTAGTCCAGAATGACGGTATCGGGTGGTGGTGGGGCCTTAATGTTTGATTTAATTCCAGATTTCGAGGAAACGCTGTCCGTAGTTTAGTGTAAGTCTGAGGACGAGCAAGTGCACCAACAACTGTCAAGCGTCAAAAGTGAGAAAACGTAGGACGAGGGATGCTCGAATAAACGTACGCCAGCTAACGCGTCTATGTCGCGGCCGCCCTCGTAGGGCTCATAACCACCATCCTTGTCGAACCACTTGAGTGCTGAACACTGTTGAGCGCGAGCGACGCAGCATATAAAATACGCACTAGGGAAGCCGGTGACCCCGAATTTGGAGCCAAGGGGTTTGCCTTCACCATCTGCGTCTACTTTGGCAATGACTACGTCTTTGCCGGCGAAAGCGTCGGCGAGTTGTTCATAGGCAGGCGCGAGGTTCTGGAGAATAGGTTTGCCATTGAAGCTAAAATGGCCCTCTACATACTTTGCAATGGCCGCTGGAGCACGAATGTTATCGAGGGAAAGCGTGAGATCATAGTTCACTTACCACCATGGCGCATAAAATTCGACCAAAGCCGGTTTGCCCTTACCAATAACGGAATCCCAAGAGCCAGGGTTGAGTTCGACGACATTTGAGGCGGATACGGCGGCAACCAAGGCCGCGACGAGAGAAAGGGAAAGTCTCATGGTGGTTAGAGACTAAGCAGAGTCGGTGACTGACGTGTCCCCGAAAGCTGCTTACTTGTACCGTGACAAGTTCAAACAAATCGCCAATGAATTCCCGACAACAAGTCTCCTCCGGACTTTTCTCGAATAAGTGGCTCCGAGTAATCACTGCAAGGACAGTGCGCTCAGTCGGCCCCGCCGACGGGCCCGTATATTCCAGTCATTTCCAAATCGGGACACGGATTACTTAGCTCTCGCTTACACATTCAAAATTTCAAGGTGATAAATACTCGGGTTTGCAATGACCTCCCACCACGAAGAAATGGACGAAGACGAAGAGCAACAGTTCATCAGTCAAGAGGACGTGCTTGCTGAAGTACCTGATGACGATGATGACCACCCAATGGACGACGATGAAGAAGACGACCAAGTTGGAGACTTGCCTGGCCCTTCAGGATCCAGCGAGGACAACTCACTTCAGGCTTTTGCTGCCCATGCCTCCTCTGTTTTTGCTGTCGCTGGCCACCCCACCGAACCGCTCGCTGCATCAGGCGGCGAAGACGATCTGGGCTACATTTGGGACATCACCGATGGCGAAATTATCGTAAAATTATCTGGCCACAGCGACAGTGTCACCAGTGTCGCCTGGAGTGCGGATGGAGAAATGATTGCGACTGGTGGAATGGATGGTAAAATCAGGGTATGGCGGCGGGTCGGGAAAGAAAATTATCGGACCTGGGAGTTCCTGACTCAGCTTGAGGGCCCCGATGAAGTTATGGTCGGTTATTTTCCTTTCCTGGTAAAATTTGCTGAATGTGGCTAGTTTTTGCGATGGCACCCGAAAGGGAGCGTTTTACTAGCAGGATCAAATGATACGACGCTGTGGCTTTGGCAATGTAGGGATCCGTGTTTTCCGTCATGAATTGAATATCTCACCCGTGTTTTGGAAGTACCTTCGGGTAACACTATGCAGGTTTTTGCGGGCCACACGGGAGCCGTCCAATGTGGTGAATTCACGCCCGATGGTAAGCCATTGCCACTAAAACACGCGCGCCCAAACTTACTGCGGACTTTGTAACTAGGCAAACGCATCGTCTCCGCCTGTGCAGACGGTAGTCTGATATTTTGGGACCCACGATCCCCCAGTCCCCTCTTCAAGTTGACACCGGACGACGCGCGCTTTGATCTTGATGGAATCACATCGCTAGGCGTAAATCATTCCTCGTCATTGGCTGTTGTTGGTGGTGCAGCAGGAGGCGTAAGGGTCATTAGTCTCAATAAAGGCGAAATCGTTGCAACTCTCGGTGGACATACAGAAGGCGAAAGCATCGAGGCTATCGCCTTTGTTGACCTCACTGGCAACACAACAGGAGCGGGTGTTGTTGTGACCGGCGCAACTGATGGTAAAGCTTGTGTCTGGGACCTTACAACGATGAAACTACGCGCAACATTAGAACATGATGTGGGTAATCCTGTCACCTCCGCAGTAACACCAATTCACGTTTCCATAGGACGCGGTCACGACGTTGCTTGCTCATCCGTCGCCGAAAGGTTACCTGCTCGTCTCTGCTTCTGCTGATAAGATGCTGCGGACTTGGGATGCGAGAACTGGCAATTTAGTGCGTAAACATTTGGGTCACCAAGGAGCTGTACTAGGCGCTTCATTTGGCCTACAAGGGTCTGTCGTTCTGAGTGCTGGGGACGATGGCGCCTGTCTAGTATTTACGACGGAGGAGGCTGAAGAACCATAAAGTATATTACGTAGCATGTGGTAAGGTAGACGATCGGCGCCAAAAATATCAGGAATGCTGTGCTGACGTTGCCCGTGATCGCCTGGCGAACATCTTTTCATTCAGTCCATCACCAGGAGCAACCTCTATAAAATACCTCGCATTCAACACGATGTCTTCAGGTTTCTTTTCCTCACCTCGCCTTCGAATTCTTCCTTGAGCAGCGCTCATTTTCACTTTCTCTTATCCCATTTTTGTCGCCAGTCGACCCATAGTCGCTCTCTCAACCACACACTCTCTCTTTGCACAACAATGAAGTTGACGATCTCCTCTGTCATCCTCTCCGTTCTCGTCGCGTCTTCGCTCGTGTCCTCTGCCCCCTTGGATGCTCGTCATAACAAGAATCGCGGTAAGAAGATGATGGGCAAGGCCAGCCAGGCTACCCTCTCCTCTGCCGCTGGTGCAGCCTATTGTTGGTTCTCACTCTCCTCATGGAGATCCTTTGCTTACCGTCTTCACAGTCCTGACGAATGAGCCTGCTGGCAACTTTGTCGTTGCGGCATCCATTGGCTCTGACGGCAAGCTTACTCTCCGACAAGCCACCTCCTCTGATGGGGCCGGGAGCCACGGTCTCGGGGGTGATGGCCCCGATCCACTATTTGCCCAAGGCGCCGTCAAAGCCAGTGCCGCTGGAGAGATTGTTGCAGCGGTACGCATTCAAAAACAGTCATAGCATCTCGGTTTAACGTAGCGCAAGGTCAACGCGGGCTCCAACACCATCTCCGTGTTCGCCATCGACCCGAAAAACCCCACCAACCTGCAAATGATTGGTCAGCCCATCGGTTCGGGTGGCGAATTCCCCATGTCCGTGGCCATCAACAAGGCCGGTAACAATGTTTGTGCACTCAATAGCGGCTCCATCAACGGTGTCGCCTGCTTTGCGGTCGACAAGGCCAAGGGCACGATCAAGCCGATTGCCAACACAGTCCGCAGCCTCAAGCTTAACCAGACGACGTTCGTGTTTTTTCTTCTTTGGCATTTTCTATATTCTCAAATCGGACCTCCGCTAGTCCTGCCACTGGCCCCGCCGGGACAGCTAGCCACGTCATTTTCTCAGAGGATGGCACTAAGCTCATCGCTAGTGTCAAGGGTGTACCTCCAACCCCCGGTATTATCGCAGTCTGGGACGTCGCTAAGGATGGATCCCTGTCGAAGGACTTCCAACCAATGCAGCCTGCCAAAGGCGGCCTCCTTCCGTTCAGCATGACGGTCATCCCTGGAAAAAATGCCATACTGGCCACCGATGCAGGGGTTGGCGCTGCCATCTTCGATCTCAACGCAACGCCCGCCAACGGCGTCGCAGCGGGGCAGTCGTCAATCCTCACAATCGCCGGCCAAAAGGCGACTTGCTGGAGCTCGTTCTCGCAGAAGACCAAGAACTTTTATGTCACCGACATCGGTCAGTCCATGACAAGCAGGCATGAAGCAACTCACTTACCCCAACCAGGAACCTCGCAAGTCACCGAGATTTCGCTCGACAACAACCTCAAGCCGACGATCGTCAAGCAGTACCCGCAAGGTGATACTGTGGCCACCATCGACAACGACATCGCGACTGTTGGCGGCAATGAGTGCGTTTTTTTTCGTGACTCTTAGCGCTTATCCTGATCTGCTTCCAGCTTCATGTTTGTATTGGCGCCCAATGCAACTCAAGTCAGGGTTCTTTCTCTCAAGGCCCCAGGCAATGCCGTCGCACTCCAAACTCTGGACATCGCGGGACCAGCGAAGGCAGCTGGCCTTCCACTCAGTAAGTGTGCTGACTGTAGCGGTTCTTAGACTGAGCAATGCATCCTAGACGCTGCCAACTTGCAAGGCATGACGACCTTTATCAAGCGGGCATAAAGATACTTATACCTCGTCTAACTTATACCCTTTGTTCGTGCTCTTTTGTGTGTTGCTTGGCTGTGGATAGGGATTTTTGAAATGTATTCATGGCGAATTGAGACCTCAGACTCGTTACACTTTAGTCTCTAGATTCGACTCGGTCTCGATGGACCCATCGCCCAGATCAGCTTCCTCCAGATACGTCTCCTTGGCTGGGAAAAGCAGTGAAAGGCCCCAATAAAGGACACCTGCTGTGAAAAACTGGACATCGTCAGCGTAGTTTCCGAGTCTGAAAGTGGACGTTCTTACCCCATACAACCACCTATGTTACGTCAGCAAGCAAAACGAAAGGAAGGAGAAATCACGCACGCGATGTCGAAAAGATGTGAGGCGTCTCCGACGTGAATGGTCGTGTTGATGCTCGCGGCGAGGCCAGGAAGACTTGGTGTGACCGAGAAGAGGAGGGCAACGACCGCTCTCCAGTTCTGTTGTCGTTAGGAATGCATATTTTACAAACACAAGTATGAGGCTTACGATTCCATTCCAGTACCGATAACGGCCCTTGTAGTCATACATGGCTGGGACGTCTACCTTTCCTTGATGGACGATCCAATACTAAGAGACGCTTTTAGAGGCCTTGCAGAGAGCGTGAAGAAAAAGACGAACATCGACCGCCATTCTGCGAATTCGAAGTGTGAGCAGTCAATACCAGTTGACAGCAGCACGCACATTGCAGCAAATGGACCAAGGAATACCTGTCCTCACAATCAACGAGACTCGGCCAACTACACCGAAATAACCCACCGTGTACCCCGACATAAATGTTAAAAAACCCGGTGCGGACGATAGGATCTCCCAAGGGCATAGCGCCCAGCCTCCAATGATGGCGCAGATAATTTGGCCCCGGCGAATGTTGATGTAGCGAGGCAGTAAGACAGTCATGTCGTTGGCGGCGCTCAGTGAGTTGGCGGAGATATTTGTGCCGAGGGCTATTCGATAAGCCTGTGCATTTCACTCACTAAACAGGGAGACGTACTGGCCAAAGTAAAACTGAATGCCGCAAAAAACGATGCAGCACGCGAGTCCCAGCGGTCGATCAGTTGGAGAGGGTCCCATATCACAGTTCCGTACAACACTTCACTTGCCGTTGCCACGGCCATTCCACAAAAAGCCTGCCAGAGTAAACGCGACGGGGATGATAATGATTTGCACATATTGGCTTCAAGAACGTATTGAACGATGCAACAATTCAAAGGCGTTCGCATCACTTACGCTCGTTCGTTCTTGGCATATCTAGTAAAGTCGGGGATGTTGACAGCGAGGGTCGCATATATGCCCAAGGCACTATTCAGCGAGCTCAACCATGCCCAGCTTGCGGCACCGCCAGTCAACGACGAGTGTTGCTGGTTGAGACTGACGCTTGGTGGTGCCCGATGGAGAGCCCAGATCAGGATAGCGAGCCAGGTAGCGGGGACAATGGCAGCCTTCAACACGAAGAGGTGGCGGATGCGCTGAGGAGAGACTAGAAGAAAGGGCAATTGGATGAGCCAGAATAGGACTACGGAACGCGGTTCAACAAGGAGCACAAGGAATTGATGACCCGTACAGTAGCACATCATGCCCACAGTGGTTATTCCTGCAGAGGCCGGGAGGTGATTTGGAATATGGGCCGTCGATGGCCAGATTGCTTTGAGCATCTGGTAGACACACTCGGATCCGACATAAGTCTAGAAACTTAGTAAATCGTGGGTGAGTGAGTGAGAGCAGGACTAACCTGGATAGCAAACCAAAAGCATGAGAGGACGACTCGGCTGATGACTGCAAAGTACGAGAACCAAAATCCAAATGATGACCGGGTGATGACTGGAAAAGCAACATGCAGCCGTGCCCCGATAGTCCCGTTCAACACCTGAGTTTATTGGTCAGCAAAGAAATTTTGGTCAAAAAAAAAGAGAGACAGCACCATTACGAAGGCGATAATTATATGACCCAACGCAATTGCTGGCAGCGCCTGCCGCCACGACAAGCCAATCGCGATCATTGAACTAGCAAGCTCCCAAGACGCCTACAACAGTTTAGAGGACAACAACTCCCCTGAGCAAGATAGCTACCGTGTTCGTCTAGACGTAACGAAGTTGAGAAGCTTTGAATGACACGACGAGCAGATCGACATTACCGCGTCCGAAATCCAGTAGGCACAGTAGTTCTCCAATATAATCAACGAACTGGAAGTGAGAAACCGCGAAAGAAGAAGCACTCACCCACGTAGTCCACGTTTGCTGCCCTCGGGGAACGGGGTCCATGTCTTTATTCGACCATTTTTTGTTTGGCGCAAATGTAGAGGGCTCGGGCTCGAGTACCCAGCCGTTGAGACGCCACCACGATTTGGAGCTCATAATGGTCGGTCGAAAAGAGTAGTCGGGAGCCAGCGATAAGCATTTCTTGTACTCACGTCGCTCAGGATAAGAGAAGTTGGGAAGAGGCACGCTTTCCCCATTCGGCCAGCAAAACTTTCTCGTGAAATAAAGATACGTTTCGTTTGGTAAGCTATTACATGTCCCACTCATCCCACATAGAAGGTACAGGCATCGCTGCTTGTGGTACACTAATTTCAGTGGTCTCTCTTAGATCAACGATCTGCTCACTCGCCCCACCCTCATCGTCGTGTTTCCCCCTCATGGCGACTAGAATCGCATCGTCCGACGAGTGCAATAGCCGAATGTCCTGACCCTCAATCACCTGCTCAAGCAGTCCAGTCAAAACATTGCGGATTTCGATGAAACCGGGAGAAAATAAGAGGACATGGCCCCCGCGCGATGTAAATGCAGTCGCTTTTGATTCCCAGCGGATAAAGCCACTGCTTCTCGTGGGAATTCCATGGCGAGTAACATAACAACCCATTGCTGCTCAGAAATGAGAAACTTGGGCAGAATCCTTGGAGAACAACAACTCACTCTCGTACACAACAAGAAGTTCGGTTGAACTGCACCGTAAAAGACCCAGTGGTCTTGTCTCCTCCAGACGCTTCCTCAGAGCAACCATAGCAGCGCCGGCGGCAGTATAGTTGCTTTCGTCAAAGTCTGGCACGAATGTGATTGCGGATCGGGTAAGACTATATAGTTCGTTTGTGTTGATCAGTTAACGAACAACTGGGACCTACTTGGTAGGGTCGAGAATAACAATACGGTCGCTTGTCGAGATGGCGATAGTTTTCACAAGCGGCGTGATGTCATGTGCCTCTTTGGCCACAAAACCTGGCTATACCTGTGGTCAACCATCTCTCCCTGTCTAGTCAACAGGCATACATCACCAAACGGCCGGAAATATCTTGCAGATGAGCCTTTGGAGCGTTTTGGTGATATTGCTGCTTCAGTGTGGTCAACAGCTTCGAGGACATGAAGGTCGAGCGAGCTTTGAAACATTCGTCTTGACGCATAAACAACTTCAACAACGTCAACTCGACATCAGTCAGAGACCAAATAAAGGCACTTACTTAGGACTCGCTTGCCAACCCTCATCACCCTGGAGAACAACACATTGCTACTGTCATGTTTCTCACAGGATGCTTGGAACTTTTTGGGATCTAGTTTGGCTAGGGCCACTTGTCCAAGAAGATCTTGCGCGTAGGACATGAGCGTGGAATCATGTTGGACGACAAATCGATTGAAAGGCCGCGTGGAGATGGTTTCCAGCGCAAACAGAGTGGTGGGGTTTGACGAGGGCAATGCCTTGTAGAATTCTAAAAAGAGGTCACTAACGAGAGAGTGCTGATAGATGACTCACTTTCTTCTTCCCAGTGCCCCGCAAATATTCCAGAAAAACAGCCAACGGCGAGAAATTTGCGACCACCCGTCGCTGTGAAAGCGTTCAGAGTTGTTATTCACATTTGTGAAAACATACTGAATGGAGTTGCGCTTGTTACCCTGCCAGTAGGTTTGGATGCTTTAACGCGGACAGTTGGTACTCGGAAGAAATTATCTGTGATGACGTGCGGCTCAAAGTACTTTGCTGCTATAAGCGAGGGTCACCACTGCCACGAAAAAACTTGCCATGTTTGCCTCTTGCCTCGCTTGATGCAGTCCAAGAGCTGGTTGGAACACTTGATGCCACTTTGTTCGCTCCGCCTCTGTTTCCACATAAAGTGTGTAACGCCTCATTTTGCTGGCTGCATGGTAGATAACGAATGGGTACACTGGTCGTGATTTCAATCCATCTCGTCGAGTCTCAGCAGGTGAATTGAATGATCCGAGGCGTAGATATGATAGTGGTATTGGCTGCAGTGAATTTATGAGAGCAGGTATGCTAGTTGATTGTTTCTTACTCTGGAGACAAGGTATCGTTTGATTACGCCATTGGGGCGTGTTTCTTCATTAGTCAGGATAACTAAGCCTTTGGTGAGTATCGCAGGAGAACGAAAGCAATCAACTCACAATAATTATCTAGTAGAGCGGCGCAAAGATTCGTCCAAGTGGAAAGTCCGGCCTCTCCCCGAGTCCAACGCGCAACAGGAGCTTGACGATACAAATTCCTGGTATCTGCATAGAGATCCATGTCCTGAGAAACGGTAAGAGGAGGGCATCACGAAACATTGATACCTACGATTAATTCCCCTCGCTGGAATACGAGGCTTTGAATCAACTCAAAAAACTTGACCTTGTTTTCGGCTGCTTCGATTCCAGGCTGGGCGCTCTTAACGCTGCTGGTGAGTATATCTAGAATGATAGGTAAAATCTCCTTGTCGGGATGTCCATCGTCCGTAAGTTTGAGTATCTGCTCTAGCAGAAGGTTTAATCTGGGCAAGCGAGTGACGGGGCGCGAGAGGAAAGTGGTGAGGTCACGTTTTCGGATGCGACGGTCCGACGAAACCGACTGGATGAAGGCCTGGTATTCCGTATTTTGCTTGATCTCCTTCCGATGCCTAGACTCAGCAAGAGGGTATGCTTTGATGTAAGTCTCGTAGCTTGCACGAAAATCTTCTTTCAGTGCGGCTGAACCGTGGATCAGAACAGAGCTCCGAAGAGAAATAACAGCCTCACTGTCCAGTAGTATATCGGAAATGCTTTGGACAACCGGATGCTGCTCACGTTGACGGGCAAATAGCGCTGCCAACATTCGTTGGTGGTGGGCCGTGATTTCTGCTAGATTGCCAAAAACCTCGGTCACGAATTTGTTCAGTAGAGATTCTCGAATGATTGGTGGCGAAGCGGTACGAAGGGCGCGTATACAAACTTGTTCAATGGCCTCTAGATCAGCAACATATTCCCTCTCAGCTAGACAAGACTGTAAGTGAGAATGAAATGACTGTTCTAGCGAACTCGCACATTTGAAAACCTCGAAGATGACCGATTGCCGTTGCACCTCCCGCTTCCCCAACATATTCAAGGTTTCTGGAGGGACAAGTTTATGCCACTCTTCATCCTTTTCCGCCAACTTTCCGCTTTGGAATCCTCGAAGTCCTTCCTCAGACTGGAGCCTTGAGGGCTATGTCAAGAAAATCAGCGTTATGAAGGCAAAACAGACGCACGAGAGCTGCGAGAATCCACGAGAAATATCTTCCGTTTCCTCGGCCGAGTCCCCATGAGACTTAGAAGAAAACGATCAGCCTCTTTTCAAGCAAATGGTAATGTCACGCACATCCACCGATGCTGTCGCATAAAAGTCGTTATCTTCATTTGAGTAGTACGCGGATGTTGTGGTCATTACGCTAGTCATACTGGGGTCCCGTTGAAGACGAAGAGGCGATTGACCCTGATCACTCCGAGTGTAGCGGTGACCGAGAGATTGATTTGAGGCCGACGCAGATATGGACCGGTAAATCTGAGGCTCTGGGAATGGCATATGCATAGTGGCTACAGAGGCGCTGACAGCACGGAGAGGCGCATTCTGGGAATTCAGCGAATGGGTTCTGGGTCGCGGTGTTTGGCTTGGATCGAGATCATCATCATCCTCAGTGTAGGGAGGTGGTGTGACTTGAATCGACCCTGACCACTCAGGAGAGGATGGCTGGCGCTGGGGTGGCCGAGCTTGGGTATCGATATGAGGTCGAGGAGTGCGCTGCATGCGATCGCAGCAGAGTAACGACGTCACCGCATTCGACCATCACATTAGTCACAACGCGTTTGATCGACACTGGCAGGACCAAACAACGCGTAAACAAACACACCATGTCGAACGTCCCCTCCACACCCGGCCCATCGACTCCTCTTCGCGAAAGCTATACCTACCACAGTCCGACGCCAACAACATCGGGACCTTATATACTCGGAGTCGACGAAGCTGGTCGGGGCCCCGTGTTGGGTCCTTTGGTTTATGGCGTAGCTTACTGCCCAGTGGCCTACAAGGAGACACTGGAAGAGCTTGGTTTTGCAGGTGTGTAATTATTCGAACTCTAACTACGCGTTACCTATGACTCTAGACTCGAAAACACTCACCGCCGAAGTTCGGTCTTCGTTACTTGAGACACTTGGCTCTGACCCAACAAATCTTGCTTGGTCTGTGCGAGTGATCAGCCCTCAGGCCATTTCCCAGGGGATGCTGCGCCGGCCACCAACGAATCTAAACGTCCAATCTCAAAACGCCACTGTACTGTTGATACAAGAGGTGCTCAAGATGGGTATAGAGCTACGAGAAGTACGCACTTCTCCTCTTGGCCCGTTCACAGCTGAAAAGTGAAGGTTTATGTTGACGCTTTGGGCCCCACTGCGACCTACAAAGCATATCTATCTGCTCGATTCCCCGACATTTCTTTCACTGTAGAAAACAAAGCCGATGACAAGTTTAAGATTGTGGGTGCAGCAAGTGTTGCTGCCAAAGTGACCCGTGACGCGTGCATCGAGGACTGGGTATTCGAAGAGAAGGGTGGGGCCGATGATTGGGACACCGAGATGGGCTCAGGGTATCCCGCGGGCGAGTACTTTCAGCACTCTTGCCAGTTTTGCAACTTACAATCCTTAGACCCCAAAACAAAAGCTTGGTTACAAAGGACGCTTGAGCCTGTGTTTGGTCTACCTAAAGTCGTGAGATTCTCGTGGTCGACTGTCAAGGTGTTGCTTGAAAAGGAAGGCAAAGCCGTGAAGTGGTGCGAATATGGATTTTCGCCTCTATTATTCACATTAATATTTAAATCTACAAGGATCGACGACGGCCAAGAGTCCCTTATATCAGCATTTGAGAGTGCAAAGGGACGCGAAAAAGACCGTTGCGCGGTGGCCAAAGATCTCGCACTCAAGAGCGTGGCGACCTTATGAGTTGCCAAGCTCGCTAGATATCATCGGCGTAAAAGTCGTCCACAGGAGAATTGTTTGGCCTTGTGGGTCCGTTTTCCCGTGCAGCAACATGGTCTTCGATGAGTTTTATGACGGTAGGCGCATGGAGTGGTATGGAGGGACCATGGAAGCCATCAGGGTAAGCAGGGTCTGGAGGTTCATGAGGATACGTAAAGGTTCTGTTATCTGTTGATAAGCACATGAACACGGAAAAAGAGAGGTGCAACTAACGTGTCGTTCCAGACGGAGTAATGTGACATTCCCAACGATCGGCTTGTCCATTCATAGTCTCGAGCGAAACCCCCAGGAATGAATATTTCGATGACGGCGGACAGACGGTTTGGTTTCATTAGCACCTGAGAGAGATAGGAATAAGCCTTTCAATTCACAGAACCGCGCATACCAGATGTGTTAGTCCATTTCCATGAACTCCAAGCATGATCTGGGATATGCGTCATTGGACTGGCAAGGGACCATGGACCACAGTTACCGTTGTGCGAGACGTGACTCTGATTTGTTCATCTAATGACAGACGCTCAGCATGCACATCTTGAAACTCCCATTTTTTCCCTTGTCGATTTTTACGATCAACCAAATCTTGAATGGCAGACACCAGCGCGAGATTGTCTGCACCACGGAGGTGTCGTCGTGTCCCTTGTCGGTTGATGTAGGTGATAACCACGTGATCAGGCATTTGGAGCTCAGAATCAAGGCTCTCGTTGGAGTCTCCTCCAGCATATCTTGTCAGGGCTGCTCGTATGCTTGCCCACCAGTTGCCGATGAGGTCAATCTTGCCTTGCTTCGCCATCACCATCCAAGCTTGAGCCGCAGTTCGCTGAGTATGTGCGCCAGTCATGGGATTCCTGAAGGCAGCAGAGCGATCTACGAGCAAAGCAAGAGGGAAATGCCATGCTCGACCCATTTCCGTCTTTGTTGCATTGATGCGATCAACCCAGTCGATTGATGTCTCGACTGTGGCGGAAGGAAAAACAGCGCGCATTGCGTAGCCATTGAAGCCCGGTCCATCTCGCCACCCAGAGCCGTCGGAATGGATAAAGATTGCACGTGTGATGGTCGGGGTGTTGGTAGAAAGAAGAGGAGGCGTGAAGGACGCTGCAGGGATGGTAGAAGGAGGGGAAATCGTTCGGTCAAACGCGCCAAAAAGTAAGGCCCAGGTGCCAAACATAAGCTCTGCAACGAAATGAAAGTCTAAAGAATCGTGAGGTGGCGTTTAGACAAGGATACAATATGTTCACAGTGGTTTAAGAACTGAGGAGGGTCGTTGTACAACAGCTTGGCTAACATTAAAAACAGGCGAGAATCAAGAAGAAGATATGCTCACTGTTGTGCCCTCTAAAGTCAGGATTCGATTACGCTCCCCACGGCTAAGTTTGCCGCCCCATCTAGCCCTCGCTTCCTGGGGAGTTACGAAAGCCATGTCGCGTTCGGTGGGCATCCTTTCAGCATCGTTGGTGAGATTTCCTGGGAGACCGGTCGATGTCATTAGAGCGATGTCGGGGAAAGAGGGGCTTGAATTTGTGAGCAGGACAAGCGCTCCCTTGCTCATGTAAAGATCACGAAACAAGGTCCAGCCTGGCGCATGTGCGATTATTTCAGTTTGAGGAAGACTATAAGAAAGACCGAGGTCGAGCGGGGCAGGCTGAGAGGTCAGATAACCGCCTGTAGTTGCCGGAAAATGAGTGTCGTTGAAACGTAATGGAAGGCTGGTTCGGCGAGAGTCTGTTGCGAGAGAAGTGAAGAGATAGAAACAACAGCCACCAAGCAGAGCAAACACGACCTCTCTCCTTGAGATCTTGTAGCCCATGAAGGTTTAATGGAGGCTTCAGGCAACACGACACGCCCGATCGCTTCTACCCCTCTCTTGCTAGTGCTTTGCTTCATTGGGAGTTGCCTGTAAAATTGGGTTGTTCACATCACGTGATACTAGTTGCACCCAACCACCACCGACTTTTTTGCGACAAAGGACCTACTTCTATGAAAACTTTGTAATGTCACTACAAAGATGTTTCAAACTTGAACTCTGGCGCCGTGTTTCTAATGACTGAGGTTATTCCGAGACTGAAGCCGAGCTACCAACTCAACGGTCAAGTGAAACAGGTTTATATATAGCCATCTGCATAAGCTCGACCTTCTTTCTGGCGCCGCAGCACTAACTCATCCTGTGGTTGCCCGCGATTGCCAGAATCTTGCTGACCGAGGTCACCACTTTGCTTGCTCATCCTCCGCCCATTTAGCCAATCGGAATTAACTGCGCACGAATGATGGTTCTTTGACAATATCTCTTTCGGAATCTCCCAAAATAGTGTCAAGTTGTCGCCTGGATAAAAGCAACAACGAATGTCTTGTTGAGCTCAACGAAAACTTCGCTCCCACAAAAAATGAAGTGGTCCACCACTCATACGATCTTCGCTACCCTAATCTCCGCTGTGTCCGCTGATGCTGGGATCAAGACTATGGGCTCGTGGTCGTCGCATGACCCGTCCTCAGGAGCAGTATATTGTATGAACCTTTTTACTTGGTATACCAGCTAACGTTCTCCTTAGTCTTGACCAATGAGCCTTCGGGAAATTACGTTGTTTCGGCAGCCATCGGTTCTAACGGCAAGCTGGTAGGTCCTGCTGGCATTTTCTCCAATGCTAGCTCTCATTACTCTTTAGACATTGCACCAAGCTACACCCGCTGAGGGCGTCGGGAGCCATGGTCTTCCCAACACCGGCGGGGATCCCTTATTCTCACAAGGCTCAATCAAAGCCAGTGCAAGTGGAGGTATTCTGGCGGCGGTATGCTCTGAAAACGTGCCGAGATCCACATCTTAAGCATGGATCAGGTTAACTCGGGCTCAAACACCATCTCGATTTTCACCATCGACAAGCAGAACCCCAGTAGCTTGAAGATGCTAGGGAAACCTATTGGATCGGGCGGCGAATTCCCCATTTCAGTGGCTATCAACAAGGCGGGGAACATGGTTTGCGCGCTCAATGGTGGTTCGGTTAGCGGTGTCGCGTGCTTTGCGGTCGATAGCAAGAAAGCGACGATTACTCCAATTGCGAACACCGTCCGCAGTCTCAGTCTCAACCAAACCACGTAAGTTCCTCACGGATGGCAGCTTGCACTTACTGATTAATGCGCTATAGACCACCCAGTGGGCAAGTGTGATTATATGCCTTTCTCTCTTTTTCCTCATCATGCCTCAGACCTCCGGGTACTGCTAGCCACGTCATATTCTCGCCCGACGACACGCAGCTCATCGTCTCGGTCAAAGGTGTCCCGCCTACTCCGGGCTATCTGGCCCTTTGGAAGATCTCTGCAGATAGCTCATTGTCCACGCAATATAGCGCTCTTAAGCCAGCCAAGGGCGGTCTACTGCCATTCAGCCTTACGCCAATCCCAGGGAAAAGCGCAATTCTAGCGACTGATCCAGGCATTGGCATCGATATATTCGATTTCAGCTCTCCCGCTAGCAATGGTGTTGCCGCCGCAGAGTCATCAGCGTTTACGATCCCCGGTCAGGGTGCGGTCTGCTGGTCCAGCTTTTCGTCCAAGACAGGCCATGCTTATGTTATCGACGCTGGGAAGGCCCTTGTGTCTGAAATTAGCCTCGACGCGAACCTCAAACCTTCCATTGTGGCTCAATATTCTCAAGGTGCCGGCGCGGGTACGATTGACAGCGAGATAGCCACAGTTGGCAACACGGAGTTTGTTCACTTCGTCGATTTACTGCGCCCTCTTGACTGACTCTTCCATAGCTTCCTGTATGTTCTGGCTGCAAACGCGACTGCCATCAAGGTTTTGTCATTGGCGCCTGGCAAGGCGACACCGGTTCAGTCGGTCGACCTTGCTACTCCAGCCAAATTCGCTGGACTTGCTTTGCGTGCGTAGTCCCCTCTTTTGTGTCTAGTTTTCCAGCGTCTCACTCAGACAACAGAGGGTAGCTACCTACAAGGAATGACTACATATACTAAAGTTCACTGAGCTGAAAATGTAAATAAACGTGCTCAAATATCATTTACTTGCTATCTGATTCACTTGGGTATTGGATGGGTTTCCGTACCCAAAAGAGATAGTTGGCAGCGGTAGCGCCGTATGCTCCTCGTGGCGCGAGTATCCAATTCGAAGCCAATGGGTTATACACGAGACCCCGCACTTCAGCTTGCGTCCGTGGTGGTTGAGATGGGCTCTGGTCGATCCAATGCAACTTTCGGCGGAAAAAATCCGTCAACTCTTCTGGGCGGATGAATTTGGAGTGTGTGTGTGTCCCTTTTGAAACCTTGCCGAGCACATCTTCTGCCATGAAAATCGTGAGGAAGTAGGCGAGTGGTGTACGGGAGATTGTCGAGAGGAAGAGATGGCCTCCAGGCTAACGTGATTGAGTTAGTATCCATCTGGGGAGGAAGACATAAAGCTTACCTTTACGAGTTGAGAACAAGTATCAAGGAATGTAGAGGGGTTATCAACGTGTTCGAGCACTTCCATCGAGCAGACGACATCATACCGCTTGGACTCTTTCAACAGAGCTTCAGCCGGTGTGTGGAGGTACGAAAGCCGCGTAGAGGGACTAGAAAAGGCGGGGTCTTGCGTGGCATGGAGCCTCGCTATTGAAATATTCGCTTCAGATGCATCCACTCCAAGCGTGTTTGCTCCAGAACGAGCAAGACTCTGCAGAGTTGTCAGTGTTGATGACAGTGTTGTGTTTTCCCCGCCGCACCTCAGACAAAAGTCCTCCACCACAGCCTATGTCCAAAACATCAAGATTCCTAAGTCCAAAACCCTCCTCTAACAGCGGTTCTTGGTCGCGGGCAGTTTCAAGTAACTTTTCGCGTATGAAACGCATTCTGACTGGGTTCATTTGGTGCAGAAAGCTGAATTCGCCTTTCTCATCCCACCATTGTGAAGAGAGACGCGAAAAATGCGCGATTTCAGCCGGGTTGACAGTGGAAGCAGAATGGACGGCACGACGAAGGAGACGCATCACATGACCTCAAATGAAAGATGCCCGAATTGACCCTATTGACACAAGATATGCACATCATCGATCCACTACCACAACGATCTATTTCTTCCAGCTGAAGAAATTACTTATTAGTCCGCTGCTCGACGTAGTTCGAGTTGGCGCTGACCGGCTGGGAACTGGATCATCTGGACGAACGGGTGAAAGCACAGTCGGAATGTCGATTCCACCAATGGTAGTCTTGAAGTTATGTGGTCAGCTAAGTTTAATGAAAGGAAGCAGTTGACAAACCGCAGTCGTGGACAAGAAGTTGAATGAAGGCTGGGAGTTGGTAGGAAATATCCCTATAGTTCGTTTCTTCTTTTTCGCGGCAGGTGCTTCGTCCTCATCATCTGAGATAAGCTTGGACCCTCTAGGCTGGATTTGTTGATTGACGCGAGACCGAGGTTTTGTTTGGGCTGGCTCGCTCTCTTCACGCCTCCGTTTGGTTCTTGCTGCAGGTTTTGCTGAGTCCTCATCAACGGCCTTGGCTTTCCCTTTCGCTCTGGTCGGCTTACGCTCTTCCTCGCTGTCCTCGCTATCCTCCTTCGAGATAGTTTGAGACCGAGGTTTCAGCTTTGGGCGTTTGGCCGTAGGCTGTTTGGAAGTCGCCCGTTTCTTGGGCGGGGGCGGAACTTCCTCGATGTCATCATCCGATATATTAGATGGACCCGCAACGGCAGTTCTTAAGACAGGCTTTCTTGAGATTGGTCTTGCCGGTGACGATGGGACTACGTCGGCCATGTCGAGAGCGATTTCAGTCTCAGACACAGTAGGTGATACACGATGCTGCTCAAACAATGAACCAACGAAAACAGAAAGCGCATTAAAGCTTACGGGGTAAGATGATTGGGCCTCTTCGAGCGCCTGCTTGAGTTGTTCGATCTCTAGACGAGCTGCAGCTAGAGCGTTGGCTGACACCTCCGCTTCTTCACGCTGCTCTCCGGCGTAAACCTTGCAATAGTTGAGCACAAGATAGATGTGGTTTGATCCTGACCTCCAATTCTTTTGCATTCGCCTTGAATCTGGAAAGTTTCTCCTTTTCCTTTTTCAACTCTGCATCTCTCTTCTCGAGCCTCTGTTCTAGAGCTTTGACCTGCACCCCGAGGTCAACACTCTTCTTCCTCAAGAATTCCGTTTCTTCTCCGCCTTTATTCTCTAGATTCTGCCATCGATCTAATTGATGCTTTAGTTGATCATTGGTCCGCTTCAGTTCGTCATTTTGGCGTTCCAAGTCCTTGTGGGCTGTCTTAGCACCTTCTAATTGGAGATTTAGGCGCTCGAGCTTCGTCGTGGCTGAGTCTTTAGCAGATTCCAAACGTGTGTGGCTTTCACGAAGTTTGTCAAGGTCTTGCTGAGGGACGTAAGTGCGGTTCAGACTGGAATCGGATAACCGACCTCCAGGTTTGATTGTTGTTCTCCAAGAGCTTCTATCTCCTCTTCTTGCGCACGCAACTTCCCTTGTAGTTCCAGGATGTGGTCGTTTCCCTCTCGGCTGCTATACTTGAGTTGGTCTTCGAGATCTTCGATACGGGCTTCGAGTTGGGATTCACGGACCCGGAACATGGTGAGCTGAAAGTCACGATGAAGACAAGCGAGTTTTTGTTGTCGCGTAGCGTTTGTCTCTGTTAGGATTACATCCTCCGTTTCAACTAGTTTTGCCGTCAGACGAAGGTGGGCGAGTTGATGCGAGGAAAGGATTCGGTTGCAGCCTTCGCGAAAGGCTACGCGCTCCTCATTGAAATGAACCTTCATGTCGTGTATGCTTCGTTTATGGGATTCTGTGTGGTCATGCAAAGCGCGTTTATGTTTCTCTAGCAAGAGCGCGTTTTCATCGCCTAGTTTTTTGTTGAGATGCTCGAGTGTCCGGTTGCGCTGCACAAGATCGTCTATTTGGGTCATCATATTGCCTTCCACGGAAGGGGACGGGCGTGCCACTGAGCGCGACATCGAGGTCGACCTTGAACGAGTGATTCAGACTGTGACATGCGTGACATATTACCTTTCCCTCTCGCCGACCTATTTTTGCATTTTCTACGACGAAAACTCGATCCCAGAAGTGGCAATGTATAACGCGTCTACCGTCAGGATCACTCTCCCGGTCTGCTGCCTCGTTCAAGGGTCAAGCAAGGGTACAAACCTCCAGCAAGGCGCCCTGACTAGCGCTGAGAAAGTTTGGACAAAGTAGTGCCGTTGTGTGTGTGCCATAACGAAGCTTCTTTGACCGCACTTTCGCCCATTCACAATCGATAGGCGCCCTTGCATCTCTCAATGGACGACGCGCGTGCTCGACGACTCGACAAGCTCTTTAACGACGTTCTTCATGGGACACCACTCAGAAAGGGCACTTTCACACTGTTTCTGCAGGCTATTAGAAATCAGCAGGATCCGGCAACATGCATAAACAAGATCGTCGGTAGCCAAGGCGGCCTTGACGAATTCCGGGAAGCGATGAGGTTTGACCTCACTGATTCTTTCTTCAACGGGGAGGCAACACATATACTCGACTATCTCAAAGCACCGGAACTGGAAACCATCGCCGGTGGGAGACTTCTTCAACAAGTGCTTCGACATATTGTCGACCCCCCGATCTTCTGGGACAGGTTTGTCGCCGCCTTTGAGGATGGTCGACTTGCATTCCCCGCAGTGCGCGCTTTTGCGTGGCTCTTGCTCCAGCTATGCAAACTCCCAGGCGCCTTGGCAGACCCTTATATCAAAATTGCCGGCAACGACTTCCTACAGACGACATTGAGCACATCCGAAGACGACGAAACAAGAAGCATCAACTACCAGCTCAAACATATCGTCGATACCTGCAATGTCATAGCGCCAGATGACTTGGATGTTGACCTCCATCCTGGCGGCCGTCACGATAACGACTTTGCTGATTTCCGCCAAATTGCCATTCTACCCACCGCGGATGAAGTAGCTTCCTCTGAGCCTCCATTCATACGACGATATCGGCCTCTTGGTGAGATGGAGCCAAGTCAAGCCGCCGCTCAGTGCCTTGACAATCAGTTTCGCCTCCTCCGAGAGGACATGCTCTATGAAATTAAGGATGAGCTTAGTATTGCCTTTGGCAAGAAGAAGGGCCGTCACCGTGGTCTTGTTCTCGAGGGTTTCTCGCTCTCGGGCGACATATTTCACGGGACAGACGAACGACTATCAGCCTGGGGCATAGTCCTCGAGGCACGGCCAGACTTTTGGTTCTTCCACAAAGTAGCCGATCGGGACCGACGTAAATATGTCGATGAGAACAAACATATTTTCAAGCATCAAGCATATGTGTACGTCACTAGTTCACGTTGCCTCATACCTCACAGTTCCTCTAGATGCCTTCTTGTCAATGACCAGGTTGTCGCATTTCCAACCATTCATCGGGATGAAGAACGATTAGCCCAGAAGCCTCCGAAGCTTGTGCTACAGCTCCCTGATCGCAGGAGCACGGTCAAGACTCTACTGAGGCTCAAACAGCTCCCTCAACCCAAAATCAAGATCATTCAAATTGACACCGCCATCTTCTCTTACGAGCCGGTTCTCAAGGTGCTCCAGGGGATGAGAGGACTTCCTCTTGCTCGCGAAATCATCTGCTGGTCACCTAACAAGTCATTAGAGCCTCCAGCATATTTGTCGAAGAACAGCATCATTGAGGCAATCGAACGAAATCCTCGACAAGACCTTAAGCCATTGTTAGGCTTAAACAAGTCCATCGTATTAGATGAATCACAAGCAGTCTCCTTGCAAGCCGGCCTCACACAGAAGGTCGCTCTCATACAAGGCCCACCTGGTACGTGATTTTGCTTCATCTGCGGCTTGGTCTAACGGCGTTCTAGGCACCGGCAAGTCTTTCATCGGCGCTTTACTCGCTCGAATTCTAGAAAAGTCGGGCCGCAAAATCCTTGTTGTCTGCTACACTAATCACGCTTTGGACCAATTCCTCGAGGACATACTTGGTATGGGAGTACCTGATGATAAAGTTGTTCGTTTGGGTGGCAAGTCTACAGCACGGACGGAAGGGTTAAGTTTACATCGACAAAGTGGCGGTACTCGATTCACTCGAGCAGACCACCAGAATATAGATCGCACACGACAAGATGCCATTAACTTATACCGACGACTCGAGAGGACCCATGCCGACTTTTTGAAGCGTTTCGTGGACATTCTTGCCTACCTTGAGTTTGAGGAGCCCGACTTCTTTGACGCGCTCACGATCCCAAAGTCGGAAGATGGGATGAGTCAGGTTGGGAAAAGCGGCAAGAAACTTCAGCCATGGTATCTTGTCAATCGATGGGAGATGGGCACCGACGCAGGAGTCTTCAAAAATCTACTGGCTACCACCTCCGTTTGGAAGATGGACCCTGCTTCACGCAAACTCAAAATCGAACAATGGACAGATGCTATCCGTAAAGAGCAGGTAGACGAAATCGCTCGTCTTGGCGATGCCTTCAACGAGTGTCAGCGTGGAATCGAGCAGACATTCCGCCAGCGTGACGTCTCCATTCTGTGCTCGAAGCAGATCATTGGGTGCACGACAACCGGTGCAGCCAAGTATGCGCGAGACATTCGTCACGTAAATGTCGATGTCCTCCTTGTTGAGGAAGCGGGTGAAATTTTGGAAAGTCACGTGATAACCGCTCTTGGACAGCAAACAAATCAAGTCATCCTCATCGGCGACCACCAGTATGTATGCTCATTGTGTTGTCATTCTTTTCTGAATAATGAAAATCTTAGGCAACTCCGACCCAAGGTCAACAACTACCAGCTTACAATTGAGAAGGGCGAAGGTTATGACTTGAATCGGTCTATGTTTGGTGCGCGGTGACTTGTGAGGCCAGTCAAACAGAAATAGCTGACACATCATCCAGAGCGATTGGTTCTTGAGGGCTATCCACATCGCACTCTAATGAAGCAACATCGCATGCGTCCGGAAATTTCGAACTTGATCCGAACTTTGACGTATCCCGATCTGATTGATGATGCCTCCACACTCAATCGACCCAACCTACGCGGAGTCTGCGATAATCTAGTGTTCATCCGCCATGACAAGCCGGAGGATGAAAATCCACACATCCAGAACCAGGCAGATTGGGGCTCGAAGTCATCGAAGCGCAACAACTACGAGGCTCAAATGGTTTTGAAAGTCGTCAAGTATCTCGGACAGCAAGGTTATGGAACAGATAAGATTGTGGTCTTGACACCATACCTCGGACAGCTGGGAGAACTTCAATCTGTACTCAAGGCGGAGAATGACCCCGTTCTGAACGACTTGGACTCCTACGATCTGGTGCGTGCAGGACTTTTGCCTGCTGCTTCAGCAAAGGGTTCACGAGGAAAGCTACGGATTGCAACCATCGGTATGATCCAGCCTTTTGCGTTGAAAGTTTTTATTAATTCCTCTCCAGATAACTACCAAGGCGAAGAGAGTGAAATCGTTGTGACGTCGCTAACTCGTAGCAATGCTGGAAACGATATTGGTTTTATGTTTGCTCCGGAGCGTCTCAATGTTCTGTTGTCCCGCCCTCGTAATGCTTTCATCATGATAGGCAACCCAGATACGTTCATCAAGTCGCGAAAGGGCCACGAATTGTGGACCAAATTCTTCGACATGATGAAGAGTGGTGGACATGTCTATGACGGCCTTCCCATTAAATGCGAACGTCATCCGGATCGCACCTCCATCCTAAAGACCCCTGGCGAGTTCGAAACGGAAAGCCCTGATGGGGGATGCAAGGAACCTTGGTATGTGTGACTTCGTTTCGCTATTGCTCTGATCGTATATTAGTGGAACCATGCTCAACTGCGGCATTCATCCGTGTCCTTCAAAATGCCATCAACTGTCTGATCATTCCAAGATGGAGTGTAGTCATATCATCGAAAGCAAGTGTTCACAGGGCCATGCTCGGTCTTGGAAGTGCGGCAAAGGTCCACCATTGACCTGTCATAAATGTGAACAAGAGACAAAGGCTGCCGAAGCGAAGGCGAAACGAGACTTTGACCTCCAGCAGCAGCGTGAAGCGGCAGAACTAGCCTACAGGCGGAAACTTGCGGCAATTGACGCAGAGATAGCGGCAAAGAAAGAAGAAATACGAGAGGCTCAAGTTGAAGCAGAACGTGCTCGCACCCTTGAACAGCGAGAAAACGATTTGAAGAGCATGTCGGTGCCGCGTGTGAAGAAGAGCGCACCTCCCATCTCACCTGCCACTCCTCCGGCGCAACAACCCAACCCATCCAAGTCAGTAAGCGGTGTGCCAACCTCCGAAGCGGCACCGCCCCAACCGGTCGTCAAGGATCTTTCACCCAACACTCTCAAGATTCCGATTTCACCTTCATCTCTAGAGTGGCAGAGGCAGAAGGACATTGAAGGTGCTAACGAGCCATCTATCGATGCGATCATGGCAATGATTGGCCTCGAAGAAGTCAAATCTCAGCTTCTTGAAATCAAGGCTACGATAGATACCTCGATACGCCAAGGGACCTCACTCAAGAAGGAACGTTTCAACATCACGTTCTTGGGCAATCCGGGTACAGGTTAGCGAACTATTCTCCGTTTTGTATCAGTGTAGTGACAAAGCCACTGTTTCCAGGTAAAACGACGGTTGCACGACAATATGCAAAGTTTTTGGCCTCTGTCGGAGTCATTCCTGGTAATGAATTTGTCGAGACAACCGGTTCACGACTGGGAAATGACGGCGTGGCTGGTGCTAAGAAGATGCTCGAAGGAGTCCTCAATGCAGGGGGCGGCGTTGTTTTCGTCGACGAAGCCTATCAGCTTGCTGAACACCGCGGACCAGAGGTCTTGGACTTCTTATTGGCGGAGATGGAAAACAACGTTGGGACGATCGTTTTCATTTTTGCTGGCTATGTGAAGGAAATGGAGAAATTCTTCGAGCATAATCCCGGACTCACAAGTCGTGTCCCACATCAGTTCAAATTTGCCGACTACACCGATGCCGAACTGCTGGGCATTTTCGCTCATCTTATCCATGACAGATTTGCTGGCAGAGCTCAGGTCGAAGATGGGCTTGACGGGCTTTATGCACGAGTTGTGGTCCGGCGTTTGGGTCGTGGTCGAGGCTCTCCTGGTTTCGGTAACGCCCGTGCTCTAGAGAATGTATTCCAGCAAATCAGAAAGCGACAAGCAACTCGTCTAACGAAACAGCGAGCGGAAGGTCTCAAGCCCGATGATCTATTTTTGACCAAGGTAGATCTTATTGGTCCCGATCCCTCTCTCGCCACCAAAGAATCCAAGGCCTGGACGAGTCTTCAGCAGCTAATCGGCCTACAATCAGTCAAAGAATCGGTGCAAACCTTGTTGGACATACTTGGCACAAATTACCAACGGGAAATCCAAGAGAAAAACCCACTTGACGTGTCCCTCAACCGTGTGTTCTACGGAAACCCTGGGACAGGTCCCCGCATTTCCCTTGCAGTCGTTTTTTTCTGATGAAATCCAGGTAAAACTACTGTCGCCAAGCTCTACGGACAGATTCTCGCTGACATTGGTATGATCAGTAAGGGTGAAGGTGCGCAAACATGTAAGAAAGTCGACAGGAATACAGAACCTTTCTTTAGTTGTTATAAAGAATCCAGCCGACTTCGTGGGGGCGGTTCTCGGTGGCTCGGAGCAGCAGACGAAGCAAATCCTCGCCAGTACGGAAGGCAAAGTATTAGTCATCGACGAGGTATGTCTACCTCTCTTCTCGCTCACCCAACTTTGATGGTAGCAAATTAACAGGCTTATATGCTGTATAATGGAAACGGGCTAGGGGGAAGCGGGAGTCAGGCGGACCCCTTCAAAACTGCAGTAATCGACACTATCGTCGCGGAAGTTCAGAGTAATCCTGGAGACGACCGTTGTGTGCTCCTGTTGGGCTATGAGGACAAGATGGTGGAGATGTTCCAGGTAATGATCTCTTTCTGCGAAATGTGCTTTGTGATGGCAACTTCGTCTAGAACGTCAATCCAGGTCTTTCTCGACGGTTCAACATTGAATCCCCTTTCCGATTCGAAGACTTTGATTCAGCTGAACTCCTCCAAGTTCTTGAATTCAAACTTAAAAGCCAGCATTTGGACGCCTCACCAGCAGCGAAGCATGTTGCGATCGACGTGCTTTCGCGCGCTAGCATGCGACCCAATTTTGGTAACGCAGGCGAAGTCGAAAATATGTTGGGACTGGCCAAGCAACGCTTCCAGGCTCGTCAGCGCAAAATTCCGAGAGAGCAAAGGTCCAGCGACGTGGTATTTGAACCTGAAGATTTCGACCCGGATTTTGCTCGTAATCTTAATGCGACCACGAATATTGTCAAGCTATTCGAAGATGTCATTGGCTGCGAGGATATTGTCAAAAGACTTTCTGAGTATCAAGCTGTTGCAGCGGTCGCCAAACAACGAGGACAAGACGTCCATGCTCTTATTCCGACCAACTGGGTCTTCACTGGCCCGCCTGGAACAGGAAAGACTACGGTTGCACGGAAGATGGGTCAGGTTTATTACGATATGGGCTTTCTATCGTCACCGGAGGTCGTTGAATGCGGCGCTTCAGATCTGGTGGGGCAATATATCGGGCATACCGGCCCAAAGACAACCAAGTTGTTAGACAAGGCGCTGGGTCGGGTGCTTTTCGTTGACGAGGCTTATCGACTCGGTGAAGGGCAGTTTGCGAAGGAAGCGATCGACGAACTTGTTGGTTTGCTGACTCAGACAAAATACCATGGCAAGCTGGTCGTCATCCTCGCTGGTTATACTGACGACATGCATCGCCTTTTGTCGGTCAATTCCGGGCTTGCTAGTCGTTTCCCAGAGGAATTACCCTTCCCACATATGGCTCCAGCCCAATGTCTAAAGGTTCTCAAGATGGACCTTCAGAAGAGTCAGGTTGAGCTCGACGACACAAATGCAGTCAAGATGATGGAATTGATTGGGCAGATGTCCAAATTGCGAGGCTGGGGAAATGCACGAGACATGAAGACCATTGCCAAATCTATGATCAGTATTGCTCTGCGTTCTGCTCAGCCTGATCAAGCAACGATTCAGCTAGATTCGCAAAAGGCTCTTGAGTGTCTACAGTCACACCTGCAGCGTCTTGCTTCTAGAGAAAATTTCAGCACTCCCAAACCGTCACTCGATGTCAGTCTGTTTCAAACTCAGGATGCAGGGCCTGCACCTTCATTTTCGACGAACACGACTACTCAAACAGCGCAACCGCCAGCCGAAGACGAGGTCGAGCCAGAACTAGAGGTTCATGACACGAGACGAGATGCTGGAGTTTCCGATGCTGTTTGGAACCAACTCCAAGCAGACAAGGAGGCAGAGGAATCCGCGAGAAAAGAGCGTGAAGCGGCTATTCTTGAAGCTCAAAAGGAACTCCAAGCGGCTGAGGAAAGAGAAGCGCGTCGAAAGGAAGAATTAGCGGAGGCGGAACGATTGGCCACACAAGCACGTGAGCAACGCGAGAGAGACGAGCTGAAACGCAAAATGGAGCTCTTGCGCCTACAAGAATTGCTAGAAAGACGTGAGAAGGAACGGAGATTACAAGAACTAGAACGACGTAGAATGGAAGAGCAACAGGAGCGACAGAAAGAGGCCAAAGCCCAGGCGGCACTTCGTACAATGGGTGTTTGTGTTGCAGGGTATAGATGGATCAAGCAAGCGAGTGGGTATCGCTGTGCGGGAGGTTCTCATTTCGTCAGCAACGCACAATTAGAGAACAGCTATCACTAGTAGAGTAAGTAGAGTAGAGTAACGAGAGACAATGAGACACGTGACAACTGCTACTTCTCTTCGTCCATGGCGCCTGGGAGGCCTGCTCGGTCAATAAAGATACGTGTACCCCGACATAATGCACAGAAGATCGGGGCGAAACTAAGTGGAGAAGTTCAGCAACAAGCTCGCAAACAAGCAATTCGGGTAGACACAACTCAACCAAACAGCGAATCATCTGCCGCAATTGCTCAGGCTGTTGTACGGATGACACTCTATAATACTTCCAGCTCGCTGAAGCAGAGACAGGAAAGCGCGTCTGAATGGAATTCCTTGCTTATAACAGCGAGGGCAGAGCGGGGTCCTCAGTGGGATGTTGGCACCCAAGTGTGCGTGGGCATCCTCCTTCTCTCTCGATGCAAACTAACATTGTTGTTGTCAGCTTCCATATCGACCAATACTCCGAACTATACTATGACTCAACACCGTTGTTTGACGCTGTCAAAAAGCAAAGCGATGTCGAGCACGCCGAGGAGCGGAAACAGCAGCAACAAGCGCAAGAGCAACACGCGCAAGCCCAACAGGCGTATCGGGAAAGAGAACAAGAGCGTGCGAGGGAAAGGGAATTGCAACTGCAAAACGTGCAGCAAATGGCATTGCTTGACCAGCCTCCATCACCTCCCCCTCCTCAACAATACAACAATGTTAATCCTGGCGGGTATGGCAGCTACCCTCCTCAGAATATCAGTCCGATGCGAGGGCCATATGGCGGAGGGGCACCACCGTTTAACCCGGGGCCAGGCTATTACAACAACGCCATGGGCCAGTCACCATCGAGAATGGGAATGCCAGCTATGGACCCGAGAATGGGAATGGGTGGAGGTATGGGTATGGACTTTGGGCATATGGGAATGCCAATGGGAATGAATCGGGGTGGGATGATGGCTCCTCCAAGCCCACCTCGGCGACCACCCAGAACTGGGAGTGCTTACGACGATGCTGCTTACAATCCTGCGTTAGACCGATAGTGCGATTCATGATTTGCGTTCCACAATCTTATCAACGAGCTCCTTCCCGCCATTCTCCCAATCATCCCAACAAACAGCGAGTAACACACTATGTCGCCCCAAGCCAGCCCCTCGTCCATTTGATACCTGTTTCCCCTCTCTTCCTGGTGGGAGAACCCAGTTCCATCTCATCACACCCTCAACTTTCATACCCATTCTCTCTGCCGCTCGTAAACTCGCAGTATTTTCTTCATTCGCCGTCCATTGAACGCGCCTGAAACCTAGCCCACCATCGCTCGGCAGATTGAGGCAGTAGCGCATGACTAAGCCGATTGCATTCGACGCCACAAACGTTCGTTGAAAGTCAGGGAAAATAACAACCGGCCCAATCTCAGTCGAGAGGTTGGCGAATGATGTGTGTAGTAGGCCGATAATTCCGGCAAACGAGTCTTGCCTTGTCTTATCAATGATGGCGAAGAGGATTGTACCGGGGTCAGCGAGAAAGGTTTCGAGGATTTCGGGTGTGAAGTCGATAGCGAAATAACGGAGGAGTCCGTGGTGAGCTCCCACAATAGAGAAAAACGCCTCGCTGTGTACGGCGGGAGAGAAGACCTCTAGCTTGACTCGTGATGTTTCGAGGGCGGTTTCAGTGAATGGCGGACGGAAAGTAGCCATTTGTGACTCAGTACTAATCTCAGTGTCCATTGTGATCGTTGATACTTATAGACGCCAAACGCGGGGTTACCAGAAACAAACAAATATACTCTTAGAACGGACCTGTAGTGCGGGTATTCACATCAAACGAAGGAGCGCGAGTCAACTGTCTCCCTTGCGACGCCAAACTTGGTGTCAGCCCAGATCCCCCACTATGCTGAACTCGGCTCGGACTCTTTCTGCTGGTGTCGCCCGCCGAATAGACTCTTGCGCGAGACGGTCGATGCCTTTGGGCGTCGCTTGGATGAAGGGTGCTTGCCGAAACTGAGCGAGGACCCATAAATGGTCGAACAGCCAAATTATTGAGGTTGCGAGTTGGAAAGATATCACGAGTCATAGAACGAGGAGAACCAGGGGAAGTCATCGGGCGTGATAGAATTTGGTATTCAGTGGCAAGAGGGCTGCTTGGTCGGGAGGCATAAGCGGGAGGCGGTGGCGTCAAATTTGGAGTAGACATGTCAGGAATCAGCGAGCCGCGTATCGTAGAGGTCTGGTATCGCAGGCTTGGAGTATGACTTGTAGCCTTGGGCTTGGGGGAATCGTGCGTCGAAAAGCGGTCGCGGGAACGGGAGTACAGCCAGAACATGAGGCTTCTCTTGTCAGCTTCTTCAGGAGGACCAAACTCGACATCTCTAGAGGACTTGTTGACAGTTTGAGTGCGTTGGCGACGCATACGGAAGAGTGGGTAGAGATAGAAGCACATGAAAGCGACAAAGAGAAGTACGCTGATGACAAGAGCCGTTACTGAGTGCTGTCATAAGTCTGGGCAAGACTGGCGAGACGATTTGCTCACCGCTGATAGTGTTTATAGGTTGAACACGGACGTGTATGATCTCGCCATTGACTGTAGGACCGACATCGAGAATGAAGGGACCGCCAAAGAGAGAGTATGCGGCATCACGAGGAAGCTTCAGCTTGCACGGGAAACGACAGTGGGCTGCAGCGAGCGTGGACATAAACGAGTGTGAGGTACGGTGTGGGGCGAGATGATGGTTTGAGACAAAGGAACGTTTTTTCGATCAGCATGTCATTGTAACAAGTACATTCAAATTCACACATACGACTGCAGTTTATATGACTCCTGTCGCTTCCGAGCGGAAAGCACCAAGGTCGCTATTTCACAACAAGCAAAAACTAGGTCCAGCCCAAGCTAAGTAACAAAGTTATCAACGAGCATTGTGAGTCTGGAATGACGCACCATCACGGCGTTATCGAGAAACCAGTCACTGCTTTGAGGCTGTCAATATTGGATGAGACACGGCGAAAGGCACGCATACCTCGGATATTTCGAGTCCTTCGAGGTTGTCGGGTTCAGGTTCTCCAACTCATGAAGCCTTGCTGTCTTTACGGCCATTACTATGAGCTCGAGTAGCCAATAGACAAGGAAGATCTGTCTAACTTGAGCAACCAGTGGAATTGGAACAACACGCCAACGCACCTGAACAATTTCATTGGATCGGCCAGGAATGCGTTCACGCCACAAAACAGCAAATGCACAGATAAGTCCGATTGTATTGACAGGCAAAAGCCCATAGCCAAGGTCTTCAAGGCCAAGACGAATGAGCTCGAGGAGGGTCATCGCAATCTGTGCGGCAACAAGGACAAGATATGCAATGTGGATCCATTTCTTCAGTCTCAGTCGTGGTTCATTTGCAGTTTTGGCTTTTCGAAAGTTGAAATGCAGCGCTAGCACTACGATGAAAAGGAAAGAGGGAAGGGGCACGATAGCAGTATCCAGAGTGCACGTTGACGGAGAACCCTAGGGGACATTAAACTAGATGGCGCAGTGGAGAACGTTGAGCTCACAGGCAAAGGGAATCTGTGTTGGCAGAGCATGAAGGTGAGAGGGAACCCCGAGGCTATTCATTTCACGATGGTCACAGCGTCATTCACGGGACAATGAAAACAAAGAAAGCTCAAAAACGGATGCCATTGCCAAAGAAAATCCCAGTCGTATTGAGACGACAGAGGTGGAGAGGGTCAGAGAGTAGGGTCCTGCTCACTGTGACCCAGGCATCACACTGCTTTTTTCTTGACCACCATCGACTCATCGAAGGACTCCTGAAGCTGTGTCGCTTAAGGTGCATTAACTCAAACCTACATCCTCTATCCATCCTTACTCCAACTCAGAGACCAGCATGGATGGCTCAGAATCCCTCTTTGGCTCTCCTCCGCCAAGTCCAACCAGAGGTAGGTCACCATCGCCTGCCTTGGCTCTTCCTGGCGCGACTGCAAATATCGATTGGAATTCTTCTACACAAAACGTGGGGACCATTGCACTTACTGGTTCCCAAAATGTTTCTGAACTTCCTGTCAATCCATTAGCCTTGTCGTTGAGCGATGCTCCTCGACCTCCGGCCCAGCCGTTAGAGGCTCGAGGAAATGCCTCGGTTGCTCCAATTTCGTCAAGACCGCCACCAGTCAAAATTACCCCTCGACGACCCAAGCATTCAGAGCCAATCGAAGGCCCATCATCACCACCAGTCAGAGTTATTTCTCGACGACCCACGCCTCCTCCGATATATCTACCGGGCCCCTCCGAACCTCTTCCACCCAATCTACTTCGGAGCCAGATTAACCTACTTGGCACTGCTGGCGTGGTTGCCGGATTACGTCCATCTCAACTTGTGGTCAAACCTGTTGACCCCCCTGGCACAACTTCCACTAATCCGATTGTCATCCAAGACCCGCCTCCTACTCCCCAGACACCGCGTCGGCAATTGCGTCCACGTGTGCAACCATCCGATGCTGATGTCATCCACCTTTCTCCTCCAAGCACTCGGGATATAATCAAAGCCCTCGTCGAGCAGGACGAGGTGTACGATGTTCTAAACGACATTATGAAATTTGTTGCAACTCGTCCAACCTTCACTTCGGCCACCCCTCGACAGCGGTCTACAACTCCAACAGATGAGCGTGGGAAGAAACGGCGCAAACTGCGGCATGTTCCCGCTGGCGCGCATCTTTGGGATGTGCCGTTTCCTTTCAACGAAGGCGAGGGTCCGGAAAGTTATCAAGCTGATTGGGCGAAGCAGCGGGGAAAGAAATTGATTTCCGACCTTCTCAGTCTCATCAAAAGTGCGACGAAGCGAGCAGCGCTGAAAAATCGCGTCGTAAAGCGACAGCTTCCAACTCTGGCAGAGCTTGCGGCGATCAATAAACACTACAACATCGATCGTGTCCCATCACCTATAAACTCGGAGGTCTTGGCTGATGCTAGCAATTCCACACGACCACCGATTCCTCATCCTCCTCCAGTGGACCCGCTGGATAAACTTCTGTCCTCGCTACTATCAGCACCCTTGAGCGAACCATTGATGTTGGACAGCGGAGCGAGTACACCAAATCCAAATGACCCTCTGCTTGATTTTGATCCTGGTCTCTTCAATAGTTGGATGGACATATTCCAGACCTTCCCTGCGCCCGCCGAGGGTTTTTTCCCCAATCAGGACGTAGCAATGCAGCCTGCTGCTGGCCAATCCGTAATCAGTACACCTTCTCTGGACCTGGATTTCGCCCCGCTTCCCGTAAATAATACGTTGGTTGACGATTCTCTCATCGACCCTGTGTTGCTCGCTTTGTCAACGTCGAATGTCGCGTCTTTGGACTCTGCCTCGCTTGACTGTCCATCTCTGGTGGGCTCTCCAATACCCTCGTCGAGTTCGTTTATGTCCGAGGTCTTTACTCCTGCTTTGTCGGAAGGTGGGTTTGGTGAATTTGGCATCGTCCCAGGCGAAACTTCAAGTATACCGGCACCTCATGTGGATAAGGGTAAACAGAGGGAGGTAGTCGACCACTTATCGGCGTGGACGGAGACGGAGAAGGACGCCCTCTCTTTTCTTGAAGCAACCTCAATGGCAAGTATGAGCGGTCAGGCCTTGGCTCTCATGAATCAACCAGGCGGTCAAGGTATGTGGCGTCGCGCACTCCGAAACATCCTGCTCAACAAAGGCACAAGGTGAAGGGTATGGTTCAGAGGGTATGCTGGGTCAGAAAGATGTGGAGTTCTCGATGTTGCCCACCCAGCCAATTCTGGGAAATGCTGTCAAGGCCAACGTCCTCGCTCGTGCCAAGGCGCGGCGGCAACAGCTGGTGGAAGAGATCACGAGAACCAGGATTGCACTGTGGGAAACAACAATTGAAGGGGGTGTTTTGGCGACTCTTGTGAACAAACTCAGTACGTAGCATATAAAAAATAAAAATCTGATCGTCATTAAGCCATTTTCTTGAACTGGTCGACCCAGTCAGAGACCTTGATCAAACCGGAATCCTCTGTCATGAACGCATTCCAAACTCCCTCGGGATCAGCCACTACCTGCGCTGTGAGTTTCATGAACTTTCTTTTTGCACCATCGAGCGTATCTGGTCGCCAGGGGTGCCCGATGGGTTTGTCGACTACGATTTCGTCCAATTTTTCGCCGGAAATAAACTCGACAGTCAATCCATTAGCGCAGTTGCGGGTCTTGGGGTCGTGGTATTCTTTGGTCATTATCGGGTCTTCGTCCATCGTGATCTTGTTGCGCAGTTCCTCCACCAGCGCACTCATGGCCCACGGCGAGTCGTTTTCGTAGTCTGCCGCCTCTGGCCAGTCTTTCTTGGCCAGCGTGACTGCCACCATGTAGCGCATGCAGTGGTCTCTGTCTGCTGCGTTGTGAAGCGGGCCGGTTTTGTTGATGATGGTCATCGCTGCAGCCTGGGTGCGGATGTGAATCGTCTTAATCTGGTCAAGACGACCTTGTAGTTTTGGGACTAGTTGGACTGCCGCCTCGACGGCACTGATGGCGTGTCCCTCAGCGGTGACCAGTTTTGTGAGGTGGTTCTCCATCACGTAAGTCGAGAATGGGAGCGGGAGCTTGAACGGTTTGCCACTCCAAAAAGTGTCATAGAAACCCCATCGGGGAGCAGTCAGTGCAGTTGGGAAACCCGGTTGCCCAGACTTTGTCATCAGGACGAGATGAACGGCGCGCATGCATGCGTCGCCAGCTGCCCAGCCTTTCCGGGGGCTGATGAAAGAGTCAGTTTAATGGTTTAAAAGTGCCATTTAACGTTTCCTTGTATTAGGAGCTTGGCGGTATAGGCGCAGTGGGTGGCCATCGGCGATGGCCTGACTAATCGCGTCGCACGCTTGCTCGCGATCGAGGCCCACCAGTTTCGACAACACCGCCGCCGACGCGACTTTGACCAGAATAACGTGATCCAAGCCGACCTCGTTAAACGGGTTTTTCATCTGTCACTGTGTGTGGGTGAGCGACAGGCTGCGGAGTTGGCACAAACCTGGAGGCAGCCTTGGATCTCGTAAGCCTTGATCGTAAGCTCGAGCACAAGCTGCATTGTAATGCCAGTTTCGCCTTTGCGACTCAGCCAGTCAGCGACGGGCAGGATCGCGCCAATGTTGTCTGACGGATGACCTGGGCTGCAAACTCAGCTGACTAACGCACTACCAAACAAACTGTACCCCATTCTGCGCCAGGAAAGGCGTCATTGTGGTCCAAGAAGCGGATGAGAGAACCCAGATCGAAAGCAGCTTTGAGTGGGTCGAGGACATGACTAGTGCCGGGCAAAGGGAAGCCATTCGGGACAATGGTCCCCTCAGCGACTGGGCCGATAAACGACGCGCAGACAGGGGCGCTTTCGATAGCACAGGCCATTGAATCGAGGAGGGCAAGTCGGGCATCGCGCCACGCTTTCGGTGAAGAGATCTGATAGTCATAGACATAGGCTGCAATGTCCTGAATGAGAGAGTCATAGTCCGGACGAGCGGCCGAGTTGGGAGAGATGCTCGTCATTCCGGTTCAACATGCAAATAGAGTTTGATCTCGATCACGGAAATTTGGAATCGTACACGCCGCAACGCTACTTCTATCTTGTCGCTTTGGCAATCAATACCGTCCTCGTGGAACGTCCTATCAAGACTACGCAACAAACTTCCTCGCGCGCAAGCGTGGTCCGTAAACCCAGAAGAGTGCGGGTATCGGGAGTGCCGCTACTGAGATGAACGCAAGCAGACTTGTTCCCCTTTTAAACAAGTTAGTGTACTACATAGAAACAAGGGAGAGACCTCGCGTACCAGCCATAACCCAATCGCTGGTACAACTTGGCACCCACAATACTAAAGACCGCCCCAAATATGCTCCGAAGCACGATGGTGGCAGCCAAGGCAGAGGCGGCAAACTCCACGAATGAATCAGTGAGATAGGTTTGGATGCTGCAAAAAAGTTAGGATGATGGTACTGTTAAAGGCAACAAGAACCATACCAAACATAAGCCATGAGCATCCCGAATGCAAATATTGCAGCACCGAGTAGAGTTACTGCCCAATGCTTATGGAACTGCGCAGACCAGCCGTAGATAAAAAGCCCAACAGGCACGAAAAACATTCCAATCTAAACCAGGTGATCAGATATTAATTGGTGTTGTGATGACTGCAAACCTGCATGAAAAGCATCCTGAACTCAGGCTTGTGCCTGCCATATCTACGCGCCATTGCCCGATATGAGCGGTTCAAAGTGAATAAGCATATGATGGTCGAGACATAACATCCCAGGCCTACCATCGGTCAGTGCAGGGAAAACTCGCAGTCTGAATCATCACTGACCGGCTCCAAGGTAGGCCAAACCTTCGTTACCATCTTGCCAACCATAGGTGAATAAGCCGAATACGGCACGAGGGCCGAAAAGCAGGGGTATCGTTACAAAGTGGAGGTATCTGAGAGATAGAGTGAGTTGAGAGTGTAAAAGCACAACGAAGGAGACTACAATACGCCATAGATGATGGCCATATAGAGGCTCATGGCGGTCACTATCGGCGCAAAGAGAAACATCCGTATAGGTCGCGTTAGATTGGCGTAAAATCCAATCGTTGTTGGAGCAGACCGTTTCCCTTGTGCACGGGCGTTGAGAAAAGGGACATAGGTTTCTTGAAGGAATGCTATTGAGAGTATAGTGGTGACGCCAGAGCTGAAAAGGAATCAGTTTCTCGTTCGACGTGAAATGAAGAGAGAACTGACGCAATCGCCATTGTCCACATTAGCCAGCGCCAACCGGCTCGTTCAGCGATATAACCGCCAATAATTCCACCTAGAGCAGGTCCCTACTTCACATGAGCTTGAAAGGCTATGGAAGGCCCCACACTCACGAATGTTGGGCCGAAACCGTAGATAGCTTGTGCCCCTCCTCTCTGTTCACGGGTAAACATGTCCCCAATAGACCCAGCACCGAGCGATGGACCAGCACTCCCGGCCAGGCCGGCAAGGAGACGCAACAATATCAGGCCAGTCTCGTTCTGGACCAGCGCACAACCGACGTTGAACAGCGAAAAGAGGCCAAAGCTGGAGAGTCATGGTTGTTAGAGAGTGAATGACACTTGCTAAACGACGGACGAGACAATGTAGACGATCCTCCTGCCAAACATTTCGCTCAACGGCGCAAGATAGAGCGGGCCGAGGCCCAGTCCCAGGACGAAAAGGGCCACGGGCAATGCGCCGATTGCGGGGGAGGCAACGTCCAAGTCCGCATTGACTTGATGGGCGCCCACCGCAAGAAAGGTGCTGCAGACCGGGCTCAGCGTCCCTGGTGGCACGTGAGAGTCAACTTGCTCGATTGTGGAGAATTCACCTTGCACAGATATGAGTACGAGATTCGCCCACTTTTTTCTCCTGGGCCATTGCTGCACGCTCGTGAGCTCGCTCTTTTCCGAGGCGGTGTGGATGTTGTCGGCACTGCCAGCGTCGGGGGCGGCCATCCGCGCAGAAGAAGAAGAAGGAGACGCTCCAGAGTATTCATTGGTCGAGCATCATGTTTGCGGGAAATTTTTGAGAATGCACGTGCAACGTACGTAAGCCCGTGCAAATCAGAAGAAGGCCTGATGCCGAAGCTTCTCTTGAGTGTTGACCCCCGTAGGTCCCACACTTTGCCAACGGCTTGCGGACTTGATTCAGATGAAGCGGAACATCTATCTATCTATAAACCGCGTGGAACCAAGCGTCAAGAGACAAGTATAGGTCATTGTTGCCCACGGCGGGGTAACTGCGGTATGTTCTCATTTCGCGAATCGCGACCGATATGGCCGTTTGATGGCACTAGCGCCATACTTCCGTGCCGAGGACAAACATAAGCAGCGGCGGCTGCTGCAGCGCTTAGAAAAGCCCAAATCGCGTTTGCTTTGCCTTTTCCGACCACCGGCATCTGCCTATGCCCGGGCTCACTCTCGCCCAAGGGCGCATGTTTGGGGCGTTGTACGAGTCAATTTTGTTTGGTGAGCATCAGTGCCCTCTGCTGCTCGTTGATTTGCTCAAAGCAACAATAGGCATCAACCTCGTCTTGCTCTGTGCAGTGATCTATGTGTACCTCAAGGAAAAGAAAACGACATGGCAGCAACGAATGCGTTTAGGGGCTGCTCTTATCGTGTTCATGATGTGCGCGGCTCACCTGGTAAGCAAACTTCTTACTTGCACCATTCAACTTGGCTTGACTTTCTCCAGGCAGCTGTGATGAGGGGGCTTTATCTCGCGTTTTTCGTGTCCACAAAGCCGCCCGATGTTTTTTACCTCGACCATACCCAGCCGGTCGACCTGACACAAAAGGCGGTCTGTTCGTCCCAGCCTTTGGTCTTGACAACGACTGGTGCTGATGAATCGTATCATAGATGCGGTCGCGACATTCTTTGCTGACGGGTTGTTGGTGTGTAATCACCTCTGGTCAGAGCGCGTCAAACGATAGGGCCTTCATCATCTTCGATGGCAGGTGGCTGGTGGTGGCTTTCCCCATCCTTTCACTCTGTTCGACAGTCGGCAAGTGCCCCCACCAATACGATCCGCAAGTTATTTCTCATCCTTGAACTAATAGGCCTCTGGATTGCGCTCATCCGAGCATACCATGACTCCGCTCCTGGCACTACACTCTTCCCTCATCCCGTCAACCAGCTCGCTGTTGCTGCTTTCGCGATGAGCTTCATCACCAACCTCGTCATAACCCTCATGATCGCCGTCCGCATATGGCTCACTCTGCGCCGATCCAACTCTCTCGGCCTCTCCACGTCGTTTTACAAGCGCTTTCTGGCTTACTCTGTCGAGTCTGGCCTCCTATACCCCGTCGCGCTTCTCATCACCGCCATCATGTTCGCGACAGACGACAACGGGCTCGAAATCCTCTCGGGGTCGAACACCCAGATACTAGGGATAGTGCCCTCGCTACTTGCCCTCCAACTGCGTCTAAACCTCAGTGCCTACAATAACGCGACGATCAATCCCGGAGCGAATAGCAGGGCCGCCGTGCGCACTTTGCAGTTTGCCACTGATGAGGGGCCGTCCGTGGCCTCGGCCGATGACGAGATAGACAGGAGCCACAAACTGGACGCGATCCGTCTCGACCCGACCAAATCGGAGTCGGTGGGGTCGCGCACGACTGGAGGTAGAGCCTCAGACTTCAAACATGGAGAGGGCAGCGATCCATAGCAAGTCATACTTATCTATCAACTCTGTATTGTAGTGTAGTTATGACCTGACGCTGGATGTTGGGTGACAAAACCAGAACACTTTCTAGATTTAAAAATACTTTGCGTGGGTCAAGAAGCCTATCAGTCATAGTACTTCAGTTGGCAGCGACCAGATACTGTATTAATAGGGCAAAGGAAGAGCTCCAACGAATGTACAAGTGGCTACATCACAAAAGGACGTTGTCCAACGAAATTCCTATCTCGGTTGCTTTCGTGTCGGAAAAAAACGGCATTATTATTATTATTATTAACTCGGGGTATTCTACAAATGATTAATGGGCATTGGCAGTTGCCACTCCATTCGTGTGTCCGTTGACACCATTGGTGGTCGCGTTGGCAGTTTTCGTCTCCGCCTTGGCCAGTAATTCATCCATCGTCAAGCTTAACGGACGCTCCATCGACAAACCGAGGGCACGGTCCCAGACCTGTTGGACCAGAAAACCCGGTGCACGGCTGCAGGCAAAGAAGGAGAGCATAAAGTCAACTGGCACTCCGTAGGCATGGAGAATGCTCCCACTCAACGCATCAGCGTTGGGATGAGGATTCCGCATTCCTTGGACCTTCTCGCGAAGGAGCGGGGGCACAACAGAGTTGATGCTCTGGATAAGGTTGAGGAAGTCGTCGACTTTAGGGTCAGAAGACGGATGTGTTTCCAAAAAGTTGGTCAACGCAACAAGGCGCGCATCAGGAACACGCAGGAGGGCGTGCCCAAAGCCGGGGACAATCTTGCCCCCCAGCAGGTGCTGACCAACATGCGTCGCAATATCTTCTTTGGTGGCATTAGGCCCAAGGGCTGAGATTAAAGCGAGATTGAACATGACCGAATCGCCTATTGCTTTTGCGTGAAGAGGACCGGTGCCTGCGATGTATCCAGATGCCACTGTAAGGTAGGGATCTGTCCAGGCAGAGCTGACGAGTCCTAATGGGTGTGAGAGAGAGTCAAAACTGTCTGAATGACTGCACATACGCATAGCATGGGCAGATACGCTTGTGCCATGGTCCATATAAAGAGACCAACACATTCGAGTGAATTCGGTGTAATCGGTGTCATGCTCCCTCCCGATATGGCGGGCGTAATTTGCAGCAAGATCAAGATCAATAGACCATGGCTGGTGAGGAAGGCCATGAACATTCGCGTATATCCGCGAGAGTATCATGGGAAAACGAGCGGTAATGTCGAGTGCATCCTCGAGAACATACTTCCAAAGATCATTTTTATGTGCTCCCTTGGTTACCGCTGCGGTGAACTTCGAGTAGCGGGAGAGGAAGGAAAGAGTCATAATAATTTGAGTGTCGGCAGGGATGTCGGTCGAAAGACCATCACAGAAGGTCTGGGCATCTAGAGGGAGTTCTGCCCGGGAAATAAGGTCGTTTGAGAAGTGTTTGAGTTGTGTAGGCGTCGGAATTTCAGCGGTATACAAAAACCACAGCATCGCTTCAGGAGAAATTTGGGTTGACATAGGCCATTTAGGCAGGAGTGCGTTGAGCTCAGTAACAGTCTTGCCGTGGTACTTTATGCCCAGGGGACTAGTTTCAGAGATCTAAACATCTATGGAGAGGAGTGTGTAATAGCTGCCAAACGAACGAACCTCCCAGAGCAGACAAGGGGTCCCACGCAAGCCGTGTAAAATATTCTCTACCGTCAACTCATGAATCGTCGATTGGCGGTGTTCTGTCAGGAGCTTTCCGGCCAATGCGATACGAGATGGAATGCGTTGGGCTACCGCGTTGAAGATTGACTATAGTCTCGTCATCGAAACTGCGAAAAACAATTGGAGAAGCAGACGGACCACCGCGGCTGTCTCAGAATTGAGAAGAGAAGACATGGTGGAGAGTGTCGGTAAAAGAAGTAGGCCCAAGCCTGCGCGGGAGGCTTTTATATGCCATTCAGAGTGATTGGTAGGAAGAAAGATATCACAGGAAGTATCAAAAGCGTTCTCCACATGAACTTTGGTCTATAAATGGCTCACATTGGGACAAAAAATTCCAAATAACCAATTGTTATGCGACAACGTGCATTCATCACACCGGGATCTTGCGGACCTTAAAAATGTCATGTTTCCAAAGCTTTTTTTCCCAACGGTTGGCTGATTTTTCTTGGTGGAAATTCCCAATAAATTGCTGAGAGTGGTCCAAGCATATGTAAGGTTCTGATGGTTGCGTTGGCACGGAGACGCGCTTCGAAGCGCGATTTTCCGACTCTTTCGTGGTCCATGCCCGCAGATGTCCGACATTGGAGGTCAATTACGCTACGTAATCATCATCACGTGACCGTAGACTGACGCATCACTGGCACACACGCCGGACAACTCGCGCTTGGGGACGACCACATCCACGACCATGTCCCTCCGACTCACCCCTGGTGTCAAATTCATCTTGGCTGCGCTCCCGAAGTTAACGCTGCCTGGAGCCATTGTTTATCTTGTGGCTCATCACCTCAGCTATGCTCGCTGGGTTTGTGTTCTTGGATCAATGGCAGCATGGCCGTTGTTGTCCTTAGTTCACGCCCAACTACGCCATATGGCAGAGGAAAGGGAAATTCGTGCACTTGGTGCCGTCCGAGTGCCAGAAGTGAAAGGCAAATGGCCTTGGAACCTCGATCTCGTTGTGGGTCGTTTGAAGCAGGGCAAAGACGGCTACCCGTGTGTGTGTTTCGCCCTTGTCTTCAGTCTTGAAACTCATTAAAATCAGTCGATGCTGTAGAAGTCATGACTCGGCAGTATGGTGAGACGTTCAACATGTGCATTTTCGGCGAGAATCGCGTAAGAAAGCGCGTCGCTCGAAAATACTGTCGACTCCAAGCGTTATCAGGTAGTCACCCAGAATCCCACGCACATACAAAAGATGTATGCTACTGATTTCGAGGGTTGGGAGAAGGGTCAGCTCTCCTCAACTGCCTGTTGCTCTACCCTTACCTATCTAGGTGACAGATTCAGATGGCAGTTCGCCTCTCTGGGTCTGGGTGTTTTTGTCTCTGATGGGAGTATGTGGAGGTGCGAGACTTCGTTGTTTTCAACTTACGACACCGACATTCAACGCCGTGCCAGATTCCATCGCCAGATGATGCGGCCATTCTTCAGCCGGGATCGAATCACCGATTTGGACAACTTCTCAAGACATTGCGAGAATGCACTAGACGTTCTGAGGGCTTCCGACGGCGTGCCCATTGATTTCCAAGATGTAGCTTTCCGCTTCACCCTTGACGCAGCTGCAGAATTTCTATGTGGTGTCAGAATCAACTCCCTCCATGGCGATGAAAATTCACAAACATTTGGACCCGCCATGTCTTCTCTCCAGCATCAACTGGCACAGAGGAGTAGGATGGCGCCACTATGGCCATTTTTCGAAATCAAACGGGACAAAACTCGGTGCGTTGTCTCTCGGATGGTTTGTCGTTCTGATGGGCACCAGAGTATATCTCGACGCAATCCAGAACTTTTTCCGACCCATCATTCAAGCGGCTCTGGAAAAGAAAGTTGCTAATGATGGAAATGCTGCGCCGAGCGATACTCTGCTCGACGAACTGCTGGAAAAGACTTCAGGTATGCTGATTTCTTTTGGACTCAACTTGGAATTGACTTGAAAAGATCCTCAGCTCATTCTTGATCAAACGATGAACGTCCTGTTTGCTGGTCGCGACACGGTTAGTCCTATTGGCTGACCTTTAGTGTCTATATGAACACTTCCGACAGACTGCGGCTACAATTACCTTTTTAACATACTGCTTAGCTACACATCCACCCGTACTGGCGCGGGTGAGGGCTGAGATTGCAGCCCAATTAGGTGACCTCCGTAGCCCAACCTTCGAGGACATCAAGGAATTAAAGCTGCTTCGCGCCACAATAAATGGTCTGATATCATAATCAGTGGAAAGTCCTACTGAAATCTGTCAGAAACTTTGCGTCTGTTCCCCCCAGTTCCCGGAAATGTAAGGTGAGATCAATGCCTACGTTTCTTCCAATATTAGACCGCGTCTTCTAACATTAGATCGGCTATCCGGTCAACTACCCTGCCGTCAAATATTCAGGGCGGCAAGCCCTATTATATACCCGCAGGAACCAAGTAAGTAGATCACCAAACAGGTCATCAATAATGACCTTTAGGGTTCCCTTTTCGACTATGACAATGCATAAGAGCAAGAAATTTTGGGGGGATGACGCCGACAATGTATTGTCCTTTCCTGGCCTTGTCTGTTCTCTCTCAACTATCACAGTGGGACCCCGACCGCTTTCTCGATGAGCGAAATCAGCGAGTGGTATCGAATCCGTTCATTTTTCTTCCGTTTAGTGCTGGTAAGTCTACTCTGATTCGTCTTTGACTGGCTTGACAAATTTTAGGTCCTCGCATTTGCCTTGGTCAACAGGTCAGCACACACACACAAGTCAAACCAAGGACTGGACTAATTTGCTGCAGTTCGCATACCAAGAAATCTCCTTCTTCATAGTCAGACTTCTGCAAACCTTTCAATCTATTGAGCTGGCACCCGAAGCTCAGCCAGAAGATTCCCGTCCACCAGCAGCCTGGGCGAACGGACCAGGAAGGAAGAAGTTGGAGAAAATCAAGCCAAAATCTGATTTGACCATGAGTGTAGCGGTCAGTAAATATCCTATCGTTTCTTAATCTGAATATTCCAGGGCGGATTGTGGCTGACGGTGAAGACCTGAGAAAGTATTTGCTTCGCTTATGTAATATCACATGATTAATTTCGCGTGACACTACGCGTTACGTACCGTGTTGAACATGTCGAATGAGGACCGAGCTCGCGCTGCTGAGCGAGCACGGCTTCAGGCGGGTCTAGCTGACGCGCTTGCCAATGACGATGACCCTCTTGCTGCGTATGACCAGTTCATCAAATGGACAATCGACAACTACCCCGAAGGCCACCCGAATTCTGGCCTCTCCGACCTCCTTCGCCAAGCCACAACAGCTTTCATAAACGAGCCCATCTACAAGACTGACATTCGTTATCTCAAGCTATGGATTCTCCATGCACGAAGCCTGGCGCTTCCGGAGGGAATTGCGGCCTTGGCATCGCTCATGTCGTCTGGTATCGGAACCTCATATTCGACATTATACGAGGAGTACGCGCGCTTATTGGAGCTCAATGGCCAGTGTGTAACCTGTTTATCTTTCTTTGGCCCTTTAAAAACGTGATGCCACAGGGTAGCTGAAGCTGACAAAGTCTATCGCAAGGGAATCAAACGTCAAGTTCGCCCGCTTGACCGGTTGAAAACAAGATATCGAGACTTTCAATCTCGGCAGACGAGCACTGCGACTGATCTGGATCGTACCCCCACTCAACCCGCTGTACTCCAAACCGATGTTCAGTCGCGCTATGCCCCCATATTTGCGCCGCCTGCAGCAGGAAAGCGCAAGGAAGTGCCGCAATTCGATCTCGCGCTACTGCTTAGCGACAAAGAATACTGTATTCAAGAGGCACGCGCCAAATCACTTGGGTTGTACGGGAAGAAATGGCCTCCTCCCCCTCCCCCCGTGCCAATTGGCGCCAGCTCCTCAGCATCTTCATCGTCTTCTATGGGGGCCTCTATGAGGGTCAACTTCAACGATGATGGCCAAACTTCTTCGAGGTTAAAGCGACGACGTAGTACGGCCGAGCCTACCGTCACCATCAACACAAGAGAGGCTCTTGAGGATGTGTTTGGCATGTTCAACTCGCCAGAAAAGACAGCCAAGCTCGCCGCAGCATCCATCAGGAAAATTGAACCGGCCACACCTATGGCACCGCCGCCGACCTTCCGCAAGTCAGTCAATGAAAACGAGAACGCACGAACACCTGGTATGCTGGAGGCAATACGCAACTCGTTTCTGACTTGTTCACAGCGACATTCCGGCCATTTGTGGACGAGAATTCTGTGGCAAATAATAGCAGGAAAGAAAACACACCAGCGAAGGTACACATTCTACACTGGGACCTCTTGTCATTGAATGTTCATATTTTTGTATGAAGTTTGTTCCCTACGTCGACCCGGAGGAGGGAAAGACGCCGACAGTTATCGCCCCTCGACCAGTTCTGGGTACCAAGGAAGCTGTGGCACCGCGAGCTAGGACTCTAACGGAGGAAAACAAACCAATCGTCAAGCCGGAGCGTAGCGTGTTCAAAGTTTTCACTCCCGCACCCGATCAGCAAAAGCCAGTGCCACTGCCTTTACGTGATGTGTTCACTGATGACCACGGCAAACCTCAACAACGACCTACACATGAGCGTGCAAAGTCTTACCAGGATCCTGCCTCGGCTGTTTCAACATCTCTTCGACCGCTGACCGGTGAAACTCGCACCCCGTTCAAGGTTTTCAGTCGACCAGAAGAGGGCCAAAATCCATCAGCCGCGTTCACACCTTTCAAAGACCCCAGGAATGTACCTCCTCCCGCTTTCACTCCCTATCGCGACCCTCCCGAAACCAAACAAACTCCTTCGCCTCCTGCTATTGCGCCGTCCCCCCCGCCTTCTCCCCCCTCTCAAGGCTCATGGGCCGAGAAACACGTTGAAGTAGAACAAGACCATTATGAGCAGGACTTCCAATATGACAACGAGGATGACGATGGCGTTGGGGATTACCTGCCTCCAGAAGATGACCAACCACCGCCGGAGCCTGATCAAAGCTATGAGGATACCGGCGAAGAGTCGTACCAAGTCCCGCTCGGTGGCCGATGGGGCCAAATTAACGTCATGACCCCGATTACTGAAAGGACTTTTGAATATACCATGAACTCGACGGCAAGATCATCAGCGTTTGGGGAGACTCCAAGTCGTGTGCTTACCCAATTACCTGAAGACGACGATAACGGAGGGTCAAGGATGTTGTGGCGAGATGAGCGACATGCAATAGAAGCTGCTGATCAACTGGCTGCTGAACTCCGGGAGGGTCAACAACTTGGAGGATTACGATTAGCTGACACACTCAAACTTGCCTCCGACTTCAAACCGCCCAATCCTTGCAATGCGTTCGATGATAAGATCATGTCGGCCATGCTATCACTCACCTCCGCTGATCAACACTGCATTGACCTGCAAGACCAGGAAGCCAATACATTAGATATGCTCCAGAAATTCGCAACTCGATCGAGGAAAGGGAGCGGTGGTGGGTCATACGACAACAGTCTTTTCCCGCTCAACATCGCTGGCCATCGATTCTCCGTGTGCGAGAAATTGGGTGAAGGCGGGTTCGGGGCCGTTTTCAAAGCGAAGGATTTGGGAACAAATCTGCCGGATGATTCCGATGATGAGGACGAGGACGATGATGTCTCGCTGGTGGCCATCAAAGTCGTCAAACCTCGGAATACCTGGGAGTATCGCGTCCTTCGACGGCTGCATTCCAGCCTTGCGCCGTCTCTGCGTCCTTCCGTCATTCTCCCACAAGCATTGTTTGCTTTCCGCGACGAGAGTTACCTTGTGATGGATCTTTGTCCTCAAGGCACACTTCTCAACGTTGTGAATGGGGCGAATGCTGCTCAACTGGCTCAAGCGGGGGGCACGTTGGACGAGCTTCTTGTCATGTTCTTCTCTATCGAGCTGCTCCGTGTCGTTGAAGGCTTGCATAGCATCGGTTTCATTCACGGGGACCTCAAGATCGACAACTGCTTGCTGCGACTGGAAACTGTTCCTGGCGGGGCCGCCGCCTGGTCCAACGTGTACAACCCATCCGGCGACGATGGGTGGCGATATAAAGGGCTGAAGCTCATTGACTTTGGACGAACAATCGATACGCGGTTGTTTCCCCCCGGTCAGCAGTTTATCGCCGACTGGGAGACGAATGCACGTGACTGCTTTGAACTTCGGGAGGGTCGGCCATGGACGTACCAGACAGACTACTTTGGGCTCGCAGGGATCGTCTACTGTCTGCTGTTTGGCAAGTACATCGAGGCAGAATCTGTGGTGTCACGTGATGGGCGGTATAGATTGGCGTCGCCACTGAAACGATATTGGCAGAAGGATATCTGGGAACCTCTTTTCGAACTGCTACTTAACCCCTCCGGCGTCCGAGAGGATAGTTCTTTACCCCTCAATCAGGAACTCAGTGAGATTCGAGGTCAGATGGAGAGTTGGTTGCAGGCCAATTGTCAGCGCACAAGTAACCCCCTCAAGGCGCTACTGCGCAAGATCGAGCGTGACTGTATCTAATTTAGCGTTTAATAATTCTTTTCTCTGGCAACGAATCGGTCCTATTCCACAGAAATGCGCGACACAACAACATCACGGCTAGCTACACGAATCGACCCCGAAAACAATGCGACAAGAAAAATCCATCCCTCCAGCCTCAAGCGAACTCAAGGCTACGAATGCTGGCCCATCTGTCCTTGTGCAGCCTCGTACCCATGGACTGGACCTGTGGGTGGTTGTTGCATCATCATCGGATATGCTACAGCGTGACCAACTGTTCAAGTAGACGTCAGGGGTTTGGTGACGCGGGAAAGAAAGAAAACGCATACGTTGCGGGCTTTGTTGGTAGTATGGGTGGGGAGGAATAGGAGTTGGCGGCATTGAGGGACGAGGACCAGCACCATTCGGCGGAGGATATGCGCCAGGCGGTGGTGGCTGCATGTAGACTTGCGGGGCTGAAAAATTTGTTCATATTTGTCAAGGATTAGGTAGAAAAGGAGACATACGAGGCGGCATTTGTCCCATACTTGGTGAAGCATACATTGCTATAAAAAATTAGACCCTAGATCAAATGAAAAAAAAGAATTTTACCATTTGGAGGTGGAGGCATGCCTGGCGGATAAGGCATGGGTTGCATATATTGCATGTAAGGTGGTCCAGGTTGGGGCACCATTCCAGGTGGAAGCATCTATTTTTTGCACGTTTGATATCGGATCAAACCTGGGATCGGATCAAACTCACCTGACCAGGGTAATACGGATAGTAGACGTAACCGCGGGCAGCAGCAGCAGCAGGTTCCTCCTCTGCATATGGAGGAGGGGGCGGGACAGGCATCGGGGCAGCATTCGGTGGTGGCATTTGTGGTGGGGGTTGGTGTGGATGAGGCTGAGGTGGCTGTTGAGGGAACATGAGCATATATCGCTTCCCATTGTAAGGCCACATCGCAGCTGGCAAATTGTCAACACACACTTTGGCCAGTCAATAGGAACATAGATCACGCACAAACTTGGGCTGCTTCGGCGACTTTGTTGTGCTTGAACGGGTTGAAATCGTCTTTGATATGAGCAGCAGTGTTTTTCTTGATTGGTCGAGAGCCGAAGAAGGGATTGGGAGCGGTTGGGGCCTCGTTCTTAGGTTTTGGAGAGACCGAAGCCGATGGAGCACCCTGAAGAGGTTAATAAATGAAAAATATATCCCAAGTTATATCGACCTTGGGAGTGGGCTTGAACGACGTAGCTTGCGCATTTAGTTGACGAGCTGCAGCTGTGCTTGGTGAAGGAGGAGCACCTGACGAGAGAGCTGATGTCGTTGCTGATGTTGTCATGTTTGGTGGTCTGGGGCTGGATGTAGCGCCATTGGAGGTGGTTGGCTGGGAAGACTGGCGTGTCTTGTTGCCTTTGAATGGTGGAATGCTCTGAATGACCATTGGAATTGCGGGTTTCCCTGTTGGGGCCAAGCGAGGACTAGGTTGAGTCGGAGGTTTGGCATTTGCGGGGGTGGCTTTCGGAACAACGGCGGGTGACGGTTTGGCGGTCGGGCCTTTGCTCGGTGCAATCTTGGCTGCCAAGGCGGGAGCAGCGCCACGGGGGGCTCCAGGCGCAGTTGTCGAGGATGAAGAAGCTCCAATATTTCTGGCATGTGGCGCATTGGCATCCTTGGTCGACTTTTCCTTAATCTGACGCTGCTTGTCCGCATCTTTGGTCAAAATGGGAACCAGGTCGTCGGGAATAGGTTTGTTAAGCTGAAAAACAATTAGTCCCGAAGAGATCAGGAAAATAAACCTCACCTTGAAGCTTTCACTAAACTTAACAAGATCTGCCATCCGCTTGTCCATGTCGTTCTTGACCAGGGCTTGTCGTTTCTGCTGAAGCCGCCGTTTTTCATCAGTAACAAAGTCGCTAAATGCGGTGACAGGGTCAGGCTACGACGAGCAAGTATCAGATTGACGGCGACAAGAAATTGCATTTATGTTCTTGCCTTGGCACCAGAAGGAGCGGGAGAGGGAGATTTAGAGGGATTAGCCACCGAAGTACCGTCAGGCCCGTTGACGGAGACTTTCGGGACATCTGATTTTGCTCCGTCTGGTTTCCTTGCTCCAGGGGGTACGTAAGCATTTGCGCCTCTGACGACGGCACCATATCTAGCAACGACGGATCAGCGCCTCGCCTAATTGATAAAATAAATTTGACGCACTTGTCCTCCTCGTTGAGACCACTATCGTCAACGCTGTTCTGGTTCCGCTCTTCGGCTATATGTGGATTGTTAGTACCCGTCTGACGCTTTGTTAACGGTGATAAAGCCAGATATGAGAAGGGCGGACCATCTGAATCTCATTTGCGATACGTTGGGCCTTGCGCTCTCGCTCCTTGAAATCCGGGGCATTTCGGTCAAGTTTTGTCGTGTAGACATCCTCGTCAAAGCTGGTCTTGACACCGAAGAGTTTCTCGTTAGCGTTGAATTGGTCCCAGTTGCCTTTGGAAGTCGAGCCTGCGCCGAATGTTTCGTCATCACCGCCAAGTCCGCCGGCATTCGCGTTTGGACCGACGTCGGTTGAAGGCTGCCATGCTTGTAGCTCCCGTTCTCGTGGGGCACCTTTCTTCTGGCTGATGTCGGTGTCGGTCCTAAACGCTGTGCAACCCAGAGATCAATCGTGGGCTGGGAGGATGAGGTATTACTGCTCACAGTCGCCGTTTGTAGCCTTTGCATCCGCTGGGCCGGAAGACCAGTCGTTGATGTTGGTGGCCGCAATAAAAAGAGTGTCTTTCAAAGGGCCGCCTGGAGCAGTGAGCTCCTTGACGTCGCGAAGAGTAACACCAGTGGTATCCCCTTCGTTGCTCGTTGACGCAATTACACCCTCGTAACGGGCATTGGTCTTGGTGGAAAGTGTTATCGTTGTTCCCTGTCCAGACTTGAGATGAAAGCTAGGTTCTAGTGGACAACGCACAGTGAGACCAGCAAGCGACTGGAGAACCCGGTCTTGGGGTGCGGAACCGTTCAAAGGAGGGAAAGAGGCCGGTGGCTGGGGTGTGGTAGAAGGAGAAAAGGTGGGGGAAGCGCGGGCTCCAGTCCAGGCTTGTTGTTGTCGACTGATGGATAAATATTCAGTCCACAAAATACGGATTCAAAAATTAGCTTACCGAGCTGGCTCGGGGGCACCTTTCCTCTGGGGCTTAGGCTGCCGGGCGGTGGTGGCCATGGATAGAGTGGGACCTCGTGTCGCGAACGGTCAGAAACAAGCCAATATCGTGACAGCTGCTCTTGACACCTTCCGAACCTAACAGTAACAAACACCGAAATTTGCGATTTCTCGGGAAAAATCCCGACCATATGAAGTACATCGCATAGACGGGTCAAACGAGATCGACATAGGTACAGAAAATCTCCTTGGATACAAACAGCCACCAATGCATCCTACTCCGACGTGGTAGCCGTAAAAATCAGCTGTCACGTCAGTCACGATGAGTTACGCGTGACGTGACTCCACGCGCTCCAGGTCTACAACGACGACGAGAGCGACAGCCCGTCCATCGTCCTGCCTTGATCTGCGTGAACTACGCCTTCTTGAAGAGGTAAGATCCAGGCACACTATCAACGCCGTTAGATTGACTATTTTCTGTCCAGTCCGGTTCTTTTTCCCGGAGTTACTGCGAAACCTTTGCCTGGGTGAATTCCGCTGATGTTTGGTCTCACTGGATACCTCCTACAAATATTCATGGTCACGATTCTACTTGCGCCAACTGCTGCCCAACTCCGTGAGTACCCTTCACAAGCTCAATAGATGACCTTATAATGAGCTCACAGGTGTCGGCAATTTGACCCACGTCCTTCCACAATGCAACAATGTTTGTAACGCCTATAATGTCATGAATACGGTCTGTCATTTCCCCAACGTGATTTCTCTCCGTTGACTTCCGATCTGCAGCAATGCAACGCCGTTGGTGTTTATGAAATAACGTTCATCTACTGCGAATGCACCCCAACCAACCTCCAAATCGTTCTCGACTGTTTCAACTGCCAGTCCGTAAACACGACGCAACAGCAACTCATGCAGGAACTGCTTGACGGTATGTGATTAACTGCTCTTCCTATCCAACATCCTATGGAAATAGACATCGTTCACACGTGCAACGACCGAACTGGCGCACCCGACTCGACTGTTACCGTCAGTTCGCTGGCAATCGTACCCAGCTCGAGCTCTTTACCCACGCCCAACGCCGGCACCCGTGGCCATGAACCAACGCAGCTTTCTGGAGCCGTCTTAGCGCTTGGATTGCTGTTGCTATTTGGATTATCTTAGGCTCGTGATCGGACAATGTACACCAGCTTCTTGTATGTTTCGCCCATGCGACACCTGTACCCATTCCACTTCGCTCTCCGACGGCCAGCGCGCCTTCCCAAGTGGCAGTCCTTTACCATACTGAAGTAAATGTGACAAGGGAGAATTGACAAGATCCTGCTATGCCTTTCCGTAGGCGAGCTATTTGTCTCCAAGACTCTGAACCCAGCGCGATTGAATAAAACCCGCTCGTCAGACCTCAACAACTTGAACACTGGTATTCTCGTCAGAATATTTAACCAGAAAAGACGAAGCGGCAATCTAATGTTGTCCAGAATCCAAGTCAGATCAGAATATTTAAACGACGCACGGATACTTCTTGCAAAAATTATCTTATCTTGGCATCACGTGCACTTGCTTCATCTTGCAAAACCATCATGGCCAACACAAACAACTGGCTGGCATTCCTTCAAGGCTGTCCTCAACGTGCTTGCTCCGGATTGAAAAATCTACTCTGGAACTCCCCTTTCCGCTGGTGATGGTGCTTCAAGACCAGTCAGCATCCTTGTGAAATTGCCAGTGCACGCAAATGGCCGAATAAATTGACATGCCTTCTCACCCGTTATAACTTGGGAGGGCCTGGAATGTGGTCGAACATGAAGATGATCCTAATAACAGGAACGTGTCGATGTCAAACTGGCAGCAACTAAGTATTCACGCAAAGGGGCCAACTTGGAGTTATTTTCGGACAAAGTTGTCTTCCGGTCCTTCTATCGCGTTTAATCGACGAAGAATGTTGTGGTATGAGGCATGGTGACGAGAACATCGACCTGCCACGCGTGTTCCTCTCATCGCCTCACACAGCGACAATGACATGGAAGTATAGCGACCGGTCCAAATGTCGGTCTTCTCACTTTCCCTTGATTTCTGCGTCATTGTGACCCCCGCATCAATGATGTCCCTAGGAGGTTCTATATATATCTTCTAATTCTGTATAAAAGCCAACTGGTGGCTGCGATAACATCAGTCCTTCCCGACCAAACACCACTACCACACCCTCAATTACCCTTGTACGCTCTCACCTTCTTGTTCCACTAAACCTCCCCCGTCTTAATCGTCATTCAAGGACTACTATGGGCATTCTCGACGTCTTCAAAGCTGAATCCGCTTCCTTCGAAGAGGTATGAAGCGATTTCAGTCGCCACTACTACTGACATCCTTCTAGTACAACGGCAAGCACAAGACTGACATTTCTCACCAACTGTTGGCCGGTGCTGCCTCTTTTGTTGCTGCCCGCGAGTACGAGAAGCATGTTGCCGCCAACGGCAAACCTGACACTCACGCCGAGGCCAAGGAGCTCCTGTGAGTTGATACTGACTCTTCCTTCCAATGCTCATGTCTGCCTTCAGTGCTGGCTTTGCTGGTGCCTTCATCGACCGCGAGGTCGAGGTAAGCAAAATCTGATTATCCGATGTGGGAGGTTTAGCCAGGGTATTTAGACTCACGGCCTTGATGCCATCGATGCTGCCAAAGCGAAATACGATGGTGAGTCTCCCAGTGACTGATTTGGTGCGCTTTGTCAATACCTTATCCAGCCCACAAACTTGCTGCCGACAAGGTCAAGGAGGTTGACTACTCGTAAATTATATGCAAAATATCAAATGTAAATCTGGGACTAAAATACCACTTGAGCTTTATTGGTTTTGTGTACCGTAACGCGGTTGAACTTTGTCGGTCAAATACCGGAAAGATGGCCCTCCGACGGTCCGGCCCTTTCTGCAACGACCACCATGGCTCCTCTATTTCTCGGCCTCGATCTCTCAACGCAGCAACTGAAAGCCGTTGTCATTGCGGAAGACGCCACCCTTGTTCATGAATCGGCCGTTCACTTTGACAACGACCTTCCTCAATATAATACGCAAAGTGGAGCAATTCTAGGGCCTTTGGACGGAGAAGTGACTTCCCCGGTCGCTATGTGGCTCGATGCAATCGACTTGCTCATGGATCGCATAAAATCTGCCGGACTTGATCTGGGTGACGTTGTCGCAGTGTCAGGCGCGGGCCAGGTAACCAGCCCCCCACCGTTACCATTGGCTGAGCTTATCATCTAATCCAACCCGCTCTAGCAACACGGCTCAGTATATTGGTCAGAGAGTGCGGAGAGTTTGCTATCATCACTGGATGCTACATTGCCATTGCGAGAACAACTTGCTCCAAACGCGTTCTCGATTCAACGTGCACCAATATGGCAGGACTCTTCTACCGCAGATGATTGTCGCGCACTTGAGGAAGCCATCGGTGGCCCTCAGATCCTTGCTGATCTCTCTGGTAGTCGTGCCTATGAGAGGTTCACTGGCACACAAATATCAAAGGTAACACTTCACCCCCCCCTTCCTTCAAACTGTCCGACTCAAGTATTTGTAGATACGACGCCTGGACCCAGCGTCTTACGCAGCGACATCCCGCATTTCTCTAGTCTCATCATTCATTCCCTCTTTATTCCTAGGACACATCGCCCCAATCGAGGTTTCTGATGCTAGTGGGATGAACTTGATGAATGTACTCAGCTGCAAGTGGGACGACCGCCTTTTAGAAGCCTGTGGTGGAGCAGATCTTCGCTCCAAAATTGGCCCAGAACCTGTGCCCGGTGGGACGAACCTCGGTAAGATCAGCGAGTGGTGGACAAAAAGATGGGGGTTCAATCCAGGTCTGTTGGATGGTGTGACTACTGTGGCCAGAATTAACTCACGCTAGACTGCATCATCGCACCGTTTACCGGCGATAACCCTGCGACTGTGGTCTCGCTTTCTGCTCCAGGGGATGCACTTCTTTCTCTCGGGACTTCGACAACCTTCTTGCTATCCATCCCGCCATCGGACATTCCTCCCAAACGGTTCACCACCTCCCATTTGCTGTCGCATCCCACTTCTCTTGATGCTCAAATTGCGATGCTGTGCTACAAGAATGGAGCTCTTGCGCGTGAACAAGTCCGCGACCGCTACTGCGATGGCCACTGGCATCATTTCAACGAGCATATTGAGGCCACTCCTCCGCGCAACAACGACTATATGGGACTCTACTTCCCGCTTCCTGAGATCATCCCCCCCAATGTCGTGGGCAACTTTTTCTATCGCGTCCACGACGGGAAGACCATCACCCCAGTCGACGATCTTCCCATCAATTCGCATGCAAGGGCTATTCTAGAGTCGCAGTTTCTCTCGATTCGGTCCCGAATTGCGGCCATCCTTCCTCCTCACGCCCCGCATCTTCACCGCCTCGTGGTTGCGGGCGGCTCCTCGGCCAACCAGACCATCCGCCAACTTGCAGCAGACCTCTTTGACATGAAGGTTTATGTCTCGAGCACTAAGGAAGCGGCTGGTATGGGCGGCGCTTTATTGGCGAAATACGCCTGGTGGCGCGCGGCAAGAGGCGACACTGGTAGCTTCGAGGAGATGACTGGCGGAGAGGTTGGTGCGCTTGAATGCGTTGCGGAACCAAGACAAGAAGTCTCACAAATATATGACGAGTTGGTTGAGATTTATCAGCTGTGCGAAGAGGACGTAGTTCAGCGCAGCAATGCTTAAGTAACATTATTCCTACAGAATTAAATGCAAATAGATACACAGTCATTCCTCCCTCCTTCGTTTTAACTTACCACGACCCTCTCTAAAGCCAACGTCAGAAGAGAGGAAAAAACGAAGCAGGAAACTCACGCAAGCACAGCCCCTTTCCGCTTCTTACTCTCCTTCTTGATCACATTCCGCTGATGTTTCCTTCGCGCTGCAGCCTCAGGGTTGACCGTGGCCTGCAGAACTCGGGTGGCCTTCCGTTCACGCTGCATGCCAAGCGCGCCTTGACGGATTTGATTGTAGACAGCGGAGAACTTGGTCACCCCAACTTTGGCTTGAACGAGATCCTGGAGCTCCACACAAAGGGTCTTCATCTCAGCTAATAAAAAACAAGGGAATGAGCTATGTGCCAGTCAAGTCAGAGCTACATACCCATTTGTGAATCACGAATTGTGTCATCCTCCGTGATGCGATATACGGGTGTGAGGATATGAACGAGGAACAAATTGAGCTTGGCCTCGTCCATATGTGCCGCCATCGCTGCGAACCAACGCAGAACTGCCGTGGGTTGTTGAGCCCAATTGGACTGCCATCCTGATCAATAAACGAGTACAAGTAGAACATAGAAGACCGACCGCGCTTGAAGCTTTGTTTCTTCGTGCAATATGAGACGATCGAATCTGATAAGACAGCTTCGAAAACATCCAAGGCAAAGGATTCGAATGCGTCGTCTTTTCCTCATCGTCGCTAGCCGCATCCACTTCTTCCTCTGACGGCGATGACCCGGCCGCGAAGCATTTTCCAATATAGAACAGGTTTTTAACCACCTGCAGACTGAGAGCCTCATCGAGATGCGGACTTTTCAATTGAGTTGAAAGCTTAAGGGCGATGTCCCGGAGTGCTGTTTCGCCAGAGAGGGGTGGTGGCAGGTCACATGGCGGCGCAGGAGGAATGGCAGCGAACAAACTACCAACCAGTTTGCAGGACACAATTCGAACCCACGAGTGGGGAAAGAGTAGATGCGCAACGATCAAGTCCCAGTCTACACCGGATGATTCGGTAGTGATGGCAGGAAATACGCGCAAAAGTTTGGCGATGAGGCTCAAAGAATGATAAGGACGTTGCCAGTCCAGCTCCACCTCCATTGCGTCTTTCTCGTCCGTTGCGGTATCCAGGAGCTCCTGGCGGCTCAGTTGAAGAGAGGCGTTGACATCTTTAAGTATAGAGGTCACGTGTGCTGTGCCATCAGATTCCATCAGTTCGATCACAGAGCCATAAATCTGGAACGCGACGCGAGTGAGTTGGGGCTGAGCTGACTGCGAGGCCCAGGAATGCAAGTGGGAGAGAATATTTTGACGGGATCCGTTGTCTAATCTCGAGAAGAGTGTCTTGATGAGTTGTGCAGACATTTCGCGACACTTGGTAGAGTCGTCGTTCACTATGGACATGGCCAAAGTGACGAACAAGAGATCCGCATATTCATCCACCAGAGCGGCTTCGAACTTTGCCAAAATAGCACCCAGGAGTTCCAACACCGACTTTCGCCCGCTTTCAAACTCATACGAGAGGTTCTTCGCTAGGAAGGTCATTTGGGTTCGCAAACGACCTTTTCCTTGAGGATAGTCCAGCAAAAACTGTAAGAGGACGCTACGGCAAAGCTCTTGAACTTGGGGAGACTGGCTGGTAACCATGATCTCAGCAACCTTCTCCATAACGACGTAGATTTCTGGTACGACGAATTTGCGTGCAACGACGCTACGAAGGATGGCAAAAGCAGACGTCTGTCGAGTGGGCTCTTCGAGATCTGGCGTCAGAAGCTCCAGTAAGAAAACCAAGTCTTTCTCCTGGACTTTAACGGGAGGGCCATCTCTGAGAATGGTGGCAAGTGATTTGAATGCACCCTGAACTACCTCCGACTCTGTGCTGCCGGCCTGCTTGATGATATCAAGAATTTGGCGTACAAAGACGGGAACGGATTTGTCGAGCGTCTTGAGAGGGCATTTTACAATACCGGCAGCAGCCTTGAGGCCAGCTATAAGAACAGGTGAAGCGTTGGTGTAGAGAGTGTTGCCAATAACAACGACCATGGAGTCCAGTCTCTGAATGATGTTTGCATCGTGGAAGTCAAATCGACTCCTGCGAAGAGCAGTATTAAATAGCTCTAAACCGAAGGAGATGAATCTAAGAGCATTTTTAGCCGGATTGTGGAAGGCATGAATAAGTCGCACGACTCACCGAAACGAGTTGGTGGCATAGTGATCCTCCTCTACCGCTATATGACGTTTTGTCTGAACGATAGCATCGCCCTTGGGTTTGCCTTTGCGCTTGATGGACCCCTCCTTCAGGAATTTTGCATTCTGGCTGATCAGGGTATGGCAAAGGACAAGGAGTTCTGGAGGGGTAAGATGTTCGTTGGCATTAAGACCTGTTGTTATCCTGCGTAGAACCTCTTCCACCAGGAGCATCATCTTAACTGATACGGTCTCGTGCATAATGGCCCGGAGAGGCAACAGAAGATTGCTCAGACGCTGGGGAGTGATGAATCGGGCGATAATTCCAAACGAGTCGAGGCCTTTCGAGGACGAGGATTTAGCCTCGCGCATTTTGGTTTTGAAGTCTTCTGCCATCACGTCCTTCGCTGACTCTCCAAAGATCACTTCAGCCGAGATATGCGCAACATCGGAAACGCAATCATCCAGGGTGCTGAACGTTTTGACATTGTGTTCGGAAGAAACGTGAACGAGCAATGAATGCGTGACATAGGCCAAAACGTGGAGCTGAGGGCCGCGAAGCAGCGCGGCGCGCAGTTCACGGAATACAAGAGGGAGGTATGTGGGTCCAAGGCTGACAGTGATCCGAGCCAATGTTTCCCTGGTTAAGTCACGTGTTTCTTGAGAACGACTCCTGAATACTTGGCTGAGAATCGTGAGCAAGCGTGAAACTTGAGCCTCGCGATTGGCGACAGGAAGATGAAGCGCAACTCGAACGATACCAACTGCAATAGGGATGCGAGTTGTATCGTCAGTCTTTTCGTCACGTTTCTCCAGATGGTTCAACAGGTTGGGTAAGAGCCGTAGGTTAACAGCATCGGCAATTCGCGCTGAACTTTGCAAAGTTGCAGGCGTAGTTACTGGAGCGACGTCGTCCTCAGAATCTTCCTCGCCATTGTTACCATCCTGCCCAACTTCGACGGCCGGAATCGACTGCTCCATCGAGAAATGAAAGTTGTCAAGAATGGCGACCAATGTGCGAATATAGACACGCTCTGACGCATCTTTGGCTCGGGAGAGTCGCAGGTACTTTTGAACCAAGGCGTAATAAGCACCCCAAGACAGGTGTTTGGCCATCCGGCCTGTTGCTGTAATGGCATCGTTAACAAGGTGATGGTCAACGAGCGTCGTATCCGCAATGTAGTTCGCCACCAAAGGCACCATGATCTCAGCGAGTGTGCTACTCCGAAGTTGTCCCTCGTCACAGTGGTCTCCTAGTCGTCGCAGGGCTCGAGAGCGACGATGTATCTGAATATGGTGGATGTTGTTGAAGAAATTGGCCTCTTCGTCTCCGCCGGCAAGCAGAACACGCATGTCCTGCAAAGGACTGATGCTGTCGCATTTGTGAACTGCGTACGCCAGGACACCCAATAGCTCTCCCCGGACCAATTCGTTCCTGGAGTGCAATCCGTTCTTGATGCCAGGATAAAGAACGCGAAGGAACATGGTTTCGTGGTCGACAGAGCCTGTGGCTACCAAATCAATGAAATGGCGGAGTGAAAAGGCTGAACTGGTGCGGATTGCAAGCTCAGCTGGGTCTTGAATTGAATGCAGCATACTGTAAATGACCGGGAGCCATTCCGAGACAGAAAGAGAGCCAAACAATGTCTCGTTCAATGAGACGAAGGCACTAAGGCGACGTTCGAAATCTGGCTCGTCCACTCTTCTGGCCGAATAAGCGTTCAGTGAGTCAAGAATATCAACGATGCGGTCAAGGGAGGCATCGAGGGCTGATAGATGCCGGAAAGCGGCAATGAGGGCCAAACGGGCAGGACGCGACCGGAGCGATTGCAACAAACGCGATAACAGTTCAAACGTCTTGGCGTAGATTTGCGAGTTGGCATCCTTGAGATCCGAGATCAGGGCCATCTGATTGCCGATGATGGTTAAGAGATCGCCCTTCACTTTTTCTGGAACAACCTTTGCTGGTCGAAGCAAGAGTGGGGTGAACAAAGTAAGAAGCGTTGAAGCTTGGGAAGCATTTGTCGAGTACTGTGCGATGCTCGCCAAAATTCCGATCTGGCGCTGGCCAAGCGGGCTGGAGAGGGTGGTAATATTGGATCGTTCAACAAGACTGGCCAGATTCTGGAGTAGAATGGAGACATGGGGCTTCATGACCATATTTGAGACTTGATTTTCAATAGAGGCGACATCCAATATCTTCTCGACCATATCGAAAACCTTGGACACGACTGCAGGCTTGACATTAGTCGCGGTCAGGCAGGCATAAATCTGGGGCAATAAACGCTGGTCGTACTGTGTAAGGAAGGTGATGTGTCGGACGTTCAAAGTCCAAACATTGAATAATTCCAACAGAGCCGAGGGTGCTTGAGTATTTTCCTTGTCGAGCGCCGGAAGACGTGGAGAGATGAATGTTTCAAAAGCAACGGGCATGTAGAAGTCGAAGTCGAAGTCGACCTGGCATCGGAAAAAATCGGCCAAGCGTTTCAGGCCCAATTGGCGGATGGTTCGCCATTTTTTGGTGGGAGAAGAGGTTGGGTTTGGGTCGTCATCTTCCGCGTCTGAATTGTCTAGCTCCACGTCCTCAATACTCCCAGCGATACGGGACTGAGCCTCCGCAATGCAATCCATTGTCCTGCCCAGGAGCACTGGCCAGTATTTCACTATTCGTGAACCTAAGTGCTTGATGACTTCCCCAAGCAGGCTGAGAAACCCGATTTGCTGTTTCCCACTAGCGGTAGACGGCACGGTCTGAATTGCGAAAACCGAGTCGCGACGCCCGTTACAAGTGTCTCCAAATGACTTCAGCATTAGGTCAACCAGAAGCCCAAGCTCTACGTCGGTGCAACCAGCGAAGGCACTCAGAATTGCTGCTCGTCGATCTGCGCCTCTCGAGCGACCTTTCTTTTCCAGCATCATTCCGAAGAGAAGGCGAATGAGAACGTCAATAACTTCGACGCGGTCATGTGACTGGACTTGAGTAAGGTCCAAGCGACTGAGCTCGTCACGCCAACGCGTATCGTCCAAGAAGGTCCGGAGCTGCGACTCATGAGGTACCAAGTGCGGCGATTTGTAGCTCAGAACACAGGATAATGCGCTTGATTGAAGATTTCGGTCTGGGTATGATAGAGTAGAAAGGTAGAAATTTCGCAGAGCGTCGGTCGCATATAGAGCTTTCGGATTGCTCAGCTTTGAGAAGAGAGTCAGCCAAGAGGCAAGCTTATGACGAGCCAGTTTTGATTCCGAAGAGACAAGCTCGAGAAAGAAGGAGACGATATCGCGGTTGTGTTTTTGGACTAGTTCGGGGCTTTCTCCCAATGCAAATAGCAGCTGAGATTCGTATGATTGGGGGTCAAATCGCTCAGATGGGTCGGCCGCCTTGGATTTGGGTTCAAGTACGGAAATAATGAAGCATTATTCACTTACAGCCATAAGTTCAGCGACATGATGACGGGAGTCAAGCCATTTCCTGACAGCAGTACGAAGTTTGTAGGCATTAGGATCCCGCCACGAGCGCTCATCTTCTCTCACGTCATCCGTGTCTTCGATGGGGTCTGAGCTTGGACCCCGGACTACATTGGGGTTTGCATACACCTGCTGCAATTCAGCGAACACCAAACCCCAGACGTCATCGCCAAAACGTTGCGACATTTGAGCCAAGGCGCCAGCAGCTGGTGACCACAACGGTCGAAGGTTAACTTTGAGCTGCGCTGAAAGGGTAGACTTTGAGCAGTTAAAACATAAAAGCCGAAAGATACGCACCAATCAGCCACCGAGCACAGACATCTGGTCCAATATCGGTCTCTTTTTCTTTATCCTTCACGATGGACTCTACTCTTCCGATCCTCAACACACGCTCACGGACACCTTGCACTTCGAGGGGAACTTCCTCGCCAGCTAAACACCGTTTCACCACCTCACGGGCGTCAGATGGCCGAGTTGCCGCTAAAAGTCGAAGCGCAGCCAGTCGAAGAGGCCGAGAGTTGGAGAGAATGGCAGGCGCCAAAGCTGGGTACATCAACTCGATATCAACAGACTCAGCTGCGCTTTTAAAATGATAAGTTGATTTGACCGGGGATTCAACGGAGACATACCTCGTGGAGAGAAGAGCAGCAAGAGCCTCGAGCACCTCAGGGGAGGTGGCCCAGACGATATCAACTTGGGTGCACTGCTCAACCCATTTTGTGAGTTTCAAATCTTTCCACTCCGTTGGCGACCTTTGCGACAGCGCTCGCATACACATCCCAACAAACAGAGGTGTGACTCCTTCCAAGGGTTCATTTTGAGCAAGTTGTGCGTCGGTAAGTGATATAAGAGCGGCGGAAATGCCAGAAGATTGAGAGAACGACGAGGATAGGGTTAATATGTTAGACAGCACTCCCGCCTAGAATCTAGTTGAGTCTTGAGCAGAAAATAACCTGTTCTTAACACACCTGATCCCAATCAAGTGTAGCAACATCACGGTTCTTCATTTCACCAAGATGCTTGACACTCCATGTTTCTAGGGAGTTTCTCCAAACTACATCTCCGTCGCTAGTAAATTTCTTAGCCCGCCAGAGTTGGGCGAGGAGTGCTACTGTTCTTGTTTGGAGTTGATCATCAGTTCCGCTTAGAATTTTTGAAGAGGCTCTGAAAGTGAGAGGCAGTCCAATTGCACGCCATCCCGGCCAACCGAGCTCCGCTAATGCGCCGGTCAAGGAAATGGAGAATAGCGTAGCTTCGCGATCAGGCATATTCCATAGTGCATCCAACATCTCCCGCCCCTTTCCCATCCAAAACGAGCTGTCTGCCTCCGGCGTTGCCATAAGTGCAGCCGTGGCTAAGTGAAGCAGTGATGCGGACAATTGGTCTGAAGGAGACGCAAGATAGATCGCAAAGAGAGACGGAAAGGCTTTCAGAATAGAATTTGCGTGCTTTGCTGTTAAAATATCAACAAGTTGAACTCAGGATAATCGCACCACTCACGCGTCAGTCGGGTGCCACTGCGGACGGAGGTCGCAATAGACATCAAGTCAACCATGGATCTCATGCTCGCTGCATCTGGTTGTTCTGCCGTCAAAGAGACAAGTCTGTCCACAAGAATGTCTGCAACCACGCTAAAATTGTCAGCATTCCGAACGTGGTGGATGAGGGCGGTTAAAGATCGCTTCAAAAGTGTGTGGGTCCGGGAAGAAGAGGGCGAAGTGAAGACGTGGAAGTGGACCAGTGGTCCAACAACAGACGGAGCACATGTGTGTAATGTTTGGGAGACCGACTGAACAAGTTCAAGATTACGATGAAAAAAAGGGGAAGCAACGCACTTGACATGCATAGACAACTGCCCATGCCACAGCATCTTGAACATCTGATTCTTCGTCGGCGACACTTTCACACAATAGGACAACGGCTCGTTCTCTAACGCTGGATTTCAGTCGTCTTATAACACCCCCCCAAACTTCCGCCAGTGCACGCTGGACTTCAGGCAAACAACGTGGAAGGGTGTCGCGTATTTCACGCCAGGTCGCATCAAGAAGAGTTGAGTCATCTTCGGAGCAGGCGGGGACAAGGAGAAATTTAAACACAGAGGCGAATGTTGCGAGGAGTGCCGTTAGAGCAGACGTGGAGACCGTTTTTGAACGGTGGAGGAGCGAAAGTAGTCGTGGCAATACGGGATCGAGATATGCTGCAGCGATGGTCGTGCGCAAGTCATGGGTGAGCTTTTGAAACAAACTGAACGAACGAACATGAACCTGGAAAAATATGGAAAGATAATAGGGTACGCACTCAAGAACAGCTCTCAGTCCTTCGTCGTCTGACTCATCCAGCGCAGTCACCCACAGCTGCACTACTTCTTGCCAGTTGTGAAGGAGCAATGGCAAGGACGCGGAAAGTGGGCCTGCCCGTTTGGCAAACTGGATGAAACTGGGAGAAAGATTGAGTTGTTGCCAATGTTCAAGCGACGAGTGGAAATGAGATTCATGGTCCTGTAACGATTTAGCCTTGGGTTCACAGGTAAGAATACCAAACCTTCAGGTCATTATCTTGTGGTGTTTGGGCTAATATTGACGGAACATGGACGCTCTTGAGAGACTCTGCATAGGATTGGTGCTAGGAGGAGTCAGATGCAATGCTCGTTTGTGCCAAAAGGATTAAACCTTGAATCGATTCAAGCGTGGCTCGTCTACCTCCATAGCATCAAGTGAAAAAAGTTTTGGGTGGTCAACTCAAATGACGTAAGCTCACTCAGATGATCGATGCTGAATGAATACCGACAAGCAGTTAGCAAGCAGCACTCAGTACTCAATTCCAAGTTTGTACTGAGTTCTCTTATTCTTACATACAAGTAGATACAATTTTAGTCGGGCCTCTGATCTCGAATGCGTCTCGCGGGGATGAGTCCAAGACAGCCAAATGTGGTAGCGAATAACGCTGAGGCTGGCGAGGCTGAGTAAAGACACGTCTGGTTGTGGAGCTACGAACCAGCTATGGCACCACGGACATAACCCATGGTGGTTTGGCCGAATGTTATCGTGAATCCAAGCCATCCAGAGACGATCGAAAATGTGAGCACCTAGCGGAGAACGATTCAAAGAGGTGGCGTCGTAAAGTGTTCTCGACGCACTGGAATTACTCTAGAAAGCACCCCCGAAGCACGCCATGAACGGAACTGCGAGTGGGCAAATCAACTTGAATTTGACTTGAACGTGAAGACCAACATCAGGTTGGACGCCATGAATTTGGGTCCACGACGCGATTATAATATAGGAGAACATAGCAATGACAGCCCCCAGAAGTCCGAGGCTTGCAATGGTTGCCGACCTAGCTTATGATGAGTTCTTGCACACACAAAACTTTCTCGTGAACTACTACCGGGCCCATGAGTGCGTGTCCTCGAGGGTTTCTTTCAGGTGAGCAAAAGTGTCGAGGTAGAACGTCAAGGCCGCCCCTGGTATGAGGAGCTGCAGCTGGCGGAAGACATGGCGCGACATAAGGGAAAAGGCTGAAAAGCACGTGAAATTCACGGGGAATTATGTAAGTAATCTAAGCACCCCTTGATCTAAAAAAATCTACCCAATCTTCCGCCTTTGTTTGCAATGCGAACACCATTTGCAATCGAGCGAATAGTATTCTCAAGTCCCCTTCGCACTTCCTTCCCAGTCTTGACGTTCGCTTTGGGGAAGAGTTCCGCATCAACTTCACAGACCTTCCCAACAGCGGGGAGTGTCCCGTCCTGAAAATAAGCGGCCAAAGCACCATGTGTGCAATTCGATGGCGCTACTAGAGAGGTGTGCTGATAGATCCTTAAAGCGGCCGTATTGACCTCTGCCTCGAATGACTTACTCCAGGAGAATTCTGTGTGATCAACACAGAGCCAGGAAACAGTTTGACGGCTTTGGCCGCCCTGTCGGTGTGTCAGATGGAATGAGGAGTGGTCGTATATATACTGACCACACAAGAGGCGTAATGGGGTCCACCGTGTTACCGATGACAAGGAGCGGAAAGCTTGTGTTGGCGCCAAGAGGACCTGCTCTCATCCAGCTAAACAACCAAACTCGACAATGCTTACGTGCCTTGGAAACGCGACGGACGGTGAACTTTCCAGCCTCTGGGAATTTAGGTCAGCTCAGCCTACTAATATATATGGCAGACCCACGAGCACCAGATTCGCCAAGATGCCCATATATCAGCAAAACTCGATAACTTAGCTTCATTCGAGTAAAACGTCTTCAAGTCTGCAATTGAGTCGTCTACCGAATTAGCATCCCCGCACGTAGTCGCAATTTCCGCCTCGAAGATGCTCCCAACATTAGTGTTCGCAGAGGAATCGCACTTGAACTCATCAACTTGATACTGAGCATAAGTGTTGGTTGCATTTCCGCCGGTCAGTTCCGCTAGTCTCTCTGCTAAGGGCGCAAACCCGCCGTACGGGCTGAAAGTCGCGCCGAAGACGATATTTCTCAGGAAGCTATAATCGACGACGCCATGAGACTCGTTTGTGAGGACGGGTCGTGGTTGTTGGTGGTATGTTTGGAAAAGACTTTGGAGATTGTTGGCTATCTTGTTGGGGGACGAGTCGTAATATGCGCATCCCGTAGGCCCAGCGTCAAAGCAGCCATCAAAAAAATCCTGTAGAGCTTTGTCGGAGTCCGTCAAAGATTCGGTTATGTTGGCTACTCTCCAACTTCAGTTTGCAAGAATGATCTCGAGGAGAAGGGCCGACCGCTAAACCAGGCCTCGCCATCCATAACACCTTCAAGTGATTCAGACTCGAAAGCAAGCCGGATATATACCTTACCATCGATGACCATCCTGCCGACCTTGTCCTCCGAACGTGTTGGAATATGAAGAAGGGTTTGACGAAGAACTCACGGGGAACAACGTTGCAAAGGTCTGTCCCAAGACTGTGCCGTACCTTAGCAGTTGCATGAGCACTGTTGGAATGCAGTTGTTCAAAAACGAACGAGACACCCCAATACTGCAACTTCTCGAATCCAAAGGCCTCCGTGATTCGGAGCATATCTTCAGCAACATTGTCTGTGGTGAAATATTGAAGCACGCTGGTGGTGTCATGCCGTCTCGCCTGTTGTCCCACAAGTTGGTATTGTGCCCATTGATTCGAAAGAACCTCCGAGTTAGCATCAAGGGCTGGGTAGCGTAGGTTCAGGTCTTCAGGTAACCAAAACGCCCGTTGCGCTGCACTGGCAAAAAAGCTCGCAGATGGTTGGGAGAAACCAACGCCTACATGCAATTAGATTAGACATTGGCCAAGACGCAAATACGTTTCTTACCTCGGGGATCAAAACCAACAATGTCGAACTGTGGACCTAGAAACTCTGCAAAGGATGCGCCAGCCGATAGAATTGCAGCCACGCCACTGCCTCCGGGGCCACCAGGATTGAAAAGGACAGGCCCTAGATAAGAGTCTGTGGCCGTCGCGGGAATGCGGGTAATGGCAATCGACGCATTTCGAGAGTCTCCAAAAGTGTAATCTAGTGGAACTTGAAGCAAGGCGCATTGGAGACCAGAGTAGCAGGAGACCCAATCCAGGGTTGCATTGGCTGACAGCTACCATGAAAAAGCTGAATCTGAATCTAAGTAGGTCGTTCAAAAGCAAAAGTACCAAGTTCCAATTGAAATCATCTTGCGCCAACGCCGCGGAAAAAAAGGTGGCTAAAGCGGAAGAAATGACGAGGGTGTTCATATTCCATGGCTGCAGGGTCAAGCATGGTACTTTATACGATGGTGGTTCAAGTTGGAGTCAAGGCTGACTTGATGCCGATAGATGCCGTCATGATCCGAGAAAAGTCTATAGTTGATGATGTCCTCAAAGTACATACAGTAACTCTACAGCAATTGGTACTGCAGATGCATCTGAAACTCGAAGCGTCGTCTAGGTAGCATAGATGTTGCGTGACTTTCGCAGGCTAACGGAGTTGTTCTGTCCACCGAGATCACACGGCTCCATTCACCTTCGCGTTGGTGTATTGGGTTTCAGCAAGGCCTACGCGACGATTTCCTGTGTCATAAACAGAGTAAAATCGCTCCAAAAAGCCATAACCGTTGATGAAATCAAGGCCTGAGCCAGAATTTGTTCCAAGATCTCCAACAATCTGGGCCAAATGAGTGGGACAATCGCCATAAATGGAGATACGCACGAGATAAATGCTTTGTGAATCACCGCCTATATCCGAGTTCAGCAATCGAGGCCATATTTGGGCATCAGGAGTGAGCGAAAAAGTTTGCTGAGCGGTCATCAGTCCGTAATAGCGACGCGGACAAAACATACACCGCCTATGTGAAAGTCCAGATTCTTGAGACGATGGAAATCCTCGGTGGAGATTTTTAGGAGACCGGTAGAGTTGTCGTATGTAGCGCCGGTTGCAGATTTGTACGCGGAAAAGGCGTCGGTCGCCAGAAGAATAAGAGTGGTTCCAGTGTCGACGATGCCAGATGTTTGTGCTAGTATTGTTTCTGTGCCATCTGCATGACGGATTTAGCGGTGGCAGACAGAAAAGGATGGTCCAACAGACAAACGATGGTCTGGTCAATGCCCCAGTAACTCGAGGCAGGTGTGCTGGTTGTGATTGGTCTGGCAACAGTCAGAAAAATTGCACTCATTCGTCAGAGGCTTACGTATAGTGAACTTGGTCTAGATATTTCGTATCATCCACACCTCCCAGAGTCAACTCGCCGTTGACACTTGACTCGATAGTGGCAGGCTCGTAGTAAATACCTACTACTGGCGCAGGGATGACTCCGGACGAGAAGAGATTATCGACAACAGTGGGTATCTCGTGCTGGTCATTTTCCAGAATCATGGTTCTGGCGTTTGTCAGTGAGGCTGGACAGAGGGTAAGTAATGCGGACCCTCTGGTTAAGTCAACGGGTCCGATACTGAGTGCGAGTAAGTTAAAAGCCCCGCTCTAGTCGTCTAGCCTCATACCCGAGGATACCATCCATGTCTATCAAGGATGTTATTACGGTCGACCAGCCGACTCTCATACGCACTAGAAAACCCCTGCGGGAGTGGTGGTTCGCTGACAGCAATGGATTGATTTCGGATGCGGAGTTGCTGTGTCAAGGAGAGCTGTTCGACCATTTCAACACCTATAGAAATCAGTCATTTTCTACGACCAAGATTTGGTGAACATACCAGTGAACAAGCCTGATCCATAAACAAGGACCTGAAGAATATTGAACAAAAATCGCTCTCTGGAGTCTGAAGTCAATGTACCCACCACTGGACCGGGTATGACGCCATCTGGACGGGTTTCCAGTGTCGCCCGATATAGCTTGGAGTTTCCGACCCAGGTATTCGAGCTTCCGGTGTCGATAAGCAGTTCGTCTAATCAGATGCTCAAATCAGCAACAGGAACTCGCCATCGATACGCACAAGTTTGCGGAGGATCGCCGACATCTACATGGGCCTATGCGGTAGAGTAGAATGCGAGGATGCATTTGAGAGTCGTTCTGAAACCCACCGTGTACGTTACGACAGCGTTTGTCACTTGAACGCTATCGGACGGGCCACTCCGCGGCGAGATACGTTTTGCTGCTATTTCAGGAGGCCACTGGCGTTCTCGCTGAGCCTTGAGAGCTCGCTTGCGTTGGCGGTCACTATCAGAGACGCGCTCTATAGGTTTTTGTATCTTGCGCGAAAGTGGGAGGCTAATAGGGGTAGTTTGGGCTGCGAGAGCATCTAAGCAGAAGCTACTGAGTGCTGCGAGAGCTAGGAGGAAGGCGTGTCGCATATCGGGCGAGTATAAGGAAGGCGAGGTTGGGTGTGTGGACAGAGGAGAGTAACTGTCAAGGACAAACTGGAACACCTTAAGTAATAGCACGTGATCGTCTCCATTGTGGTAAGATAGCTGGGAAAAATCACACCGGATTTGGTAAAATATCCCTTGAAGTAGAAACTGTGCTAGATTCTGGTAGAATCTAGAACCAAATCAACCTATGGAGATTTGCCCAAAATATACATTTTTGAAACTGAGAATGATTTTAGTCAAATATATACTAGTTTTAGGCAGTCTGAGATGAAAACTATCTATGGGACTGAAACTATGCCTGAAATGGTTGATATCTGTGCACATATATTTGGTCATGATATCACGCACATCAAATGTGGCGAAACTGTCAGTGAAACAAAGGATTTCACTGTCAGTTTCAGCACAGATGATACAAAGGAAATCAGCAGTGGAGAAATGCACATAGATTCTCTTTGTTTCTATTTACATTTCTCCACTGCTGAAACTGTAGATTTACAGTACAATGAAATCATTGTTGAAATCTCAAATTTATTCATGCCAGAAATTGTGATTAAAACTGTCAGTATATACATTGGAGAAATTGTAAGAGATATTGTATGTATATCAGTGACTTGAGGGTCAACCCTCAAGTTAACCCTCAAGTCAACCCCAAGGGTCTGATCTCCGGGTAGACCCTACAAGTTCAGTCTCCAGCTACATATTTAAATACATAATTAGCATGAATGGGATAACAACTTTGTAATGACTTTACACAAACTTTCTAATAAATGTTACCAGATTGTAGGGACCCTTAATACATGTTACTATTCAGTTTAGACCTATGCTTCAAGGTCAATGGTTGAGTCAGAAAATGCAAATTACTGACCCAACCCTGAGTTTTCAAAACAGTGGTAGGGTCATATCTTAATGAGTTCTTATCCGTTCCTAACATGTTATATATGAGCAGGAAGGTGTTCAATTGGCCTATAAACTGGTATTTGTCAGGGGATGAGGGTCCAGGTGCCTAGTTGATACCAAAGCCGGGGGAACAGCCCCACGGCCAACTACTTAAGTACAGGGCTATCTGCGCACGGACCAGTCACGTGATCAGTCACAGCTGTCACATCACATGCTCCCCTTACAGTATTCAACATAAAGTTCATTGTATACAAAACCACAGACTTTATTACAAAATATATTTTGACTATTAGATTGTTAACCCAATTACTTGATGGTTTCTAGGCTGTTTATCAAAAGTTGGATATGGTCAGAAAGGTATTTCCAAATTCTACAAACTTGATTTCAACCCTGATATGGTTGATTACAAAACCATAGACTTTCACTACCAGTCAAGGTTTATTGAATTGACTTCAAAATCCCAAGTCAACCAAATGACTCCATATTGCATATAGTAGTAGAGCTTCATTGATTGAGTAAGTGTTCAGTTCAAACCTATTCAAAATTTATAATAGTTGACTCACAAAAGGTGAAATACTCCCAAAATATTAGCTTTGTTAGTTTAGGGCTAGCCTGGCTCAAATAGTATTAACACTATATTGTTGTGAATTTCCCCTTCCTGTTCACTGCTTACCACTTGTATGATAGAGCACAGGTACAGGTCTGGGTCTGTTTAACTTGACTCAGACCCTGACCCTGACCCTGACCCTGACTGTCAGGGTTCAGGTTGGGCTTATGCAAGACTCCTCTTGAGGAACAAGTGCCCGGAACAGAATAGATGAATTGTCAGGCCCACAAGTATGGCGGGCAGGTTCAAATCAAACTAAAAGGGCCCGTTAAAGTGGGTGTTAGTGGCAGGGTCAGGTCAGGTCGACAAGGCCCAATGAGTCAGTGTTGACTCAGTGATGTCTCCTTGCATAGGGTGAGGTAGTATAATAGGTGATCTAAGCAATAAAGTACAGTGTATACTATTATACCTTATATATGCCCTGCTGAGGGGTGATCAGACACCCTTGGCCTCTCCTGCTCCTTCCTATATCCCTGTCTCTGGCTGCAGAGAAGATGATTGCACATCCCTTGCAGGCCAGGCACTACTCCTAACGTCCTAGCACTCCTTCCTGTTCCTTCATGCTGCAAGTTGGGCTCAGCGCAGGCCCAACACATCTTTCCTGGTCATGTGCTTCCCACATATACATTTCCCTCTACTGTGGTGTCTGTTCCTGTCATCACATCCTGTGTGTTATAGGCCCTTGGTCGCCTGATACCAGTGCCAGAGAGGACAGGCCAGGTCTTATCTGTGACACTGATCCTACCTAACCCTGACCCTACTGTGTAAGGTTGACTTGATCTAGGTTAACCCTCATGTCATATTTGATACAATTCAAAAAGCTCAAACAATCATTATTATATACTACAATTAGTATTTATAAGCCTTCTTGTGTTCCATCCTGGTCCTCTTCATTGTCCACATTTTACTCTTTTCTAGAAAGCATGAGTGGGGGGTTGAAGTGGCAGGGTTTCATATTAGAATGCACAAAGGAACTGAGAGAGGTATATACTAACCTCATTCATCATATGCATATCTATATGTACAAGATGAGGGTAGAGTACAAGTCAGGTAGGGTTTGTTATAATCAGAGTCAGGGTCAGGGTATACTAACCCTGACTCTGACCCTGAGACCCTGACCCATGCTCTACCCCACCAACTTCTGAACCTGGCTGTTCAACCCCAGATTTGACCCGTAGGTCCAGACGGACCCTAGGGCTGAGCTGGTGGCAAGAGTGGCTATCATTGATGTTTAGTAGAGAGGTGTTACACAAGGGTTACAGGCATATGCTCATTGAGTCATTTGCCAGTGGTGCTCCACTCAGCTCCACATTACCTTTTTTGGGTAACAGCAGAAATAAGGAAAGTCAAGACTGCCCTGACCCTGACCCTGATCCTACTTAAACCTGACTCCATTAGGGAAGGTTGACTTGATTTCTCTCTATACAAGAAGGCATCAATGACTCACTAAGCTCTAACAACTCAACTTGACTCAGCATCTGTTCTGTTCCAGGTCCATGTTTCATAGAAAAAACTTGCATGGCCTGATTGATCTAAAGCCTGATGTATCCTTTGCTTTCCCACCACCTACCCTCTGTTTCATATTGATTATGATAGCTTCAATAACATTACTGTTGGCACTAGGGCTGCCGAGTCTGGGTCTTGAGAGAAAGGCAGACCCTGACCTTAACAAACCCTGCCCCTTCTGTGTATAGGTCCAACCAGGTCTGGGTCTCTGGGTCAGGGTCAGGGTTGGTGTACCCTGACCCTGAACCTGACAAACCCTACCTGAGTTGTACTCTACCCTCATCTTGCACATCTAGATATGCATATAATGAATGAGGTATATACCTCTCTCTCAGTTCGTTTATACATTCTAACATGAAACCTTCTATCACTTCAACCCTCCACTCGTGCTTTCCAGGGAAGAGTAAAATGTGGACAATGAAGAGGATCAGGATGTAGCGATGGCGGCATCCGGTTTGGCCTTCCAGTTTGAAGCTGAACTGGACCGAACCAAATACCGTGTAGGGTAGAGCAGAGGTCAGGGTCAACTTGCAGGGTTTCAGGATAGGGTCTGTCAGGGTCAGGATACACCAATTCTTGAATCCGGCCAAACCCGGACCCTTTCTGAATCAACCTGGAGGGTCCAATAAGTTTTTGTGATTTAATAATTTCCTATCTAAATATGATTTTATGACTTTTTAAGAGACAAAAAAAATCAGATGTCACTCAAGTCACTCAAGTGACATGTGACATATGAGTAGATTGTATTCAATATCCTTAAATTCTTGAGGAATAGGCTACATATACTATATCTGAGCCAATATCATATAGCAAAATGTATATTATGTTGACATTATTGTTCCAAATATATCTTCTGCTTCCCTGTCTGCAACCCGTGGGTCAACCCAGACCCGGTTGGACTCATATCCAGAAGAGTCAGGGTTAGTTAGGGTCAGGGTCAGGGTCAGCCTTCTGAGACCCGGACCTGTGCTCAACCCTACGAACGCGCATTCAAGTTCAAAGTGTAAGGCCTGTCCTCTCCAGCACTGGTATCAGGCCACCGGAAGGCCCGCAACACACAGTATGTAATGACAGGAACAGACACCCTAATAGGGGAATGCACACATAGAAAGCACGTGACCAAGAAAGATGTGTCAGACTCAACACTGACTTTAATGGGCCCTTTTGGTTCGACTTGAACCCGCCCGCCATACTTGTGGGCCTGACAATTCATCTATTCTGTTCCAGGCACTTGTTCCTCAAGAGGAGTCTTGCATAGCCCAACCTGAACCCTGACAGTCAGGGTCAGGGTCAGGGTCAGGGTCAGGGTCAGGGTCTGAGTCAAGTTAAATAGACCCAGACCTGTACCTGTGCTCTATCATACAAGTGGTAAGCAGTGAACAGGAAGGGGAAATTCACAACAATATAGTGTTAATACTATTTGAGCCAGGCTAGCCCTAAACTAACAAAGCTAATATTTTGGGAGTATTTCACCTTTTGTGAGTCAACTATTATAAATTTTGAATAGGTTTGAACTGAACACTTACTCAATCAATGAAGCTCTACTACTATATGCAATATGGAGTCATTTGGTTGACTTGGGATTTTGAAGTCAATTCAATAAACCTTGACTGGTAGTGAAAGTCTATGGTTTTGTAATCAACCATATCAGGGTTGAAATCAAGTTTGTAGAATTTGGAAATACCTTTCTGACCATATCCAACTTTTGATGAACAGCCTAGAAACCATCAAGTAATTGGGTTAACAATCTAATAGTCAAAATATATTTTGTAATAAAGTCTGTGGTTTTGTATACAATGAACTTTATGTTGAATACCAGTTTATAGGCCAATTGAACACCTTCCTGCTCATATATAACATGTTAGGAACGGATAAGAACTCATTAAGATATGACCCTACCACTGTTTTGAAAACTCAGGGTTGGGTCAGTAATTTGCATTTTCTGACTTAACCATTGACCTTGAAGCATAGGTCTAAACTGAATAGTAACATGTATTAAGGGTCCCTACAATCTGGTAACATTTATTAGAAAGTTTGTGTAAAGTCATTACAAAGTTGTTATCCCATTCATGCTAATTATGTATTTAAATATGTAGCTGGAGACTGAACTTGTAGGGTCTACCCGGAGATCAGACCCTTGGGGTTGACTTGAGGGTTAACTTGAGGGTTGACCCTCAAGTCACTGATATACATACAATATCTCTTACAATTTCTCCAATGTATATACTGACAGTTTTAATCACAATTTCTGGCATGAATAAATTTGAGATTTCAACAATGATTTCATTGTACTGTAAATCTACAGTTTCAGCAGTGGAGAAATGTAAATAGAAACAAAGAGAATCTATATGCATTTCTCCACTGCTGATTTCCTTTGTATCATCTGTGCTGAAACTGTCAGTGAAATCCTTTGTTTCACTGTCAGTTTCGCCACATTTGATGTGCGTGATATCATGACCAAATATATGTGCACAGATATCAACCATTTCAGGCATAGTTTCAGTCCCATAGATAGTTTTCATCTCAGACTGCCTAAAACTAGTATATATTTGACTAAAATCATTCTCAGTTTCAAAAATGTATATTTTGGGCAAATCTCCATAGGTTGATTTGGTTCTAGATTCTACCAGAATCTAGCACAGTTTCTACTTCAAGGGATATTTTACCAAATCCGGTGTGAATAATACAATCTCGAGCAGATAGGCAAGTTATTACAACTTGGCTGAAGGCTCAGTTTGGACCTTAACAAGCCTAGATGATAACGTTTGAATAGGATGCCAGCAAAAGATATTGCTTACAGCTTCCCATTGTTCTTCCCACTGAACAGCCAAGGTAAGGCCACAGGAGCCTGTTCAATGCCCTCAACGACATGGAACTTGCTCTTGAGAGATCCATCTGCCAGCGCACCGGCCATTTCTTCAATGGCAGCGGGGAATTTGGCGGTGTAGTCGAAACTGAACTCATCAACAGTGGATTACCAAGGTGAAAAAAGGACTCACATGATGAATCCTTGGATTTTGGCACGCATAGCTATCAGAGTTAGATAGTTTTGAAGCCCCTTCGGTTTTGCGGCGTCTAAAGAAGCGTTAAAAAAACGAAGACAGTTGGAGTTCACCCACTATATTGTGAGATCGCGCCTGTTGGACAGTGGATGAGAATATGTGCAGATGAGAAGAGGTAAACACACCGCACAGCGCAATTCGCGCGCCTATGTTCAGCCTTGTTAAAATCAAGTCCAAGATGTCGCCTATATGGTGCTCAAACTTGGCAACTTACGGAGAATGAGAGAAACTGGAACTGACCCCCAACATTGTCGAAGTAGACATCGATATAACCAACCTCTTTGAGATCTTTCCGGAACGAAGTGCTTTTGTAGTTGAATGCACGGTCGACCCCCAGCTCCCTCTCAAGCCATTCGCATTTCTCTTTTGAGCCAGCAATCGCGTAAACCTTTGCGCCAGCCCGTTTTCCCAATTGGCATGCAACTGAGCCGACCGCACCTGCAGCACCAGAAACAATCATCTTGTCGCCAGGTTTGATGTCGCAAATCTCTTTGATGCCGAAATAGGCTGTGAGACCTGCTGGCGTTCAAGCAAGAATGCCGTAGGGCGGGAAGAACAACATACCAGGCATACCAAGAGTATTGAGGAAGTCGATGTCTTGAGCACCTTTTGGCACACTGAAAATCGGTAAGAGATTCGTAGACTGGTAGAACTTTGGAGACAGACCTGATCTTGTCGACTTGTTTCTCTTTCATGACCGCGTATTCCGTCCATCCTGCGAGCTTCAGCAGAGTCACTCGTAGAAGAATAGGCTCACCAAATGGGCCCGCCACAATTTGACCAACCGGAACAGAACTCCCATTTCCTGCCTTGATGACAACGCCAAGACCTTGAGACCGCATAGTTTCGCCAATTTTGACTGGAGGAAGATAGCTTCGTGCATCTCGAAGGTAGCCTCTCATGGCAGGATCAAGAGAAAGCCATGTTACTTGGACTAGAATTTCCCCGTCACCAACAGACAACCCAGACAATGGATGGAGTTCGGTGCGGAAGGTATTTGGCTCGATATCGCCTTCAGGACGAGATGCAAGCACAATTCTTTTGTAGTCTGAAGGATGTTATGCCTGCTTGAAAAAAAAAAAACTGCGGGCGACAAAACATACAAGATGGCATATGGTTCAGGTTAAAGTTGGTTTGCACCGGAGCAGAAATCACCGAGCCGGTGATATTCATTCGTCGTCGGCAGTTCCGAGTCCAAAAGACATTTCATGGGGAGTCTAGCTGAAAGTGGGTCGGAGTAGCAGACAGGTAGTCAACTCGCAGTTTGGGTTAGAACTGTGAGGGGTAGACAGCATCAAGCTGATTTAGGAAGCACTGCGGCCAGACCTCGCTTACTCCTTCCCACTATGAACAATCCCTATTCTCCGGCTGGCTCAGATTTTGTGGCTAATAACCCCTTCGCACCCGCACAAAGTCGATATCCCGACATTTCCTCACAATCGCCTCTACCAAACCCTCAGTACACTCAATGGATGGGTTCACCCAGCGCGCAAAGTCCGATGGGTTTCCAATCGCAGCCCCAGTTCCAGCAGCAAGGGCAGCCTTTCCAACAGCAACACTTTGGGATGATGAGTCCTGGCGTGCAACCATCGACAAGTGGGTTCCAGCCAACAAGTGCATTCGGCCAACAACTTGCTGCTGGGCAGATGAGCGGAAGTAGCTACGGCTACCTCCAGGGCCAGACACCACAATCTGTGTCTCCCGCGTATAACCCGGTCCAGAATCAGCTCAACAGTCCCGGTTATGTTGCCCAATTCGATCCATACGGTCAACTAGGTCAACTCGACACTTACGCCTCTGCTCAACCCCCGCCCCAACTTCAACCCTCCAATTCGAGTAGTCTCATTGCCACTTCACCAACGGCGACCACCTCTGTATCGGTGCGTAAGCGACAGACCGATCGTATCAGCCTAGGTGACTGACTTGCCCCACACAGCCTACCGGGCAACTCCATCCTCGAGAATTTATCAAGGTGAACAAAGCTGGTGTCGAGGCTTGGGATGCCGGGACATGGAAACAACTCCTTGTGACGTTCGATGGTCTCAAAGATGCCTGGGAGGCGCGGAGGAAAGATATTCTCGGAAACGTTGCCCAACTACGACAGCAATTAGCTTACGCCACTTATTATGCTCCCGGACAGCTCCAGCAAGAAATCACTCGTTTACAGGCTGTGAGTTGACTTGTCTGCTCTGTGATCCACTGCAACTCCATTCCCAGATGGCCAAAGATGCTGAATCAAATCATGGCAAGCTCCCTTTCCTTTGTTCCGTGTTGTTAAACTCACTCGGTCGGAAGACTCTGTGGCTGCTTCGTCATTCCAGATGCACGAAGTCTTTGCCAATTACAGGCAAGCATCTGACATGGCCAGTAAATCGCGCGTCCGCGAAGCGTCGAATGCAGCGCTCACAAGTCTGCCTGACTGGCCACCAGTCGCTTACTAACGCCAAATAAGAGTCCCATCTCTGGTCCATTGATTATCGTGCTATGCGCTACAGGTTGAATAAGGAGTAATTCTAGTTGTACATAAGAATGTCAAGAGCAAATGTTAGGATACATTCTATTTGTAGGGTCCTGAATGGCAGTTCGGTAAACGAGCAACGAGAGAACAAAAAAGCATACCTGAGGTATCCAGCCTCCTTCTAGCCCTTTCTGATAACTGCGGAAACTTATCAAGACCAACCTGAACAAACATCGGAAACCCATACCTCCATTCGTCTGCGATCTCAGTCTACAATAGCTGAGTAAAGCCAAACCGCGAACGTATAAGATCTCACCTTCCAGGTCTTGTGATGAGAAGATCAGCTGCGGTGAAGCCACAAAATTAAGAACAAGCTGCGCACCCAGAATATCCAGCCCTGAACCCTCTCGCCCATCATCGTCTGCACTTCCCAGTACCTGGACGGATCAGTTCAAGGTCAATAGAGGAATTGATACCCACTTCCGAAGGAAGGTCTTGTAATCGCTTGAGAATGTAGAAAAGGGGCCAGTCCAACCTGTGCAGCTCCCAAACGGCGTGTTGGGCGTATACCAAGTCCCATCCCATCGCGCTCCTATTCCTCGCCCGTTCAACCACAATGCACAGTCAGTCGGGGCATTTGACCACTCTCCGACGACAGTCCAAATGTTATTTTTCGCAAAAGAAGTAAGATCAGCCATGCTGCCACAGGCAAACTACAGCAGTGATCAGCCGGGAATAGAAAAGAGCCAGAAGAATACACTAATATGGTCATCAAAAGACCGCGCGAGCTCAGGAACACTGAAAATTTGGTACTCGTGCTGGCATCCAGTTAGTCGAATAGATTGTGCGAAAAATCGACACACATAGTCCATTAGAACCCCAGTAGCACTCGGATACGTCAAGAAATTGGTCCAAGACTGCATGAGTGAGCCAATATAGGATGATAGAACAGTTAGTGCACCCACGTCGACTCCCTGAAAACCATCGCCAATCATAACCTGCGAAAGTTGTGAGTCGGCCGCGCTGGTTTATCTGACATACCCGTAGACCCGTTCCCACTGCATCTCTGACGGCGGAATAGCCGTCTTTCCAGAATTGTCGGAGAACAGAGGGGTAATTGTCAGACAAAAAAGTTGCTGGTTCATTTAGTAGCTCGATGACGTCAATCATTCCGCCGATGTTTTCGACGATGAAGCGGAGGGTGTCGATAGTACGGGTGATGTTGGCGGGATTGTTCATGAACTGCGCATTAGAGGTGCGCTGGCCAGAGTTATCGAAACCATTCTGTGACCCCGGCGCGCCATGCAAATCTTTCACGAAGGTGAACCAAAGTTGCTGATGAACAGGGTAACGCACCGATGATAACGTGAACACTATGTTGGCGAGCCCAGTTAAGTGCTTTAAGCAAATAAGGCCACGCGCCAGCTACATACGGCGCGGGACTGGTGTTCCCGTGGGTGTCCGATGATGTTAACGGGACAGACCAATAGCCCACTGGTATTCGCACGTGGTTTAGGCCAGCTGCTGCGATCGCCTTGAAGTCGTCTTCTGTTATCCACTGGACGATTCTCACTCATCCGATTTTTTTGCCAGAATGACGACATACTGTGTCCCAATGCTTTTGTAACACGTTTAGCGCTGTTTGAGCGTCCTGCATCTGGCCAAACGTATACTCGTCAATTATCGCATCGTTCCTAGTGTTGTTGAAGATGCTCGGTGTGATCCATGGCTCGAGTACAAGCCAGCCGCCGCTGACAATTCAAGTCAAATTCACGGAAGTACTTTGTTTTGACACTCACAGATTGACGCCGCGGATCGGTGTAGTCCCATAATTGAACGGAGTGGGTGGAGCGGGCGTCGCTGACCCTGACGGGGTCGGAGCCCCGTTGGAAGCTGTTGTTTTGCTTGACGCGCCGGCCGGCGAAGTCGTGGGCTTAGTGGAGCCGAGAGAAGTCAATATTTGGTTGTGTGGTCGAAGATGGCATTGTTGTGCGGCATCGGTGAGTAAGAGCTGACAGAGGAGCAGTAAGCTCAGAGGGATGCAGGGCAGCCTCATGAGAATCAAAAAACAACCACCGCTGATCCATTCGGGGTAACACGCGTAACACGAGGTCGTTCATATCCCAAGCCGATTATGTAATAATCAACAAGTTGGGAAGGTAGCACCTAGTTCAACGAGCAAACTCTCCTCTGGGCCGTGCCTGTCTTTGAAATATTTGGCCAGTGCCTCTATTGCGCTTTGTCGCGCCTCTAACAAATGTACCACCATTCTCCTTGGCGATATAGACGGTGGCTGAGCCTTTAACCACGCCTTGCCTCCCAAACTCTCTCCGGATGACTGGTTTTTGAGGAATGGATTAGTCGCTGGGATTGGAGGCCGTTCATAAGATGTTAATTTTGAGAGGGGGAGATCCCATGTGCGTGGCTGCAGCATGCCCAACATAATCTTGAATGCAGCCCCAAGACGCTTGAGCCTGATCTCATGCCTTAGTCGCCAATCAAAAACCAAGAGAAATAACCCGCCTCCTGTAATTGTCTGCAAATGCAACTTTCAGTGATGCAAACAATGAACGCTGAGCAACTCACTATTAATGAGCACTACATGCCATTGGATTATCAACCAGGCAGTCAACGACCATAACGCAAATCTACTGCGAAGACCGCCATCAATGACAAATCGAGAAGAAAGGAATTTGGTGGTCCAATAGCTGCTTAATCCAGCACCAAGACCGGTCCCGAAGCCTCCCAAGAAGACTTTAAATTGCGACCTCGACTCTTCTTCTCCGGGGGGTGCCAAGTACGAAGTCAAGTTTGCCAACAAATATGCAGGGGTGTGAGCAATTAGTGGAGGAATAAACAATATAAAGGATGGGTTGAGTATTGTCCGTAGGAATGTGGAACAGAACCGCAACACAAACCAGCGGCCTGGCCGAGCAAAAGTGTTTGGCGCTAGAGATGCGAGTTGACCGTGAGTGATGTTGGTGTAGTGCAAAAGCGAGAAGTATTTGGTGAGCGATCTTTTGACGGCGCAGAGCTCTGAATCCCCATCGTCAGGAGAGGAGAAAAGTTTCACGAGCCTACGGCCAACTTTCAGCACAGAGTTAGACGGTATGCAAAACTAACGTTTGGCTGACCGCCAGCCAATCCTTCATTTTGATATTGCTGTCATCGGTCCATAAAATGTTCCTCGTCATCCGTGCCGCATATAACGTCTCCCAGTCTGCCGCATTGATAGTCAAGCCGCGTAGTTGTTCCTCAACTTCCCTCATTACATCCTTGACTACTTCGCGCTCAGCCCCTAGGTCATCGGACTCGAAGAGGGATGGAGGCATATATTGTGTCATGTCAATTGGGTGTCCATATCTACGAGGGTCAGCAAAAGAGCGGTAAGCAACAAACGGACGCTCACTCAACGCGAACCTGGGAAAACTGCTCAACACAAATGTATGAGAGGAAGGAGTACTCACACGACTTCGATATTTGGCCTTGTCTTCGTAGACGATCCCGACTGGGATAATGATGACTGGCTGGCCATCGCCCCGAGAGCGCATGTATTCTAGCGCAGCCCATGCAGCACCGCTGAGGACTTGTGAAATTTCAGGCTCAGTATAGCTGGTCCCCTCTGGGAAAACTCCGAGTGCTTGTTTACGACCCAATGCAGCAGTAGACGCGTCGAAAAGGGCGGCATTCGACGCTGCAGCATCTGCCTTGTTCGGATTTCTGCGTACGGGAATGGCCCCTGTATGGGTCTAGATGTAGTTGGAATAGATAATGGAAACCGTACCAGACGATTCAAGGATTGGCCCTAGTACTGGGTGTTTGAACGTCGTTGACTTGGCCCAGAACGAAACCATCCGTCGATGAGGTATTGTCGCAGCAAGGAGGCCCACATCCAGAAGCTCGTTGTGGTGAGACGGTGTACTAGAGGTAGCGGGTTAAAGGGTAGTAAGATTGAGGCAACGCATACAGTATGATGGGCGTATTTTTTGGGACACTTTGCTCCCCGTTGACGTATACTTCTGAGAAGTAGTAGCCATCAACGCTCGCCCACTCTGAAATTTTGCGTAGTATTCGATAAACGACGTGCAACTCCATTGCGCGGGTGGTCAACGGAGGTGGAAGAGTCTTACACGGCCACGTGCACAGTAGACTGAATTGAGCGACGAGCGCGTCATCATATATACTCCAAGTTGAAGTCATCAGGTTGCGACTATCCGATTAACAACGTCTTCACATTTTTTGTGGAACCAAGCCTTGGCACGAGCCCCAACTTCCCGTTTCGCATCCTTCTCTGCCACTCCCAGCCTGAGCATTTCATTCCTCTCCTCTCGTATCGCATCCTCTGTTACAAACTTGATAAAGGCGCCGGTAAGCTTCAAGTTGTACCCGTCCTGCGGTTGGCCTTCTCTCGCCTGTTCGCTTTCGAGATACTCGATGCCTTGCTCCAGTCTCCGTTCTCCCAACGCATACTTCGCAAAATCTGAGGCAAGCTCAGCCATGGCAGGGTCAATCTTCGCCTTGGGTTGGTACGCGGTCGTAGAGAATGTCTCCCCCTTTGTTTTGAAATTGCAGAGTAGAGTATCATCGAAGCCACGTCCATTCTCTTCGTCGAGAAAAGGCGAGCGCACCATCGTCCTGTTTGCTATGTAAGCAAAGCACAAGAAAAGAGAGACGGCTCTTACCATACGATACCCTCCCCATTCCCCGACACGGACTTGCCCGCAGCGTCCACGAATGCGTGACCGAATGGACATTCCAGGTAAACTTCAGCCGTATATTTCTGCATCAAGTCATGGACTTGTGTGGTCGGGGCACGGAAGTCAATATCGACCTCGAAGGTCTTGTATTGAGCCACGTTGTAAATTCGGTGCTCGGGTAAGGCGCAATCCTTATATTGACGCAAATCCACCCAGTGTCCATCAACACGAATGTTGAAAATGGCAAAGAACCGCTGAAACCGTTCAGCGCTTGATGATAAGGCGTCTGTGGCTCCTCACCTCTAATTGTGTTATTGCCACTCCCTTCTGAACTCCTTTCCCTGCAATTTCGCCACAAATATAAATCTCTGTGAATGCATCTCCCTGTTGCCTCGTCTTCAGAATTTGCTCTACAAGCCTGTGGAGCGGAGCTTTGGACAGCAGCGCGAATGTGCCACAATTGTCCTTTTTCGTGCTTTCAATGATCCAAGAACGAGATTGGATTTGCGCTGCGGTCTTATTCCCATTCCGAAACACAATTGTAGCATTGCTGCCATGTAGTTTGACTGTGCCAAAGAAGGTAGCACGCGTTGGCGGTCGTGGACCATCGCCCATGGCTCGGTCTAGCGCACGAACATAGTCAACCTTGAAGTTATTGAACCCAGGGGTAGACGGATAAGGCACATGGGTCATGGCGATATAACTGAGCTTCGCAGCAGAGATTCAAAGCTTATATCCAGTGGTGTTGACTCATATGACTCGAGTGTGAATATGAGTGTTGACCAGAGGCGCTCATCAAGGTAAAACGGAGCCAAGACAGCGCTGACACCGAAGCTGTGACAGCTTCCAAAACAGGTTACATAACTAGACCAACTGCCCTACTCATATTCGACATAGTACATGGGACTTACCTACTAACTAATATTATAATTACAACCGTTTACCGAGACCTCTTCTGCCTGCGACTCTCTCGTCTTTGTTTCAGAGTGGCAAACAAGCCAACACCATGAGTTCGTTTCATCCGTTGGGCTCTCTTGGTCTCTAGCTTCTCGGACCACTCTCCACGAGCTTGAGCATACGCTTTCCAGACATGGCTGGACGTGGAGACAAATCTCTCTCTGAGATAGTGAGCTCTGGTTGATGCGACCTTGGCTCGCTTCTGAAAATTGGTTCTTGCAACAAACGCCCAACGCTCTCCAGCCTCCCGCAACTCTCTTGCGCGTTGCTTTGCCCGTTCATTCCGCCGGATAAGACGGTTTCGTAAAACTCGCACTTGACTCTTGGTATCTTGAATCAAGAAGGCGGTTTGGTGACTAATCGCCTGCAATAGTTCATCGAATGCGAACATGAGCTCTCGGAGATCCCATGGAAGGACTGCTTCCAGTGCCTTCATCGTGGCGTCGGCAACTTCTGAAAGAGAGTATTCAAGTTTGAGACTCAACGCTGTGACTGGAACGGCTTCCTCGACAAGTACGGGAGCGCGTTTGGCGCGCCTTGCTTCGGTCTGGGGCGAAGCGGGTGTGGACGCAGGTGGAGACCTCGGTACAACAGGATTAGAGAGCGATGATTGTGGCCGAACAATTATATCGGTGTTGCTCTTGACGCTCACTTCATCTTTGACGGTGGGCTGGTCCTTAGAAACCTCCGATGGCAAGGATGCGACCGAATGGAGAGAGGACGTGGTGGTTGCCGGGTTGAAAACTGCGAGAGCGAGGTCCTTCAGTGTTGAAGGCATTGGTGCCGCACTCGTTACTGCGGTGGTCGATATCGGGGGAGCAATTGACGAATTCGGTGTAGTTCCAAACATGGCCCAAAACGTGGACGGAGTTGTTTGGGTGGGAGGAAGAGTGCTCGTATGGGACGTTGATGTGATGGTCGATGGACGGTACATCGTATTTCCAACGAAACTCGCGATAATGTAGACCAATGCCACACTAGGAGTCGTAAGGTGACATTAAGAGCAATAAGAAAACTCACATAGTCACTGCATGTACTGGTTTGAAACCATCGGTCAGCTTGGATGGCCGTTTCGATTGAGGTTGCAAGACAGGCAGGAGCTGGTCACGAACAGTGGCAACGTCAACTCGTGCCCTGGCGTCAAGACTGTCTATAAAATATTGCTGCGTAACGGGTTGGGTTAGGTGTAGTGTTCGGAGAGGAGGGATGTCAAGCAGTTTAAAATTCTCAGGGACTTGCGATAGGTCAGCACCTTCCAATACGACGGGGAGATAAAGAGTATGTTCTGAAAGCGCGATAGAGCATGGCAAAGATATGACAGCCATCGAAAGCCGAGCTAAAGACTGTGGACTCGGCTGGATGCCATGATGAAATCAGTCAGAAGAGGGACGAAGAGGAAAACCTACAGCGGCTGCAAAGTCGCCTCCAGACAGAAACATGGTTTGCGTGAACCACTGGGAAAACTCGCGGCATTGTGTGGTGGATCCATAGAGGACAACATCGAAGGAGAGGCCATCAGACCAGATGATGGGGCTGTGATCGACAACGCTGTCCTGAAGCGTAATCTTTGCCACTGGGGCAGGAGCGACTTCGGCCACGAGCGAATTGGAGACATCGTCTGTGGTACCGGGTGCTTCCGGGATGGGGACTGCCTCGTAAGAGCGATTGAGCTCATCGCGGGAACTAGTGATGGGGTCTGGGAATGACAGCCTCAAGTCTCGAATGGAATTGTGGACCGTGGAGTGACCCAGCGAACTTGAACGAGAGGCACTAAGAGTGCCGACCATGCTCTGGTCAAGACCCGCTGTGACCACCTCTTCTTCAGGACGACTGAAAAGAGCTTGGGCTGCAGTGAGAGGATAGTTGGTGGTTTCGCCTTCATGGTTGTCCGCAAAGCCTTCCCATGCTTCGATCTCACCATCGGCGTCGCTGGGAATGCTTATAGACGACCTGCGAGACGGTGGCAATGAGATGCCGTCGCTGATTTGGTCGTTGTCGCTGTCCGTAAGGGAGGAGTCGGAGTCGGACTCGTTGGCCAGGTCGAGCCACTCGGAGTCGGATAGACTGTCGAGTTCCGCCATGTTGGTTGTGAGTAAAGGTGTTGGTCACAAAGAGAGGAGGCCGCTTAAGTAGCACAGTCACTTCGGCAACCGGGCCGGAACGGGCTTGCTCAACAGCTGCGATGGTCTCCAGTATCCTGGCACTGCCAAACGACATTCTGCTTGCCATATTTCTCCAGCTATCCGCTCCAGACCTCCTCCATCTCAGCCAGGTCTGCTCTATTATTCCAATGTAGACCAGAGGCAAACAATGCAGGTCTGTCGTGTTCTCCACGAGTACACTCTCGATTCGTATCTATGGCACCAAGTTTTGTCACGACAAACGGACCTCCCACTCAACATCGATCCTTACGTCGATGCTGCTGAACTATCCGCACCCATCTTGCAGAAGGCAACCCGTGACGCGCTTCGCATCGACAATAACTGGAAACGACACAACCCACAGATCCGCCAAATGACACGAATTGGAGACATAGAGAATATCTTACAAATGCAACTTTTGGGGAGCCAATACCTTGTCATTCTTCGCCGTCATCTGCCATCGTTGTCCGTGTGGCGTGTTATAGCCAAACGAGCTGTGCTTTGCGCGCGAACCGACCTTGAGGACTCGACTACACCACTCAGGTTTGCAGCCAGCTTGGACTCCCGCAAAGAACAAATCCTACTTGCACTGATCTCGACAATCAAGTCTGGGACTCAGTTGTCTGCATATTCCGTCATGCTGTCCGACGAGTCGGATTTTTCTCCAGCATCTCTCAAGATGGTCTACAATATAAGCAGAGTTGACCCAGACCCGTTTTACGAGGTTCACGTCTATTCGCATCTGATTGCGATCGGAATTCATTCGGTGCTTGCCCCACAGCTTCTTATCGTCAATACTGTGGCCAAAACCCGATGCTTGGTCCATCTGCATCTACCAGAGGCGAGCCTGGAAATATTTTCATTATTCTCCTCTGATGTTCGACATAGGGCTTCTCACAACTGCAGTTCAAATTAGCGCAAATTGTGCAAGAGCCTTGTCAGATCATCCTCACATACCTGGCACAATCTACATTCGTTGTCAAGACCTACGAGCTCCCATTGTTCATATTGGAGAGCAAAAAAGGACCTACAGAGAGCATCGAAATAGATCTTGGTGACGCAATCGAAGAATACCAAAGCCAGGCTTTTCCTGGCATCGAATACAACCTCTGTGCTGATTCAACTCACCGGATCGCGTGCATCTCTGGGTTGTCTTTCCATTCCCTGACAACTAACACAAAGGACAACTTTTTCCGCCTTTCTCTAGGCGCGGATGGAAGGCCTGTTGAAACCTGCCAATTTCAGACGCATCCCAGTGCAACAGCTGAGATTGTGTGCCTTGGGGAGAACGGCCTAAGGGCTATATGGCTAGAAAGACGATGGACAAGTGATGACTATACATTAATGAAAGCCGTCTTCTTTTCCTCCTCAAATCAGGTCCTTCTTGAGCCTCTGTTTGGCAAGCATTTGGCACTACCATTCATGCTCCATCACACCCAGGCATTGGCGTTCGACGAGCTCACAGGGCGGGTAGCGATAGCACTTCACAGAGATCTATATGTTGTAGAGTTTTGAATGGAGTCAAGTCGAAAGTGAAAGAAACGAGTCGAGTCAAAAGCGTTTGAGGTTACAAATAAGCCGTGTTTTGACAGCACGCGACCCTCGCCTGTCAAACGCGATCTTTCCGTTACTTACATCGACACGCTGTGGGTTAGCCACCCACAGCAAACCCAGTTTCCACCACAATGGAGCAGGAATTAGAACGAATCGTGCAGGCAATCAGCATTGCTTCCAATCCAGCTCAATATGCCCTCCAACAACAAGCTTTGGACTACCTCCAATCAATCGAAAACAACGCTGAAACCACTTGGAGACTTGCTATGACGCTTTTCGTCGAGACCGGGGCAGATGGATCGAGGAAATATTCGCCCGAAGCTAGATTCTTTGCCCTCAGAATCCTCGAGGGTTTTTTCGACCGCCAGTGTGTCTTGACGATGTCTAACCGATCCGTCAGCCACTAAGTTTTTTGTACAGACTAGAGTCATTAGACGACGATTCGTTTCGAACGATTCAACAAGGCCTGCTTTCTTACATCCAAAGCGAATACGTCTATGGGCCCGCTGAGGCCACACTACCCTGTACGACCATTTCACTTCCACGTCCACGCGCTATCGAACGCTGAATGACCGATAGATCTCCGGAACAAATTCTCGCACACTCTAACCCTCTTCTTCCTTTGCTCCTACATCAGCCAATGGCCAACTTTCTTCGCGGATCTCTTCTCCCTCATGCGCCCAGCCGAGTCTTCGTCTTCAGCCTCTGCACCAGCATTCAATCGCCATATAATAATCTTATTCTTCCGTATTATCCTCGAAGTCTCTGGAGAAGTCGCCGATCAGACTCTTAAAGCTGCCAGGACCTTTAATCAAGCTCGCCATGTCCGCGATGCTCGTGTGCGCGATGCCGTCCGTGAAAGAGACGCTGCTGGGATCAATGAAGCAGTCTTGACTCTTGTCGCTCAAGGCGTCGATATCATGAAAAAGAGTGATAAAGCTGGCCCTGATTCCCCAACTGAACTCGTGGAAATTGGAATCAAGACATTTTCATCCTATGTTGGTGTGTCATCAGACAATCAGTGGAAGTTCTGACCGCCGAATACCCTTAGGATGGATCGATATTAACCTTACAGTCACGCCGACAACCGTTCCACTCCTCTTCACGCTCCTCGCTGACCCTTCCCTTTCTGTGCGACTCGCAACATCGACTGCTCTGTCTCGTATTGTTGCCAAAGGCCTCAAAGAGCCCGGAGACAAGCTTCAGTTGCTCAAGGTGCTTGCATTAGATCAGGTCATCGATGCATTAGAAGCAAAAACCAGTTCAGAAAAGCTGCAACGGACTACGGCTGATGAGGGCGAAGAGATATATCGTGAATTTCTGGGGAAATTGTTGAATGTTCTTGGTCTTGAGCTGGTAAAACTCGTCGAGGTAAGCTTCTAATCATGTCACATTTTTGGTTTCATTGAGTTTTAAGGACTCTGGCAACGACACGGTCTCCTCAGAAGCGACTGTAATGCTCAATCAGATCCTTCCCGTAGCTCTTCGCATTATGGCAGACGAGTACGACGATACATCAAATACCGTGTTTCCTATGTTGAGCGCTGTACTTCTCAGTGTGAGTAGGGCGCTCCTCAGGATATTCCCTGGATCTAAAACCTTGAAATTATCAGTACAAGCGGGCGAAAAAGGTTTCAGCGGCAGTTTTGGATGAAGGAAAACGCTCCTTCCTAGCTTCGTTGTTACAAGTTACGCTAACCAAGGAGAAATGGGACGAGGAGGTCGATCCAGATGACCCAGACGAGGACGATATTGCCGGCTTCGAAGCTGTGCGAAAAGTGTGGTTTAGCCGTGCCACGCTCTTTTTATCTTTCTAACCGTGTTTTCGCTAGGAACTTCTCAGCTTACTTGATTCAGTCCACGTCCTCGATGAAGGACTTGTCGCGACAGCATTTCATACGCTTGTGAGGAGTACCAGCGAAGCCTATCGCAATGGCGCGAGGGTCGAATGGAATGACGCAGAGCTTGGTGTCTATCTAGTCTACATCTTTGGGGAGATCAATAAAGGTGGGTATGCGCATGCGGTAATATGCAACACTAATATGCTATCAGGCGGAGGCAAAGGTCGCACGGCGTTTTGCGTCACTCCCGCCTTTGAAAAGGACAAGAAGAAGTCGGTGGACTACTCTATATATCCACTGACGCCGCATGGGGAAATGCTTCTTGGTCTCCTCCAAGCAAACATCTCTTCCTATCCCAAGCGCATCGTGGGCCTGCAATTCTTCGAGACTGTCGCCCGATACCCCGACTTTTTCAAGGTTCGAAAGGAATATATCATGCCAACGCTGGAGGCGATGATTGACCCCCGGTAGCTTACCTACCGCTCTAGCACATCTCAAATTAACCCTGATCCCGCAGAGGAATTCACAATCAAGACTCGAATCATCGCTCCCGGGTGTTTTATTTGTTCTACCGCTTCGTCAAGGAAATCAGAGTTGACATTCCTGAAGACGTTGCGGCTTCCATTGCCAACAGCTTCCGGGATCTCTTGACGATTGAGGTCCAGTCGCCAGACGACGACGATTCTGATTCGTCCAACGACCCCCTTTCTGAAATTATCAAAAGTTCGGCTTTCGAATCGCAACTTTACCTTTTCGAGACTGTTGGCTCGCTCTGCTCTCTGCTATACAAAAGTCCAGATCAGCTTGCGGCCATGTTGTTGTCATTCGTCAAGCCACTAATGTCTGAACTTTCGGACAACCTCCAAGCTTTCCAGTCCAATGGCGACCAGGACATCATTCCCATTGCCAAGGTTCATCATGCAATCATGGCTCTAGGGAACATCTCTAAAGGCTTTCCGGACTATCCAAACCCTGTGCTTCCAGGGTATATTCCGCTCCCCACCGAAATATTTTCGGAGGTCGCGCAGGCCATCCTTGTTTGCCTTGCGGCTATGAATCGTTTCAAAGACATTCGCGAAGCGGTATGCGCTGTAGACTTTTTCCCACGTCACACTGATCTTGTGTAGAGTCGATTTGCGTTTACTCGCATCCTCGCCACAGCGGGCCCGAATATTGCACACTTTATTCCACAACTTATGGCCAATCTCCTGACACAATTTGAGCCAACGGAGCTTGTAGACTTCCTGAACTTCATCGGACTTCTTATTCATAAACTCCAGGTCAGCTTGATTTCATGAGGTTACCCTCACTGTGTCGTCTCATGGTTAAACAGGAGGATTTCTTCATTGTCCTCGACGAACTCATCGGTCCATTATCCAGCCACATCACCGGTTTTTTGGCCCAACCGATTAGTGGGACGGACGAGCAAAGAATGCACCTGGAGACAAGAAAGGCATACCTCTCCCTCCTCAACGCTATCATGAACTCGAAAATTTTAACTGTCTTCACCTCAGAACGTGAGTTTCCGCAACACATATTGAATCCTCCAACACACCTTTGCAGGTAATCAGAGCCGTTTCGATGCGCTGATGGAGAGCATGCTGCAGATAGCTAGCGATCTCTCGGACCCTGTCTGCCAGCGGATTGCTGTCCAATTTTTGGGTCGCGCCGTAACAACTTGGGGATCGATCAATGAAGGAGCTGACCCTAAGGTTGGACTGCCTGGCTTTGAGCAGTACATCTACAAGCGCATTCTTCCCGCGGTCTTCCAGGTCCCATCCGTTCCGCAATTCAATTCCAAAGACCCTGGCCATAGCCAAGTGTTGAACGAGATCGCCAACTTGCTCCAAAGTGTGTCTAGGACTCGGGGTACAGAAGCATACGATTATATGCTCGGCGTCTTTCTACCCTCACAAGGCTGGCCCCCTCAATCTGCCCTTGACTTCACTGTCAAACTCCGCGACCTTGACTCGCGTGCTTTCCGAAAATACTTCACCGACTTTGTGCGGTCATCACGAACCGAAACAGCGCCATGACGTCGATGGACGACAAAAAAGTGTAACAACAGCCTACGGTAAAGCTTTGACGACGATTTAGACAATGTAATGGTCTTTGCGTGCATGCTCTCTTACTTATCTCATTACGACCCTTGCATATCTTCATTACCATAGCTATCATTCAGTGTATCAATCAAGATAAAAATTTTTGTAGACGCGTCTTGGACGACTGTCCACGTGACCGTATTTGCCACATGATGATCGTAACGTGTGACCTGATCGCATTTCCTCAACGAGGTTCAGCTCACAGAAGGTTTCGATAATGGCGTATGTCGCGGTGGATGCAGACGACCGTCTAGAAGAAGGGCCAGAGGGACTACAGTTTAAATGCAAGTCGACTCACCTGATAAAAAGTCATGGCTGTTTATCCACTCCGTAGCATTCCTGGGTGATGCAAATGACCATCCGAGCGGAGCGCGATCCCCAGGGTTGGGAAACACGGACAGAGGCCGGTCGCCTACCTATAGAGCTGTCGCACTAGACTAACTCCAACACAGGCTACTTGCAAGACCGACCTAAACCCTCTGGCGGATTCTGGACGATAGAATATTATCAATGCTACTTTGACGTTGACACAAAAACGGTGCGCGTCTTTTCGACCCTTCTGAGCGCTATTAACTCAGCTGCGATAGGTTTTACAGCGATGTTACTCGACATTGATACCCACGTCCGCAACGTCAGATTACCTCTCCACCCATCTCAACCCCGCAGACCTCTACGGCCCATTCTGGACGCTGACGACACTCATATTCACACTCTTCCTGTCGTCCTCCCTGGCTGCTTCTGTCACCGCGTATCTATCAGACCCCAATGCCGCCATTTCGTATGATTTTGGCCTGCTTTCCATTGCAGTACCACTAGTTTACAGCTATGGTCTCGCAGTGCCCGTTCTTCTATGGATTGCGCTCAGATACCTGGGTGTTGGTGAATGGTCTGTTGTAGAAGCCATCGCACTGTGGGGTTATTCTATGTTTGTGTGGATTCCGGTTTCGGTAAGTGTCATAATATTATGCTGCCTGTGAAGACTCAACCCTCCCCCCCACCACCAAAGATACTCGCAGTTCTCCCATTTGCTTCTGTGCGATGGGTTCTCGTCGGTGTTGCATTTGGGTTGTCGGGCTACTTCCTTGTTCGCAACGTCTATCCTATTCTTGCGACGGTATGTTGTCCAGCCTCTCCACCCTTGCTGTTCTGACTCGACTTTGTCTGCAGGCCGAAGCAAAGCCTACACGTCTTTTGATCATTATAATTGCCGCCCTCCATCTAGGACTGGCCATCACCTTCAAAGTTCTCTTCTTCAGCTACTACATCATCCCGCCACCCGCTGCTGATCCCATTCCTAACGGCCCAGGCACCGAGATTGGGACTCAACCGGGAAACCATACCGGGACGACAGCCGCAGCCGCAGCCTCATTGGTGGCCTTGCGGAGGCTACTGTCTTGAAAGTCAATGAAAAACGATGTAGGACTGTAATCGCTCCCTAATGTTGATAAGCTACCGCCTCGAAATTCAATATTCCTTGCTACGAAAAGCAAATGGGATGTGGAACGCGTCATGGTATTTGCTGCACAAGAAATGTGTGACGCTGCTTGGCAGCGGCAATACATGTGGAGAGTATACTTTCGTCCTCTACGAGCCCCACTTGAGAGACAGAAACCAGTTGTTTTTGCTCGTCCAGTATAACCGAAACGGAGGCCTCAAGCAAAGGCTCTTCAAACGCGGTCGGATCCGCCAGTAAAGTTTTTCTGCCAAAATTTTAAGTCAAAGAGTCTGCAGGCAGCAACGAATCGTACGCGTCAAACAGACCAAAAGACATGGATGTCGGTGTTTTGATGATTTGGAGGGGGGCGATCTCGTGGCGTGAACACACAACTTGTTCAGTCTCTGAATTGAAGATCGCTTTGGGTAATTTGGCTAGAAAATGTCCAAGTGAGTAAGAAAAGAAGAAAAAAAAAGAGAGAAAGCATACTGTTGCGAAGAGCAGCGACCATCGCAAGCAGCGCAGCATCAAAGACATTTCCGTCGTAGTTGATGCAAGTAGCATCCACATAGAGAACCCAGACAAGCTTTCCAGGACGGATGACGAGGGAAGAGAGAGGGATTATTCTAGCGCCAAATTGCAATGACAAGTATATAGAAATAGATAGCTTACCCTGAAAGCACCTCATTCAGGCGATCCGAAAGCACTTGTGCCTCGTCGCTTGGGGGTCCTGGTTTGAATTTGGGAGAGCAAAGCGCTGGAAGGTCGATGTTGGGAACTATCAACAGGGTCGTAAAAAAACGGTGTCTGGTCAAAATAATGGACCCACCGATAAAACCTGCTTCAGGCGAATCGAGCTCAGGCTCCGCAATCTCTGCTTTGACTCCACACACAATTGTCGTTTCACCCAACCGAACGAGTGCGGAACCATCAGCGGTCGAAATTGAACCTGTCTGGAGTCATTTCTTTCGTGCAACAACCTCAACATACCTACCCACATTCACAGAGACATCGCGCCAAGCATCGAATTGACGACCGTCAGGTCTGTATTTCTCGGCAACAAAGCGCTCAAGGTAAGTGTGTGGATGAAGGCGCTGGAAAACAGCTGCCTTGAGGGCAGAATCAGAAGACATTTTCACGGTCACGAGATACATGCTGACAACTACGACGAAGAGATGGCCCCTGTGAGAACAGCGTACTCGGCATTTATGAGGCTGCTTGTCGCAGCACCAATGCTCACGTTGTCCGCCAATACTACGAATTTTATGTCAAGCACGGGACATTGTCGCACTCGACCGACATTCACCCCAGCGCCATTCTGATGGCCACGATCCATACGAGGTTGAGGCCTGTCTGGCTCGTCATGAACAGTTATTGTCTGAAGCGGGGCAGAGGGGCAACCCAGTAACAGAGCCTCCGAACGGTAATCGCGCAGCGCTTCAGAAACTTGTTGTGGTGAGGGGGGTGGGCGCTGGGCAAACTTGACAGACACGTTGATCATATGGCCCACAGTAACTGGAACTCGGTTACAGGCGGCAGATATTTTCAGCGGAGTAGATGCATGCAAATCGAACTGCTGAAGAGGCTTGCTTCCGACAAGTTGCTCTGGTTCCACGTCGACGATTCCGCCAAGAATTTTACGCGTTTCCCACTCGATTTTCTCCTCCTCGCCTGAGATGAAGGGAACAACATTGTCCATAATATCTAAGCTGGGAACCCCAGGGTAGCCTGCACCCGATATGGCTTGCATGGTGGTGACCATCAGGGTGTCAATAGGTCCGAAAGCTTGCTCTAATGCAGCAAGCGGAATGACATGGGCGGTAGTTGAGCAGTTGGCATTGGTGACGATGAAGCCTTTCTGGAGTGGAGGCTCGTGGAGCAATTGCTGTTGACGGACAATCGAAAGATGGCTTGGATTGACGAGAGGCACGATGAGTGGCACATGAGGATCTCTTCGATAGTTCTTTGCGTTGGAAAAAACGACGAGCTCAGCAGCACGGAAAGCGCTTTCTACCAAAAGGTGAGATAGAATTAACGAGAGACCGAATAACGCACCGATGTCACCAGCAACATCAGCATCCAGGCCAGAGAACACGACAGCGCAGTCTCTAAATGCCTCCGGTTTACACTCTTGAACGATGAGATCCTTGACTACATTGGGCATATAGGCGATTTGCTTCCAGTTGACCGCCGTTGCGTAGGGTTTGCCTGCTGAACGAGACGATGCTCCAAGTACATGGATCACAAACCAGGGATGGGTGGAAAGAAGAGTGATGAAGCGCTGTCCGACCGTGCCTGTTGCCCCAAGCACTCCCACCTTGAGAGGCTGCATTGGCAGTAAGCAGAAAGTCGAGTCAACCCATAATTATCCGACGTCACACCCGCTGACTTACTTTCACAGCTCTTTCCCTCCATGTCCACCACCGGTGAGTCTACCTCACCGTCCGCGATAATTCCATCTCAATGCTCAATTCAGCCGCGCGTCGTGGTCGGCCGAAAATCGTACGTGATGAATGCCCTGCTTTAACCAAGACACTCACACCGTTCCAGAAACCGCCACGACGGGTATGACCTTCTTCATGTTTTAGGCGAGCGTTAATAGTGCCTCAGCATGGCCCTGACGTGTCTATCGAAAAGACATGGGCCGATCTAGCTCATAACATTCGGGAAATCCAAAACCACAATGCACCAAACTTATCCTTCGAAGAGAACCACCGTTTCGCATATAACCTTGTGCTTCACAAGCATGGCGAAATGCTCTATAATGGAGTTATACAGCTCATTGCTGAAGACCTCGACAACCGCAGCAATGAACATATCTTCCCCGCATTCCCTTCTGGCTCCTCCGATCCAACTGTGCAAGGTCAAGAGGCCGAAATGCTGTTGAAAGCATTAAGACGTGTTTGGGACGACCATACGAGTAATATGGTCAGGTTGGGTCAAATTCTCAAGTATATGGTGCGGCAAACGGCTCCATCTCTGTCACACTTTGCTCATTCAGTCAACCAGGACAGAGTGTACACCAAATCAGCTCAAGTTCCTGAAATCTGGGACGCCGGTCTCAGTCTTTTTCTAAAGCACATTATTCGTCCTCCAATACAAGACCAGATTGTGGCAGGTGTTCTCAGTCAAATCCATTCTGAGCGCGACGGTTATGTCGTGAACCGCTCGGGGATCAAGGGCTGCGTAGATGTCTTGCTGACTCTGCAAGTGCAAGCTGGCACCAAGACCGTGTACCAGCGTGATCTTGAACCCCTTCTTCTGAAAGAAAGCGAAGTATTTTACAAGGCAGAGGGCAAGAGATTACTCGAGTCGTGTGATGCTTCCGAGTATCTTCGGAAGGTAAGAACGTGGCATATTTTTTTTCGGCAGTAACAACGTGTTCATAGGTTGAAAGCCGGCTTGAGTCAGAAGATTCCAGGACCCACCACTATCTTTCACGCAATACGGCTGCTCCGTTGCGTCAAATTCTACAAGACAATCTTCTTACCGCCCACCTCTCGTCCATTGTGTCAATGGAAAACTCTGGATTGGACGTCATGATTGATTTGAACAAGATACCAGATATGGCACGCTTGTACCGCCTCTTCCTATCGGTAACACCGGGGATGGCCTGCCTCAAACGCGCAGTACGCGACTCCATTCGAAGGAGAGGGGAAGCCATTAACCATGCTTCCTCTGGAATGGAGGAGGGAGAGAACGGTGAAAAGCCGACGAAAACTCGCGCTGCAGCAGGGGCACAAACTCTCACATTAGCGCTCAAATGGGTGCAGGATGTTTTGGACCTCAAAGACCTGTTCGACAAAATATGGACTGAGGCGTTCTCCAATGACCATGATTTAGAGGAGGCTATTAATGAGGTCAGTCCAGACTATCGTCACTTGCGTTTCCTCACTCATTCTTGCGAGTAGACTTTCCAATCTTTCGTCAATTCAAACGAGCGGGCTTCTGAATTCATCTCTCTGTTCATTGACGACCATCTTAAACGAGGTCTAAAGGGTGTGAGTTAGCACCTTCGCACGTTTGCTCTTCTGCTGAAAGCACCACTAGAAAACTGATATGGAGGTGGATCTCGTTCTCGACAAGTCTATCACCGTGTTCAGATACCTCACCGAGAAGGACGTATTCGAGCGATATTACAAGGGTCACCTGGCCAAACGCCTCCTCCACGGACGATCGGTGTCTGATGATGCAGAACAGGGCATGCTGGCCAAACTCAAAGTGGAATGTGGCTACCAATTCACGCAGAAATTGGAGGGGATGTTCAACGACATCAAGATTTCAGAGGAGACGATGAAAGCCTACAAGAGACACCTTGCTTCTACGTCGGTACGCTTCAGACTGTTTCATCGCTGCGTTTGGAATGAAATAACATTCCAGGCACCTCAAATCGATATCTCAGTCATCGTGATGACATCCACCTTTTGGCCCTCGGCACAATCCGATTCCGGCTGCACACTACCTCTAGCAATGATCAATGCCACTCGGTCGTTCGAGCTATTCTACCTATCGAGACACTCAGGCCGGCGGCTGACTTGGCAACCGACATTCGGGAACGCTGATGTTCGGGTTACTTTCAAAGCTCGCAAACATGACTTGAACGTGGCAACATTGGCGTTAGTCATCCTTCTCTTGTTCGAAGACCAACCCGACGATGAATTCTTGACCTATGAGGCACGTCATTATAGTCTATTTACTCCGCACGCTCATTCCCTTGCAGGAAATCAAACAGGCAACATCCATAGCTGATCCCGAGCTGCAGCGACATCTGCAATCACTTGCATGCGCCAAGTTCAAGGTCCTCAAGAAGCACCCTCCTGGTCGTGATGTTCATCCATCTGACTCGTTCTCGTTCAACAATGACTTCACATCGAATCTACAGAAGATCAAGATCAGCACGATTTCGTCCAGAGTGGAAAGCGGAGAAGAGCAGAAAGAGACGCGAGACCGTATCGACGAAGAAAGACGACACCAAACAGAGGTGCTGTCGTTTTTCTGTTTTTGAGGTTGGCTTACTCAACATCATCACCGCAGGCTTGTATCGTCCGCATCATGAAGAGCCGCAAACATATGACCCATAACGACCTTGTCACTGAAGTTACTCGACAGCTCGCAGGCCGTTTCCTGCCTAATCCATTGATTATCAAGAAACGCATTGAGGGGTTAATTGAGGTGAGAATGGCCTTTTTTCGAAATGCGTCTAACCCTGGTCAGAGGGAGTATCTTGAGAGATGTACAGACCGCAAGTCATATAACTACATGGTTAGCCATAGTTGTGTTGTTGCTTCCCTCTTACCGTTTTTAGGCGTAGTGGAGGATGAGTCAGCTGTACTTGTACCAGCATCACACATTTCTGTATTTCTACTCGCACTTTCCGACCCAATTCATGATCACGAATCCACAAGTCCCGACACACAAAAATGCATTGTACCCGAAAGAGTGAGATAGTGACAGCAACTAGCTACCAACTGCAGAAGTGTCCAAATGAGTGAAAAGTCCGACCTCCATTGAGTAGAGATAGCGAGGAAAACTGAGATCATTGCTGTGTGCTGGCTGCAATGATGGCAGCATCAATGGCGGGTTGTCGCTGAGGGGATTTGTCGTTGTCCCAGTCGTTTCCGAAGGGCACGATAAGGTTCTTCCCCACATCTTTGCCAGAAAATCCGGCATCCACCACGGAAAGACTTCCGTCCTGCTGCGAGGATGTCAGAGTGTTGTTATGGGTAGCAAGCAAGATCTACTGACCTGGAAGATTTGCGAGAATTTGGAGACGATTTGTTCATCGAAACCAATCTGTCGGGCTACAGTCTTACGCTGGATGTCGTCGCGGAAGACCTCGAGTGCGCCGTTATGTTGAGCAAGAACCTAGTAGAGAAAATTGTAAGCCAACTTGACGCATAGATTGGCACATTCGACGAACAATTGTTTGGGTCTCAACATTGCAGATCTACGAAGAGTCAATAAGAAAACATTGCAAACGACACGGAAAGTCTGACTTGTTCTGTGATTATTCTAAAGGTCAAGGTCAGAAGGTGACTGGGGCGAGATTATGATGTGACGTGCCTCTTCGCCACCTCCTGCAAGATAGCAAGGCGTTGTTGAACAAACTCGATCTGTATGTCTTGGCATTGAACTTGGGTCTCTTTGACCACAACGGTTTGGGAGTTCCGGTCTGAGGGAATGCTCAGTTTAATGATTTGATTCGTGTGGAGCTGAGGAAGCGTACCACCACGGAAGTTTCCTAGACCGTTGAAATCATCGAATCCTTGGAGTGAAGCGATGTTGTTGAAGTTGGAAAAAGAGACATTGCCGTTACCGCGGGCCTGCAGGGTAGGAGCAGGGGCATTGCGGAAAGCTAGTGGACAGCTGAGTTTCTTGCATTGCTCTGACTGGACAAAGAATCTTTACCAAGTGCTTGGTCACGTCGGAACGATAGCGGCTTCGCGAAGACCGAGGTCAAAGAAAGAAGAGAGACCAAGAGGACGGTAAGTGTGGTGAACATGGTGAAGATGCTTTTGCGATGGAAAGTGAAGTCTGTCGTTTGTTGAGACGAGACGAAAGCCGCTAATCTGCGACGCACCTGCGAAGTTGGAGCAGGCCGACCCGGGCGAGGGAAAATAAGGGGATGAACGATGAACTTGAAGGGTGCGAAAGGGCAACCTGGCCAAAGGACGAAAGAAATTCGAAGCCGAAGGTGAGGAATCCCTTGAGAAGCGTTTCTGTTTTATAGGGGACCAGAACCATGACTACGGCGAGAAAAAACCTCCAGTCGACCCAAAGAGCTGGATATGCCGTTCGTACCCACAAGCGATTGAAAACATCAAGTCAACATCTTTTGAGTCGATACTGCGTCCGATCCTTCTGACCCTGGGATCAACATGCTCCAATTAGTTTCTGGACGCGTCTTCTGGGCAAAATCGACGTTATGGAAGTGATGAACGAGAGCAAGGATGTCACGGTAGGAGAACACCTTCAGGGAAATGACTCTGACCTTGAATACTGAGCAGACAGTAAGTTTGGGAGGTTCGGCATCTTTTGCAGGGTCGCGTCCGTGAATGATGTTTGTGAGCAGAATAATGAGGAATTAACGACGGCGTTTATTTGCGTCGCAACAGAGACCGATTCGCCCAATAGAAGAGGTCAAAGGCAAGATGCGAAAGATCCGAGCCATCCGACGTAGGTGAGGAGAAGATTGGTTGCTTGGCGCTGTCAATGACTAGATCCGCACGTGGCAGGTAACAATTCGAACTAAAAATAGTGGAATCGGCTGGTTTCCTTCGCATTCCCAAAAACGTACACAGGAAAAAGTATTAATCGGATATAGCTATCTTTGCTTTCGAGCTCAATTTAACTTCTGCAGCTATCGCAAAAGTACTAGTAATCATCAGGGCTCCGTCCATCTGGGTGAAGCATTCAGTGGTCGCTACCAATAAAAGGATGGCTACACACTTAGCTGAACTGGTTGATGAAGTAGGCGTTCTTGGAGGCGAAGTAAGCTTTCTCAACCGAGTGACGCGAGTCAGGCTCAACCCAGTTGTTGTGGGAAACGATGACTGTGTGGGAGCCAATATCGCTCCCACTGAAGCCCCAGTCGTCGGTGGACAAGGATCCATCGTTGTTGAAGAAGTGCTAGAGAACTGAGTATGGACCCTGAGTAATTGAGTCAACGACACATACCTCGAAATGAGAGGTGATCCCCTGGTCATAGCCGACTTGGAAGCCTGAGTGGCGGCGGAGGTCGTCGTGGAAGTGACCGAGAGACTGATAATATTGCTCGAACACAACGACTTGTGTTTCGACTTCGCAGGACAATTCGGTGACAACACGGCGGGCCATCTCGGTCAGGACAGCGAGCCTCTGTTGAATGATCTCGACCTGCTGGGAATGGCAAACAAGCTCTGGACTTTGTTCAATGATAGTTTGGTGGCGACTGCGACCATTGAAGTCTGTGGATCGCCCATTAGACAAATAAATAAATAAAACTAGAGGGAAATCTGACTGTCGATGCCATAGAAGTTGTCGAAGTTGGAGGTAAAGCCGATGTTCTGGTAGTTGTTGAAACTGATGTGACCGAAGGTCCGGCGATCGACTGGTAGAGGAAAGGACACATGAGAGTGGGATCAAGTGAAACGAACTTGAATTACTAGATCGGGCAGCTGGGATCGCCACAGAGAAGACGCCACTGGCGAAGGAAGAGGCAACGATGAAAGGGAGAGCAAGTTTAGCAAACATGGCTGGAGAACGAATAAAAGATGGTAAGAGGCTGCCGGGCCAAATGAGAGAGAAGAAGGGAAACGAAGGAAAGAGTCGATGATAAGGCTGAGGTCATAAGGGACCGCATTTTATAGGTCAGACCCACGACGTAGCTGTCAGTAAGAAGTCGCAGAGACGCAGCCAACGATCTCGCCAAGAGTTTACCTGTGGATGACAGTGAGCAGTGCTTGAATGGGAAGCCTAGTGATTGGATGTTGGAGGGCACGGCCTGACATGCCGCTCAGTGTCGACAACTTGTTGACAATGCGCATTCTTGAATGCTTAACGACGAGCAAGAGATTGAGTCACCGCACAATGTGTCTCTGTACAAGACAGACGTTGGCCGTCATGCGATAAGTTGCTGTGTTTTAGAGCACTACAATAACAGCGTCAGCCTCTGTATATGCCCAGTATAATGCATCAGAGTGTAGAAACCCCGCTTGAGACCTTCACAGACCTAATGAACAGGTTAACCAGAGCCTGGTAGGTGACCTTGCGGAATCGGTCCTGCTGGAATGATGGATCAACTTTTCAACTGTTAACAGGCTGGCAGATTCAGAGTGCCATTGTGCGCTGAACTATCTTTGAATGGACGTGCCAAGAACATTTGAAAGGACGGAAGCAACGACAGGCCGCCTTTGAAGAGCCTTTGAAGGAAAGCAAAATAATGATATTGGTCTCCTGTAAGCTTGTATGGTTATAACTCGTCATGCCTCGAGTCAGACGGGTGGAAAGCTTCCGCCAGTTCTAAAGCTTGTCAAGAAAATGCCACGGGGCTTAGAGAAATGACTTACTGCGACGAATCGGCGGCGATATTTCTGTCGGTAGGACCACATTATATTCGACGTAGAGGTCTCCAAACGTTGGTTTTTCGAAATGAGGCATTCCCTCCCCCTCTATGGTTTGCACAAAACCTGAAAGGGAATTGGGATATAATTCAAACCTGGACTGAGGCTGCGCACCTGGTTGAGTAACACCTTTACGTTGTAGTCGAACAACATGTCCATCGAGGTGCGTCAAATTGCGATCGAATCCCAAAAGTGCCTGTAGCTATTGAGGGGACACTCAAAACGCGCAAGAGAAGATAAGAACCTCGTCAACACCAATAGTTTCTCGCCAGTAGAGACTGCTCTCCTTTCTTCGCCATCCACCCTTGTTCTTACGGCTGCGAACTCGTAAAACAACATCTCCGGGCTCCCAATCGGGACTTTCATCGCTTTCGCCTTCAAATACGACTTCGTGGCCTTCAGGCATGCCAGGTAGAATATCGAGCGTGTAGTGACCGGAATAATCGACGACCTAAGGTGATCAGCAGACACTCAATTCGACTACCAAGCTTAGTTACCTTCTCACCATTGCAATGCGGACATTTCTTGCCAATAACCTTCCCTCGTCCACCACAATCATTGCAGGTTGTTTGGCTCTGAGCGAACATCCCAGGGAAGATTTGTTGCTTGACCAACCTTACTCCAGAGCCTCCACAGCCTGAGCAGGTATGGATATCTCCATCTGACGCAGCGCCAGATCCTCGACAGTGGTCACAAAGAATATGTTTCTTGATCATGAACTGTCCAAAATTTAGCCACGTTCGCAAGATGGTCATGGCACTTCACGTCAATGTTTGCACCCTTATAGCTGCAAATCCCTTTTCAGCAACAAACGAAGAGCGATTAGAAATCAATTGACGCACATGTCAGAAAGCTCGACTTCGAACTCGGTAACAGAACTAGGACCACGTCGCGCTTGTTGTTGGTGGTCTGGGATATAGTGCGTAAGCAGATAGAGATGTGGAATAGCAGCTTACGGCCGCCACCGAAGAAATTAGAGAACATGTCGAAAGGATTTGCGTGGTGCTGGCCACTTTCGTGTGCCTTGAGCCCCTCCTACGACACAAGGCGTTGAGTGAAAACGTATCCATTGGAAAAGCTAGTCTGACCTCTCCATGCCGGTCATAAATTTCGCGTTTCTAAAGGAATTGTCAAAGGTTTATCGAGAAAGTGTCTGCTGTGATACTTTTGGGTCAGACAAAACCTCATACGCTACAATAATTGAGCATTTGGGAATAAACCGCCCTAGAGTTGACATACCGTGAGCTATTTCGACAAAACGGTCCTCTGCTCCGGGGTCCTTATTCTTGTCGGGGTGGAATTTGCGACTGAGTTTCTTGTAGGCATGACGAATGTCCTTGTCCGACGCTGATTTGTGGACGTCTAATATTTTGTAAAGGTCGGCAGCATAGGCAAGATCGAGAATAAGGAGAAGGAGGGAGAGGAGAAGGACCCGGAGCATGGGTAACGAATGCGCGCGATGGACGCGCTCTGAGAGATTGACACGTTGACTTCCTCAAGTTACGACCACATGACTTTATAAGCGTGTTTTTTTATATCAAGTTTCCAATGCATCCACAACACCCAAAGAAGGAGTAGTAGCAGATCGGCTTATAGTGTCTGCCCCCAAGCCAACTGTAAAGAGAAGTCTTGCAGTGTGACGAGGTGACGTCGCGTCGGTTTTCCGCTGAAGAGAACTTCTACCACGGTCAAGATTATTATTTCAACCGCTTTCCTCTGCTTGCTTACACTCACTTTCCAATTCAGAAGGGACTCGAAGATGAAGATCGCGATTCTCACCTCTGGGGGTGATAGCGCGGGCATGAATGCAGTTGTGCGGGCAGTTGTCAAAGCTGCTATCCTCAAGTCAGATATATTCCAGCCATCCCACCCCTCCTAATGCATCGCAGAGGCTGCGAGGCATGGATTGTCCGTGAGGGCTATGAAGGCCTCGTTCGCGGTAATGTGGACGCCAGTCCTAACTCGGCGCTTCCCCCAGAAGCAGAATATACCGATTTCCCAATTGCCGCTATGAACATCATAAAAAACCTTCGTTTTGGAGACGGACAGCTTTTAAAGGATGGAATCGGTGACTACGCATCTGGAAGGACCCTCAAAGGCCGTTACATAGTCAGGGTTGGTTGGGACGATGTTCGAGGCTGGTTCACTGAGGTACGCAAATCGGATTAACTGTTGGTTTCATGTTATAAATCTCTCCCCTCATAGGGCGGAACACTTATCGGCACAGCACGGTCCAAAGAGTTTAGAACCCGGGAAGGGCGACTTGCTGCCGCCCACAACTTGATCAAAGAAGGGATCGACGCTCTCGTTGTCTGTGGTGGAGATGGCTCATTAACTGGAGCGGACGTCTTCAGAGCTGAATGGCCAACGCTTGTGGCAGACCTCCACGCACAATGTGGGTCAGCCCCATACTTTCTATCCGCACTCAATTCGTTTCAGCTCTAATCAGCCAGGAACAAGCCACCAATCATGCCCATCTCAAAATTGTGGGTCTGGTGGGGTCAATCGACAACGACATGTCTATGACTGACCTTACAATCGGCGCTCCAACGGCTTTACATCGTATTTGCGAAGCTATCGATAACATTAACTCGACAGCTACCAGTCACTCGCGCGCTTTTGTCCTGGAAGTCATGGGAAGGCATTGCGGATGGCTAGCTTTACTTGCTGGTGTAGCGCAAGTCTGACCCTCTCCTCCCTATGTTAAGCTAATCATCCCCCAGCGGAGGTGCTGATTTCTTGTTCATTCCTGAAAAACCTCCATCATCGCGGCCATGGGAGGACGAAATGTGTGCTACTATCCAGAAGGTAGAAAACAAGTTCTCAGCGTTGCCTTTTTGACGGCCTTATGTGTAGCATCGTGAAGTTGGCAAGCGTAAAACCCTCGTTATCGTCGCAGAAGGAGCGCACGACATTGATCTCAATCCCATCCGTGCGGAGTATGTCAAGGAAATATTGACGGACCGACTAGGTCTTGATACCCGAGTTACAACACTGGGGCATACCCAGCGGGGTGGTCGGCCTTGCGCTATGGACCGCATTCTCGTGAGATAGCTTGTGTTTGATTACGTTCTTTTCTGACGATTCTAGCCCACACTGCAAGGCATGAAGGCCGTAGAGGCACTTTTGGAGGCAAACCCAGAGACACCCTCCTTCATGATTGGCATCCAAGAGAACAAGATAACGACGGTTCCGCTCATGGAGGCTGTGGCAATGGTGTTGTGTCTCTCTTGATTCCTTGGCGGGTGTTAACATCACAACAGACCAAAGCAGTGACAACTGCTATTGAAGAACGTGACTTCGAAAAGGCAATGAAACTGAGAGATCCTGAATTCAGAGAGAGTTTAGAAGGATTTTTCGCAACGTCCGCCCTTTCTTCCTCTAAAAGGCTACCCGTCACTAAGGTTTTCTTTTTTGCTCTACTCGGTAAACAACCTTCTGATTCTAGATTAGAGGATGCGTGTTGCAATCATGCAGTCGGTCTCTTGTCGGCTCTGTTTCTTGGATATTAATTCGGCCATAGCATGGGCGCGCCGGCAGGAGGAATGAATGCAGCTACGCGTGCTGCAGTGCGGTATTGTCTTGGGCAAGGACATACTCCACTTGGCATTCACAACGGATTCCGCGGGTTATTTGACGACGACTTTGCTGAATTGACTTGGTTGGGCGTTGACTCTTGGATGGCCCGTGGTGGCTCAGAGCTCGGGACCAATCGCACCCTGCCGTCGAAAGATCTTGGCGCTGTTGCCTCCAAGTTCCAACAACATTCACTGCATGCTCTGCTCATGATAGGTGGCTTCGAGGCCTTTACCGCGTTGCAAATTCTTGAAGAAGGGAGAAAACATTATCCCGCCTTCCACATTCCCATGGTCCATTTACCAGCCACTATCAGCAATAACGTCCCGATGACGGAGTACAGTCTGGGAAGTGACACCAGTCTGAATGCACTTGTAGAAGCTTGCGACGCAATCAAACAGAGTGCTAGTGCCAGTAGAAACCGTGTGTTCGTGGTTGAAACGCAAGGCGGAAAGTGCGGTTACATCGCGACAATGGGTGCACTAGCAGTAATATCCTCCTCTCTCTCGTATATCCAGCGTTGACTTGTTTCAGGTCGGAGCGGTTTTAGTTTATACTCCAGAAGAGGGTATGAACCTAGACACGTTGAAGCGTGATGTGCGATTCCTCAAGGCCCGTTATAAACTTGACGAGAAAGGAAAAGCCGAAGGTCGCCTCGTTATTCGGTAGTTCCATCCCTCCGCGCAGTCTCTAGACTTTTCTAACTTCAGCTCTCAGCAACGAGGTAGCTTCGTCGGTTTACACCACTGATGTTATCACGAAAATCTTCAAAGAGGAGGGTGGCTCTCTTTTCGACTCCCGTTCCGCTTCTCTAGGACACACGTTACAGGGTGGAATACCATCACCTATGGACCGTGCGAGGGCAGTTCGTCTGTCATTGAAATGCATGGTCTTCCTCGAAAAACATCACGACCTGCTTATGGCTCAGCCTCCGAAATCTCGAGTGGCCCCTTCAGAGAGTGCTGCGGTCATTACAATCCAATCAAGCTCTGTCACCTGGGTCCCAGTTCAAGAGATGGTCCAACACGCCGATATGGCAAATCGTCGGGGAAGAACACCATGGTGGGGAGACATGAAAGATTTAGTTGAAGCCCTTGTTGCACGACCACAACTTGGCCAACTCCATGCCACCGATCTCGATGTACTTTAGAAAGAGTTTTTGTCGTAGAAACATAGATGACACGTGTCTGATTGATTTGTTTGGTCACAGTCACGCGTCACGCGTCAATCTTGCTCCCGTCCGTGAGCCATGTCTTCACGTCCCGCCCTCCCAAGCCAACTCGCCAACACCCACATCGCTTCCCTTCGTCAGTTCACTTACGGCCCGCAAGGTCCTCCGCTCACCAACCTGCAGTTCAAAGTGGGACGATACCTCCCGTCAAGTACCAAATTCTCAATGTCCAAGGAGGGACCGAGATCCTCGTGCGTGGCATCACCTTAACTTTGTCTATTCGTGCTCAGAACATATAGGTTGGTCGCCTCAAAGTAGACACGCCAACTCCATCGGGTCACGCCTTCATCCTGAGACGTTATGATACTGGTGCTGTATCATTAACCACAATGTTCCGTGCTGCCTACCCTATGGCTGATGCCGGTGCGTATCCTAAGACTGGACTCAATACGCCTACTTATCTGCCTGCTCCAGAGTCGGAGAAACGAGAATTTCAATGGGTCAAGGAGAACTACGATCTGTCCGGCAACAACGGCTCCTCTCGAGACCCTAGTTCTATTCCACGACTGGCTGGAACCTGGGTTAGCACAGACGTAGCTATCGAGCTCGGAGAGGCCTATTCTCTTGGAGAGCTCATTCACAGTGTTGTCGAAGCACAACCAGACCCCAACGCCAACTATCGTCGCTCAGGCAAAGGCAAAGATGGTGCTGCAACCACACCGTCGAAGACATTGCCCACTCCTCCCCGAGCATCTCCAAATCCACCCACTAAACGCAGAAAGGAGGCATCACCAGCCCCCGCTCCTCTAGTTGTTTCGCCTCGGCGTTCTGCACGGACTAAGAGCCCGAAACCTGCGTCTCAACCTATACCCTCACTGACATCAGTGGTCAAAGCATCCAAGAAGAGTTCGCGGAGGACGGAAGTGGAAACATTGGCCGGATCAGATGAGACTGCTGTAGATGATGATGCTGGAGTTGCTGCTGTTGAGGGATCGGCGTCGTCGGAGTTGCGAGAAGAGGATTTGGCCGAGCAGCGCAAGCTCATCAGCGATCTGAAAGAGCAGCGAGACAAGGCGCGAAGTGATGTTTCGAAGACAGTCAAACGCGCGCGGGAAGATGAAGACAAGCCGCTAGCCTTTGATTTCAAGGAGCCTCAAGTCGGCGAACGAGTAATTGCGACCAACAGCCGAATTTCTCCCAGCCAAAAGTCGGCTGTCTGGGGAGTGATGGCGTTTGCATTTGGTGTTACAGCGGCCTCTTTTCTACCAAACCTCTTTTAATCAGTCTACCTCTCTTACCTATATCAGTAAGTATTTCTTGTATCACCGTATTCGGAACACCTATTTGTTTGTATGGGTTTGTAGAATATAAGTACATACGTTCGTCCTTCTCCACTCCCTCTACTTGCATGCCAGAACCCCACCGGGCTGAGAGTAAAGACCGCTGATGAACAGGTGACCATCATGGTCTCGTAGGCCTGTCGTCGATGTGGAGAAGACGGTGCCATTGCTCTGAAAAAGCGTCGTTACTTTATTGTTTTGGTCGATGGAGACAACCCAGCTGGGTGCGACGGCCTCTGCAGTCGGATCAGACTTGACTTGAAGCACAGAGCCGAAATGAGGATGGCCAGCGACGACCAATTCGCCCGAGTGGTCAAATTCAAGGTTATCCGGGTGGAACGGCACGGGGACAGCGGCGGTTTGGGTCAGAGCGTTGGTTTTCTCGTTTCGCGCATAGATGTAGACTAGGCTACGAGATGTTGAGGCGATCGCGACTTTGTTTCCCGAGGGTGAAATGGCAACACCGTTTGCGTACGGTACGAATGGCGCGGCGAATGCGTGGGAAACGATAGGTTTGAGAGCCAACGGATCTGGGTCAAGCGTGATGTGCGAAACCCAGGCCAGAGGGAGCGTCAACACTGTTTCAATGAGGGGGAGGATGTTGCCTAGCGGAAACGGCAGTCTGCGAGTGAGCAAGTGGTCGTTGGAAAGGTAGAAGGAGTTGGGTGAGGTGAGCGAGATGGAATTGGGGGCAATGAAATATGGCGATGTGAGGGTTCGGATGTATGTTGCAGAGGAAGAGCCCGGAGACAGCGTGAACTGTTCAATGAAGCTTCGCTTTCTAGCGTGGTTGACAACAAACAAGTTGCTGGGTGCGTCTCCATGAAACGGAGAAATGGCTACACCCAGTGGATGGAAATCATGCTGGGAAGGAAAATTGTCAAGCTGCAGACGTCGGGGAGTCGCAGCCACATTGTCTATAACCCACAGCGAGCCATGTGGGTCTGGGTTGACCATTGGGCTGAGAACCGTATTCCATGCTTTACGGCCAGGGTCGCAGCTGACCAAAACCCTTTGTTCGCTAGTGTTTCTCAGCTCCCAAAGCGTTGCGTCTTCGCAAAATGTGAACTCTGGTGCAATTTTTACAGCACAGTCCGATGCAGCCCCGCCAGAGTAGTGCACCAATGGCAGCTCGCGTTTGAAAAGCATCTGTCTGAGGGGGTGCTTGTTTCGCCATAGCACGACGCTCTAGAAAGGTTTAATCCTAATTTCAATCGTACAATTGAACTCGACCCACAAGACATAAAACTCCCACAGAGAGAACTTTCATGGTGGAAGTTGAAGAAGCAGGTCGGACGTCCACCGTTACCCGGACGCGCTCTAGTTCAAGTTTATATCCCGCTAACTAGAAGGCGCGTAAGTAGTTTTCCACTGCAGGAATTGGTTGAAACTGCATTTGGACTGACGCTTGCTTGTGTTCAAGTTGTTGATTACATCGTATGATAGGTTCCGCTATGCTACTGCTGATAGTACAAGTCATCTTAGACTACATCCGTCCCAAGTTCAGTACTTGGGAATTCTCCAGCAGCTGAAAGGTAGGTTAGAGCAAATCGACCAGCTTGACGACATTGCTCCACATACAGAAGATCGTAATTCTCGTGGATGGCTATTTCTTGGCCACCAAAGGAGACGTGAAGTGCACCGAGATGGAGTCCTGCCTTACCGGGTATCAGAATATCATTATGTAAGCCGCGTCCATGGTAGAGCTTGTCGCGAATGTTCTCTTCGTACTAGAAATCACCGCGTGAGTTGGGCAGACAATAGATCTTAGGTGAGACGCTGACTCCTCCTTCAATCGGCCTACGGCCTTGTGGAATACGACCTGTGTGTTGTAAGACTTGATCAATTGGATTGTGAGCTAGAACTACCATGTGAAGTTGGTACCCACTCCATCGTCGAGTCGTCGAACAACAAGAGATCATATCTCCCTTCGTGGAGGTGCTCTCCTCCACCGTAGGGTACCTATTATGGCTAGTCAGACAACAGCACTGGATGTTTCGTATGGCTCACACTGCATGGAGATGGGTATAAGTGTGGGCCTTCGGCAACATCAGCTTGCTAACTGGGAAAATCAAGTTTGGATGCCGACCTATTTTGCAAGGATGGACAGATTTGAGAGTAGTCTGGTCGTCGTGGAACATAAGTGCTGAGCCAATATAAATGGGTTCTCCCCCCAAATCATGGAATGGGGCAGGACCAGCTCGTTGAAGATCGTGTTCAGTCATATGCGTAGAAGAATTCAACGCGAGACGGAATCCAGAAGGTGGCTGACTGGATTGCATGTAGTTCGGAGGCGGAGCAGAAGGCTGGCCATGCTTCTCATCGTGAAACTGAGGCTCTGGGAAAGCTGTATCCATGATTGTGGTGGTGGTTAAGCTGTCGTGTGGCGGTGCATCTTGTCGATCACGAATCAAAATTACTATATTGGTACAATCTACGTTGTGCTCCTCTCATCTTCGCGGTGGAGGAGGTGGAAGCTGCACTTCCTCAAATCCCCAGTCCGACATCGGCGGAAGTTGATTCGATGGTTGGTCCTTCACCGTTACCGCTTCCATCGATCGCACAAGTGAACTGGAACTGTTTTTTGTGATTCGTGGGAGAAGTGAAAAGACATACTGGAGTTCCGAGTTTCTATACAATGCCCATACCTTGCATTCCTCTTTGAATTCGTGGAACAGCTGAGCAAGGTTATTGTAGAATTGAATGCCCTCGTTGAGATTCTTCACGATTTCGCGATACTTTTGGAAGCTCTGCTCCAGCGATCGCAATGCTTCTTCTCGTGCTTTAACGCTGGAATCTTCCCGGCGACTTTGTACGAAGAGGTCGTTATATCGCTGGCACATAATTTTCACTTTTCGGTTGAGGCCATAAACTGCATCACAAACCTTGATATCTGCCAACAATTCGTTCTGTTTACTCTCTGCCTTGGCCACTTCGTCGAGAAACTTGTCATACTTGGCAAGTTCTTCGTCCATAACATCCTCAAAGATTTCTGGTTTAACCTCGGCAAGTCTCTCCAAACCGGAGGCGGCACTAACGATGCGTGAGTGAATGTCATCAGCGGCTTCGAGGCTTTGCGCCCGTCGAACGAAGTCTTGAAGGTTGCGATGTAGAGTGTCTAGAGCTTCCAAAGCCACACGCAACAGCCGTGCATGTTTTGATGACTCAGTATCTTGAGAGCTGGAGATGGTTGTCGAGGGAACAACTGCTTCGAGTTCGGACTATTCAACTGAGTCAATTGGTCGCGATGACAGGCTATGAACATACCTCCTCTCCAGCGAGAAGAATGATGCTGGCCTCCCAATCATCCCATTTTTGCTGTACAGTCTCATCGCTCTCTGCGGCTCGAGCGAGAATATCCCTGAATCGTCGCTCTTTCTCGACGAGCTCAACATTGGCTTCATAAGAGGGTGCACGATTATATGATGGATCTGATCTCACTGCCTCGTCTTCAGATGCCTCATTGTCCAAGATGTCCATAGCCTATGTCATGTGATCAGACGAGGAGTGAGCCAAAACCAGAGGCAAGAAATGTACTTCACTGATTATAACAGCATCTTGACGAGCGAGGCGGTCCCGATCGGCCAATGCAGCCTCAATTCGTGCTGGTCCCTCTTCGCGCCTGACTTGCTCCGCTTTTTGCAACAAGCTAGGAGGCAAACCAGAAGAACGCTCCAGCGCTTCGAGGGCAGACGGTAGGTTTTGTTCACGTAGATTCCTAGAACAAGTCGGGTTACGACTGAGAGTAGACGAAACAAACTCACTCGTCTGCAGTGTCCTTGAGTCGTTGAGCAGCTTCTGATATACGATCCTGGACAAGATGTGACTTGCGGTCGTTGTAGATATCTAGATGAGAGAATTTGATGTCAAACTTGCGAGTGTAGACCAAGACATACCGATCGCTGCACGTGCTCCCCAACCAATCAAGTCCGCAAAAAGTGGCCCTTCTCGGCCAATGAGGCTGTCGGGATTCGAAAGTCCTGGCACAACTGTGGGTTTGGCAATGTCCGATGGTGATATGAGAGGAAGGGCAGAAGCTGCGGGAACATCATCGTGATATATCAAGTAGTTGTCTCGCTCAGCACGAGCAAAATCTTTCTGAAGGCTATCTAGAAGAGACTAGAGGTCAGATTAGTTTAAAGCAACGCGATGGATGTCGACAAACTTGAACGTCTTGGACAACAGCAGGAGCAACTTTGCCTCGTCGGGCTCCTTCATATGCCTTCTTAGAAGCGGATCGTGCTAGGTCAAGACGTGCAATTTCTGCGCCATAGCTGCCGTGCAGCGTTGAAAATACAGCAAAAGTAGAGGCGAGTGACATACTGGCTGCCTTCCAATTCTGCTAAGCTTTGCCGATATTGCGCGACTGCTTCGAAGTGATAGCGCTTTGCATCGATGTGTGCCAACCATCCCTAAATGCCAAGTTGGAAAGGTTTGAAATCAATTTGGCTTAGCCGTACATTAGGGAAAAGAGGTGTTATGGGGGGAGACGCTGCATGTATTGTTTCGATTGCAGATTGGTACAAGGTGGCAGCCTGTGAACGATTAGCCTAGAGAGTCGCCCTCAGACCAGTAGTCTACGCAACGTGGACTGCGAGCTTGGCCAAAAGTGGATTCTTGAAGTTGCCTATGATTAGCCATAAGAAGAGGTATAAGATGTAGGCATACTACTTGCTCAGCTTCGCATTTTGCCACCAACATTCTTGCGCTTGGGCGAGCATGAGCCACTCTAAGCCATGGACGAATGGCAGCGACAGATCAAGCGGGTTTTCTTCATCATCTTCAGAGAAGGCGACCTTCGGTAGGACCGAGGTGCGAAGGTAGTTGAAGGTGCCTGCTGCTTGCTAGCGAAATTGACATAGCGAATGGATGGGATGTGGGTGCCCACCTGATAGTAAGGAATTGCGCGTTTGATACCATCCGAGTTAGACCGATCCTCTGAGGCAGCCAGTTGGGAGTAGAGGGCAGCAAGGTTAAAAATGACGGCTGCTCTTTCGAAGGAAAGATTCCTCAGTGTAACAGGGACGCTTGAGGGGGAGAATACGTGAGCATAAGCAATCTCGAGTCCGATCTAGCAAATCGAGTCAAAGAAGGTTGCAGGGCTAATATGGCAGCATTCACATCCTGAGGAAGTTTGGAGATGATAGAGAGTAACTGGGCATGGTAGCTGTAAGGAAGAGCTTGAGACGCGCCGAAGACGCGACAAAGAAGCAAACCTCAAAGCAGCATTCACTCGATCGACATGAACGGTTCCACCCAGTGTTTGATTGCGTAAGGACTGCCACCGTGCGATATCGTCTCGAAAGGCATCGGGATGGGCGGCGTTGTGATGAAGAAGGTAGTTTCGAACAGGTTCCTTGATGTCAAGAGCATACGATTTCTTGAATGGTATGGTCAAGAGATTGGACATGGTGGTCAAAGAAAAGAAATAAAAGAGACTGTGACGTCGCTGTTAGTCCGCTTTCGCCGTCCACAAGGAAAGGGAAATCTGGCGACACCGATTTGCGGTCTGTCACGCCTGAGTGTCACACAAACCTCTTCTTCCGCCCTCCGATTCAAGTTGCCAGGCTGCAGCGCCTGGTACTGCCATTGCGCCTCCTTCACTCGTTCCTCACGTCTTCCCTAACGCTTCCCCACGACCGTCATGGCCTATCCCGAACCCACTTCCCCCGGCGGCATGTCGTCTCGTCGACTGACCAACCGCAACACCAATCGCTACAGCGTCACTGCTCTCTTCAGTATGGCTGCTGAGCAGGATGTTGAAGTCGAGGATGAACTGGCTCGCGGTTAGTCTTTCTCGCCGTGCCTACAACATTCATTGCTCACTACTCCCGCTCCTAACAGCCCAAAAGCGACTGCGAGATCTCAAGGGTAAAATATCTGCCCAGTCCAAGAAGAACTTTGTCCTTGAGCGTGACGTTCGCTACCTTGACTCCCGTATTGCCCTTCTCATCCAAAATCGAATGGCCGCAGATGAGGTCCGTCACACGCTTTGCATGGCCTTGTCATTCTCATGTGTTTTAGCAACGCGAAGTTGAAAGAACGCTTGAAGACGTCGATCCTACGGAAGGGCATTACCCTGACGATCGAAAACTCCAGCAATACTCGAATCTTTTTTTCCTTCTCCAATCCGAGCCCCGCCACATAGCCGCGCTATGTCGCCTTGTCAGTCTTTCCGAAATCGACACCCTCCTCCAAACCGTCATGTTCACCCTCTATGGCAACCAATACGAGAGTCGCGAAGAGCATCTCCTGCTGACAATGTTCCAGTCTGTGTTATCTGCGCAGTTCGAGACTGCAACAGACTTCGGTTCCCTTCTCCGTGCGAATACCCCCGTGTCTCGAATGATGACGACTTATACCCGCCGTGGTCCTGGCCAAACTTACCTCAAGAGCGTCCTGGCAGAGCGCATCAACAGCCTGATTGAACACAAGGATCTCAATCTCGAAATCAACCCAGTCAAAGTACCGCTCCTTCCTCCAACGGACCGCAGTCGCTGACTTCTTTACAGGTATATGAGCAGTTGGTCAACCAAATTGAAGAGGAGACCGGACAGCTTCCTCCTAACCTCCCGCGTGGTGTTCCACCAGAGGTTGCGGCCGAAAATCCTGACGTTCAAGCCTTCATTGCACCTCGATTAACCATGCTCATGGAAATTGCCAATAGCTTCTTGCTTACCATAATAGACAGCATGGAGAGTGTGCCGTATGGAATAAGGTGGATTTGCAAGCAGATTCGTAGTCTCACGAGGGTGCGTATCATAGTTCTCTTTCTTCCGCATAATTATTGAGTCATATTCAGAGAAAATACCCGGACGCAACAGACTACGCTATCTGCTCCCTCATCGGCGGATTCTTCTTTCTGCGGTTCATCAATCCCGCTATTGTTACGCCACAAGCATACATGCTGGTAGATGGTGTCCCGGCGAAGCACCCCAGGCGAACACTAACTTTGGTGCGTTACCCCACTGGTGCCTTTTACTCGGCTCTCAATGTCGGCAGATTGCAAAAATGCTCCAAAACCTGGCCAATAAGCCGTCATATGCCAAGGAGGCGTACATGATCACCCTCAATCCGTTTGTAGAGAACAACAAAGCGAGGATCAACCAATTCCTCAATAATCTCTGCGAGGTCGGGGACTTTTACGACACGTTGGAGGTGACAGAATATTTTGAATGCTCATGCGACGTGCTAATCCTTGAGCAGATGGATCAATATATGGCGCTCTCCAAGAAAGATCTTGTCATCCACATCTCGCTCAATGAGCTTTACAACACTCATTCTCTGATTCTGCAACACATCGAAACTCTCGTATGTCCAGTGTCTTGAACTGCCCTCCATTTTATTAACAAATTCCGCAGTCACCGAACGACAAGCAACATCTCCGAATTCTCACTGATGAACTTGGTGCAGCACCCGCGCAGGTGCCTCGGAAGGAGAATAGATCGATTGAATTGAATTTGTACAGCCGGTGGGAGACACCCGTGCAAGACATCCAAAGCGCTCTCATGGACTCGGTGTCGTCAAGCGACATGCTATACATGGAGACCAAGTCCATATTCGTCCAACTCATCCGGTCAATACCTCATGCTGCAGAGAAACGACCCTACAACCTTGCTGCCATTGCTGAACGGGCTGCGACAACCAAAGACCCAACACTTGTTCGCAAGGGTATCAAAGTCAAGGAGATGTTACGGGAGTTGGAAGAACTCAAGATCATTGAGCATTCTGATGGCTTCAAGCTTATGCAGGACGAAGTTGCGGCGGAGCTTGTCCATCTCGGGAATCTGCGGGAGAAGGTTGTTCTGGAAACCAAATCTCTAGACGCCGTCTACAAGACTATCTGCGATCACAACAACTACCTTCGATCGCAGCTGGAGCAGTACAAGGCCTACCTCCAGAATGTCCGAATGAACGCGTCAAAGGACAAGGGCAGTACCACTGGTGTCGGCGTGGTTTCCGTTGGCGGGAAAGAGAAGAAACCAACTAAAGCTGTTGTGCTCGGGCCGTATAGATTCACGCATGCCCAGCTGGAGAAGGAGGGTATCATTGTCGAGAGTAATGTTCCCGACAACCGGTAAGTTGACCTGGAAAGAGTAATCTCTCCTTCTAACCTGTGTGTCAGACGACCCAACATCTATTTCAATATTACATCGCCGACGCCCGGAACCTTCATCATCGCCTTGCATTACAAAGGGCGGGAGAAGGCTATTCTCGAGATGGATCTAAAAATTGACGACCTCTTGGAAAAGGTATGTGGTTTGCTCCTGTTATGCGGTAGTTTTTGACGGGTCGGTGCAGCAAAAGGACAACAAACATTTGCTTGACTTGGAGTACGTTCAACTCAACGTTCCCAAAGTTCTCGGTCTCCTCAAGAAGGTTTTCGCCAAGCGGTGATTTGCATTATACTATCCTTAAGTCTACCCCATTATTTCCTGCTTGTCTGTCCTTTCTTTATTGCGGATGCCACGTCTCTTTCCTTCTCGGATGTGTATTATTCTCTGTACTCTCTGAGACTGTACTTTTGAATTGACCTCCTTTGGTTATGAATTTCAATGGTCACATCATAGGGGCTCCCACGCTCAGTTCTTTCTCTCCTTCCCTTCCCCCGGCGACCTTCATGTTATGGTCGCTTTCGTGGTCTTCATACTTTCGTTCCTCTATACGGCAACGCTAGCTCGTCGTCTAGCCACGCCTCTACCCTCTGTTTCTCTCCCTCTCCAACTGCTACCCCGGGCTATCCAACCCGTCAACAATGTCTCCACCTATTCCGGAATAACTCCCCTCTCTCCGTCTTCGGGGATATACTATGCCGTCGCAGAGATTGGAGGACTGTACTTCCGACTGGCGCTGGATACGGGCTCCTCGGACCTGTGGTTAGTTGGGTCGGGTTGCACAACGCGTTCGTGCAAAGCGGTACCAAGTTACCCGCTTCAACGACAGAGTCCCACTTTTAAATCGGTTAACAACAACCAAACACTCTTCAGTGCAGCGTACGCCGATAAAACTGGTCCGTCCTAATCTGCCCCAGTCGCTTCCGGCCGGTTCACTTTCCGCTAGCTGTACGCGGCTTCGTTGCAACGGAAACCGTACGACTGGCGCCGAACATTACGGTCCAGTCCCAAGCCTTAGGTGCGACTCATGCATTCTCTTTTTTTGCCTTGAAGTTGACTGTGCGCAGCCATCGCAACGGACTGCAACCTCACATTGTCCGATCAAGTTTCTGGGATCCTCGGCTTAGGTTTTCCTCGACTTTCGGGGATTTCTGTGTCAAATTGTACACTAAACTCTACACTTCCCGTGTCCAACCGTTCACTTTGTGGCAGCAACGCCATTTTTTCCCACCCTTGCGCAGCAGGGCGTTCTGGAATATCCTCTCTTTGGGTTGAGCTTGGCTGGCAGTGAAAATGGCTCTCTTTCATTGGGTGAGCACCTGCAAAACCTGTAGGAATTTAGTCTGAGGACTTGTAGGCGCTATCGACTCTCACATCGTCACCAATGTATCGAGGATTGGTTGGAATCCGGTCGTTGAATTTTCACCCCTTGGGACAGAGAGCAACACTTCTAGCTATCTTCACTGGGCTATCGTAAGCTGATCCTCCGTAACCAATAACCCTAGCTCATTGCTCTTACAGCCCATGGGTCAATTCGCCGTATGCCAATTCAACTGTGGATTGCAACGTTGGCTCATCAACCTCAGATAAACACGACACGGCTCACACCTATTCCAACGTATCCTAAAAATACCGGCAACACCTCTTTGGCTCTATTTGACGTGTGCGTTTCTACTTTGACTTCCCATTAACACTGCCGCTTATTTACCCACCTAACAGTGGTGCATCTGGGATTTTTGGCCCATATCAAGACGTGGGTGGATTGTGTTTTTTTTTGCTGATTATTCTTATTTCTGCAGGTGTCACGTATATTCGCGAGCATCGACGGTTCGCGTCTAGTCAACGAAGGTATACATGGAACTACCTCTCTGATCACATGCTGAACGGATTTCAGGTCTTTGGGCTGTTCCCTGTGACACCACAGTACCTTTGATCTTCACTTTCGGGTAGGCTGAAACCGTTCTCTGCGAATACTTTCTGATATGGCCCAGCTCGCAAGAATACCGAATGGACCCCACTGATTACTTGATTGGGCCCGCATCCGGCAATCCAGAAATCTGCCTCTCTTGGCCAATGGCAGCACGACCAAGCGGCGACGGCATTGATTGGCAATTTGGTAAGATCCAGTTGAAGCATAAATCTATTTCTGACCATTTGCAGGCACTCCTTTCATGCGTACTGTCTATTCCATATTTAGGTTTGTTCTTTCAAGCACCAACCGCACGGATTACTAATGACCTTAGCTATGGAATCAACACCAAAGAAAGCCCGCACATTGGATTGTATCCTCTAAAAAACCCGAACGAACACTTGACAGCCGCAAATGTTTCCGCCTACCTTTCATCCATGTCACTCGCTGTCCCAACCACGCTCCCTAATTCTCTTATACCTACGCCCTCCATCTCGACCCCTGGCTATGGATTCAACGCATCAGTTGCTGCTCCTACAGGGGGTGTTGTGTCTTCCGCTCTTGCAACTAGCACCTATAGTGCTATCTTTGGCGAAAGGAAGTCGGCTATCGTCACATCACTACCAATGGTCTCTCTGGTTCCAACGCTGTCTCCTGTTATCACCACAGATGCGCATGGTTCAGTCACTACGTCCACCTCGACTGTACGGCCTTCCTTCATCCTTGGGTTGCCTAATCAAAGTGGCGCACGTGACTTGCATGCAACAGCTGTGTCGCATATCGTCTCGATTCTGCTCCTTGCTGGACTACTCGCATTATAATCAAATGTATTATTTATATGTATTTATCCTTGATGAACAATCATTTGGATTCCCAGACTCTCCACCAGCTCGGTGTCGCTTCGTCCCTCAGGCGATCTGACGAGAAGGCGTAGTCTCTAACCTCGGCCAGCGTTTCATCCTTATCACCAGTCGTGTCTCTAGAAACACCCTAATTGAGCGTGAGTAAAGCCTGAGAGGTAGGGCAATGAGCCGACCAACATCCAAAACAGCATAGGCTTTGGCGCGTTCTTCACTGAGTTGGAAGAATTTGCGGACTCCATTGACCTCCTCTTCCACAAACGGCCGAACTCGAGGGTCCTCCATTGTGTCGTTAGATCTAACAAGGCTCCGTAGTGATTCCGGAGTCAACTTGCTGTCTAGCCAGGATCCCAAGTCTGGGATCAGCAGCGAAGGAGGGACTACGGAGGTGTTCGCCAGTCGCTGCGGCCATTCAGAGGGAATGGTGTAGCTGGCGATGTTGGAGAACGAGGCCAGACTTCCCTGGGGGTACCAGAAGTACTTGGAATGCCTGCCTGGAGCGTCTTCTGTGCTTTTTTCGTTCCAGCCCACGAAACGGCGGAGCCAGGAGTCAGGCGGATTGTTGGAATTGGGTGCTGGTGACCCCTTGGACCAGTGGACACGCTCTACACTGATTCGTGGCTGGGCAGAGTACACTGAGCTGGAGAGATGGGAAGGGGAGACGACCTGACCTCTTCAGAATGCGCTTCGACAACAACCGTTTTGGAGATGTCGAAAAAGGTGAACTGCGCGAGGTATAGAGGAAGCAGGATCGGGTATGCGGCCATCTTATGAGGTCAATAATCACAGCCTTGGTATCAGAGTGAAGAGGCGAACCAAGTTTACTTGAATAGACGAAGGGTCGATGTGGAAGTTGCCGATTGTCGCCGCTTCCGCTGGAAGACGTTTTGCATCTTCGACCATTGGGAATGGTGTTGTCTGGAATGGCAGGCAAGTTATGTTGGTCCCATGTTGTTCTAGCAAGTCGCTAGAGAACGGCACAGCCTCTTCTAGAGACAGATCCGATAGCAGAGAAGTTGTAGATAACTTGTTCATCGTATGGCCTGGGCAAGGAGTTGAGAAATATCACAGCAGTGGCTGTAGTTTTTTTTCACCCGGCAAATAACTGTGCGCTTGATGAGTTGGATCTCACGTAGTATCTTTAGACGCACGAGTTGGTGAATGTTGTGGTGACAACACCCTGGTACGGTTAAGAGTAGACTTTCCACAGAGTCTCCAACGAACCTCAAACCGCGATGCTTCGCCCGAAACGGTCACAAGTGCTTCGACTTCAGCATCTATAAGCCAAGCGGGGAAGTATATCGCAACCATCTTCTCCGGGGGTTGCGGCTTTTGACGCAGCACTTCGTCGAGTGCAGCTTGGAGGTTGTATGACGCGCTGACCATGTAGTTGGACATTTGTTCGAGAGCATCTTGTGGTGAGAGTTTGAAAGGGAAGGCGCGGACTTTTGAGGGATAAGATGAGGTCCAACGAACGAAAGCGCGATTTCTTCTGCAAGCCGACGGCCCATGGCGGAACATGGTTGGCCGTGTATTCGCGACACGTCACGTCGCGTGACAGGCTTTCTCTATACTTTATTCTTTGTCCATGCCCCACGTCCGACTGAACGAGCGAGAGTCTAATCCTAACCCCCTCGTCAACTTCATCACCGTACTCCCTGCCCAAGATGAATCCGAAGCCAAACAACTCTTGCGTGCCCTCGCCGCTCAAGTCCGTCCGATAATGCAGGACCATGGTTTTGGCGTCAACAGCTTGGAAGAGGTGGCAAGCCTGGGTTCACAACACTTGGACACTAAAATTTCTCGTGCAGTATGAGTTCAACAAGGTGTTTGCTGGCCGAAACTGGAATCACGGTGAGACAGTGGAATTGGTTCTACGGGGGCCAAGTGGCCACTTCCTCCCACCATCCCTGCTTATGGGTGTTCTGTGCCACGAAGTATGCGCATTGTTTATCGCGGCTGCCTACTCTTCTTACCTGATAGCCAGCTGGCTCACATTAAGGTCATCTCTTACTACCCAGCGTCTTCATTCATCTGACTCTCATATCAGCACATGAACCATGGACGTGACTTTCAAGCATTATGGAAGAAATTGCGCTCAGAAGTGCGCGGGCTCCAAGACAAAGGCTACTACGGTGATGGCAAGGCCCCTTTCCTTACCCGTTGTTTCCGGCCCTTTGTGATATCAAGGCAGGATTTTGGTCGTCTGGATCTCGTTTACTAGACTCGGCTCATGTCTCGGGCGATGGGGCTACGTCGGGAGAATTTCCCGAATATATGGTACTTATTCCAAATGTGTGCAACGTCGCATGCTTACCAATCTTTCAACAGTGCGGTGGAGCACAGTCACAATCGCGGCCAGCACGCCGCAAGCGCCGCGCGCCAAGAATGCGGGCAGGTGAACCGATAGCCTCGAATAAAACCGGCCGACAGACCGAGAAGAAGCGCAAGGCCGGCGGTCGTGTCACATCCAAGACTGCTTTTGCAGGAGAGGGAAATTCACTTTCTGAGGCGAAGGGCAAGGGAACTGGTTTCCGGAAACGAGCAGCGAGGTGAGGCTAAGCTTACTTACTCTAGGCATCGGTTTGAAGACTTTGTAGCAAACGGGCACGGGAGGAGCGAGCTGAAGCTGCGCAAAAGCGACTTTCCGGTAATAATCGCCGGTTTGAAATACAGATCAACTCAACTGAGAATGTAGGGCCTGAATCCTCATCGCATTTTGAAGGCTCCGCAGAAGAGGATGATGACGAGCTTGTACCAGAAACTGATGTAGAAAGGCGTCGATTACTGTCGCCTGACAGTCACTCAGGGGGAAGCTGGAAGGACTTCGAAAATGAGTTTCTGTTTCGCTCCAGGACACCTAGTGATACTCCACCTCAACCAATAGGCAAAGCAAAAAATGGTATTGTGGCTTGGTTTTGCGGCCATGCTTGTGATCTTATTCCGTCGTCAGATAATTTGGTGCGTTCTGAAATAGCGCTGCGGACAAAGGAAGCGCTGGGTCTCGCTCCAGTCAGCGCTAGCAGTCGTGTCCTTGGTGGAGTTAGGACTCGTCTGCCGCCGCCACCAGTTGAACCGGAATGGGTGTGTCATATTTGTACTCTGTGAGCTTCCCTCCTCGTTACGTCCACCCGCCCTTGACTCGACTTGACATAGCATCAACAAGGGTCGTCTTCTGGCATGCGATGCGTGCGGTTCTGAAAGGAGGGATACATGACGACCTGTACTACTACTTATGATTGAATCGCTATTAGGTTTCTTCGTTTGTCAGATCATCTTATCAATCATCTTATCAACTAGGATTTATTAGCAGAGCATTCACAACTAGGGTTTTTTCTCGGACTTATGCATTCACAACTTAGACTTGCTCGACTATTGACGTGAATGTTTCTTTGCATTTGCTTCGTACTCGTACAAACAAGCGTAGAGCTTTGATTTAGCCGCGAACGTTAACAGCGCCAGCGGGACCTTGTTGGCCGATCTTCTTTGTGGCAGCGCTGAAGCAGCGGAAAGTGCCAATGCCGCCATCCTGGAAGCTACACACACTGATTAGCCCAGGTAATCATGGAGGAACGGGAATGACGTACTCAACGGAGCAGAAGGGGAAGGCAGCTTGCTGTTGTTTCGAGATGAACGACTGCAGCTGTTTGATGGTAGCCTTCTGGCGGGCAGCAGAAACCGGGCCACTTGGGTCGGTGAAAGTGACTTGGAGGGTGGGCTTCTTGGTCTTGCTGAACAGGCCACGCTTGGCGACGTTAACCGCGCCGGCGGGGCCCTGCTGACCAATCTTCTTGGTGGCTGCGCTGAAACAGCGGAAAGTACCAATACCGCCGTCCTGGAAACTGGACACACATAAGTAAATACGAAGCCCGCCATCAAGAAAAAGAAAACACGCACTCGACGGAACAGAAGGGGAAGGCAGCCTGTTGTTGCTTTGAGATGAATGATTGCAGTTGTTTGATGGCAGCCTTCCGGCGTGTGGCGGAGACCGGGCCACTGGGGTCAGTGAACGTGACCTGGAGAGTGGGTTTCTTGGTCTTGCTGAACAAGCCACGCTTGGCAACGTTGAGAGCGCCAGCGGGTCCCTGTTGGCCGATCTTCTTTGTTGCGGCGCTGAAGCACCGGAACGTGCCAATTCCACCGTCTTGGAAGCTAGAGGGAAATGTAAGAGGCGATATGTAGACCTCAATGAGAGAGCTACGCACTCAACAGAGCAGAAGGGGAAAGCGGCCTGTTGTTGCTTCGAAATGAACGACTGCAGTTGTTTGATAGCAGCCTTCTGGCGGGTGGCGGAGACCGGGCCGCTCGGATCCGTGAAAGTGACCTTGAGAGCGGTCTTCTTGGTTTTGCTGAACAGGCCGCGGGCATCAAGTTCCTCGTCACGCTCGCTGCGCGCAAATATTTCCTCCAACTCAGAGGCCAAGTCGACAGCCCGGGCAGCCAATTCGGACGTGTCCTCACTGCGAGCAGCAACAGATGTAGGCTCGTACGAGACGGGGACGGCGACAGCAATGGAGACCAGAGCAAGTAGAGTGAGCGAAGTGAACTTCATCGTAAGAATTGTGTTTAAAAAATAAAAGATCTAAAGTTGGGTCATTAGTTCAACATCGGCGTTGTACGAGTCGACGACGCACGAAGGGTTGCAAAGAAGAAGTCAAAAAAGGGCAGAGAGAGAAGATAAACTGGTGATGTGGTCCACACAAAACTAGAGGGAACTTGACCGCTCTGTACTGCTTTTATACCCCCGCGCGGGAACTTGGCGCGCCGACCCATAATCTGACCGATCACGGATACTGAATAGCAAATCCATGGCAACTTGACAACTCTTGACAACGAGGGATGGACCACCGGGGTCCAGGGCTTTGTGGGGTGTTTCAACTCCGAGAACACCATGCGTTCTTTGCTGTTCTTTGGGGAAGTCCAAGTTCAAGTCCGACTCATGCCGGAGTGGAAGCTCGCCAAGTTGACAACTGTTGACAATAGCCATCATCGCGATCATGATCATCGATACCGATTACGGCGACGTCAAGCGATCTTTGCCATCAAGATCAGACACAGATAAGATAAATGTTTGTGCTCTTGGTCGGATGTGCTATGAAGACGGTGCAGGCTTGGATACTAGAGAAGCTCAGAACAGCAGATATGACCGCCCATGTTGCAGGGTAGTGTACCGTTCCGCAGTCATTCCTTAGCTTAATCATTGCACAGGTGGCTGACCCTTTGATTGTGTTCAAGTTAGGGTACTATTAGGTGCTGGTAAAAGCACGTCGTCTTCAAGCGTGTTCACATTGAGTGAATCTTGATTCCAAATGGGAGCGGAGCAATAGATGAAGGGTTCTTTATCTTATCAAACTCGACGAGGGTTCACACGTTGGTTTCTTATTAAGGATATACTACATTCAGGTTTGTTCGTGAGTGCCTTAAAGGCATTGCGAATAGTAAGCTGTAGGTTCGAATAAGGCTATGACAAGATGTCAAAAAAGAAATGCGTACTGTTGACGACCGTGCATTTGTACGGCGAGACACTATAGCAAGTGAGATAATGCAATACCAGGACAAGATAGCTTACCAGCCAGTAGGGCCAGTGTAACCACTGCCTCCACACTGTCCATACTGAGCCACGGTTCCGCTCGATGGAGGAGGAGAAACTGCCGAGCTCGTACTGCTGCCCTTGACGGTCGTGCTGCTGACCTTGGTGGTCGTGCCGCCTCCGACGGTGGTGCCAGATGAAGAAGAGCCGTATAGAGGAGGACCAGGCATGGGGTAAGTCGTTTGACTCTGGGCTGCGTTCGAGTAAATGTCGATAGTCACTAAAAGAACGAGTTATTTCGTGTTCGGGAAAGAAAGGAAAACTACTCACGACCAGGGTCGGAGTTGCTATATCCGCCAGGGAATGTCACGAGCTGAGCGGCAGTAGGGGCGAGGCTTCCGCTTCCGGTAATAACGATCTGAGCGCATTCAGGGTAGAACTGCGCTGGGAGGGAGTGGAGGGCAATGGTCTCGAAGCGGATCATGTAGTTGCCGGCAGGGACTGTGGATGGGATTGTCGTTGTCCAGCTCGAGTTTTGGTCAATCATCTTGCCGCTACCCCAGTAGCCGTTGAAGACGGTGCCATTGATTAGACCGGACTGGTCAATCTTGAACTACATGATTTGTCAGACTCGAGTGGAAACATATAAGAGAAGAAAAACAAACCCATTTCAGGGTCGAGGCGTTGACACCTGTGCAGCCACTCGATGGGCATTGGGCGAGATAGGTCAACTACAGATGTGTTGAGAAAAGACGCGCGATAAACGTAGGCAACATACCATGGGTCCGTATGGATGGGGCCATACTTGATTCCAGTATGCGATGACCTTGGTGCCAGCGGGGACCGCAGCAGCCGTGAGTTGCAATGCTCCAGCTGTCCCGTCGTCGTTACACGCGAGCGTAGGGTCGGTAGCACTCAGAATCGGGTTGCTGCGAGGGTTGATTAGCTGCCACATTATTGAAGTAAAAAATGATTTACTAGGTGGCCCATGGACGTTGAATGGTCGTCTGGCCGGTCGGAGTGTTGTAGGGAGACCAGCCCTGATATGTCGTGCCGCCGATATTGTACGACAGGACACCGCCATGGGCGAGTGCGCTGGGAAGCAGAGCAGTCAAGGCGAGAAGGCTCGAGAGCATGGCAGGTATTTTTCCTCGGAACAAAGAGATAGTGGGCTTGTTGCGGCTTTATAAACTTCGGATGTGGGTGCATGAACTCCGGACAAATTCGTCGAAGTGTTGTGGGGCGCTTCGGCAGTTGAAGCAACGACAGCCATTCAGCGGCGTAACTTCGTGGCCGTACATCAACCGAGAATCGCAAAAGTGCCGCTAATGAGGCACATGTGCTCATTCTTACCGCCAAACCACCGCAAAAACGTGGTGGTTGACCTTGACATCACTCGACGCTTAAAACCTAATCCGGTGCTTGCATTCGACAATCAGCCGTCTTCGTCCTGAGAGTGAATGCTTGCGGATCGCCTCACCATAATGAACATCATATGCCGGATCAGATACTTTGTGCTGGCCAGCTTGACGTCGTTGTGGAAGTTGTCATGATGCCCACGGGAAAAAAGCATCGATGGTCACGTGTTATTGCATCAACCACAACGAGCAGTATGAAAACAGGCCGACGCGCGGCGGAGCAAACAGAACCCTGGATTGTTCTCTGGGTGAGGAGGTTAACCCACATACTTAAGATGAAGGTCATTGAAGGACCATGTTAACCAGCTCTTAATAAAATGGTCTTGCCCTTTCTGAGATCATGCATAAACTGTATTCAGCATTAGTGTAGCCATTCGGTCGTACAGTGCTCCTATAGACAGCTTAATGGCATACTGTAGGTTCAAGGCTCAAGCCGAACCAAGTGTAAGCTGCCGCAGTCGCTCGGGAACCTCGGCCAGAAGCAATTCTGGCGCATCGGCAGATTCGGCAGAGAAAAGTACTTGATGAATCGGAATGATTATCGGGCCGAGGGTTCGGAGTCTGGAACGGGCTATTGATGGTGCATATCACGGGACTGATGAGTCTCATTTCTGGGCTACCCTAAACACAAACGAACTGTGTTCTGTTTGTGAACTTCTGACGATCTGATCACAACAATCTAGAGAAATCCACTGTCGTCTTGCCCGCAGGGCTTTACCTGCGCGTATGCTAGGTGTGAATACCTCCAACGGTTTGTTTGTGCCTTCTTTTCGGTTGGTGCCGTCACACTTGTTGATCTCTTGTCACATTCAGATCACAAGCCATCAAACCTATCAAAAACTTGTTGGCGACTCATCTCCTCAACCACTGAGCCGTTTCACTTTGTTCTTTGAAGATCGGATTGGGGGCTGAAGTGTTCTCTAATCGATGAGACATTGCTACCCGTCTTATGCAGTGTATACTTTGGTTCAACTGTAATTATACACCTAATCTATAAGCATTTATTCTCATCTCGGCTAGGGTGCCTGTGAATTATAGTAGACTAGACGTCCTGAACCTTGTGTCACAAGTCACAAGATGCCTGGGACCTGGCTTGGGACGCCACCCAAGCCTTCTGTGCCCAAAAGCGGCAGCTATGGATGAGTAGTATATAGTCAGCTACCTAGCAGGTGGACCCTTAGAGTTTCTTCTCTTTGCCTTGATCTCAGCCTCCAGGGTTGCACTTACAGTAACTTTGATGCTTAACTCCACTCTCTTTGTTACTCACTCTTAAGCTATCTAAAAGTTGAAAGTGTTGTTGAGACAGTTTATCTCTTCAGAATCACTTGTATGACAAAACAGTGATTGTATATCACACATTGATCAGGCTATTGATTGCAATGTTTTGTGATGATTCTTGCACTATTGATGACATACAAACACCCTCCTTGGATACTTCCAGCTCAGCTTAGCTCAGTTGGAAGAGTCATCTCAGCTTAGCTCAGTTGGAAGAGCATCCAATTTGGGACTGACTTCAAAGAGAAATACTGCACTTAGATATTAACCAGACAATCACTGTGTAAATGAAGCAGGATCATAGAGTGCTAATAATTCATGGTGCAATGCAGGCTATCAAGACAGGTATGTTGTGATTTCAGCTGCTGGTCAGCTACTTGGGCACAAGGCTGTTAAGCCATTAGTTACAATCCACTGGGGCTTAATGCTTCAGTGGTACTAACTTATATACTATAACTGTACCTACCAGAATATTCTACAATATTCCTCTGCTTACTGAGCATTACAAAGAATGATTACTCAGCCCTGGGGAAGACCTCGGGCTCAAATCTCAACAAGGTATAAGGTGTGAAAGGGTAAACTTGAAGCTGTTAGTGCTTGTACACTACAAATTTTTATGTGGTGCCAGACTTTGATTGAGTTGTGCACTAAGAAATTGGAACAAAACTAGAGGATACCCGTGCTTCGCTACAGGATCAGAGGGCTGAAGCAGAAGGACAATACTACACTTGGTAGAATGTAGGCCAATTGGAAGGTAGGAGAAAGGCGAGAGGTTGTCGACGCTTGCATGACTATTTGCGACTGTTCAATGACTGCACAATGAGACTGAATTGAAAACAGTTGAAGTTTGGCTGTATTTATAATGCTAAGTGTTTTTGTAGGTACTTGTGTAAGTATTTTTATGTCCCATACTGATTATTGGCTTTGTGTCGAACAAAAAGCAGGGGAAGGGGAAGATGACGGTTCAGCGGGAGATGATTCCAATCTATCACTGTCGATTTGATGACGCTTGCCAGCACGAATGGCAGATTCCACCTCCAGGTTCTCAACACGGCACTTGAAGCGGTTACGGGGTGCTGGGGTATTAGAGGTTGAATCAGTGTTTTCTGGTCAGGTGTTAGTACAGCAAATTGTGAATAAAATAGACAGACTAATATTGAATCCAGCAGGTGAGTTGGTTGTGCTGGCAGGGGTGACAAAAGTACCCATAAGGATGATATCTTTGACATCGACATAGAAAGTCTTGATGTTGGAAACTTTTCCCTCAATGTTTAGGTCACTTCGGATGCCAGTGAGTACACCTTCAACATCAACAAACCACTTAGGAAACGGAATAGGCTTCTTTTTATTGGTATAGTGGCCTGAATCGGGGAAGCACAAATCAGCAAAGAATTTAGTTCTACAGGTATCTCAGAGCTATGAATAAGAGTGAATAGTACTTGTGTTGGCCTGTAAGGGCAACCCCGGAGGCCTGAGATCAAGGTCCTAGCAGGGGAGGATCCAAAGAGTGAATAGAAGTAAGCAAATACAAGTGAGGCTGACCTAGCAGGGGAGGATCCAAAGAGAAGAAACTCTAAGGGTCCGCCTGCTAGGTAGCGGAACTATATACTGCGCTCTTGACGCGCCAAGGTTGATCGTTGCTCCGTGCAGTATGCCTGCGCCATGTCGCAGGCCAGGTCCCAGGGGGATCGCCAGGCGGGGCGGCGATGCGCCTGACGGAGGCGGTGATGCGATCGCCGGAGTCGGAACCGAGTCGGACCGGAATCGGAATCGTCTCCGAGGGGCCGAAAGGGAGGTTCCCCTGACATCACCCCCCTTGTGAATGCGGCGTCCCGACGCATAGACCGGAATGGAATCGAGTCGAAGGTTGCAGAGGCGATGTGCCGTGGTTTGCCAGGGTACTTACGATAGAACTCCGCGATTTTCTCCGGGGCGAAGACGCGGTCGAAGCGGACCCACTGGTCGTGCGACGCGTCGTAGCCTTTCCATCTGACGGTAATTCAGCCGTTTATACCTCACCCTTGCGTCCAGGATTTCCTCTACTTCCCACTCCGGGACTCCGTCCTCGAGGTCCGGAGGGGCTGGTCGTAGCCGGGCGTCCGTCGAAGGGGTCGTCTTGGGCGAGCCTGAGCTTGACGACGGGGAAGACCGGGTGGAGCTTCAGTAGCGCGGAGGGAGGTCGAGCTTGTAGGCACCTTTGCTGATCTCCGCGACTATCTTGAACGGTCCGAGGCGGCGGTGGGAGAACTTTTCCGAGGGGCGAGTCGTCCTGATGTCAGAGGCATCCAGCCAAACACGGTCGCCAACCTTAAACTCCGGAGACGGAGTGCGTCTCCGGTCGTAGTAGCGCTTGTACTCCTCTTTGGCCTTAGTGAGCGCGGCCTTGGCTTCGGCAACACCAGTGGCAATCCGGTCGCGGAAATCGTTCACGGACTCCATAGCGGAACGGACTCCGGGTTCGAAGCCCATGCGCGGGAGCCGTCCCGTGTCCGTCATGAAGGGGACCTGCTGCGTGGAGGAGTGAACATGGTTGTTGTAGGCGAACTCCGCGGCCGGAATCAGCTCATCCCAGTCGTCCTGCTGGTAGTTGGTGAAGATCCGCAAGTACTGCTCCAGCTCCTGGTTGACGCGCTCTGTCTGACCGTCTGTCTGCGGGTGGTATGCGGTGGACGTGGCGGGCTTGATGCCGATTAGACGCCAAAGTTCTCGGGTGAAGTCTGCGATGAACTGCGAGCCGCGGTCGGAGACGTACTTCTCCGGAGTCCCATGGTGCCGCCAGACATTCCGGTAGTAGAGGCGGGCTGCCCCTACTGCATCGACCGTCGTATGACACTCCGAGAAGTGGGCGCGCTTCCGAGGGTGTCAACGACGACCATAATCGCGTCGTACCCATGGGCTTCGGGAAGCTCTACGATGAAGTCGACGGAGACGGTATGCCAGCGTTCGGGGCGTTTCCGTGGGGTGCAGCTCTCCGTGGGGCAGTCTCCGGAGTGCCTTGGTGCGACAGCACAAGTCACAGGTCGCGACATACCGGCCGATATGGCGAGACATCTGAGGCCACCAGTAGTTCCCGGGAGACCAACTCCAGGGTCTTGAAACGACCTGCGTGTCCGGCGACTCGGGTGTCATGGCAGAGCTCGATGATGCGTCTCCGGAGGTCCTTGTCCTTTGGTACGACGATCTTTCCTCGGAAATGGAGAAGACCGCCGGAGACGGCCCACTCGTCAGAACGTGAGGAGCGGGGGGCCTCGAGCTTGACCTTGAACCTTAAGAAGTTGCCGGGCCGCTAGTGCGACGGGCTCCTCCAGGTCAGGCTCACCGGAGAGGGCATCACGGATGTCGCGGAGGAGTTCAGAGCCGGGACCGGAAACGGAAACGCCCTCGAGTGCGCGGGACGTGGAAGAGTTCGGGCCGCAGAAGGACGACGTCGGAGTTGTCGGAATCGACTCCGTGGTCGGGTCTCCGAGAGAGGGCGTCAGGTCGGCCCATGTCGCGGCCGGGCTTGTGGTGCAGCGTGAAGTCGAACCGGGAGAGGTAGAGGGACCAGCGGGCCTGTCTCCGGTTGAGGTGCTGCGTCTTCCTGAAGTACTCCAGATTCTTATGGTCAG